CTTCGAGGTAAATTCATGTGAAAAGTTTTGTACAATGCACAATTGACAATCTAGGACAAGTCTTGGTGATCTCGCTTTGGATTCACCACTTTTTCCCCGAAGGCCCCATCGGAAGCCAATATTCATTGAGCACCATCTCATTTGGCTAGAAGGGAATACTTCCGCACGCGCCCACCTATCGTTACGGCGCCTCTCTCGACAAATTTCTCAAAGCGGCTCGATAGTAAGATATCCGCCCTTGCTCCTGGATATACCTACGCATCGGCGTCACTGTATTTTGTCCCAATCTAGGCCTGTACATTAGAAGCAGGCGGCTCCTCGTCTTGCACAGAGCCGCGCACGAAGGTGTCTTCCCCATCATTTGGGAGTCGCCTAGTGGCCACGTATAAGAAGGGGAAACCGTCTCACAGGTCGTCAAGCGCGAGACACTAGAGAAGACTGGACTTGAGGTCGGCGGCATCATGAGGGGGTTTGACGCGCTCTCATGAGGCTCTAAGTCTGATAGAAAGAATGTTCAGTGCAACTAAGCGGCCACTATCCAGCTAATGAGGACCAACTTGCTTACCATCCCCGATATGAACTAGGTTCTCTAGGATTCCTTCCGATTTCACTGGCTGTGCTTCAGTCAGACAACCCAGATGAGAGCCGGCAGTGACAGACACTTGGGAACGAGAAGGGTTTTTCGGTCTGTTAACATCGAGGTATATTCTGGGAAAGAAGGAGGGGCCATGGTGTGATCCGTGCAGGCCATTTCAGAGTCAGCTTGCGTTTGTTACCCGCGAAGAAGAGGCTGCATGCTAGGGCAAAGCGTCGTTCGTAAGCTCGGATATGTCCCCCAGTAACTATCTAACCGACGCTTGTGATGTCGTCGGAGAGGCTCACACTGGCACTGGCAATACAATCTCACGCTCTTATAGGCGTGGTGGACGGGTAGCCTAACATAATGTGCTCTTTGTTATCCCCCCCCCCCTTCTTTTCCCCCTTCTCCAACTCACCGCATAATGTGGTTCTGCTTGGATCCGCAGACATGGCCAACTAAATTGCCCTCGGCCGAATCCTCTAATCACCGTGAGGCACTAATCCGGGACCAAGCCCTACTTTGTGGGGCCGGATCACTAGCGTAATCCGATGCGCCCGGCCTTCTCCAAGATCCTCCCAAACTGTCGGGTGCAATCGCAGTGGGGGTGACCCTGTTCTTGTTTTCTGCTCATGCTGGACGTAGATTTTTTTACTCACCCAATCCTGACCTCCACCTAGAATTTGGCTCACGTCCTCAATATTCCGAGATAATAAAAGAAGACCAGATCCGCCTTCATGCACATTCGGCTCCTTGGAGTCTACAAACCGACCGGTTTCCCTGTTGTCCGATGCGTCACACTGTTTCCCATTTCATAATATCGTCTGCCGTTTCAGTGGAATTTCACGATATGAAAGGTGTGGCATGGAGGTACAATTGTGACAGTGACATTTCCGCCTCAAAATCCCAGAAGTGAGAAAGTCCACTAATGCTCGGCCTCGGCCTGGAAACAACTTTTCGATTCGCAATCTTCAGATTGCGTCATGTGGAATCGCCACCCTACTCCGTGGGCTTGGACATATATCCTCGGGCGAATGACTTTGCGTGATTACGCAGGTTGCATGCCAACGTTGCATCCGCCGTCTGGAAGAGGTTTAAAGGCCAACCAGATGCTGGTATATTCCCGTATTTAAACAACCTTTTGAGAACATACGCGTCACTTCACAACCTTTTTCTTGGGCGGCTTGACGAGCCAGGTTCCAACATGCGTTTGATAATTCGGCACAAATTCATTCTCATCGCTATCCTCGGCCTCTTTGGTAATCCGGTCGCTGGTAGGAGAGGAGGCGGTAGCTCTGGTGGCGGCTCCGACGGCAATGGAGACTCCAGCGACAATGACTCCGGGGGCGGAAGCAGTACCCCTTGCGTGAATACAGGGCAGCTTTACATCGATGATCTGCCTCCGACGCGATTCGATAATTACACCAAGGATTCGGCTTTCGGCGGGGCGTATTATCTCGGAGAGGCTTCCCTTCAGATTTCTGTTGCCCAGCAAGCGGATGGCATCTGCGAAACGGCATCTACAGCGCTGCCTTTACCGGATCGACTCTTAGGGGCAGCATGGATAGGACCCCAGGCGCCTCACCCCGAGGGGCCCGAGAATGGCGTTGTCATCGGGTTCAAGGCATGGGTATCTGATTCTTCCGTGGATAATATCAATCTTTCATACAACACATGCGCCATCGACGCCGATAGCATTTTCTTCCGATCGACATCCTGGTTCACTTTTATCTATCCAAACAACGAAATCCACGGAGCTAGAGACACCGTGCCCCTGTCCCTGTCGTCGTCTCCGAACGATTCTTTGGCCGCGGTCTTCAACGGCGCGTATGTAAATGCCCCAGAGAAGAAATGGAATAATATATCGTATGGGGAGTGGTCCGAGGACGAATTCGTACCTCCCGAGGGACTTTGCCGAGGTTATAGTTTCATCGATGATTCCATTCCCGAAGCAACGACTATAAACGGGTCAATAACGCGGGAGACGCTAGCACTCACCGTCAGCGGAGTCATGGCAGGGCGTGTCTTTGGAGTCAATGTCAGTTTCGTTGTGGATTTCAAAGGGACGTACGACGCTGCGAACTCGACCCAGGCAGTGATCGTTGGGAAGGATTCGCCGCCCCTGTCCTTTGAGGTAACGAGGGCAAATGAAAATGGACAGGGGAAACTGGCTGTGATGGTGCCGGCGTTGACGGCCTCTTTGTTGGTTACAATGGTGCTTGCTTTGGATTATTGCCTATGATTATGGGAATGATGAATGGAGTATTATTATTCCCACCAAGGAGCTCCGGGCTTCTATTTTGTGACACCTTCGTAGATTGGATTGATGAACCGTATAGCATTTAGCGACTTTTGCCCCTGTAGGCCTGAGCGCCCTTGAGCCAACGCCAATCCCTATGAAATGCTGACTCCACATTCATCTCACCGTCGAGTGATGGACCAACACTCTGCACCGTTCTAAACACTAGATCGGCGGTCCTACTGGTGTATATAGAGTTGAACCATCATCTCCAGAAAAGACGCGAGGTCTGATAGATGGGCGTCAAGGAGACAGACATATTAGGACAACAAGACGTAATCCGCCCCCAAATGAAAGATAGGTCTTCGGTAGGTCGAGGAGGAGGGCGGTGGGTTCACTCTAGGAGGCTGACCGGAATGTATGGCACGATTGCTTACCTAAAGTGCATTTGTCTCTATAAATATAAAACTATCAATGTATTGACCAGGTAGAAAGACCCAACAGAACCAACAGAATTATTATAAAAATAGCCTGACCCTGGAGGATTGGGGAGTCATATTTCTGGCTGCCTTGAATTTCCCGGACGACTACTTCAGAATCTTTTCCTCGGACAGAACGATAATGAACATGCTAGCTGGAACATCGACGGCTCTGACAACGCGATCTGCGTCTGCAACAGTCCCACGAACTCTACTCGCTTGTCCAGTGGAAGTACTCGACTTGATATTCCAGTCACTATCGCCGCGAGACTCTCACGCCCTCTGCTCGGTTTGCCAGAGTCTGCGATCATTCTCTGAGCCCCGGCTTTACTCCAGCATTCAGTGGACATGGGACCATCCCGATGCTCCCCCACCAATAACATTATTTCTGCGGAGTATTCTACGAAGGGAGCAGCTCGCTTCTCATGTCCATAGCGTGTCGCTCGACGGAGATTGTTTCTATCGCCCTCCAATTTTTAGTTGGACTCCGAAGATACCCGTCACCGAGGCTGATTTAATTGAGCCCGTTAAACATGTCAGGGACTTAGCTATACCCAACGAATACCATTTTATACATGCATTACGCCAAGGAACAATGGATGCCTTTGTCGCGGTCCTGCTCTCTCGGGCTCCGAACCTAATTCGCCTGCGTCTGGGGCCCAACTTCGCTAAACAGACCGATCTTGTGGGAATGGTACTGCAAAGGGCCCTCTGCACGCCGGGTGGCTCTGAGATTTCCAGGTTCCCCAGGTTCGAGCGCCTACGGGAGGTGTCCTGTGAAACACTAGAGATTCCTTACGCCCGCCATGAGGGGATGGAGAACACGAAGGGCATGCTGGCACTTTTCTACCTGCCGTCTGTCCGACACCTCTCGGTGCTGATTGACAACCCAGATCATTTCGCCTGGCCCGGCGACCGTGTTCCGGATGCAGCCCAGCTCGTATCTCTACGCCTAGCTGTTCTGCGCGAAGGCCATCTCAGGAGAGTCCTCGAAGTTGCCCCGAGACTTGAAAGTCTTTACTGGGAATGGTACTATCGAGAGGACCTAGACCGGGCCAGCAACCTCGTCCGGAACGTAGTCGACCTCGATCACATTGTCAACGACCTCTCGCCCATTCGTGGCACCCTATGCGATCTGACCATCAGGGCCAGCTGCGACCCGCACCTTGCTCAGCCCCGAACTCCATTCCTCACGATGCGAGGTTCTCTGCAGGGACTTGCATATTTTGAAGCACTGAAGCGACTTCAGATCCCAGCATTACTTCTGCTAGGATTCGATTCCCTTGAAGAAACTCCGCCTCCGTCGGAGAATCATCTGCCGAGAAATATTGAATCTCTCACAATAACCGACGACTTAACTGCGGTAGACGAGTACGGTTGCGGTTGGACTGACTATAGCCTACTACTAGTCCTTCGGTCTTGGCTACGGTGCTGGCGATCGGTGACACCTCGACTTCAGTGTATTTCGCTCATGCTCTACGAGGCGGATGCCGAATGGAATCCTCCCCTACGCGCAGAGCTTCGCCAGCTATGTGCCGAGGTGGGGGTTGCGGTTCAAATTGACAAACGGTTACCGGATCTTTGGAGCGGAGACACGCCCGAAGGCTAACAAAGGGGGTTCCTCTTTGATTCAAACTATATCACCCAAACTCTAGACAGAAACTTTGATCACCAAATGTGTGATAATAAAGCTAGAGACGCCCTTTCAATCCGAGTTGACAGTGCACATCTTGACCTGATCAATCCCGGTAATCCCGCCGGCAACAGTTTTATAGTCAACGGGTTCTGGAGAGATATTTCTGTCCAGGACAATCAACCCCTGATCCTCGACAAAAAGATTGCAACCCCAGTAGTCCTAGAAAAATACATTAGCAAAAGACAGCAAACCAAGACACGGCATAGGTTGGTTGCCATGGTTCACTCACCTCCTCGGGTGCCGTTCCACAAGGGTCCATGGGAATGTAGTCTCGTCCCCGACGACCGACGGTCCCGACTCTTGGTTTCGGGTCACGCTCCTTTAAGGGTTTTTCATGGATGCTATAGTATTGCTGCGCAACCATAGGCTCTCCGCACGCGCCTTTGTTCTTATGTTCGTCCTGTGCCTCCTGCCCTTGGTCCCTCCAGACAAGCCGGCACATCTCGAGGGACTGGCGCACGGGAGTATCCTGCGCCATCTTGTACGTGTAGTCCACTCCCTTCTGCGACGACGACAGGAAGATCTCCTCTCCCACGGCCAGGATCGTCATGACGCCCGGAATCGATTTCTTCCCGATTGCGTACGCAGCGCATTCATCCTCCATTTCACGGTAGGCGTCGAAGGCGAGCTGCCAGAGTTGGCCGTCCGTGATCTCGCTGACGGATTTAAGGTAACTGACGTGCGAGGAGAAAAGCCAGTTGCGAGGTGCCTGGTTGCTTTCCTCGCCGTCCCTGCCTTTCGCCTCCTTGGGCCATTTCGTGGCCACGTCGTAGTCCAAGCGTATTTTCAGACCTCCTTGGGGTTCTTTCTCTTCTTTTAAGTCGTAGGCAGTGAGGAGACCAGCGAACGTTAAGGCCGCGACAAGAAGGGGCTTGGCTGAAAAGAATCGCATGTTGATGTTGGAAGCACGGGATAGGGCTAGTTTGAGGCAACTATAGAATGAGAGGTTTCGGCAGTATGATTAAATGGTGAATGATGACAAGGTGTAAGAGGGAAATAGAGACGATGGCCTGGGTAATAGCCAGACGGAAAGTTGGCCTGAAGGGATCATGGCATTCTTTTAAGGACCTCAATCTCACACCGATTGACTCCGAATAGCTTTAAGATGGTAGATTTGGTCATCCCTAAGGTCCGGCAACCTATCGGCCGCCTGAGGAGGCTTCACGCACTGCCATACTGAGAGGGTGGTGGTCATCTAGATGACGTATGGCGGAGGCAGCGATCCTTTGGCGGCGAATCCGCCCGCTCGAATTATTTAGCCTCGCAGGATGGCCCGGCATAAGCTGTTCTAAGCACGTCTTGCGTTCTGTGCGCAAGGCCTATGAACTGGCGAGCAAGGGGCGGAATAAGCTGGATCTAAAGGTAATGCCCATGCTCCGAACCGGGAGAGCGAGATCCAGGCGTTGGTAGGAGCAAGCTATTTTTGCAAATCTCATCGAAGGTCGGGTCTGACACCGACTCTGTTTCCAAGCTCAAGTACGCGAGGGCGGGGGCGGGTGTGAGTCGGGTGTGAAAGATGGCAATCCTACCTAGAACCCGAGTCGGAGTCAGACCCGACTCGCATGATTCCCACAGTTCGGATCACCGCTTCTGTCAGGATGAACCGCGCCAGCCACGCAGACAGCGTTTCGCATCACGCAATTAGGAGCCTGCTAAGCACCAGGCTTCGAACATGACAACTGGGGGCTAAAATAAGACCGATAAAGCCAGAGTCGTGTTCAAAATATATTATGCGACCTCTCGACATCCTATAGCTCCATTTGTCCCGTGTCTTGTCTGCATTCGAATAATCTAGCCCACGAGAAATATCTATCTTCTTTCTTCAAACAAGACAAAACGAACATTACATCGATATGATGGGCGCCATGTGGAAGACGTTCTTCTATGGCCTCCCAGTTGCCTTATCCCTGGGCCGTGCCGTTGCATTGCCTACCAACGGAACTATCCTCCGTGTGAGAGCCGATGTGAGAGCCGATGTGAGAGCCGATGGCCCGGAATTCGACCCCACTGATCTCTCCCACATAAAGAAGCTTGCGGCCATTGGGGACTCATACTCGGCCGGGATTGGGGCTGGTGATCGACTCGGAACCGTCTTTGACCTGTTCGTTGCGGAAAGCGGTGAGCCTCCGATCCAAGATGTGCACGAAATATACCCAGTCGGTATTAATAATATCGTCTCAAAGACTACGCGTGCAGCCGGTATAGCAAGTCATACCCAAGTATTATCAACAGTGATCCTCGGCTAGGAGACCCTGCGCAGAGGACTTTCCAATACAAGTCGTGCTCAGGTGCCGTGACGAAGGATGTCATTGAGAAGCAAATCCCCAACCTGGACGGCGATCAGCAGGCAATATTGTTGTCTATAGGTAAGCGCACCACATTTCCCTCTGCAACGGTGTTGATGCGTTGTTGCGTCGTTGCGGCGCTGAAGTGTCAGCGTTAGCGAGAATACGAGTGAGCTAACACACGGTCCCAAATTTTAGGTGGCAATGACGCCGAGTTGACAGATGTCCTGAACCAATGCATCTTTCAGTGGGCCGTCATGGACAGGGCTCAAGTACTTGTCGCGAAGGCCGCTGCCTTCTCTAGAAATTTCGCCTGGGCCGCCGACGTAGACTGGGACAAACTGGGTACGGGCTGTGAAGCACAGTTGGGCATTACCCAAGCCATCATCCATAACGACGCCTTTAGGAAGAGCCTCGACGACGTGCTGAATGCAGCAAAGAGTAAATTGGCGAAGGAGTAAGTCATCCCGGCGAACTGGACCACCAAATACAGATCAGTTTCTCAGCTAACACAAAAGTCTAGTGGGAAGATATACTATACTGGGTAAGGCTAGCAGTGTAACTTTTACCATCCATAGGTTTGCAGCTTACAGTGGTTATAGATATGGAAAGTTCTTTGCTGAAGACATGAGTGAAGATTGCGACAAGGTCTCCTGGTCCACCTGGATTTATGTATGTGTCTCCCACACCAACCGCCATAGTATTATCCTGGGACGTTCACTGACTTCACCATTAGAAATCCTGGAACATTGGCTATCCCACGGCATATCTCACTCGAGAAAACCGCAGTAAAATGAACAAGCTGGTGGACGACATGAACGCGGAACTCGTACGTCCAGACACTCAACCCATCCTTCCCTGATTATACTTGTGACCCCTGCTGGCAAGATCCATCATGGATACTAAAGATCTTAATAGAGATCCGCGGCCGAAAGAGCTGGCCCGAGTGTGAAGTTTGTTGATTACGACTCTGACATTGGTCGGTTCGGCGGTCGATACTGTGAAAAGGGCGTGGACGAGTCAACCAAAGAGAGCAACACCAGGACCGGGCTAATGTTCTACGAACTCAATACGTTTGACCCGCTTGGCAACACTCCCTGGAAGCGAACGAGCGCTAGCGAACTCCAAGGGACTTTCATGGGAGACCTGAATGTCTATGCGCAGATAACACGACTCATGGACCCCGAGTCTAGGTTCAGAGCCCCGTTAGTTGACGCAGGTCAGCAGCAAACTCCAGCTCAGGGTCAGGTCGCAGCAGCTGCAGGTCCCCAGGAAGCAGCTGAAAACGATGATCCGAATCTCCGAAAGAGGGAGATTCCCAACGTTATGCCCGACGGGTAATGAATCTTTATTCCCCACTCCATGCGCTAAATTATTGAGGAAGATGTGACTAATGGGCTGATGGGATTATTTCTCACGTACAGATATGGTCGTGTCTTTCACCCACAAGTGCTTCTCCACGAAATCATCGCGAACCTCGTCCTCTTTGAGATGAGCAATGACCGTGAGACGGCCGCAGGGTTCGAGGAACTTCCACGGGACTTTTCCTGGGACTCATGTCCATACAACCCGCCCTTCCCTACTCTTCCGGGCGTGGATCCCAACCCTAAGCCTCAGAAGGAGAAATGGCGCAGTAAGTGTTATTACGCCTGCCCTTTCGATGAAAACTCGACTCTTTCTCTTTTTCCCCAAGATCAATGCCATATCTGGGATCCAATATGGCTACTAACAGAGCAAAGTGACACTCTACGACAACGTTTGGGAGTGCAACCAGGACGAAAACACCCGGTCGCGCGAGATCTGGGGAAGTGAGACAGGCAAATGTTACACCTTCGATTGGGATATGCCAGGTACATCATGCGACCAATACCAGAATGGCGGAAAGTCGGAGCGACAGGATTGCGGAGGATTCTCTCTCATACCGCAGTCGATCAGAGTTTCCAAGGACTCGGATTGCGAGCTCTACTTTGGCGAAAACTGCACACAGGATTACACGGCATTTGTCACAGACAAGTGCATTGACACGGCTATGACGCTCCAATCAACTCGTCGGTTCAGGTCTTTTAAATGCGTACGTATTACCCCCGCTGATGTGTCCTGATGTGTCACCTCTTACTTTTCATAATGCCGTGAACTGACCCGTTTGTGTCTGCCAGAACTAAACGGGCGATCCGTATGGAGATATTCAGAGGACAGGATGAGGGCGGCTCGGCATCTATGTGCAAGGTTCGTGACACGTGGATGAGGCGGATGTGGTAGTCCATCAGCGTGTAATTGCTTCGTTGAGATTATATATGAAGTCTAGCTTCCTGTCCACAACTATGTTAGGGCTCCGTAAGTCTGGATGATTCAAGACTAAAAGACCCTTGTCTCGCTATCGGTTGGTGGACAGGAAGGAAAATCCAGTCTATTCCATGCAAAGCCAAGATCTGACGAGATTCCACACCTTTAAGCTTCAGTATGACTTGTCGGCAATAAAATGCTGCTGAAAATAGTTTCGTGGAGATACTTCAAACTTGTGCGCCTCGAGAAATTCACCGACGCCAACGTTACCCACATACTTGTGTAGAGTGTGCGGCACGAGTATCCATAAAGAACGGCATGACCGAGGTGAAGCTGAAAGCCAAGGCTATTTGGCATGGACCTATCTCCGCCCACCTTGCATTGTGAGGTACTTTGTATGGATACGATTCCAAACATAACACCTCCACGACATCATCCTCTCCTTCAGCACCCTCCTCCTCCTCCGCACCCTCCACCTCCTCCACACCCTCCCCCCCCTCCACATCCTCCTCCTCCTCCACACCCACTGCCGCCGCCCCCTCCATCTCCGGAACTTCCTCCACCGCACGCTGGCCCTCCACAAGTACTGCTTCCACAGCCCGTCCCGCAAGACACTGGGCAGGCACTGCACATGCCCACGTTACCTCCGCCGGTGCCATTTCCCGCGACTGGCCCACCGAGAAGGGTAAAAGTCGCCGTTGTGGTAGCCATCTGGCGATTCGCAAGATTAGTTGTCCGCCTAACCCTTTCACTTTCAAGGGCTTCGACGTCTGGCTGCGTCATGGCCCCGCGGAACCCGCCATAAGGATTATCTGCCGTCCTCTTTGTGTTTCGATCTTGGGGCTCCAAGAAGTGGATTTCTTTCGGTAGCTTCATAATGCCAACGCTCTTGGCCCGGTTATCTCGAAGCGTGGTGTACTCCTGTATTCGGCCGAGCCTGCTGGCCCAGTCGGCTACGAAGTAAAGACGGTTGGTGCCCTTCTCGTAGTAGTGACTGAACGGCTGAGCACGGTGAATACCTCCCATGCGGACACGGGAAAGGCCCGGGTTCTTCTCGAGAAGCGGGGAGCCCTTCCCATGGAGCCAGACGGTTGAAATCCGGAAGGTTGGCGACCCCGCCATGGCAGTGGCCACTCGCGAAAGGACGCTCGAGGAATGGAGAGCCAAGAGGCGATTCCTCATCCAACTGGCTGGTCCTCCGCGGGGATTGCGAGACTGGTGGTGCACAGTCGAAGCGGGATACATGAATGAGTCTCGCATGAGGTGCATGGACACCATGGCCCAGCTGTCAAAGGGTGAGGCCCAAAGATGTCTAGACAGGCTGCAACGGCCGCAGCTCAGCTCTAGGTTGTTGTCTCCCCCCGCATACGCTCTGGTGCAGTCGTAGGGAAAGAGATCGTCATATTTTGTTACTACCGGACCGGTGCCCGACCAATCGTACCAGTACTCCTGGCAGGAGTCGATAAGATCAGAATCATCGTGCCGGCCAAAGTAAAAGTTGCCAAGATACTCCTCAGCAAGCCCGGGCGGCACGTCGTGTCGTGACCTAACAACTCGCTGATTGTATCCCTCATCCTGGCAGACGAAACTCATAAGATAGAGCGGAACAGAGGGAGAGCTATCAGCCCTGGCAAAGAGGGGTCCGAAGAGGGATGAGTCCAGGATTGAATTGCAAAATCGTTGGCAGGAATTGTTCGCCGCACTCCAGGTGAGATTGATTTCCGGTCTCAGGAGGAGAGCAGTAATGCTCCGAAGGTACGTTTGAACGTGACCCCCAACCAAACTTTTGAACATTTCCACAATAGCATCGATGTTTTGGTCTTGTGTTTGAGTGACTCCCTTCTCTGCGCTAAGCGGAGACTTTGCCGCCTCAGTAACCGCGTCGATAATTTTGCGCTCTAGGCCGTTTTCGGGGCAGTTGACGAAGGCGGAGCCCACAACCTGTTTCATGATCATCGCGTACCTCTTGCGGACTCCCACTGGCCGATCCTGTTTCCATAGTTCCCTTGGCGAGCTACCGACTGCAAGGCAAGGCCGGACAAAGGTTGGGTCTGGGGCATTCTGCCCAAACACAGGTGGCTCCCTAATCGTGACGAGCGCTCCGCTCTTTGTGCTGGATTATAGGCCGACAAGTTAGCCGTGGAAACAAAGTATATGTATTCGGCCTGAAACTTACTTTGCCACGCCAATCTGAAAGACCAAAGTGCCGACCCGCAAGGACATGTGGACATTCTTCAACCCGTCCTTATCCGCGAATCGGTCGAAAAAGGCGGGAATATGATTGTCCTCGGCCGGATCGGTTATAGCTCTAGGAGACTGGGCTGATGGTAGTTCTAGCGTCGCTGATTTTTCAGCCCACCCGGTTCGATCCTTTCCCGAAAGAACCGAAGAAAGTCGTTTCTTTGTACCTGTGGCTCTTTTGTTTCCATTCTCGGAGGTAAGGCTGCATCTTAGAGCCACTTCCCCCCGCCATCGAAATCGCGTGCACGACCTCGGCCAACTTCGTCTTGTGGTTTCTCCCGGAGACAGCGAGGATGCCTTCGAATTTAGCCTGCGCTTCGACCTCGCTTAGTCGGGAAAGGCCACAGTCAGCTTGGTGCCCTGCCGTGTCGTCGTATGGGTACAAATCGACAGCTTTCCCTGTTGAATCGTGCCGCTTCACGCTCGTACATTTGCAAATCTGGCTGGCAACCTCATTGGTGATGATGTCATTGCAGAGGAGGTGCTTATACGTCTTGACATAAGACTCCTTGCCATAGTGGTGCTGCCTATAGCAAGTTTCGCAAACTATCTTTGGTTCTTCAGGTTTCTTTGATACGAAGTAGCTCGAGACGATGGCTGCAGCGCAGCCATGTTGCATGCATGTTTGCGCTTCAAACTTTGGCATACCACTCTTGTCGAAGCCTGAGAGTGCAACTATTGGAATTTCAAGTTAGGCATTCTGTCCTGGGATGGAGGGGCTTGAGTCTGTTTCCTAGTCCTTACGTTGAGGGATAGCAGGCCTCTTGGCCGACTTGTGTGCGGGTGGGCGATGTTCAATAATCTTATCGATATCTAGGAAACCTAGTACAAGTAAGCCATGAGTTACAGTCCGGTTTTGCCAGGAGGTTATTACAATACTTACCAGAGCTCTGCAGCAACAACCAAGCCTTTTGCTCCAGACCTTCAAGTGTGACAGCTAGTATATTTAGTAATGTATTAGTTAAACATTGCTCCTTCTCCGTTCTCGAGCGGATCGATAGAGACTAGGAGAGACTCACGTTTTATCTGGCTCTTGATCTCCTTCTTGATCTTCGAGGTCATGATCTGAACTTTCTTCTGCACTAACACCTTCTCAGTGGATGTTTCGTATTGACTCATGTCAAGCCAGTGCAAAGCAGGAAAATCCGCCAAGTCTTTGGCTCTTCCGAGATCATCATCTATAGCCAACGTGCCCCGGTCAGCGCATCATGACCAGCTTGTACCAAGTTTCTGTGCTACCTACTGTATATCTCTGCGGCCTTCCTCGGCCACTGCGTGATGTTGGTTATGAACGTGTCGTAACCATCTAGCTGGCTAGGAATCGGGTCATCTACATCCTTGGAGGAATATTCCTGCCACGTCCTCAAGGTCTCGATGATATTCTTCATCTCACCTCGCACGCCGTGCCAGTAGAGTTTCTCAACCTCTTCAAGAAGCCGTTCTGGGCCAGATCCGATGTGCTCCCACGGAAGGTCGGGTCCGGGAGTAATGCATTGCTGATGCCTCTGCGAGGATGAGGATACTTGCGCAACGATGATGTCTTTCAGTCGCGCCATGTTGCGCAGGGCACAGGGGGCGGCAAACTGGCTTTGCAGAATGTCAACTGGGAATCTCTGTTGTGGAATGCGAAGGCGTAATATCTGCAATGCCTTTCACTTTAATGCCGCTATATGCCGTTAACTGCCTGTCCCCAAATACGCAAATTGCTGCCGGCACGATTTTTAACCTGATGCGTGTCTTGGGAAGAAGGGGGGACAAGGGTAATTGTTGAAAAGGATAGGGCGAGCTCGAGGCAAACCAGCATGGCGCAGCCTAGCCTCATTCGTATCTCACCAGACTCTCAAACGGTCAGATTTTGAAGGATGAGCGCTGAGGTACAGTTGCCTGATTATTTCCTCCTGGGCAGAATGCTTGGTGCAGTCGGCGCTGAATGACACCGTCTTATCCTGCGCTGCCACCTCAACTCCGCGTCGGTCAATGCGGCCTAGCCTGATTTGGACACCAAGGCACATTCTGCTGACTTTATATGCAAATCCAGCAGTAACTTTGAAAAGCGCCAGGCCAAATGTGGCTTTGACTCGTGAGGCGAGCAGAGGCAACATGTAGCATGGGTCCCTTCGGATGAGGGGATCGAAAATAGCCCAAGAGACGGAAGGCTTCCTTCGGCATCTATCGAATAAGTTTTAATCCGACCCTCCGTGAATGGTGAATGAGAGTCTCAGCTCTCGTCGTCGCCCAAACGCGCCTTTTTTTCCCTTCGTTTATCCCACTTTGACTGCCTCAAGTCCATCAGACCTCCCTCTATCACTTACAGGCGCCCTGAAGTGTATTCACAAGCGCAGAACTACTCAGCATGGGCGGGTTCAAAGATATGCCCACCATGGACGATATTCCCTCCCTCCACCTGCAAATAGTCCATCGCTGCGGGCAAGGCGAGACCCGTTGGTATGACAGCCCCTTGTTGCAAACCGTCCGATCCCCCGAGGCAACGCCAACGAAGTTTCGTCCGGCTTCTCGCGCCTCGGACCAGCCGACGATACCGTCCCCCGACATCTTCCGGTCCCTTACTGATGAGCCACCAAAATCCGCAACCGCCCTCCCAACGGCTGGCGAATGTGCTGTCCACCTCGAGCTTCTGGAGGTATTCCATGCTCTTCGAACGCGCATTATTTCCACCAGGACACTAGACTGGGCTCTTGGAATCAGACCGGCGACCAAGACTGTGTATCGCCGAACCTGGGTGGGTCACCGAAAGTATGAAAACAAGCCGACAACCGTCAAGGATCCAACTTTTGAGGAACGTTCAAGGCGGAAGTGGCGCGTCTACCTAGAGATTGCGGCCACGCGATTTATCGTCTGGTCGGAGAAGATTGAAGCGTTGATGCGCCAAGTCGGTGGCCCGCATGCCGAAGCCAGGATTCCTCATTTACCTCCTCTAGGTGAGTTTCCTCCCCCCCCCCCCCCCCCCCCCCCCGGGGCCTATCTTGGCTCTTGAACCGCCTTCTAACTCTTGGCCTAGATATTTTAATTGTCTGGCATTCCTTCCTGCTTAATCCCGGCGACTACCAGCAATTCTGTGGCCGGCATGCTCTGCCTTATCTTAAGCATGCACCCTTTCCTTGGGTCCAGATTGTGCGTATCTAATGCTGTCCTCGACGGCTATTGAGGCCTCTCCCGTTCAGACTGAGCTAACAAAATACGGAATATAGCATCGGGCGGTGGACTCGTCGCGAACTGAGTTCGAATACAGCATGCCCAAGCCCGCTGAAGAATGGTTTACTGAAGCCACGGGGCTAGACGGCGACCTCTACGGTTGCATCAGTTTCATCGGCAACCACAAACCCGACAGTGTTGTGCATAAGGCCCTGAAATGGTATTGTGGAGATGCTGTCGGGGGTCTTCCCACCGTTTACCAGTGTCTGAGCAGTTACGACGTAGCAGCCGGCAAAGAACCTACCGATCATGCCTTCTTGCTCCTTCTGGTTGAGACCGAAAAACGGCGACACGAACTCCTGCCCCTCTGTCAAAACGTTGTGCGTCAGGGCGCGTTCGTCGATAAGATGCACGCTCATCTGTGGATCCGAAGCCCGGCGTTTGGCGGCACGCTAAGTCGTGCTGTGGATAGATACGACAACTTTACCCAACTATTCAGGATCAAGTCCGGCTCGATCATCGTCCCGACGCTCGACATGGATTTGGCCTGGCATACCCACCAGCTATCGCACATTCGGTACAAGACCGCCATGGAGCAGATCGCGGGTAGATTCATCGACCACAACGACAAACTTGGCACGCAGATCCTGAGCCATGGGGAGGAGTTCACGCGCAAGGCGTACGAGAGTACATTTGATGAGGAGTACTCGAGGTGTCTTTGCTGGGACTGTGAGGCAATGCTCTCGGCGGTCATGCAGGATGATGAGATTGCGACCATCGATGAGCGGTGGATGAAGGAGACAGCAGAAAAGGTGAGGGAAGATTTACAGTATTACCGATGTGTTGAGATAGAGCGGCGGAGGCAAAAGGGGTCCGTGACGCGTCTGCCAGTTCGGCAGGAGGAGACGTACGCCGCATCGGGGTCGAGGCCTTCGAAATATCTCACCTAGATACACACATATAAAATGCTCTTCTGACTTGCTTGTATCACCTGCAGCAGCACGAAATCCCTGGGTATCAGGTCCCTGTATTCCAGTCGCCCTGGCGCACGTGATTTCAGTTTGCACTATGGTTATTTTTATTCATGGGCTCCTCGGGATGCGAAAATGGTTACACCCTCCAAGCACGGCTCAAGCCGTTATTCGTCCTTGGTCGAAATGATAGCCCAACCCCGCCCGGCAGGCTGCAAGGGTGGTTGGCTGGATTCCACCAGTCAAGATTTCGTCTCCCATCAGAATAAAGTAGCAAACCCCGCTCGGAACTCGTCAAGATCATTGCAACTAGCGGACACATCTCCACCGCCTCTCTGCCGCTTGAGAACACTTCCTACCTACAGAATTGTGCTATTATCAACATATTCCTGGGGAGCAAGGACTAGCCAGGATGACGACGTACTTCATCGCCCATGTCTTGCTTATACGCTTCGTTTGTCTCGCGGGGCTCGCGGATCTCGCTTCAGCAGACGACGGAGACGACTTTGCCAACAACCTCATAACTGATCTAGGCCCGTAAGTGCACCTTTTGCAGGTTCAACTTGCTTTACTCGTTTTCGGTTCGGTGCTGACGCAGGTCGCAGGATCCTCGCCCTTTTTGGGGAGCGTGTCACTATGCAGTTTATGAGCAGGTCGCTGGGCTGGGCCGATAACATCCTTTTAGCAATGGCACCGCTTGGCATCATTACCATCATCGTCGCCGCCATCAGGGTTGGCGGTCAAGGATGGATGAAGGCCGTAATCGGGAGAAGCAGGGAGACGTTGGGAAGCGCCGAGATGGAGTTAATGTCTTCAACCTCCCGTGAAGTGTGCGAACTTTGGAACGGCGAGAATTTGGTTCGGGTCATGGGAGAGGCCCCGGTTCGGGAGTTTGTCTTCCTTGAAGCATCAGACCCCAAAAGCGCCAAACTTGTGTCCGCCGAGCTTTCTTCCATGGCTTGTGAGAAGGGACGCCAGGTTGGGGGGAGAGACTTCCGACTTGTTCAGCCACACATTTTGGAACCCATTCCTCTCGAACTTCCAAAACCCAAAGAACTTCCAAAACCCAAAGATTCCTTCATCATATCCGACACGTCGGACGACGCCCCAAATATCGGCCTCAATATATATGGCCACCGTAATAATGGCGAACTCTGGTTTTTGGCTGTGTTTGGCATCATCCTCCAAGTCGGAGTCCTCATGTTCGGAGGGTACACTGCATACACACCATCGGATCGGTTTTTGAGGGATGGCGCATCCGCCAGCGCTTACGCTTTCCCATGCACTGCCGTTGGGTCACTCCTCTTAGTTTCTGGACTGATTTTGTGTTCTCACGTGGTCGAGTCGAGAACGAATGAGAATAGGTACCTCTTGGAGGCCCCGGCGAGGATTGTGTGGCTCCAGAGAGCGGCAACGGTCAACGACCAAGTCTTCGATTCGTACGCATTGTATATGGACCAGAAGCCTCTAAAGCTCATGACATCTCGACTTGACACGAACCAACAAGCTCGTTCTGACATTGGTGCAGATAACGACACCGACGAAAAGCGCAAATTTCGAGGCACGATACTGAAGTCTTGGACTCTCCGAGAACTCAAAACCGCAGCGGGGGTCTTAGTCAGTCTTTGCGGCTTCCTCGTTCAGTTCATAGGCCTTCGTGGCATGCACTGGACGGTTACAATTGCTCAGCTTGTGGCGACAATGGTAATGACGGCGATAAGGGTTTGGGTGCGTCGAGAATCAAGCCCTTCCGTCACGACGGTGCATTCGAGGCTTTTGGACAAAGGGTTCGAGCTCGACTGGCTTGCTTTGAGCCTGGGAAATAAGGGGGCTTCCCGGTGGCCGAGCAGGAGTGGAGATTTTAGGTCTTGGGATGGACGGGTGGCAACAGCAAATTGCCGCCATAAAGAGGCTCACGGAGAGGAACAGGAAGAGGAACAGACAGAGGAACAGAAAGAGGAACGGAAAAAGGAAGAACAAAGACAGCCAGCGCTTGTGAACGATGAAACTGGTGGTCCCATTTGGGATCCCAAGCAAATCGTGGAAGCCCGAAAATCCATGGCAAATCTAGCTAGATGGCCTGGGGTTGCGTCTGCCGAGGCAGTGGCGCTCGCCACTGCAATAGAGCTTACGCTGCATGCACTGCCGCCTACTATCCAGGACCAGAACGGCAAGAATTTCTCCTGGAGATTGCCAACTCATAACGGCAGTGGGGAGATTGAAATAATGGCCACAAGGGTAGGGTCGCAGTGGACCATGTTGACTGATGGCCTTGACGCCGTGCTATCGTTATGGCTTTATTCTGTCAATAACCAGGAAAAGAATTATGGATCAAAAGGACGGGGATTAAGTTCGGGAAGACCAGACGCCTGGACGCCGGCTATGGCAGGCTCTCTCAAGCCCTCTCTCGTCCTTTTGGGCCTAGACTCCAGTGAACTACGCCATGGCATCGAACGGTGGATCCCTCGTGGTCCAAAGTATATCCGTGTTAAACCTAAGATTAGGCGCGCAGCGGATAGGGTTTCTCTAGAAGGTGAGCCCGCCGAAGAGGAGGCTGACTCGCCCAATGGCACGTTGCATGTACAGGCACACCGGGTTGTCGGGTGTGGGCTCGGGGCTCCGGATACCGATACATACCACCGACTAGATTATGCCGGGAAGCCCAACAGTTCTCAGCTTCTCGCACTAGAGTCACAGATGCAATTAAATGTCCTCTACGCACAGGACATATTCTCGGCATTCATGTGGCACCTGGCTAGTCATACCCCACTCCTATCGGGCTGCGAAGGGTGGAATGCCGATACGGGCTTTCCAATGAGAGCTGGACGTGACACAGACGTCATGTTTCGGACCCCTGTTCTCTCTAGCTTGGCCCAGGACCTCCAACGAAGTGGTCTGTTCAATATCGAACAAGCCTACCAGAATATCATCCCGCCCCTCTCTGTGAAACGGAGACTCCCCCAAGGGGAGACCCTGACTACGGAAGTATGGAAAAGTGCAATGGAAGCCCATAGATCGGGCCGTTATGACGACGCTGCTATCCTCGTGCAATGGATTCTAGATATCGCTGGTCTCTTCCCTGAAGTCAGTGCCGTTGCCATCCATGCCATGGCCGCGGCGAGAATCTATTACCACGAACTTGTTTTCGCCAATTACGCAATGCGCTTCGTATACAATCAGAATCGGCACGCATTATATCCGATCCCTTGTCCTAAAAAACTTCGCATTATCGCTCTCAGTGAGACGCTTCAGCGTCGTCACGACAGCAAGACCCATCACACCCTTACAACGCTGAGATCATGGCAATCGCCCCCAAAACACGATGATGGCGAAGCTTCGGGCAGAAAAAGCATGTCTGATGTGGAACGAGTGGCGTGCCAATATAGCGAACTACACGCCGCCGTTGTGAGTAATTCTCCAGAGGGAGCCCGAGCCATCACCCGCCGGGCACCAGCTTCCCTTAATCGGGCAGATATTGTTGGGTGGACACCGCTTCATTACGCGGCTGCATTAGTATCTGCCGACGAAGATGCATTCTTTGAGTCAGCTATCCAAATTGTTGAGAAAGAGAACAGGCTGGAACCAGTTTCCAAAAGGTCAATTTCCGCCCAAGACCTGCGGGGGTGGACACCATTGCATTATGCCGCTCAAAATCCCAATGGAGAGGGTGTGACAGACTTTTTGCTCGAGTATGGGGCGGACCATGCATGTACGGGATACGACGGCTCGACGCCGCTTCACTGTGCAGCCGAGGCCGGCATCGCGGCAAATATCGACATATTAGCGTTCTGGGGAGCCAGCTACGATGTCCGAGATGTGATGGGCTTTACGCCACTGCACAGAGCTATCATCAAAGGCCATTTTGAAGCCGCGGAAGCTCTCTGGGGACATATGCCGATAAAGGCTAAAATGGGCGGAGTTGTGGAAACACGAAACTACTATCACTTTGCGGCATGGTACGGAAGGGACGACATTCTCAAGTTGATATACAACGACGACGACAAAGTTCCGGGTATCAATGCCAAAGACACAAACGGGAGCGCGCCAATACATTTGGCAGTTGCAAGTAATGCCGGTAATGCTGTTCATGTCATTGAAACCATGATTGAGCTTAAGAGAATCAACGACTTGAAGGACGAACGCTCGAAAATGGAAGATATCGACCTAATGGCGACGGATAGGAGTGGGCATACGGCTCTGGCCCTTGCCATTGCGCTTTCGGTTGACGAAGTTAGGATAATTCTTGAGAATGCGGGTCTCGGGCTGTGATTACCAAGGTGAGAAGATGGCTTGAGCTTTCTACCCTTGGTCGATATTTTCCAACGCACAATGCCGACCTGTTGTGGTCCCTACTCGGATAAATCTTTTCAACACGTACTGATCTCTTTACGAAGTTGCTCTAGTCTTAGGGGTACGGCCTCTCCTATTTTATTTATTAAACTCTACAGCGCTGCAAGGAGTTTCTCGGCACATGCACGCAAGATCTTACGCAACTGCTCTTTCAGTGACAATATCACGATGCATATTTACACTCTTTTTGACAGCTGGATGCCAGGGCCCACCATCTTTACATAGAATACCGTAGACCTTGGGACATCCAAGTTGTGATCACGATTCACGACCTATCGACCTGACCATGACGCTTGAATCGGCAGCTCAGGCTTTACCAGTGGGCTGAATTAAGTCTCCATAGTATCAATAGCTGCCAGAAGTTTCTTCGTGGGCATCAATAGCTAGCTAACAGGAAAAGCAGCACATATTGCTAGGTGTTTAATAGATATATTGGTAATCGATTGTAAGCTTTTACTTTTTCACACTCCAAGCCAATATCGAATGACAAGTCTATGAAAACGTCTTAGTGTGGATGTGAAGGATTCGATGGTTACTTATCTCGGACCATTCCAGATAGAAGAACGAGAGCCCTTTAACTAACATCTTTTGTAATATATTCCCAGACTTTCGGGATGGGGTTTCATCGTCTCTGCACACGTGGGAATGTCCTGGCTCCTTTTTTTTTCTGCTCGTGGACTCGGTCCCCCGGTCGTGAACCCCCACCCATGTTTTGTGCCACTTGCCTCCGAGTTGACGTGCTCAGCTCGAAGCGGGGCCCTGATCCGGGGCTATACCGAGATCGGGGCGATGCCGAGGCGCAACTTGCTCTTTTCAGCAGAATCTCCAAGCCTACGTGGAGACTAGATGATGAAGCATTCCTTAATTAAATTTCCGAGTCGTCTTTGAGAGAAGCGAACAACAACACCATTGCCGCCAAGTTTTAGTGTCGGCCGGGCCCCCGTCTCCGGGCCGGAATTGAAGCTGCGGCCTGCATCGCATCGCGGCGGGCGCCACCAGACATCACCACCTACGCCATGGGTATCTCGGCAAATGGCAAATGCAAGGGTTAGGTAGATAGGGTGGTACTTCTGCCTTCCGACGAAGATGTAGCGTGGATGACGGCAGTTCGATAGTAGCTGTTCCTTCTTTTCCTCTGAAGGGCGTAGAGAACATACCAAGGTCTGAGAGGTCTGAGAGGTGCGGTTAGGTGTAGCATTATGGCGTGCTCGTCAGAGTCGTCGCAGACAACGGTCGGACACTCTCCAATTGGTTGGGAGGATGTTTGATGTCATCTTTCGTCGCTGTACCGCGGGGATGGTCAGAAATGGTATGAGGGACTCGTTAATTGTAAACAAGGGCAGCGGGGTGCAGATGCGAAGGTAGTAGTCGGCGGACGAACAGTCGATGGATGCCCATGTATTTATAGATGCCTTTACTTTGTAGCGCTATGCTCGTATTTATACCCTCGTGGATCTCCCTGACGCCTACAGCCCTCCCGCCTCTCTGACATGACGAATCGACCTACTTAATATTACCAAGAACAACACAAAGGTGATCAAGGAAGTAAACAGCCAGAATCACAAAATGCCGGCAAATACAAGCCGTCCCCATGGGGAGAGCGAAGAAGCTCCGCCTAAGGATCAACAATATCCAGGTCAGTCGCACGTCGTTCTCTGGTAACCAAAAGAGATGCGTCATGATCGACAAAAAGCTAAACGCGCGGGACCAACTGCAGTGCGATGGAACAAGTCGACGTTTTACAACATGACCGTCTTGGGTCTTTGCAACCTCGCGGCTCCGGGTATTTGGGGCGCCATGAACTCTCTCGGTGCTGGAGGCGCGGCTAAGCCGTACCTCGTCAACACCGCCAATGCCTTGACGTTTTGTCTCATGGTTGTGTCGTGTTATTTTTCTGGTGTCCTTGTCCACTATATCGGTATCAAGGGAGCTCTCATTTTCGGAACGTACGTTTTATTTCTTTTCTTTTCTTTTCTTTTGTTTCTTTCGATTATGTTTTCTTCTTCTTCACCTCCCATTTCCCACTTGGATAGTATCTGGAGTATGCGTATTAACGCTTTCTCTTTGCAGGATTGGCTACGCTCCGTTTGCTGCTGGGCTCTATACTAACAACCGGTTCGGAACCGAATGGCTGACTCTGTTTGGTGCCGCTCTCTGCGGTATATCAGCAGGAGTGTTTTGGATGGCCGAAGCGGCGATCGCCATTGCATATCCCGAACCCTGGAATCGGGGGAAGGCCCTCGGATACTGGCTCACCTACCGACTGAGCGGCCAAATCATCGGGGGCGCAATCAATCTGGGGCTCAACATTGACCGCGACGAGGCAGGAAAGGTGTCATACACGGTGTTCCTGATCTTCATCGCCATCCAGGCTGCTGGGCCCCTTGTCGGTCTTCTTCTCACACCTCCAGGACAGGTTGAGCGGAAGGATGGGAAGAAGGTCAACCTCTCGATTGTACAGAATCCTTGGCTCGAGCTGAAGGAAATGACGAAGCTTTTCTTCAAGAAGGAATTTCTTCTTATTGTCTTGCTTATCGGCCAAGCAGTGTTCGCTGAAGCAGTGTTCTTTACATATTTGTCTCGTGAGTTTGCAAGAAGAAAAGACCATCCACCTTTTGACCCTCTCGCCTAGATTCCGGATTCTAATAACTACTGCAGTTTGGTTTAGCGTCAGGGCCCGAGCCTTGGGTTCGTTCCTTTCTGGAATTGTCGCCGTTATTGCCGGCAACCTTCTCGGGGTAAGTGGTTGCGCCGAAAGAATGTGGGATTCATGGCCGTGCAGATACCCTAACTCCAATGTCTCAACAGAACTGGCTAGACCGAACAAAAATCTCGCTCAAGACCCGTTCTCGGGGCGCCTTCTGGACGATCCTGACATTGCAGGGTGGCTGGTGGATCTGGGCTACTGTCCTTGTCACCAAGTTCCGGACTACGAGACCAACCTACGACTGGACCAGCCCCGGATTTGGGGCAGCCTTTGCAGTGTTCATCTTTTTGACTCTGGGATTCCAGATCAACTATTTGTTCCTGTAGGTTTTGTCCCAGAATCTCACGCTTCCCGATAGCTGCCAAAAGTGATGAATGCAACCCACGGCATCTCTTCACGCCGATCTTACCCTGCGGTTTTTGATGTCTCTAACATGTTAATACTAGGTACTTTGTAATTCACAACCTTGCCAAAGACGAATCCGAGGTAATTCGATACGCCGGCCTCCTCCGTGGTACTGAGTCTGCGTGGCAAGCTGTTAGTTACGGCCTCTCGTCGGTCAAGATATTCTCCGAGGTCGGAGGAGTGTACTTGAATTTCGGACTATGGGGTATCTCCATATTCCCTGCCTGGCTCGTAATACGCCATTTTGGGGCCAAGGTTGTCACTAGCGAAGGGGCCCCAGTTTCTCTGAATGAAAAGGAGGGCGTTTCGTCCGACGGGGACGTTCCTGGCAAGGAGGGGCGGCCTTGAATGCTACCTGCCGGACAGTTGCGGCACTAGTGGATGTTCCCTATTATTTATTATCTATGGCTCGGCTGCGGCTGCGGCTGAGTGCGGTCTAAGACTCAAGCAAGATAGAGGGAAGAGAGAGCTTCATAGATAGATATCGAGTGATTAGTATATTTACTTTTCTTCCAACTAGTGCGCGTCCAGAGTAGAAATCAAAACGCCTCTTGAAATATCCCGGGCGACCAAGCCGCGGAACTGCAGACGTGAACTCGGCAGTTTCCCCACATCGAGAGCCCCACGCCGCATGCGATTCCTCATCCCGATCCATGATTGCACCATCACGAATGATACGTTCGTGACAGGCACCATGATGGTTTAGGCGGACGAACCAGGGACAGGAACAACGGCGCGAGTGTGTCAATGTGTCATAATAAATAATCATTGCAAAAATAAATACAAAAAAAATACCCCGTCCCTTTATATGCCCGTGCCCTGCATGCACCCATGTCCCTGAGAAACCCTGGCAAGTCCGAGTCAACTTGAGTTGTCGTCGTCATTCCGGACGAGTTCCAAGCCCAATCAAGCCTGCCACCACCGAAAGGAGCCCGCAAGTTCAAGTCAGCAGCCATGTCGCCTACGTCGGAAAACAGTGGCCGCAAGAAGAGCCTCATTGTCAATGCATTCGTTGAGATGTGTACGTCTTAAATAGAACCGCCCTCTTCACAAATCGCAGGAGTTCCACGCCGCTAACATACAGATACTCGACAATAGGTAGCGGCCACCAGTCCCCGGGACTTTGGCGGCATCCGGACGACCAGTCATGGAAATTCACCGACGTCGAGCACTGGGTTGAGCTAGCTAAGACTCTCGAGGAGGCAAAATTCCATGGCATCTTCATCGCCGACGTGCTTGGTAAGAGAACTCCAATTGATTGAATACCTGATAGATCCGCTGCTTGGAAGCTGGAACTAGTATTAGCATATATCTGTAATGGTCGTCCTCAGCTCTAACATCAACCTTTCATCTGGTATGTGCAGGAGGCTACAACGTCTACAAGAAGTCCTTAGATCCTGCAATTATCACTGGTGCGCAATGGCCTGTGAACGAGCCCCTCTCCGTGATTCCTGCCATGGCCGCAGCGACCAAGAGCATTGGGTTTGGAGTGACCGTCTCGACTACATATGAGCAGCCCTATCACCTTGCGAGGCGGCTGTCTACTGTCGACCATCTTACGAAGGGACGGTACGCATGCCCAATTTCTTCCACCTCTTATCCCCCCCCCTCCTCCGTTTTTTAGGTAACGACGGCCAAAGTATAACCGAGAAATGAGCTAACAGCGCATGTACAGTCTTGGCTGGAACGTAGGTCTAGCAATCGGTATGACATAGTGCGCGCCGCCAAGTTTCTAACAGTAAGCTGTAGATTGTGACAGGATATCTCGATTCGGCTGCCCGCAACTTGGGACGGACCGAACAGCCTGCCGTAAGTATTCCTACGCACCATGTTGAGGTAAAAGTTCGGTGGGACTGAGAAAATGCAGCACGATGATCGCTACGCCCAAGCCGAGGAGTACGTCAAAGTGATGTACAAGCTCTTCCTCTCCTCGTGGCGCGACGACGCCGTCCAGCTCGACCGCGAAAAGGGCATCTACACCGCACCGGAACTCGTGCGAGAAATCAACCACCAAGGCAAATTCTTCACCGTCCCCGGCCCCCACATCGTCCAGCCGAGCCCCCAGCGTCTACCCCTCGTGTTGCAGGCGGGAACATCCCGCGCGGGGAAGCAATTCGCGGCCCAGCATGCCGAGGCAATCTTCGTGTCCGCCCACGCGCCCAACGTCCCTGCCAAGAGCATCGCGGAAATCAGGCAGCTGGCGAAGGAAGAGTTCGGAAGGGACCCCAACAATATCAAGGTGTTGGCGCTCGTGACGCCTATTTTGGGCAGGACCCAGGAGGAGGCGTTGGAGAAGTATAAGGAGGCGGAGAAGTATGCGTCGGATGAGGGTGCGTTGGCGCTGTTCGCGGGGTGGACGGGCATCGACCTGAATGAGTATGGTGATGACGAGGAGTTGCGAGAGGTGGAAAGCAACGCCGTGAGGTAAGCACTGAGCCGACATGGAAAGACAAAACTAAGTCTCCCGTTAGAATAATGGCTAATTATCTGCTCATACGATAGATCCACCGTCAGAGCCTACGCCCAGTTTTCGCCTCAAGACTCAAAGTGGACGAAACACACCATTGCCAAACATATCCGACTAGGAGGCAATGGACCTATCCTCGTAGGAACCCCCGAAAAGGTCGCCGATGACCTCGAGACCTGGATCAACGTGGCCGATGTTGACGGTTTCAACTTTGTGAGTGCAACTAAACGTAAGAAGGTGAAATTTCGAGGGTATACGCTAACAGTCGAGCAACAACACAGGGATACGTCTTGTTCCCCCAATCCTTCAAGGATATCATCGAGCTGCTGCTTCCAGAACTCCGCAAGCGCGGTCTCTTCTGGGACGATTACGCGGTGCCGCAGGGAACATACCGAGAGAACTTTTACGGCCGGGCGGGCCAGAAATACCCCATTGACGAACACGCGGCGGCCGCATTTCACTGGAAGGCGGGAGTGCCGGCTAGCGAACATGTCATCCCGGAGTAGAGCTAAAAGAGGAACAATAATAGGACAGCATAATAGCGAGGAATGGAGAGACCCCATGGCAGTCGCCAGTTTGTCAATGAGTAGCATACCGGCCCGGAGTGAGAGATTCTGTTTACATTATGTACAATTCGGGCGCTTTATCAACTCGGATAAAAGTAATGGAAATAGAAATCGACTGGGATTTTGGTTTCTGATCTTACTAGTTCGATTGTTAGAGCCTGCTGGGAAGTTTCACGACTCGTAAGCCAAGTCGAGTCGGGGAATGAACATATTCCTGTCCGTTCAACACCGGCACACATTGATGAGACAGACATGGTGCCGTTTGCATTATTCGTAACGCGCTCTGGTCCTCGCCACGCACATTCAGCAAAGAAACGCTTCCCCGAACACCCGGGGACCTCTATGCCAGAAGAGCGCGAATGGTTGAGGCATCAATCAAGCTTACCGACGGTACCTCGCGATAACCGGCTACATCTCTCCGGGTCGTTCGGAGCATTGGTAGCGTGTTGCGCAATCTAGAAAGAACCCGTTCTGAATGTGTACTCCTTCCGCCTTCCCCAAACATCAATTTCTTTTCGTCTGGGCTCACTTAGGGCTGGTTGCCCCTGCCGCAGACATTAGCCCGTCATACCTTCTCATCTAGAACTGAATCATCGCAAAAGGATAAATTAGTGCAAGATTCCTCAAAATAACGATGACAGGAGCGCTCCTTCCATCGGAATGGGAGACTTGGACAGGGTCGCATGTATCATGAATCACGTACCAGGAGGAAGGGACATGGGGTGCCGAACCCCACGCTTTAAGAACCCTCCTGCTCGCGACTAGGTGCTGAACTTCTTTCTTCCCTTTTTCCTATTCTTCCCCATCGCCAGAGCTACTCTCAGTTATTTCGACATTTCCTCGCACCCAGATGGAACATGTTTCTTGCCCTACTCCCCGGAACAATCTGGAGGGCCCGATGCATCGTCCTCGCTAATATCATGCACCGCCTCGGATGCCAGACTGTATCTCGATCTGCCGCCGCGTGCAGAGTCGCGCCCCAGCCAGTACCGATCTAGCCCTGGCGAGATGATGTTCCCTTTCTCGCGCATCGTGCTGAAGCACTTTCCTCCAGGGGGCCAGATGGATATAACGAGGGCCATCTTGACCCAAAACCGAAGCACTGGACGGCGGCAACCCAAAGAGCATTTTATCACGGCTGATGCCCTGGTATTTGTTTCAAGTTAAACTCTCATAATCTCATCAATTCGTGGAATAAATGTCGTCATGGTCATTATCATCGACAAGGGTATCCGCAAGGGTCTTAGTTGTGGTGCGTGCAGTTTCTGCTGGTCGGATAGAATTCGTAGCTGACTTACTCCGTATATGCAACTATTTCCGGCTGGCGTTTTTAATATTGACAATAAATTCTCCACGGCTACCAATAACAAAACAATCGACCGAGAAAATCCAGCTACTGGTGATTTCCTGGGAAAGAGTTTTCGCTCCCCAAATCGTGGATGCGAACCGGGCAGTATCCTCTTCAGAGGCGGCTTTCAAGTCCACATGGCCTATTATTGTGCTCGAGAAACGTATAGGCCTAGTGAACAAGCTAGCAGACCTTACCGAACGCGATGTCAGGCTAAGGAGTTGGCCTCACTTGCGGCAGTTGATGCAGAAGGATGTTATATCAGGGATTGTTGGCTCTTAGTATACCACAGGCCGTTGAGGCACGCCGTCATTACGCCAGATGGGCTGACAAACTCGACGGAAAATTGATGAAGATTGCACAGCGTATAGTATATACGAAGCAAGAGCCCATCGACATGTATGCCGCCACGGTGCCATGTAACGCCCCTCACTGAGGTAAGCTCGTTATCGGGTGCCTCCCCCAGAAAAGAATCATTCCGCCGACTATTGTGCTGTCGATCGCAACCTAATTTCCCTCGGTAAGTATACCCTGAGTTAATGAAACCTCGAATATCATTCAAACCAGGTAGAAGAGATCCAAAGTCGTTCTAGTCTGAGCCATTTGGAAGGGTGCTCTCTTTAGCAGCCCTGCCTTAACAGTTTCAATATAGGCTCTCCTTGAGTCCCGGCTTAACATCTTCTCGCAGACGTCAAGTCGCGATCTCAAGGCAATATTACAGCGTACACATGTCCCCAATCTAGCCATGAAGAATTTCCCCACTTTAGGGTGGATCCGATAAAACAAGCTCAGTGTTTCGCGTGAGACGGTACGGATTCAAAGGCATCTTTAACTTAAGGTTGGTAATCCCTATTCAGTACCATAGGAAAAGTAAAATACTGGCCCGAGTCCCCGATATGCTCTCGTCGTCCAAGGCGAAACCCCCAAAATACACACACACGCACACCTCTCTCTCTCCGCCGCATCACACTCCAATTCAGCATCAAGGCAGAGCGAAGATGCCTGCCACTACTCAGGGGCCTGTAACTCCCATGGCGTAGTGCGTTTTCTGATTCTCAAACCTGTGCCAACCCCCCCACCTCTTGCCGTCCACATTGCATTTTATGTTTTCTGACATTCTATCCTTGCATGTTTGTAGAGTTATGAAATGATAGAGATCCTTGTCGTTGACGAAGTCGAGCCAAATCTTGACAGAAAAGTACTGGTTGTGGTTATACCAGTAGGCCCTGGACTGGGTATAATGACCCCCAAGTGGTTGGTGAACCGCTGCAAGATCGGCACAAAATTTGTCCCGAGCGTCGTTCATCATGGCCTCAGTCGCCCACCAGAAGTCACTAGGGTAGCACTCCCATCTGTCAGGATCCGCTCGTGCCGACAATCCGGAGCTGGTTTCGTTGACTGGCGCTGCGGTAGCCCCGGAGTGTAGCTGCGCTACAGCAGTGACCACCAAAATAGAGATCTTGGAGAATGAAACCATCATCTGGTAAGCCGGGATTAGAGCATGTCCCAATTTGCGGAAAATGATACTTACTGATACTGGAAAGCAATGGAGCAGAGACAGTGGGACTATGCGTTATCCTGCGGATGGAAACGTAGTCCGACTCGGGAGATAAACTTGTTTATATACTTCGAAGTTCGAATACTGTTTGTAAAATGGAGTATTAAGCAAAGTGAGATCTCTTGTTAAGTATTTGACTCGTGCGCGAGTCTCAAAGACTCTTGGGAAATATTTCCTCTTTGGGAATTCACAATAAGCTGTCTCCGCGGTTGGTTGTACTACCAAGGATTAGCCAAGCAAATAGGCCCGAAATCTCGGCGGTCCCAGGTCGATATGCGGCTTATATCAATAACTTCGCACTTGGCCAAATCCTAACCGAGTTGAGAAACGTTTGTGCTGCGCATGCCCCCATAACGAGCCTATTATCGGAGGCGGTATGGGAGAAGTGATCTCTCACTGCAGTTCACTGAGAAGAATCTGAGGCCTTGCAAGAATGTTAAAGCAGCTTTCTCCCAGCATCTCAACCAAATACGAGATCCTCTGGGCTCCGCCACTGTCTTCACAATATTCCTGCTCCTCTGGACCTATCATACCCACCATCCCTTGATTGTCCCCCACGCGACTCACAGCTTGTGTGCTAGTCGGGAAGCCAGTGTGCCACATATTACACAGTCTACTCCTGACCTTCGCTTCGGAGCCAACTGGACCGCATGAATTCACCCTAGCCATCCGGGGCGCAGGGAATCTCAAACTGACGGTGTAAGAACACATGCTTGCTCTTCGGCATGACACCCGCTTGGGAGTGATTCGTCCGTATTAATTGGCGCACTCGGATACGTCCGTTGCACATCTCACGTAAGCTGGGGGCCATACCACCTCGAGCCCGAGGCCGGTCACGAATAGATGTTGGCTAACTAAGTCCTCACCGCCCCTGGTACTTCTATTTACCTACATGTTTATGAATTAAACGCAACCCTGGTTGGTTCTGCTGACAACGTTGTATTCCAGCGAATATGAATGGGCTGATGATGTGCATGGGAAAAGCCCGAAAAGGTATTCATGCCATATCTGGTATAGTATTATGTCCCGAAAGGCAGGGCTTACTGCGATACGCGAGTAAGCGTTTCCCAGATCCACTTTCAGCATCAGAAACCGCCACACAGCCAGCTGGTTGAATTACCTCCCACCCGGAGGCTCCTATGTTACCGTATCTCACATGGCTTCATCTCAGGCAACTGTTCACGCACCCCGCACTCGGGAACTTGGCTTCCCTGTCTGATCCGACGTGTGGGCGAGGACCCCTACTACACGTGCTATATCAGGACGAGGGCGGGCAGTATCATTACGGAGCGGCTAATGCATTCAGACCTTTAACTAGCAAGCTCAAACCCTTTTCCAATCAGCTGTGAGAATACGCCTTGTTTGGTAGCTTTGCGAACCTGCCCACGCGATATGACGCGAGGGAATTGGCATCGTTTTGATCCTAAAGCTCATCGCCACTTCCATGCTTCCGAGTCCGCCCCCTGGACGCCGGCGAGTGCATCATTCATATTTTGGTCGATCCAACTCCTCGGTGTTTGCCGCCCGGCCTATGGCACCCCTATTTCCTACCCATCCTCTGTCGGGGAACCTCTGCCCGGCCGGTGCCATCCGTCGTGCTCACCGAATCCCACGTTGCAAAGTGATCAATGTATGTTCTGTACGGAAGTAATGATATTGGCGAATTGGACTGAGTTGGAAATCTGAATCCACGATGCCCCGCTTCCCAAGCCAATGCCGAGGTCGCTGGTTCGGTCGCGTCGGCGATTGACCGACTAAGACATTTAAGCGCCCACCCGCCCGGGAAACAGTCCCACGATCTGCCAGCTTTGTTTCCGTAGAATATGTTTCTTCTATTAGCCCGTCCGCTGGAGAGCACTGCCTTAGCATTGTACCTTTAGTGGATTGAGGCCCCGCTAACCTTTGTATTAGAATATCTTAATTAGACCCGTCCGTCCGAACTTTGCCAATATGTGGAAGGCGCCCGCGTCCAGGATGCCCCATATTCCCGGAACTTGGCCAATGAAAGTCCATCATCGGACAGGAGAGTCGCTGAGACTATTTTAGTATATATGTAGCTAATAATATATATTTCTCTTGGGTAGCACCCTGAACCCAACGAACGGAGTGAGAAAGTCGAGCCCTGTTCCGGTAGTTTTGACGTTGGGAGATGGTGCAGCTGATGACATGCAGGAATCTGCACCTGATGTGGGATATATATCACATGCAGCCGCAGTTCCCATTATCCGCCAATCGGTCGTCTCGGGATACCTGGACCTCCGGTCATCTCTTCACTAATCTGGAAACTTTTCCTGTTCGGACGTAGCTACGAAGGCTGGCTGCAAGAACAACGATTTGGATGGCAAATTACCATGGCGCCTGGGTGGGGCGAGCCGATTGCTCCAGTTCCTTCCGGTCCCAAGAGTACACCTGTAACCTGTTCGCTGGGCTAGAACGGTTTGCGCTAAGCTGAATCTTTGTCTATCCTGTCGTCGTTTTGTCGAGGTGAATGAGCCAGCTAGTTGAACGGGCACACTGTAGGACCCAAGACAGTGTTAGTAGCCACTGTTCAACATAACAATTTCCTCACTGATAATTAGCCATATATGCTCGCAGTATCTCAACTGCATAAAGGCATCACCTCTAGTAGACCTAGTATTAGCTGTACACTTAATATTAGTGCTAGTTCAGGAACCCCTGCCCGTTAGCAGAGCCGAAACACCAAGTCTCTTTCTGCTTGAGTAGACGAATGTACGCGCCCCCTTCGCATTTCGACACGACCCGCAGTCGTCGCCGCCGTTTCGTAGGCTCAGACTGGAGGCAATCATTGACCAGGTAAAATAATGCCTCGAAGGACGTGGCGTAGGAGGTCACGATACATCAACTAGGAGTAACTTTTGGCCTTCGTCTCTACGGTGGATGTGCGTTACGGCGTCATATGCCATGAATAGGGTCATCCGATAGGGCGACCCGGCCGCAGTATCTTACGATGGCGCTCTGAAGGAGGCCGAAGAGGTTCGGAATATACAAAGGGAGGTAAATTTGACTAAAGACGTGCTCTCTCCTAGTTAAATTGCTCTGAAAACCGTTCCGAGTAGCCGTCTGTTTTGCGTGGTGATCAGACTTCTTAGACGCAGTTTCCGATAACCCAACCCACGCAAACCTGGCAGCCAATAGAGTCGCAAAAATCCCCCGTTAGACAAAGTACATCCCAACAGCCCCTCTGTCTTGCTTGCAGCGTGTTCACGTTTGGCGATTCCAGCTGCGCGGAGGTCTTCTGGACCATCTCCGCTGCTTCGGCGACGATCCTGTCCGACGGCTGTCTCAGCGTCGACTCGGGAGCGTTGCGGCCATCCACGCCGGTAAAATCGGGGGTGCCCTCAGTAGCCGGGAGAATCTGGATAAGTTCGGCAATCTGAATCGGATCGAGAGGGGCCATGTCCGAAACTTGGAAGTCAGGCGTAAAGACGCGCAAGACCCCGTCCGACCCGAGATGGATGAAGCTGTCGCCAGGGCTGACCGCTTTGAGATTCGCAATTACTTGACGAACCGGAGAGGCGCCCTGAACATGATAGAGGATGAGTCAATTGGTAAAGCCCGTAAGCCTCAGGCGTTCCTTGAGAAGCGGTAAAAGATTATCTTACATTATATGATAAAGCAGAGACCGCGGTGGCGGCGGCAACAATGGATGCAATCAATGTCGGCATTTTACTGCTGGTTGGTGTCCAAGTCTATCGAAACGCGAAAGCAAGCTTTGTTTTGAGAGAAGAATACACTGAGAAGATGTGCTCTGACTTGGTTGGGATGGATGAAAATGCCAGAACTTCCTCGCTATTTATACCAACTTTCCCACGGCCTTGGACTTCCTCACTATTCACAGGAACATCTCTATTCAAGTTCCCTAAATGGGATTATTTCTCAATTGGGTAATTTAGCACTCAGACAGTTATCTCCACCACAGTTGAGTGAGACGAGGCCACGAGCCTTAGACTTCCTCGTCCCCAGCTGCAGCAATTCCCTTTATTGGAGTACCATTAAAGGTAGTAACGTTTAGACAACGAACCTTGCTGGATTACGGCTTACGTTGGATTTGGTTTTTAACGAAATGCAATAGCTACTTAATATTAGCTCAGCATCCCAGCGTGGAACCGCACAGGCATGCCCGTCTGACTTCAACTGCTTTGCTCCCCCGAGAGCCCATGGTGACCAATTATCCAACCTCTGGACCAGTACACACCTCGTCTCTTCCTCGGCGATTTGCCCTCTTTTGGGTAATATTTCCATTTTAAGCATAGTTGTAACCCGCTTCGGCCTTATTCGTCAAAGATCCCTGGACTATGCCCTGACCAGAGGGGGTAGGAACAGCTTAAAACAGTATTATTCCTGCTTGCGAGTCCTCATCCGTCTTCTGGGCTTGCCCTACAGAACTTGAACCACGCATCGGATTTCGAACCTTTGTGACTTATGTAATACAATCCAGCCACCGCATTCACTGATATGGACCACTTCAGGGCCACCACAGTTCAGAACGGAGCTCTGGTATCGACTCGGCGAGGACTGCAGGTGGCTAAAGTTAAGCATCGAGGAACTCGCTTCGTCAACACTTTCGCCGCGACGACTCCCCAGCCGGAAAATTCCACACAGAGACCGGATGGCTCCACCCCCGTCGACCTTCCCAAGTCCTTAGAGGCAAGGTTCGGGTTCGTGGCGAATTCGAAGCAGGTTAGAAAATCTTCGGGTGCGCGCAAGGGCAAGAATTCCGTACCAGTGCGAAAGAAATTAATGGTGCGACGCAAAGCCACTAATCTCTCGAGCAACGACTTGAGCGACGACCTCGCTCTTGTCCTTGCCAAGGACTCGGCAAGGTTGCCACCCATTAGCAATTGGAGGCCGAAGCCGTGGAAGACACACGCCGGCTACAACCACTTTGGCTTCGAAATTGCCGAAATGAGCGGAGAAATGGTGCACGCCTACTTTTCCCTCGTTCCTCCCAAAATGTACCCTCTCGGGGAAATACTCCTCTTCAACCCCATTCGGACACCGTCTTTCTTCGAGAGAGCACATAGCAACCTCGTTACTATGCATTGCGTCGCCATGGCTGGTTCCCTGTTGGAGTCGGTTGTGAGGGGCAGGAGGAGCTCAACAGAAATGGCGTTCTACATCGGCAAGGTGTGTAACATGGTGAACGAAAAGCTGCAAGACAGGTTCTATCGGATCGAGCCTACTGTATTAGAGTGTGTTGTAGCTATGGCTACCCTGGCTGTAGGTAGGCCCCCAGGCAATGTATTGGCAGGTACACATTGCTGACTGTCAAGTCTATTATCGGGAAACATGACCATTGGCATATTCATATGAAGGGTTTGCGGCGGATGATCGAGTTATGCAACGGCCTTCAGAAAAGCTTTGGTTACTGCCTCAACAAGGTCCGCAGGTTAGTGGTTGGAACCGAAATCTTCCTGATGACGTGGCTGAAGTCGCACTTTAGGGGGGACATTAAAGGGGCGGCCATTATCGGCGCCCTCCCGTACCTCGACTATCCCCGCTTCTACGATCTCATCTCCAATAAACTCGCTCCTGAAGTCCGCGCCGACATTGTCGACAAAGCCACTTCCGTCCTCAACCCTTGCGCTCTCAATCCCGTCATAACCGACGCTATAATCTCCCTAGCAAAGTTTGCAAACATCGTAACAATAGCGCGGGACGACCCAACCCATTCTATGAAGTTCGATCCGGATGCGTTTATCGAAGAGTGGTTCTGGGTCGAGTACAAGATTATCAAGTACCCTGGACCATTGCGCGACGATACCACCTCGACGATCGGCATCCCCCCGGTCGCCGTCGACAAGCCGGCACGCCTGCAAACTTACAACGCCGGAGTGCCAAGGGTCCCGAGCATCAAGTATTCGCCGACACCGGACCTCCGTCCAACACCGTCCAAGAACCTTCTCGAGCCCGCCGTGCGGCTCGCCGCCACGCTTTACATCGAGGAGCTCATACCGGACGACCCTCGCTCGCTGAATGCTTATGCCATCCTCCTCAGCTTGCTGCGGTACCAGGTCGACACCATTCTTAAGCAACTGCAGTCACGTATCATCTTTGGAATGCTTCTTGACAACAACAATCAGAAAGACGGCCTCCCCTCTTTCTCCGCCTTGAAACCCGTCATTATTTGGGTCTGCATTGTAGGGTATATCACGTCGCTGATAGCTGACAAGTACGAGAGCTCCCAGAACTCCGACCGGCACGACCGTACTGTGTTCAGAGAGTGCCTCTCTCTGATCGTTGGGCCCACCCCAGAGTGTGTGGATAAAATGACCGAAAGCGACTTCGCCATGTGCCGGGTGCTGGAGCTGGGTTGGCTCAAGATGAACGACTGGGGAGACCGCAAGATTCTAAAGTTGATTATCAAGGAGCGTATTATAGGAGAGCTTCAGGTTCGTCCGTTGCTGATGAAGTTTTTATATCCTCGGTACTGAGAAATATTATAAATTACGATGTATGTCTTTTCCAGAACTACGACTATTACTAATGCTCAAAGGACTGTGGGAAAGTATTAATGTAGACTTTATTATTAAATTTTTTTATAATTATAACAGGCTACGCCACGGCGAAGGACCGGGCGGCCTGCCCTTAGTTTTGAAATTATATACCGGGGCTTGACGAAGCCATTTCGCCTAGGTCAAGAACCAAATGACGCAGAAACACCTGCGCCTAGATTTCCACGACTGAACCAGTCGCACTAAATAGTAGTGAAAGTGAGGAACATTTTTAAATCAACCTCGACAGGAGAATCAATTCCATCGGCGTGTTGTATGCCAAGAGGCTCTTTACCCCGCGAAAGTAGAGCCCTCTTGAATGACTGCGCGTCGCCGCCCTTGCGCATATCCGTCAATGTCGCATATCAATTCACGGCGTCCAGCTCGCAGAAGATATGGAGGCTTGGACCCCTAGAGGACACACGGGATGGAGGGTAACATCGTACGAAGTATTAGTCGTCATTTCCAACCGAGGCTAATTCGAGCCTCGGTGAGCTTAATAGATTCCCCGGGGGCATAAGAGGAGAACGAGTTAATACAAAATTTACGTATCCGTCCTCTCGAAGAGGATGGTGATTTGCCTGTTTACCGCTGCATCTGGTTCTTGCACTGCTCGTGGCTGCATTGTTGCTCTGGTGATACATCATCAGTGGTGGATCTGAAACGAAATTGGCTGGCTCTTGTGTGACATGAAATCATGCTAAATGGACCAATTTTCTCTCCAAGAAACCAGGACTTGACCACAAACATTCCCAGTTCCATCTTCTTGCCCGTCAATTCCCGCCTCCGTAAAAAAAATATCTCCAATATAATAGGCTCCACAAATATGGCAGACCTTACTCCCATCGAAAAGTCCCAATTGCAAGAGGTCGCTGATCTCATGTTGGAGATTTATCGTACCCTCGTTCGTATGCGCTACCTTGAAGCGGAATGGATCCAGGAGGGTCCACACGACATCTCTCACCTCATGCCCCTTTACAAATCCCAGTCTTTGGATCCTGCCATCATCTACCTCTACAGCATCCTCCCCTACGTCGACAATGCGGGCGTCGAGCCGGTGGACTTTTTCCAAGGCAGCTACTTTGGGGATTTCCGCAAGGAAGATGACGTGGTTCAGGGCCGCAATCCCTTTGACAGCGAGGAAGACGAGGGGCTGGAGCTGATGAAACCGTGGATGACCCCCCTTTCGCTGTTGGGTAGTCATCGGAGCGTCATTATTTACAGCGCGAGGAAACATCGTGTCTGGATTATCGACCAAGAGAGTTGGTCGAGCTTCGATCACGCGTTCTCGAGTGAGGCAATTTACGAGGCGGCGGAGGACCTGGGTGATGATGGAGAAGGTATTGGTGGAGACAAGGGTGATGATGACGAAGAAGTTGACGAGGCCAACAGGGAAGGGGTGTACGATGAGACCGACAGTCGACCCGCCGGCGAGGTCCTGCGCGACATCGTCCGTTGGTACAAAACTTTAAAGGAGACGCCAGGAGGTGGCGACAACTCATTATCGGAATGGTCAGAAGACGTCGTCAGACCTCTTTACATCGAGCACGGCTGGCCCTCGGACAATTTTGACGGCGATGCCTTCGAGGCCGATCACGCTCGCGCCGAGGCTGTTCGCGAATTAAAGTGGCGCGCCGAGGAGCCTTTGCGTAAGGTGCTCCAGGCCCAAAGTTCGGGGGACGAGAACCAGGTCGTCCGCATGCGGGAGCAGGTGGCCTCTGCAAAAACAGTCGACGAGGAGTGGCTGGCGCGCTGGACACTGTGGCACGCTGAAAAAGCCGCAGCCTACAAAAAGGACAGCGTCCGTAGGGCAGAGAAAGAAGCAGAGAGACTATGTCCCGGGGGAAGATTTTTGATCCCCGAGGAATTGCCGCTTTGGGAGGAAAAGCGTCTGCGGATCCAGGTAGATCAGAAGAAGGCATACGTAGAGGAGGCTCGGAAAGGCCTCAATGAGGCCCGGCTGAAGCACATACCGGGGAGTACTCCCTTGCGGGAAGCCGAATTAGGCCTCGCGTATGCAGAGAAGCAAGCAGCCGTTTATCAGAGGGCGTACGAAGCGGCGAAGGCTGATGCCGAACGCCTCTGCCCCGGTAAAACTATCATGTCTCCTATTGGACTCGCGCTGTTCGCCCCCATAGACTTCGAGGGGGAAATACGACGAGCGGCCGAAGGCGCAGAGAGATCGCGGCGAGAGCTGGGGGATCTTCGAGAGTGGGCTGCTAATCTGCCTGAAGGCGCTGACAAGGCAAGGGTGGAAGTCGGGCTAGCGATCCAGGTGAGCGAACGGACTATCAAAAGCTTTGAAGAGCGAGAAGCCGCGTGGGTGAAGGCGAGGGACCAGAACTAGGACGGAGCAGACGGTGGTATTGGTTGAGGATCAACGCAACTATGTAGTCAATTTTCTATTAGATTTGATGAATCCGCTTTTCGACATGATTGCCCCGAGTCTTTTCTTTTTATTGTATCCATCCTCTCTTTAGGTCAGATGTTAAGGAATTCTACCTGCACTCTAAATAATAGGTATATTATTGGCTCTCTAGAAATGATAAGAAATGAGGACGGCTATTTGCCAGAACCTTAGGACAGCACCTCACTCTCTTCGGTGTCATGCGCTCCGCGAGAGCAAGCCTTTATATCTCTCCCTTATTCGCCCAAGGAGCACGACCTCGCCGTCATCGACCGGGGGAACGTGAAATTTATCTGGGAACCACAGAAGAAAGATGACCTGGACGATCCACATAGGAATGGTGTCGAAGGCGTACATGGGCCATTCATTCGAGAGCAAGTACCCATCGACGCCCATGATGTACTCGACGACGCGAAAAACAGATCTAAACATGATCAGGGCGCTACAGGCATAGATCATCCTCAAACCCTGCCTCCACGGGACGTCCAGGCTCGGCTCGGATGTCTTGGACAGGTGTCTCCGGTATCGCCTGTGGAATACCGCAGCAGCGATTATGAAGAATCCAAACAAGAATATCTGTATGAATAGCCCCGCGATGACAATGCCTTCGCCAATCTTTCGCAGGTTGTCCTTGGCGGTCAAGCCAGCAGCGTTCCCCTGGACGTTGAGGGCCACGAAGTCGCCCAAGACGAATATCTTGGTCATTCTTGTCGGCCGGACGATCGAAAACCGGTCGCCGTGGATGCTCCGGATGAGGCGTCCAAGAACTGTGTAGATTGAGGCAGCGTAGAAAACGGGCGCAAGGAGGATGAAGATGCTTTGAATGACGTTGGGTGCGATTTCGTTTGTGTAGAAGTAGGAGATTATCCGGGTGCCGAATCCAATCACCTGGACTGAAACAAAGGAAGTATGTTAGCGTGGACTTGTCGAAGTATTATTTGGTCCTATCAAGGAGGGCACGTACAGGCTCCCCCAATGGCGAAAGGTATGCAGAAGAAGAGAGAGCGGCCATGTCCCTTCTTTATGCGCCAGCAAAGTGGGACGGTAACGAATGTAAACAACAAAGCCGATGCTATTGCTGCTGGTAACGAAGGAAGGTATTTCCAGAGATAGAAATCTGTTCCGTTGATAGGCTTAAGCTCGACGGTCATGGCAACGATTGGAAGTAGGAGTGCTGAATGAGGGTCGGGTCAGCCTCCACAGAAAGAGCCGGGAGCCCTGGCGTAGAACAAAAAGGAAAGAAAGTACGAGAGGAAGAAAGGACTTTTAGAACAAGTAATTTAGAAGTTGGAAATGTCTTTTTGCTTGGTCGTATGCGTTCTCATTCTCGACCCAGAGAAGATCACGACTATATACTACATCGACGTCCTGCGTGCCTGTGTGCGTACGCGGCTTTCGCGTATATCGCATTTGCCCTAAGGACAGTGACAAGGAAATCCCAACAATAGCAGTCGATTTATCGCGGATAAGGGCCAAATTCCTCCTTTCCTCCCCATAATTTCCGAAATCCAAGGCCCAGAGTACACGTATTTGGGCGGTTTTGGGCGAAGCACACTCCTTGACAATTCTCGCCTCACGACGATCCACATCCCGAGACCGATCTAACGTGGATTTCCGTATTGGGTTTAGCGTACGCGTATAAGCCATTTTGGGGTTAGTGCCAATTGTAGATGGTTTTCGTCTCACCCAGGCACCTGGCGGGTCCCAGAGTGGCTCGATGGCACTCTCCGCTGAAGGAATATCCATCCGCCAAATGGTCATTTCTTCGGCGGACCAAAGATATGAATTTCTGATGGCTTTAAGAATTTTGGCGTTAGCGGACCACGTTGACTGGTATGGCCCTGCCCTGCCACCACGACTGCTCCCCCCCTTTCACGATCCTTCGGGAGGGCCAAGACACGTTCCGAATTCAAGCAGCCCTCACCATTCCTTCCAGGGGTTGCGACCTAGGAAGAAGTGTAAAGGGGGGTGGTCTCCCGACGACGGACCGACTTCTACTAGTGGGCCCTCAATCACCTCAATGCCCGGGGCGCCGAGGTGATAAAGATTCGTGTAGCCAAAGACGTACACGTCATAAGCCACTGAGGCAAACAACAGCCACAAAGAAAACAGCATCCCATGAGCGGCGGTAGAGACTTGATTTATGAAGTTTGAGGGCACAGGAAGCGTGTGATGTCCCGTGGTGGAGACCCAAACTTTTCGCACAAGATGGAACAGGAAACGAAGCGAGGGAGGCAAGTAATAATTTAAACCCATCCCTGGAATCCGCAAAAACCGACAATTTATCAATTTTTTGTCATCCTTGACATTTATTTCACGTTAATTTTCATTGAAGAATTTAGTTACCAAGACACAGTATTATTTTCAGAGTTGAGAGAATTTGTTGATAATTGTTGATAATTTCCTTTGATGTATGTAAATAATTGTCGTTATATTTAATACGTAGTAGGTTCATTTAGATAAAAACTCAAGTCTGTTCAGCTGTTCCTGCTTCCTCGGGAGGAGCGTCAGGATCGTCGGGCTGAGTGGTTCCTCTTCCCCTCATCTTTGATGCTGCATAGCACAATATCCCCCGTCATGCACCTTAAGATCGGTTGGCACTAGTGTCTCCTCCCCCCTAAAGACAAGAATTCGTGCCCCCCATCGTCTAAAAAAAAATGGCACTCACTGACTACTCGTATGCGAGCCTCCCTCGAGGCCGATGGTTTCGCCTCTTGAAACTGCACCCGAGCTCGTGCGGGGATGCAATCTCATGCGATCTTTTCACAGCTGAGCTCGGGGCAACGACCATGCCTCCGTTCAAAGCTCTATCCTACGTATGGGGCGATCCTTCTGGTCCAATTCCCATCTCGTGCTCCGGCTCTAGCCTAAAAATCACTCGGAGCCTCTTCGGCGCCCTCCGTCGAATCAGGCACCCTGACGACGCCATCATTATCTGGGCTGATGCCATTTGCATCAACCAGCAGGACGTGGTTGAAAAGGGATACCAGGTCGACATGATGGGGGACATCTATGATACCGCAGATGAGGTCATAGTATGGCTCGGCGATGAGCATGCTGACAAGTCCAACAAGGCCTTCACCACCATCGAAGGAGTTCTCCAAATGATCGGCACGGGGACCGACCGGGAGAGCTTTCAGGCCCCCGGATGGCAAACTGCTACGAGATCGGTCCTGCCTTCAGTACTCACCGACCAAAGCAAGCAGTGTATCCAAACGCTCTTTCAACTACCGTGGTTCAGTCGTGTGTGGGTTCTGCAAGAGGTTGGCTTGGCAACCCGTGCAACGGCGCTCTGGGGCTCCGCGTCCATCGAGTTCAAGTACATCGCCGAGTTTACTCGTGTAGGGATACAACATAAGGATCTAAAATACTTTTTGGGTCACGACATGGGGCTCTTGCTCTCAGGTCGCCCGGATCACGCCCTGTGGAACATCTGGTGCACGTACGACAAGACCAACTCGTGGTTGCTCCGCAGCTCATTCCTCAAGCCGTTTGCCGAAGCAATCGCTACTGAAGGCCGCCCCGATTTCGTGCTTGTCCTCGAGGCGTCTAGATTGTTTGATGCGACAAACCCTCTCGATCACATCTATGCATTCCTCGGACATCCAAAGGCCAAGGTTCCGGGCACCTCTGAGCCCCTGGTCCAAGCAGACTACACTGTCGATATCGACCGGCTGAACGAGAAAATTGCTACGCGTTTAGCGCTTACACAGTCACTAAACTTTCTTGTTCAAGTCCAGGCAACCGTTGAGACGCTGAGTCCCGGCTCCGGCATTCCTAGCTGGATACCAAGGTGGCACATCAATGCCCCCGATGGACCCCATGCATTCTGGGAAGCGTGGGATGCAAGTCTGAGGGTTTCGGAGAGTAAACCGTACAGCGCAACGGTTCAAGACGGCAAACTCGCAGTTGCAGGGATCATAGTGGACTCTGTGGCCGAACAAACTCATGTAATGACGCCGGCTGAGGACAAAAATGGCGAATCCTACTTGGGAAAGCTGATCGAAGGAATTTGGAATTTTGTTACCGCACCAGATCGGCCTAACCGGTACGGAAATGACACAATGATAGCGGTTGCCTCGACACTAGCGTGCACCTACAATTCGCCTTCGCACCCGGAGGCTTATCCTGGGGAAAGCATCCTCAGAGAATTTGGGTGGTTCTGTATGACAGTGACCCCTGACCTTTTCCGCGAGAAACTTCTGAACCATCCCAAGGGTGGGTACTTTAACCACCACTTGAATAATAGCGACTCGGTTGTGTTCGGCGCCAAGATGGAGTATGGTGCGATGCACCGACGTTTCTTCATCACCCGCGGGGGTCTGTTTGGACTGGGGCCTGCCTTAATGAAGGAAGGTGATCTCTGTGTGGTTCTCCTCGGCGCAGATGTGCCATTTGTAATCCGGCCCTCGGAAACCGAGGGACACTATCTATTGATCGGGGAGTGTTACCTGTATGGGATCATGGATGGGGAGGCTGTGAGAGAATGGGAGACCGGGAAATGCTACGAAAAGGAGGAGATTGTGCTTGTGTAAGCTACCTTATTTGCGAAGCTGGAGAGGGCAACTTTATATTTCCCATTCCCCAATCCCTCTTTGCTATCGATGGCTATTTTCAGTCGAGTGCTTTATTCCGTCACTAGGGCGTTTCTTTTGTACATATTGGCTTGTCTGTTCAAGCTTGTGGAGAGTAGAGTGGTCTCTGAATGAAACACGAGCAGGCGGGATGGAATTTGGAACAGTTGTTCGAAAGGAGAGATATAGAGAATAGAAAAGCCTACCAACCATCATCCGGTGCTTCAGTAAACACATCCCGTCCCTGATTTAAGATAGCCCAAGATGTAGTACGCTTGTCGTAGTGGGAAATCAAGGAGGATCATGACTCCCCCGAAACTTCCAAGTAAACACGGCCCAAAATTTATTGTACTATGGACGAGAAGTTTTTGTCCATCTTTTATTGAATAATTGGTACAGCCCCAATTTACACTACCCAGCAGGGGGCCTTTCGGTCGGGGTCGAAGCTGGATGATCAAATGGCCGAATGGCGGTGGCATGGGGGGTGTGTTCGAGGTGGATGGCTCGCCCTAATACCCATCCGATAAACTTTGAAGTTGGTGAGCAGCATTCAAGTCCGGGGTTCTGACCAACTTCCAGAGTAATCGCACGGGTAGCGCGAGAGTTGAATAAGAAGCTAACTCCACGGTTGATTCAGCGATTAGGTATTCGAATTTACCTCAACGTGGGGAACGTTAATGGTAACCATTTCGTCGGGAACATCGGGAACATAACAGAAGGTCATTTGTACCCGCACGATCAAGCACCTGCACGTTTCGCCTCATCTATCGAGGCGTCCTCGAATCTTCGATCTTTTAAACTACGCACGGTCCGGATATGGACGGGTATTTGAGCGAGCCAGCTGGATCGGGACCAGTCTGGACGGCTTGGTATTGACCAGGCTGGGGCTGAAGTGCATGGATGTGACGATGAGTGCATGATTTCAGGGCAAACAAGTGGTCGAACCAACTTGACAGAGCTGCCAAGACAAATAAACATATCAAAGAGATGGCATTATCGATTTGTGGCGCCCCAGCATCTGTCCTAGGAATGCTCTTCAACAATCCTGCCAACGCGGTCACGCGATATAAGGGGGCCGCTCGTCGCCTCTGGAATAAACCCATCGGAGGGCCTGTTTTGCGAGCTTGCTTCACAATCAAGCCCTCGAGTGAAAATGTCTCGGCCGACCACTACGTTTCCAACAGTGACAATCACCATAGATAGCTCGGTCTGGTTCGATCAGGCCAGCTATGGCGTCCACCCGCTGACCACTATCTTTACCGCTCCAGCTGGCTGTTCCTATCCCTTCCCACTTTCGGGGATCAGCTCATCATGCGTGCCGCCCGACTGGAGTCTTGCCGCCGTTGACCCTCTCGGTTACTACTCGCCTGGAATTTGCCCTGCCGGCTACACGATTGGGTGCGATGCTTGGGACAGCGTGAGGATATCGTGGTATGAAATAGCACGCGACACAACCTATCTGCCAGGGGATGGCACGACAGCAAAGCTCTGCGTCCCAAGGTGAGTCCCATTTCCTCAGAAGAGAAAAAGAGAAGAAATAAACTCTTTTTGTCCGCTTTTGTTCTGGCTCGCGCTAGTTTTCACTCGTCTGATAGAAAAGTTGTTCCGCATTCTAGTGGTTTCGAGTGCGCCCCAACCTCCCTTTGGGCTGCATCAGTGACAAGTACATCGACGCGGGAGGTTCGCGCAATTGAAATTCGCTGGGAAGAGAGCGACCTAATTTACCTCGAGACCCATCCTCTCTCCATAACCGTAACATCGGCGAGTTCGCGGGGCGCCACTAGCGAGTCCGGTCTCCCATCAAAACCCGATCCGGACAATGGTCTTTCCAAGGGGGCTGTAGCCGGAGTCACAATCGTCGCACTGGTCGGCGCGATGCTGATTGCGGGAGCGGCATTCCTCTTGTGGCGACGGAGGAAGTATGTTTCGACTGGCGGACCGGAATCAGTAGTGGGACCTGCGATGCAAGGCCCACCGGCCGCCCAAGCTTCCCTAGCGCAAGGTCCTCAGATACTCGGACAAGTCCAGATTCCCCAGAAACCACACAATCCGACATGGGGAGGCGGCCAGCAAATGTATCCGAGCGCTGCGCAGCCTGTATACGGTCCTCATATCAGCACCGGCACAATGTCGACAAGTCAGTTCTCTCAGGGCCAGAAACACGCATCTCAGATCAGCGATCTATCGACCGGCGCCGGTCCCCTGTATTTCCCGCAGCAGATGGTCGTTGCCCCCCAGGACCAGATCTCCGCCCCGCAGAGTAATACCGAGCCGAATATTACTCCGCAGACGGCCAGCTCCCAGATTGCGACGGGGGCTCACGCACTGCCGACTGTGAGCGGTGGCTCGCAATCTCCAAACTCCAGCTCCCCCCAAGATGCCGCAGCTGGGCTGTCTGGACAGAAGAGCGGCGTCTCTCCGATGGAAGTTTCGGGAACGGAGTCGGTTGCAGCGCCAGTCGAGTTGTCTAGCGTACCACATCCAAGAGTTAATCAACACATCCCCGATTACGTTAGCCATGGGTAGAAGTTCTTGGGTACACAGGGCCAGAATATGCGATGCAGGTGAGCCGTGGTGGGTGCGGCACTGTAGAATCGAGATACACAATACGATAGCGGAGTGCGATCCACAGAGTCTATAGGACCGGGAAAGAACTAAAAAGAGCGACGGCATAAAGCTAGGTTGAGGTATATACTATTCATGGGGCGATGAGAGGACGTTTGTGCTGGAACCCGCGAGACTTAACAAATGTTTAATAATAATGAACAAGTTCGATAGAAATCCAAATTCCTTCCTCCTACGTCAGATCTCCCAATCACAGGGAGCTTCCCCCCTGCCGGGGAGCGATGCCGTTGGTTCGTATTCATAATTTATATTAAAGTATTTAATATTAAAAATTTAGATTTTATAATTCCTATCATAAGGTTTCTTAAGGCGTGCGCAGTCCTTGCAGCGAGAAGAACCCGGAGCAAACACGTACACTGTCTTACCCCCTATAGCAGCGCGTGCACGGCATGTCTTTCACCTCCGTGCTCTCAGCAGAAATGTATTGAGCTAAAGCTTCGGCCTCACGAGTTTTTTCGTGCGGAAAAAGGCTTGATGGAACGACGTTTCGAAATACGACCTGTCATGGCGTCGGCCAAGGAAGGAGGGCGTTCATATTCAGGTCTTTAGGGGCAAAGACTAAAAGATGGAAAGTATCGTGTCACGAACGACTAGAAAAGAAGAGGCCTAAAGGCAGTGAAACCCGGTAGAATCAAGGAACGGTCACGGAACCAACCAGCGGAGGACCGAAGAGGAGAGGCATCGGTCCAATAAAGAGCTGGAGAAATGGAATGTCTATATGAGCTATCGAGTTTCCCATGTATCTAGTTTGTTCCTCCAGACTCTTCAGCCGTCAATGAAAGTAACAGCTACGCCCTACACTTGTATACACACTTCTTAATTAATACCGTGGATGCTACTGCTTGACTGCCTCGCTTATCTATTGAACAAGCACCCGCGACCCTAACCTACGAAGCCCTCACGAGATCCCGAGGGTCAGGATCGTACCAACGACTGTATCTGCCTCCTCCATACAAAGTTTCAAATAAATAAATTTAAAAAGAAAATAAATATTAATCGAATAGGCTGTAACTAAACGTTCTAGATCATACAAGCGGAAAAGGCTCGGTTCAGGCAGTAGACATAACGATTTCTTCCATCGGAATTCGACACACCGACGCGGAACGAAACACATGGGCTTCGCCAAAGTTGCTCAAAAGTGAGCTGTCGAAGGTAGGACATCTGGACCCTATTGGTAAACAAAAGTTAGGACAAGTCATTATTTCAACACGGACACGAGTGGTGTGGGCAACGAGGGGACTTCGGTTTCGTCCAGACCAAAGGAAGGAGTGCAAACTTACTGAGGAACATTTCCGTTGGAATAGTCATCAGCGTTCCAGCCAACCTGCACAGCACACGAACCAGACCTCTGGATCTCACACCACCGTCGGCTCCCCTGCTGGAAGCACTGGCCCGAAGACGTGGCGGAAAAGAGCTGCGAGCTAGTGGACATGGATTCCGCCAGTGTTCTGCAACTCGGTGAATATCCCGAACCAGACAGGTGGCACTCGCAGCTTGTGTCGGAATTGCACGGCGGTGGCGGCGGCGGCGGCGGCGGCGGTGGGTTGTTCCCGGGGACACAAGCACATCCCACATGATTCCCGCTTTGACAGAAGCCAATATTTTGACCCGGTTCAGCGCGGCCGTTGCAATCGCCGAAATTACAAGATTGGAGCGTGCCGCAGTCCCTCGGCGTCGACGAGATGGCATTACAAGGACAACCCTGATAGGCGCCTCGACAGGTCGCTTGGCCGGTATTGCCGCTGATGAAACCGTTGCAGCCATTCAGATTACAATTCTGCCGCGCCCCACACGTCCCTGGGAACACGGGCGTGCAAACGCAGCCGTTGAAGTTGCCACGGCACCGCGCTGTGTTGGAGTTAAAGTCGAATGTTCCGGCGCAGCCGTTCAGGTCGCAGTTGCGAGGTGTTCCACAACTACTCTGAGAAGTTGGCGTGCAGACGCAACCTGCGAAGTTTCGTCGACACCGGGCGACGTTGGAATTAGCATCGAAGGTTCCGTCGCAGCCATTCCGGTCACACGATTGGGGCGCGCCACAGCTACTGGGCGTCGGACTACAGACGCAGCCCTCAAAGTTATTCCGGCACCGCGCGACGTTGGAGTTTGCATCGAACGTGCCTGCGCAGCCATTCCGATCGCAAGACTGGGGCTCGCCGCACGTCTCTGTCGTGGGAATGCACTGACAGGGCGCAAAGTTTCCGCGACACCGTGCAATGTTAGAATTGGGGTCGTAGGAGCCATTGCAGCCGTTGCGATTGCAGGGCTGAATCTGACCACAGACACGGGGCGTAGGCTCGCACTCGCAGCCACGGAAGAAGCCCTTACAAGTAGCGCGGCCGTTCGCGTCGAAGGAGCCGTTGCAATTATTTAAGTCGCAGCTCTGCGCGCGGCCGCACGTCGCCGGTGTCTGGTTACAGACACAACCTTGCCACCAGTTCTTGCAGGTCGCGAGACCAGTTGAGAGGTCGAAGCTGCCGACGCAGTTACCGCTGTCGCAGGACTGCGGGGTTCCGCAGTTTCCTGGGGTGGCGTTGCACTCGCACGGGGCGAAGAAGTTCTTGCAGCGGGCTACGCCGTCGGAGTCGAAGGAGCCGTTGCAGTTATTGAGGTCGCATGCTTGTCTAGTACCACAGACTCGGGCTGATGGTTGGCAGCGGCAGCCGGCGAAGAAGTTCGTGCATCGGGCGATCCCTGTGCCGGATTCCCACTCGCCGGCGCAGTTGTTGAGATCGCAGCTGAGGGGGTTGCCACAGGTTTGGTCGGTAGGCGTGCAGCGGCAGCCGGCGAGGTTGTTCCGGCATGTGGCGATGCCGTTGGAGAGGGTGAATTCGCCGGCGCAGTTGTTGGCGCTGCAGCTTTGGGATGGAGGGCACGTGAAACCGGGGGTGTCGCTTGTCGGGGTGCATGCACAACCGCCCAGGGCTGTAGATCGGCATTGAGACTGGCCGTTTACATGGGTTCCTTGGCATTCGGTGGCGGGACAGCGAGGAGGTGCTGATGGACAGTGTATGGGTGAGGTGGAGGACGGGGTGGACGATGAGGAAGACCTAGGAGAAGAGGCTGTCGAAGAGGTCCTCGTTGATGTTATCAGGGTGCTACTTGATGGCAATGTACTTCGTGGGGTCGTGGTCGTGGGGGTACTAGTAACGCCAGACGTAATTGCGGATGACGGTTCAAAGGATGCCGGGGTTGAGGAGGTCGTGGCCGTCGAGATAGAACAAACCGGTTGACCTTCTCCGGGCCTCGCCTGGAACACGGATATGCGCCAACCACCACCGCAGGGGATAGAAGCATCGCCGGCGCAGGGGGTCCCACACTCCGAATCCGGAACCACGGGGCTCGAGATGGAGTCACCACAGAAACACTCGTTTCCGTTCTCGACGCCGAAATACCGGTACCCGCAGCATCGTTTGGAGCAGAGGTCGAGGTCCATGTTAGGGTCGGCGAAAGAATCGCCCGTTAACGCACGCTCGGGGGCGTCGATGTGACAGTTCTTGTATTGCCAGCCTGTGGTGTTTTCTTCTGTCGTGTCCACCCAGTTCTCATCCTCGTAAACGCTAATCTTCCATCCACCGCCGCACTTGACTTGAGAATCACCGCTACAGGCTACGTCGCATTGCTCGACGCGCAGTTTACGATTGCGAGGGAAGGAGTTGCTACAGAAACACTCGTTCCCGTTCTCGGTGCCGAAGTGCCTCCAGCCAGAACACAGCGTCGCGCACTTGTCCGGTGTGAGGTCTTGCTGGTTGTGGAAAGCAGCGCCCTTGAGAGTCCGGTCCTCTGCGTCCGAGAAGCAGCCAGTGAAAGCCCAGCCCGATGGCGGCCGTGGACCTGTGGCGGTTTTCAGATAGATGGTGTATCGGTTTGTGCCGCCACAGAGATATCCGCGGTTCCCCGCGCACTGACTGTTGCACTGCGTGACGGAGAGGTCGTTGTTATCGACGACGGTTTCGGGGCCGCACCAACACTCGTTCCCATTCTTTAGACCGAAGGCTTCGAAGTTGGTGCAATTTGAGGCACAGAGACTTGCTGTCGTGTCCTGCCCCCGGAATGAGAAGGCTGGGAAGAGATTACCTTCTGGCGGGTCTTGTCCACATGTGAAATGGTACCAGCCGGGAACTTCTTCGATAACCGATATATCTTGTCCCGTCACACTCCAGATTGTTATCGACAGGTCGCCACCCTCGTTGTGTGCGAACTGACCGCCACAGACACTCAGTCCATCTCCGCAGACAAGATTGCATCGCTTGATCGGCCGGATGCCGCTTAGGGGCATGTTGTTACCGCAGAAACATTTGCTAAAATAGCGTTAGTTACATGCACACATCACTCGTCTCTCCCAATCTACTTGTCTCGATGGGACGGGTAGATGTCATACGTTCCGCGCATTCCGACAAGGGGATAATCGTAGTCGGTATCACAGTAGTGGGCACATTCGGCGGGACTGTTAAAATCACCGGCCTTCTTTCCGATGATACTCGTGCCCCACCCCTTTGGGAGGTCTGCCACGCAGCCAACCAGGTCGTAGCCGCTATTTCGGAGGAGTTGTTCGCGACCGTGGCAGTATGCGCCCTGTTAGTTGGGAAATGTCAGCGCCGCCATGCGGATACGTTGGCTTTTTTTTTTCTTTCTTTTTGCAATCATTAGTTGGGACGTACATTGATATTAAGAGCGACGCCTCCCGCGCGAACGCCGTGGCGAGGTTGATCGGGCACTGGAGGAATTTCGTCTGGTACCATTGGGACGCTAGGCCTCTCCTGACACCTGACGTAGTCGTATGTTCCGACCCGTGGCTCCGGTACGCCTTCTCCATACGCAGTTGCGAACGTCCAGTATCGTTTTAGTTCTTCCTTGAGGTTTCGCGCGAACGGACGCGCCGTTCCGTCCCCTTTTCTCAAAATCTCGCTGTGAATCTCCGGTCTGCCGATAAGCATAGCGACAAGCCCGGCCGTGAGCGCAGTAGACAGCGACGTCCCCGCAATGCCCGGCCTAATATCGCTCGGGCTCGTCATGTTTGCGCAGCGGATCCCCTCGCCGGGAGCGTATGCAAAGACAGTGTCGAACTTGTTGCTGAAGTCCGGTACTTGGCCGGCCTGGTTGAGCGCACCAACGACGACCAAGTTATGTTCGCCGGCTTGTCCGGGTCTGGCGTACTTTTGGGGGCAGCTCGATTTTGACTCTGGGTCATCGTTGTTCTTACCGTCATTGCCGGCTCCAGTGACTACCAAGACGCCAATTTTGTCAAGCTCGGTGAGGAACGGGACGAGGGGGTCGGCGGTTTCAGGGGGTGTGTTGTAGATGGGATTGACCCAGTTTCCACATCCAGTGACTACATGTAGCAACGAAAAGTCAGTTTGGGGTGCAATCGACCGGGGGTCTTTCCGTCTTCGCCTCTCGGGAGTTCGACTGTAAAATGTTCAAGCCATGCTCGAGCGTATATACACGGATACGCAGTGGTGGGAGCGGAGTAACCTACTCAGGGACATGCTAACGACCGATAGCGTCACCTTGTTCTTGGTGACGACATCAGTGTAGATGAACTGGAGGGATTGGAAGAGCGCATGGGCGAGATCGTCGACCATCGTATATTGATGAGTGAGTTTGACTGGAACGACCTTTGTCCTCTTGGCTACGCCGAGGCGGTGTCCTCCTACAAGACTAGCCATGCATGTCCCATGGCCTGTGTTGCGCCCACCTCGTTAGCAGGTTTCTCACATAACAACCAAGCATGCTCTCCTTCGAAGTCATGCCGGGTGCAGCGCCTAGTAGCATACACAAGCTCACCATGGTTATCAGTATCATCAATCGGAGTCGGGCCTTCTTCGTCGTCCGGCAACGACGTACCGGATAAACCGGTGGCAGTGAACCAATGGTCAATCAGAGGTTCTGTCCCATCGTTAAATTCCTATTCCGTTTTTCACATTTGCTTATTAGCGAGACGGAGAAGAGAGTGTAAGAAGAGACGAGCCGGGGACGGAGATGCTTACTTCATGATCCCTCCGTACACCGGAGTCGACGACATAGACATGCGTGTCGTAGCCGGCCGTCGGTCGATGTACGTAACCGGGGTAGAAAATGTACGCATCTCCCACAAATTGCGGAGGTTCAGAGATGAAAGGAAGGTGCCAGTCCTCCACACCACCCTCGACTTTGTGCTGAATGACGAGGTCCGCTTGGGTGTAAACCTGCCTTCGGAATAGACCTCCCGGAAGATGGCCTTCCTCTCCGAGAGTTTCGTTGACGTGTTCAAACTCTTCTTGGGAAGAGCGTCGAGGCAGTGAGGGGATTTCGACGGGAGCCTGTGGATCGCCTTCGCCACCGGGAATGGGGTCCGTAGGAAGCAGCGAATCCGGTGGGAGATTCGCCCTTAGAAGCCTGGGTTCGAAGCTAACGCTCATGATTCGGTCGGGGAAATTATCAAGGAGGCGATCCGCCGTGCGGGCAGATACCCACGTGGAGTATCCCTGGAGGGGAGATTCCGTATTCTCCCAGCGTTTGGTTACGCGATCATGAGGAGGGATGGCAGACCCGGCGATGAAGTTGCGGAATGAGTTCACGCTACCCTTCCAGACGATAAGAACGGGGTACAATCTCTGTCTCGAAAGCTTCTTCGACTCCTCCTCGATGGCTTTCTTGATACCATCGTGCCCGATTGATTTCGGGTGGAAGGTGTGACCAAATACCGAGGAAAAGTCATCGCCGGGGTTGATACCAGCCATTGGCATCTGATATTCTTGGACAGCGCACCAGATGGCCTTTCCAAGCTCCTCCGACATGTCCAGACCGAACTTGGTCAATAGGTCGTTGCATTCCTCGGGGGGCACGATACTGACAGGGGGGTTACCGCCTTCTTCCGGCGGCGTGTCGGTGTCGAATATGACGAAGAACCAAGTATCGGCCGTCTCGATGGCGGTGCTGCCAGGCTCACAGAAGCGGTGCTCGTCGAAGGTGGGATTAGTGTCGACGTGGCGGACTGCTTCGAGGCCGACGCGTTCGTTGGTGATGCTGATGGCTTCTATGATCTTGGCGTCTACGGCATCCACGAGATCGTTGATTTCTTTTCGGAATGCTTGGGTCAGAGCTCTGCCGGCTCCGAAGGTGCGTCCGTCACATTCGTTAGTTTCAATGCTGAAGAATCGAGGGTAGACTTCGCATCCGGGGTTAGTATATTTATGACAACAGAAGGGATGAAGAGAAGAAACAAAAAAGGGAGATAGAAGGGATTGATTTGTTGACTTACGGGGCACCAGAAGCAAAAAACCAGTTGTCCAACCTGCATCTAGTCTCTGTCTCACAATCTTAGTATACACGTCGGCGAGGCCCACGTGAAGGGTTTCAATGGCAGCCCGAGCCTTAGCTAGACGATCGTCGCAGAGAAGCGGCACGTTATAGAAGCAATGCAGGACGACATCACCAAAATGGGCGTCGTTACCGCCAATGGTGATGGTAGCCAGGTCAGTGGTTCCCACCCGGCCCGTGCCGACCCAGTCGGGGATCTGCGTGTCAAGGACATCTCGTATCTCATTGGCGCTGCAGGCTAGGAAGGTAAAGTGGTGGTCGACAACGTCCTGCATGACTACGGGCGACGAGTTGAGCAGGACGGGGTAAGAGCCGCGGGTGCGGCGGCAGCTGCTGCCGGACCCTACGTCTCCGGGAACGTTGCTCCCGCTTCCGGCACCAATTCCGGCGGAGAAGGAGTCGCCGAAGGCTACCCATCCTTCGTGAACGGGAGGGTGGTCGGCGAAGTCATCCTCCTGTCCGGCAATGGTTGTGGCCAGGACGAGAACGACAGCCGCGATGATGGCTAGGAGTTTGGTTGCACCCGGAGCCATGGTTGATTCGCCGAAACAACGACTCCCGGGCCAGAATTATTGAAGCGGAGAACGGGGATAGGGAATTCTCTGACGAGTGAAATTGTCAATTTCCCACTCAGGGATAGTGATTTATAAAAAAGAGTGACGATTGCTCGCCTCAATAATTCTCCCTGATCGGGAGACCTGGGCTAGCTATGGAAAGAGTGATCGTGAGACTCTTTAGAATCAAAACATGTCATGGTCAGGGCTCGGATTTCTTGGTTCTATTATATATCCCATCGAAAAAAAAAAAAAAAAAAAAAAAAAAAAAAAAAGAAAGAAAAAAAAACCCTCTCCATCCGTAGTCTCATTGAACCCAAACGAGAACCTCACGACACACGCCCGCTCAAAAAAAGAAAAATATGGCTCTGACGCGATATTACTGGGTTACGAACGGAGTAGGCGATAGACCCCTTCACGATATTTGGGGGTCGTAATCTGACAAAACATTCATCTCACCCCTCCACTCTCAGCACAGACCCAATCTCCCCAAGGACACCAACCCAAGTCTAGACTAATAGCCGTTCCGCTTTCCAGCCCTCAGCTCAATGGTACCTGGACAAGCCCTGACCTTCTTCCATGCAGCGTCGCACTTAACGGTTCAGAAATATGCAGTACTACTTCGTAAGTAATGTCAGCAGAACAATTGCTGACATCGGCCCCCCGTAAGAGGTGTCCTCGTGAGAAGCTAGGTCGTATCCGCCCTCCGCGTTTTTGCGGACGAAGGTGGTTATTGCGGCGCGGACGAAGGTTGTCCGGGCGGACGAAGGTTGGCGGACGAAGGTTGTAGTTACAAGGCGCCCCCCCTGGCTGTCATGAGTCAATATATTGATTGTGACACTCACCATCCTAGCGCATCTGCGGTCTCGGCCACGGGAAAACAAGGAGTGTAGGACTAGGTTAGCTTAGATCACATCCATCCATTATGCACACCACCCCCACCATGAAGAATTTCACCGACGACTTGACCGCAAGGGTAATATACTTAGCACCCACGCTGGTGAGGGATATCTTTTTCTTAGTACTGATCGTTATTATCTATGAATTTGACGCGCCTAAAAAAAAGAAAGGATCGACCGCGGGGATCGACTCTCCAGGTTCATTGGAAAAAAAAAAAAAAAAAAAAAAAAAAAAAAAAACATCGATATGAATATGTCTCGGGCAGAGAATAGACCCACCGAAACTTGGGGTACCACTCCACGAGGACTTCGATTCTTATCCTGTTACTATTCAACTTCACGGCAATGAAGATTGCGCTCGTTGTACAAAGTGCGAGTGCGGTACGAAAGATTTAATCATCCTGCGCCATGGCCCAGCCAAAAGACCAAGACTGTGTGGCACAATGGACATCGCAAAGTGGAGTGCCTTGCCTGCTGCCCTTCACATAAAGCAGAAAAGTTGGGGCAGGTTAATAAATTATGTATACACTGATCAGGTGAGTAAGATAACGTGGATAAGGACTTCGTACTTGAACGAGGGCAACGAAGAAAAGGTTGAATTCATAAGTTCATATCGAACTACTTGCGCCGAGCGGCCTCTGCCCTTGTTAAAACATCCTTTAAATATAACCGACTGTGGCGAGATGAGCTGCTTCTCCGGCCTCACCAAGCTCGATATCTATAATGCCTGTACGTTCTGCCCAGTTTGACTGCGACAGTACACTACTACTATTACTCATAACAATCCATCACTGCAGTTCTTTACTTAGAAGAGCTTACCATAATTGTTTCTTGTTGCGTGGCTCCGGTCGATAGGCCAAGCCATTTTGCCATTTAATAGACATATCTCTGCATATTCATGCCATCTCTTGGCCAACGGCTTTTGAGTCAGCTACTCCGAGTCCCCACTAAACAGCAGCGCACCTGCCAGCTAAGCATCGCTCCCATTGTATCAATAAAAAGAACTCGATTGTTATGCATTAACTCTCCCATCCAGCCACCCACCTAGACCCAAAGTCACGAGGCGAGCCAGCTCTGTGGACCCATCCTCCCGGACAAGCTGGCTGTCAAGGTCCCGAAGGAGTTTATCGATGTACTCGCCCGCCCCCGAAAGATGTAGGATGTGGGCGATTGCGCGATGAATAGCCAACAGCCGTGGTGATGAGGGTTCGATAGTCCGATCCTCTGTAACGTAGAGGGTCCGGGTAAGAGGAAACGCTGGGAGCATGTCGGGGAAAAATGTCTCTATCCTATACGTATGAGGTTGTTGATTAGGAATTTGTGTGAAGAAGATTCGATAATCACCAAAAAGGTGATGGTTCTGCTGAGTTAGGGTGAGAGCATTCATTGGGCGGTCAATATCAGTGCCGCTAATAAGGTGAGAGACACCAACATCGAACATGTTCAGAATCGAAAGGGCGGCATTCCTAGAATTCTCCTAGACAGAAAAATATTAGCAACCTTCGTTATTACAACGATCTCCTATTAACTTTAAGCAAGGCACTTACAGCTTCTGTTGTAGACCCTGCTTTCATCAACGAGTGAGGAAGAATGTGAGCCACTTCTAGGGCCTCGAATGGAGGTGTCAGGACATTCCCATCATCGTCACGATAATTTAAGCCGTATTTTTGTCGACGGGCGAAGGCTTCAGTTAGATCAAATGCACGAGAGATTACACAGCGGTGACGGTCGCGCAAAAGGCATGTACCGCGGAGCGCAGAGAGCCGGTTTGGGGTCCCTGGATACTCGTTGTTCGCGCCCTGCAACATGAGAACAGAAGAATGAAATTCAGGCGTGGGCTGTGGGGTTGCACGGGAGGTCGCTTTCACTTTTGTTCGAGTATTAGCGTAGGCGAGGGGCGATATGATGAGGTCTGAGTCTACACTTACTTGGTAAGAAGAAGTTGTCGACCAAGTAATCTGCAAACCCGACGATCAGAGGCTGCAGGATCTCTTCAACACCACCCCTACTAAAGTCGACATCCTCTCCATCTAGAGAAAGGGAGATGGAACGGAAAAAGGCTCGCAGAAAGTGCTTTTGCGACTCTTCAGACCGCGAGTGCTCGTACGTCAGCCGCAGAAGAACCGGCCAATTATATCGACGATGCAGCCACTGATCAGGGTTGAGCCTTTCAAAGTGATCAATGATGTGGTGAAACTTCCGCTGCGCAGCGTCTCGCTGATCGGGTGACAGCGGGGGAAGAGGTGGAAAGTCCAAAACATCTTCGAGAGAGGATTGATGGCGGTGATGAGGCGCTCCTTCAGCAGGGTCGACTCTCCACTGATTGCGAGACATGGTGTTATATTTCGGTTCCGTTCATTCTGTTGTGCTATGATCTCCGCATTGATGAACGAGCTTGGCTGGATTTCGGAGACATAGCTCAGGCTTCCATTATTCGCAGTGGTAGTTTTTTTATGATAGAGGTGGTGAATCAGGCGTAATGCCGATTCCGATGGTCAGATGTAACGAAAGATACACTGTTCTGGCGTACGCGAAATAACCGCTTTCCTCTGACCAAATTGACGGGGAGTGGCCGAGGGAATTCTCGGAGGCGAGATCTTTGAAAAATGATTCTCTGCATGTCACGTGATGCTGATGATGTTCGGCTCACCGAGGAAGCTCAGAGTCACGTGGATAAACCGCCCGTCTTTTGGTTTTCCTGCCTCATCTGTTAAATCCAGGTCAAAATAGGTGCACAACAGGATCGTTGGATATGCCGAGGCTAAACCAGGTTTCTATATCGAAGTCGCGAGGAGTAGCGCGTCGAGGTTGCTTTTGGAGGCGCGTCCCATCTCCGGCATGACGGACTGGTGGAGATAGTTGAAGTTTTCCAAAATGATCCTCGTCTTGAAAGAAACAGCGGAGTGAATAGGAGGGCACCACTTCCCGAGTCGGATAAAATTCTGGTGGTCAATGTCGAATATATGTCTTAAGAGCCTGATCCGAGACTCCTTTTAGACTGGTTAGGACCATCAAACCGACCCGACTATCCTTGAGAATAGCTTCAGTTGACCAGAAAGCGATCTACTATATTGCTATTGTGGTCCATCTTGATTGATACAGGCTATGAACCCCTCGGGGTTCAAACACTCACAGCGGAACCCATGAGACTAAACCAGACCTACTCTCTTTCCAATCCAACCAATTCCAGCGAATGAAGCGGTGATACCGGAAAAGATAATCAAGTAACCATAGCCACTGCCGTATGCATATCCGACCCGATTCCTCCAGCTGTCAGACGCCACCAGGGCACCACTAAGAGGGCCCGATATGACAGACCCGATTCCCTTTCCAGCGGTGAAGAGCGCAATGATCATGCCCGTCTCAACCGGATACCTGCGACGAACGGGATGACAGCATCCCGACCATGTCGCCGGAAACCCGCCGGCGAACAGACCGTAGGTGAGGGCGAAGATGTAGAGCACTGGCTGATATGTGGCGAAACTCCAGAAAATGAAGACGGCAACTATGGTGCCCAAGGTGCAGAAGTTGAGGGCGATCGTGACGTGGTAGCGATCAGTGAGCCAGCCAACGAAGGTGGCGCCGATCACGTTTGCACCGTTGCAGAGCGATATAGCAATCGTGCCCGTAAGAGGGGACCATCCTTGTGCCACAGCATAGGCTAACAAGGATCGGGTTAGATGGAGGTCTCCGCTGCTAATGGGTAGGGTCTTCGTAGAACGATGGAGTATCACTCACACGGCAGATACAATAATGGCATGAAGTACCCCAGGCTCTGGATCACGTTGCCGAGTGACAGGATCCAAAAGGCGGGACTTTTGAGGAATCTCACGTCGAATCTGTGCTGTTGCGCTCGATCTTGATGGTTTCTAGGTGGGTAAGTTTTCAGAAAGAAGAGAGCTGGCGTGGTAATCACGATGCAGACGACAGCCCAGACACGCAAGGCCGTGCGGAAGCCCCAAGTGTGAAGAATCCATTCCATCAACAGGGGCACCACAATACCGGCCGCACCGCCGCCGGCAATGAAGACGCCATACGCGAAACCTCTCCGTTTCACGAACCACTCGTCGAGGTAGATATACGCTGGGAAGTAATGCAGTGACCCGCCAAGTGCGTACAACACGCCTTGCGTCGCCAGAAGAGCTGGAAAAGAGTTTGCGAATGACGCACCAATCAGGCTTGCTGCCACAACAACGAAGCCCGTTACGCTGATCGTCTTTCGATATTGGGGATACCGTTTTAGGATGCTGTAGACAATCGGAGCAGTTACGTACATGGTACCCTGGGACATAGCGTGGGTCAGTACTGGTGTCTTCTCAGGTTACCCACACCGCCTTTTCATATTGGTCTCTCTTTTTTGTTTTGAACGAACCGTCGCAGTTGTTCCGATAGCGGCAAGCTGATGTTTGTTCCCAGAGAACTGCTCTTGACGAGAATAATATTCCTGGAATACGCCATAGGCGAAAGGAAACCCTAGTGGGTGGTATATGATGTCAGTCTGTAATCAGAGTGAAAGCAATTGGTACAATTACCCCAGACAAGAGCCTCCAGGATGCAGCACGCAGCCAGAACCAGCCACGCATCTCTCCCGCTGTCGGTAGGCGGCAGAGACGGCTCGGTCGCATCCTCAGGGGTATCTTCTCTGTGCGCCGTGGAAATAGGGCTCAGTTCAAGTTCTTCCATTATTGGCGGAGTACCGAGGTACACTCGTGGCAGTAGTATACTTAAGATGTCGGTATTTTCTTGCTTCGGTAGGTTTTACGAAGTGTTTGCGGGGGGAACATCTAAACTAGCTGACTTTCCTGAGGAGGTTGGGAACTCTCCACGTGATGGTCCGGTTCCGGTTTAACTACCGCTTACAAGCGGTGTAACGGTCTATCATCCTCGCCGGAATCTCACCGAGATCTCACCGGCATCTCACGATCACCGCCAAGATGTGGCAGTTTGGGGTGTCTGACTTTGAGAGATGAGCAACAAGAATCCAAGCACTTGGCACTTCCTTGAATCGTAAGAGAGCCATAGTGCGTATCTAGTGTATATAGAACATTCAACGGCATTTTTGGACTCGGAAACGACGATCCCCACATGCAGATCCTAACGTGACAGGATCGGCCATGTAGTTTACGAGCTGGTGCTACTTGTACTGAACGGAAATGATCCGGCAAAAAGGAGGAGGAGGGGACGTAGAACGGGGAAGAAAGAATTTTCGACGGAGTTGAGGAATCGGCCATAAAGACCGGGTTAACCCTCGCCCGATATTATATTCTCATCCAGGGACCAGGGGAGATGCCGTCGGAACGAAGCCAGCCTGTGATAAATTTTCATGAAGTAAAATTTATGAAAATTCTTCTCCTGCCACTCGTGATGGGTGGGATCGGCAAGGGACGTTGCCTGATAGGGCGGCCACCAGCCTCTTCTGGGAAACAAGCTTTTTGGCTTTTTTCTTTCTTCTCTCGTGTTTTTGTGCCGCGGCTGGAAAAAATCGAAAAGGAGCCGACGTCGGACCTTCTCCACGGAATCAGCACCACACCCTGCTAGTCGGTTCTATTCCCTATTTAGGATAGTATGTTGGGATGATGATCGATCTTATCTAATCTGATGGAAGAATAGACTGATTAGATTAGATTTTAATATCCAAACTGCCCACTTCTCTCCGGCTCCCCACAACGAAGGGCCCCGGCACCCTAGTTCTAGACTACTAAGGGGCAGTCTGCCCGGGTATCACGGCACTTTTGCATCTCCTCCCGCTGCTACTTTAAGCATGGTATCCACAGAGGAACGTGGGAATCGGTGGGATGGGATTGTGTGCGAAGATGAAGGAAGGCATCACGGATTTATGCAGCACTAGACAGGGCACATGACGGTCCTTCGAGTAATGAGCTCGGGAAAGACGAAAATGACTCGCCTCGGGACGAAGCCATTTAACCTCATGAAGTATGGCGGAATGATGCCCGACCTAGGCCCCGCTGGTGAAGGCCCCAAAGAGGCGTGAGCCCACATGCACATGGCTTCATGGAGCGCGCTATAATGGACAGAACCTTTGCCCGTGGGGGCGGACAATGACCAGAGCCATGGGGATGGTGAAACGATCTCCCACGTCAATCTAATGTTAACAGCCATATCCCGCAGGGCCTCGAGCAACGAGAGTGCCGAAGGGCATGAGGATTGGTCCGCTTTGAAACAAGGTTGCTTTTTCCACGTCACGTCAAATCTATCTATATATATATATGGGCCTGCATTAGCCCTGTCGCTGACTGAAGGAAAATTGTCTTTATTATCCTTAATTTCGTGCTCCAGTTCTGTGAGGTTGCTCATTCACACACACTTGACAGGGTCTGGTCCTCGCCTCAGCATCTCATAGCGGCAAGGTCGCTCCTCCATTGTTCATTATTCCCCCTAACCACCCTTCATCGGAGATCTTCAACCATGGTTCGACATCATATCCTCTTGGTGCTCCTAGGAGCTTTCTCATCACTAGCATCAGGAAAAATAGATCATCCTTCCACACAATGCATCATGGCTCTGTATGGTGTGTATGCAAATATCCGGTTCGCCGGAAGCGATCCTGAGAAGTACTGGTCACTTTGCCAAAACCCACTCACCATCGTGTCCATCTATGCGGGCGCCCATGTATACTGTAACCCGGACGACATCCAGCCCGGAAAGGGTCTTCTTGCCAAGTACTGCCACGACTACGGCGAGTCCGAGCTACTGCCGGAGTCAGACTTCGCCGCAAACCTCACGCGGGAGTCCATCAACAGACTGCCAGTGATTAAGCAGGACGAAGTTACTCCGACGGATAACTTCACTACCCCTCTGTTGATCGACCGAGCCTGGTTTGACCTTAGCTACCGAACAGTGGTAAGCGCAGAATCCGCCTGTCTATCTTGTTTGGGAGCCATAGTATGCTGACACTCGGTTGATAGAAAACTTGGGACTTTGAAATGAAAACACATACAGACTATGGGTAAGTTGTGGATGGATAATAATCTACTTCTTTTTCTATCGAATCGTGGACACCCTCAGGTACATTCTCCCGTTACAACATATGAGAGCTGACTTGGCTGCACGTTTCCTTAAAAGATGGGCCATGTACGGATTCTGGGGCACCGTGCTTCTCGTTGGCATGTTCCAAAACCTTTTCCACCACTTGACCAACGGGAGATCTGTGACAACACAACCTGACGTTGAGGACGGCGGGTCTCAAGAACGTACCAATATCAACAAGACAAAGAACCCTATTGAATCCGCCTATGATTGGACACGCACACATTTCACCATGCCTGGGATGATACCTGACCGGCACAAACAGCTAACCTGGGGATGCACATTTCCGACAAGAGCGGATGCCTTCGTGATCGGATCATTCTGGCTTGTCAGTTTACTTCTATGTTGCGTGAACTACGACGCCTTCCAAGGGAACCTATAGTAAGTGACGCACGTAACCTCGCCGCTGTCGCCAGTTAGATATCCACTTGCTAACCAGTAAAACCCTCACACTCGAACAGCTGGGCCGACACTGCCAGCCAAGTCTGGCGCTACGTTGCCGACCGAACAGGCATCATTGCGTACGCCAATCTGCCCTTCATCTGGGTATTCGGCGTTCGAAACAACATCTTCCTCTGGGCGACGGGATGGCAGTTTTCCAGATTCAATCTCTACCATCGGCACATTGCGCGAGTTGCCACCCTTCAAGCTATCATTCACTCCATTGGCTACACCGTCTTTTATTTCCTCACTGATCCAACCGGTAAGTTTTGACTTTTCCCACACCGGGGTTTTGCCCCCGGGGCTCTCTAATGTCCCATTTCTGATTCGTCTTGTCTTCGATAACAGGTGCTGGCTTCCGTTTGGCTTGGAAAGAACCATGGTTTTATCTGGGAGTAGTTGTGGGTATAATCTTTGACCCTGGCAAAACGCTGAGAATGTAGATCCGAGTTACTGATTTGCGGGTTTGCTCGGCGTTCTAGGCGACTATTGTCATGAGCCTGATTGTCGCGTTCTCTTTCTCGTGGTTCCGAAATCAGATATATGAAGCGTTTTTAATGGTCCATATTATCTTCTCAATCGTGACGATTATAGGTCTGTTCTAGTAAGTAAACTTATCCAGAACATGCACAAACGATTGAGACGACAAGCTCTCCTGGCCCTCATCAATTTACTAATCGAAATCTTGAAATTGGGTAGTCACACTTCAATTTTCGATGGAGAATATGATGCGTATCTCTGGCCGCTCGTGGCCATCTGGGGTTTTGACCGGCTCCTGCGAATCATTCGCCTCATCTACTGCAATGTCCATGTCACGATGAAGAAATGCAAAGGAGTGAGCTTCTCTGAGGCGATAGCGACATATGATACAAGCGGCAACATGATCCGAGTTGAGGTCAGCCTCGAGAATAGCCATCTCGTGCCTGCACCTGGCCAGCACTATTACCTGTATCAACTCGGGAACTGGAGGCTCTATGAGAATCACCCCTTCACTCTGGCGTATTGGGGAGACGCACCTACACCTGCTACACCCGTTTGCGGGAGCCGCAATGAAGAAGGCAGTAGTAGTCCTACAGGCTCGGCTAGCCACAGCAACTCTCTACGTGGCTCCGACACGCAAGGTGTTGTTGGTGATTCGCGTGGCGCTAAGCTGGTCTTCTTCGTCCGGCCATGTGATGGGTGGACGAGACGGCTGCGCGACGAGTGTGTTCGTTCCCCCGATAATACGACAACACCCAAGATTCTTGTCGAGGGCCCGTACGGAACGCAAGAGAAGCTCTGGGTGTATGGTCGTGTCCTACTGATTGCAGGTGGGTCCGGCATCGCGGCAATCCTACCTTACCTACTCGACCATGTGCAGCGGAGGGCGGTACCCGACGCTAAGTGCCGAACGCAACGTATCAGTGTTGTGTGGGCGGACCGAAGCGAGACCTATATGCGCACCGTTGCTGCCGAGGAATTGGCCATCGTTGCTAGCCGCTCGGATACCGATGTCAATTTGTATGTGACGAGAGGGAAGGCCAAGGTAGTCGGCAGCTCTGATGAGAAGGAGGTGGGTGGAGCCGGTCAGAAGTCATCTTCTGCGAGCGAAAGTGGCGTCGATGAGGAACAATCTGCTGTGATGTATGGCAGGCCTGATTTGCAGTCTATTATTGCCAAGGTCGCACAAGAGACGAATGAGGAGCGTCTTAGTGCTGCTGTTCTGGTGTGTGGGCCGCCTGTGATGGCGGACAAAGTTCGCGCATCGATAGTCGAGGCGAGGAGGGAGTATAATTCTTCTATTGACTACTTTGAAGAATCATTTGGTTGGTAGGCGAGAGTGTTCGGAGGAAAAAGTAAGGGAAGAAGCAATGGAAATCGTGGAGGCGTTGCTGTTAATGAGAATACAAAGTTGTTACTGTGAAAGGTCATCTTAATGAGACTACTGCCTCGAAAAGGATAACAAGTTTCATGAGCTTGTACTCCGTGATTTTCCAACCACTGTTCTGAGATCGTGCTGGGCAGGGTAAATGCAGCGTTGTCCATCGGTACTCGGCCTGGAGCTTTCGTTAAAACCTCATCTCACTCTATTCTGCTCTGCCGTGATGGTGTCAGTTCGAGATATCTCTCACAGAAATGAGACGCTAAGATGGCATGCCGAGAGAAAATGATATGACGGTATGGTATGGTATATTTTACTACCTCACAAAGATCAAACATGACGCCTAACCCTGCTCCCCAAGCCTCAACTAAAATGCTTCGTAAACAGAACCCAACAACGAGGCCTCCTCCACAATCGCTTCCTTAAAACAGACCACAAGACCTCGGTAAGTCCAAAAACACCGGCCGAGAGCGGAAGCAACTGACCAACAGAGGCCACATCGTCGATTTCGACCTGGTTGGCGTCCAGCAGGTGCTCGATAGCAGCAATCGATATAATGATAATGACGGACGACAGAAAGAGGAGTTCGATCTGCACCTTCGGTCTTCGCCGCGCCGGAGAAGCGTATCGCTGCCCGTTGAGCCTCTTGATCACCGCCATGGCGTTCCACACAAGGAAGAATGCGCAGATGCAGACGCCAAATATCGCCGCAACTTTATTAAAGGTTCGGAATAGTCCGCGCACCGAAGTGGCGCCGAAAAAAGCGATCGTATCGCATTCCGAGTGTCTCTCCAAGATACCGTCGAGGCCCACGAACCAGAACCACGAGGCGTAACCGGCGACAGCGGAGTAGAGAAGGACGCGAAACACGCCGCTGAGCCTCCCGACGGGATTCAATCCGCTTCCTGATAGGCTGGATAACGCGCCGAAGATGAGCCATATGGTGATGATGGGCTCGACTGGGCGAATCTCCTCCTCGACGGTGAGAACAACCATGCCGATGAAGACGGCAGTTTGAATGAGTAGATTGACGATGCGGAGGACATCTTCTTGGGAGGGGGTGAAGAGTGTCGCGAGAAGTGTTGATATCCACTGAAGGTAAAAGCCAGTCCTAATTCCAATGCCGTAAAGATCGGAGTTTCCGGAGAAGGGGCATATCCGCAGGTCTCCTTGCGTTGCCATGTTATGAGTCGTTGGTTGCAAAACTTGGGCCGTAACCTAGACGCGCCGGTTTCCTCCCATCGGCGATGGGTGGCACTTTTTGTACCGTCCACATTGATATCGACCGGATAAACGGCAACACGTCTGCCCTTTTTTTCCATTTTCAAGCTTTTCTGTTTTCAGCCGCACGCAGCGCTAGAGCTGTGCATTGAACCAGAGAGCGCCCGACTCAGCCCCAAACCCCTGTCAATATTTCTTCAATCGTGCATAAGATTCGATTCCGTCTCATTCTGCGACGATACGACTGGCCAGGAAGAGGCAGGGTTTGCGCTTCTCCACAATGGGACAAGTCAGGAGGGGAGAACTGAACCGCCAGGCTGGGGCTGAGTTTTTCGGCACGAACTGAAAAGCGCCGACACGTCGAAGCCTTCAATCCAAGATTATATCCATTGACTCGACTCCCGCTCGAGTTATTCTACGTCGCCAACAGCAATAATCTTCGAACGCATGAAATCCTAACATCATGGCCGACGAATGCGGATTCGATGGAGATCCAGACCTCTACGGCCTTGGCATCAGGATCAGTCTCTACATCCAGCTCCTAACCATGTGTCTCATCCCCCTGCTCGGCATTCCAAAGTACAGCCGTTTCTTCACGAGCACCGGCCTATGTCTCTTCGCAGCAACGTGGATCGTTATAATCAAGGAGTCCGCCGCGAGGACTACGAAGGGCGTAGAGCTTTATTTCTTCTCGTGGCTGAATCTGTCGCAGATCGTTGTGGTCTCTATCTTGCCCATGGCCTCGTTCAACTTTCGACAAATGGCGAATCCCAAGAACATGGCGAATATAAATCTTGCCATGTCTATCATTTTAGCCCTCATCACTTCCTATTACACATGGTTCTTCTGGAAAGGCCTGGATGTCCTAGATCGGTCGGGATGCGAGAATGATTATGCCTTCTTCTTCTCCAAGGCGCCCGTGTATGGGTGGCTGAGGACACTACAAAAGGTCATCTGGACCATAGCTCTGATAGCAGCTGGAATTCGTGAGTCTTTCATTAATTTTTTTCCCCTCGAGCGAAATAAGGCTTGTTGAGTTTTATTAACTTGCATATTCAACCAACTCAGAGGCGCTGATGGCGCCGTATAACTACTTCATGATGCGCAAATTCCGCGATTTTCCCCAGGCGGAGGATATTTTGCAGGATGCGGATCCAGACGTGCAAGTCATGTTTACGGGTTTCGTTAAGCAAGTGAAGTTTCAGTTCTCCGTCATGCTACTCTTCGGCTCCGTCTTCATGATCACCTTCGTCGCCCTCTCGGCCGAACTGCCCATCATGTGGAATAACATCAGAGAGGTCAACAGTCTCAAACCTGTGGGCCAGCTTGTGCCGTTCATTGTAGCCATTGGGCAGTTACTGAACGTCGTTTACCAAACTATGAAGCGGTTTGCAGGGGGGACGGTTGACGACGATGATGATGACTCAATGGACGACGACATTGGTACGTTCTGCTCTAAGGTGCACCACAGTCGTGTGGGAGATGGTATTGACAATATCGACAGGCCCGTGTCCGCTGAAGGGTGGCGACGAGGATCAGCAAGGGGTTGAAATGACTGAGAATATGGCTGCGTTGCGCAAGAGCTCTTCATCGAGCATGGAGCGTGTAGCGGTGGCATTATGATGAAGCAAAGGCTTAGAATTTCAATAGACTCGCCGCCTGTGTTCCTACCAATTCCATACGTTCCAGTCACCATCATACCAGAAAATACCGAAGCAACCTTCAGTTAGCGCGGGCAGCAATTAGGGGATGCGGAGAAGCATCTCCTCCGACGTTTCTTTGTTAAGGAAGCAAAAGAGACGAGTTAAAATGTGAGGTAATAAAAATAAAAATGAAAAAGAAAAATGAAAAAATTTGGACGCACCCGGAATCGAACCGGGGACCGCCTCTATGCTAAAGAGGAATTATACCACTAAACCATGCGCCCTTCACTGAATTGGTTTTCACTTCGCTAAGTGCGGCTCTTCTCAGGCAGTCGCGCAATTTTCGCATTGAGCTATCAATGGGAATCACTGTCTGGGTCCCCAGTCTGTCTCGTCTTTTGTGCTTTACTCCCGATTAAGAGAATATCGAGACCGGAAACAAAGCCTCTCGGAACTCTCACACCTGACCCCACCATCCTCTAGTTTACATGGCGCCATTAGCTCCCTCGGGGACAATCCGGACAAGCAAATCGCAACTCTCGACGGAGTCGCCAGTAGATACACAGATATATTGGATCAGTCCCCTAACGGGAGCACTTATATTGACCTCCTGTTACCTTATCAGTATCACTTGTCAAAATGTCGGAGGGGGCCTTCCAAATGAATTCTCCTTTTCACGTACCATCTTCATTGCGCTCACGGTCAACAATGTCTGGCCAATCTCGACCCTTTCCTCGTCTTTGGCCATTATCCGAACAATGCGGCCGGCCATCGGGGAGCCCACTTCGCCCTCGACTTGGGAGTTTGCCTTCTGGAGCTTCCTTTTCGGCGTCGCTGTTCCGCAAGAAGTAAGTATACCTGTATATGTCGCTGGACGGGTCTACGGTACGAGATATCGACAACTCACCTTTGTCGTCCTGAACAGTCACGAAGCACACTTCTCCGTTGACGTGGAACAACACATCCCGTTTGCCCGTCGCCAGGTCCGCCGGTTGGATCGCCAACATTTCAGCGACTACCTCCTGGCCTCCGTCGAGCTTTAATTCCACTGCCTGTCCGATCTCCGGAGGTGATAGGAAATCGGGAGTGCGGAGCGAGGTGAGGTCGCCAAAGTCACGCCGTGTCCGGCGGAAGTCCATGTAGACATCGGGGTACATCACGTAGCTAGCTATGTCACAATCTGTCACGGGTGTTCCTGGGAAGCTGGATGCGATGAGCTGTCTAATTTCGTCAAAGTCCGTCGGCGTCATTGTCAGGCCGGGCCGTTCTTTTTTCACTTGTTGTCGACCCCGCAGGACGTTGGTGCGAAGAGGCTCTGGGAATCCATCAAACGGTTCACCCATCAGGCCCTCAAAGTATTCTACGACGGATTGGGGGAAGTCGAGCTTCGAGGCGCGGTCTTGTACGTCCGTGGCCGACAGTTTGCGATCAACCATGAATTGCGCCAAGTCTCCCACGGCTTTCGATGTCGGTGTGGCTTTGATAATGTCGCCGAGGAGTTGGTTCGCATCCTCGTAAGCCTTGAGCGTCTCAGCCCATTTATCACCTAGCCCATTCTGGCGAGCTTGGAAAATCAGATTGGAGTATTGGCCTCCCGGAATCTCATGTCGGTAGATGGTTGGGTCGGGTGACCGTAAGTCTGCATCGAATCCCGCGTACATTAACCGGAGCTGTGCCCAGTATGAATCGATCACTGCAATTTGATCCAGGTGCAGATCTGATTCGAACGCTGTGCTCTGTAGCGAGGCCACGATGGCGCTAACTGCGGGTTGTGATGTGGACCCGGATACACTGTCTATTGCTGTGTCGACGATGTCTGCCCCCTCCTCGATGCAGGCGAGCATAGTTGCAGTGCCGGTGCCGTTGGTATCGTGTGTATGCATGTGTATGGGAATATCAGGGTACTTGGCGCGAACGGCTCTTACCAGGGCTCTACCCGCCGCAGGCTTCATGACGCCCGACATAGACTTGATGGCAATGACGTGCGAATCGCACTCGACCAGATGATCAACGATGCGCATGTAGTACTCCAAATTGTACTTGGTGCCAGGTTCTAACATATCGCCAGTGTACATGATGGCCCCCTCGACCAATCCGCCGGCGGCGTGAACAGCTTCAATGCCGGCTTTCAAGTTTTCCAGGTCGTTGAGGCTGTCAAAAACTCGGAAGATGTCGATTCCGGTATCCTTGGCCAGCTTAACAAAATGAAAGAGGGCATTATCTGGAAGTCTGTATCAATAACCCGGTCAGTTCGATGAATTGGGTAAAAGATCGCAAATACGATTAATGCTTACGCCGCATACGCAACGCCATTCGTGCTTCTTAGGAGCATCTGAAATGGAATGTTCCTAGAATTCCCCATATATGTTAGCACTTGAACGGATAGAAGAAAATTGTTGGCGGAACCGAGCATGGAACATTCACTCACGGTATGAGTTTCCGAAGTTGGCGCTATTGCTAAATATCAGTATCTTAACGACAGTCTGCATCAGAGGCACAAGGGCATGGCGTGGAGGGGAGGGAAATACCAAGCGTTCCCATGGATCCTCATATAAAAATCGTAGCATCACGTCAAATGTAGCGCCTCCCCAATTCTCTAGACTGTACGCCCCTTGATAGGCATGGCTAACATGCTTGGCGATCTCTCCCAAGTCTTTGCCACGTACCCTCGTTGCCAGGAGGGATTGCTGTCCGTCCCGCCATGTAGTATCTGTAATCAAGGTTTGGCGATGGGCCCTGATCTGTCTGGCGAACTCACGCGGTCCCTCTTGAAGTAGGATATTGCGCCATCCGAGACGGCATGGCTCGGCTGTGTCGACTTCCTGCCCGGACTTTGGATCCATGAGTCTTCCGATCTCGATGTCTCGTTTTAGCCCGGGTGGCTTCTGCAGAGAGGGAATGGTTATTATTAGAAAATCCACGGGCAATCAAAGCAATAGGGGTGCTCCGTGAGATCATACCGTCTGCCCCTGAATCCGGCTGCCGTTAACAGCCGCATCAGCTAAGAACCTCATGAGACCCTGCGCCGAATCAACGGAGTCGTCCGAGAGGAACAACTCCGGCGTATCATCTATGAATGAAGTCCAGCAATTTCCTGCTGCAAATGAAGGATGCTTGATGAGGCGGATCAGGAAGGCCTGGTTGGTTTGGATACCGCAAATCTGGAGCTCCTTGAGGGCTCGAACCCCTGTCCTGATGGCAGACGCCAGATCATGGCCCGAAAAGATGCATTTTATTAGAAGCGAATCATAATAGGGGCTTATCCGGGCTCCTATGAAACAGTCGCTGTGGTCGAGGCGCACGCCCTTGCCCGTGGGCAAACGACATCGAGAAATCGTGCCGGCATCTGGACGGAAGCCTTGAGAAGGATTCTCGGTCGTCACGCGGCATTGGATTGCGAACCCCCTCAGTTGGATCTTTTGTTGAACCAGCCCTAGCTCCTCGAGTGTGGCTCCGCAAGCAATGCGCAACTGGGCGCCGACCAAGTCGATCCCGGTTGCCTCTTCAGTGACAGTATGTTCTACTTGACTGTGATCCCGCCGAGTCAAAACGCATTTCTTACAGCAGTTTACGAAGGTAGGGAACGGCATACATTCGGGGGTTCATTTCGATAAAATAGAACTTCTCTCCCTCGACAAGGAACTCGACAGTGCCCGCATTCTCTGCATCCAATTCTACAGTTAGCCAGAAATGTATCGAGGACAGAAGTAAAATAATTTCACTACTTGCCATAATTCAACCCCTTCGCTAACCGTACCGCGGCATCCAGGACACCCCGTCGGACTTCTTGCGAGATGTTCACGGCCGGAGCAAACTCGACAACCTTTTGGTGTTTGCGCTGAACACTGCAGTCGCGCTCGAAGATATGGACGTGGTTGCCGTATCGGTCGCCGAGAACTTGGACCTCGATATGCTTTGGTCGATATAGAAACCTGCGTTGATTGTGTTAGGAGGATTGCGGGCTATCAGGCAAAGCTCGTACTTTTCCATAAAGATAGCATCGTTTCCAAATGCAGCGCCAGCTTCGGAACGTGCCGCCGAAACGGCTTCTTCCAGGGATCCTCGCTCATGCACCACTCTCATGCCTCGCCCGCCGCCTAGACGCATTGATCAGGGACATGCCGGTTGTAATTCGAATCTGTGTTGATGCACTCACCTCCAAAGCTCGCCTTGACAACGACAGGAAACCCGTGCCTGAACGTAGAATCAGGGTTCGTCAGTCCAAGTAAAAATAGTGGGGAACACCCGCTTGAGGGATGGTAGGTTTGCGCATACGTATCGACGAAATCACAGGCTTCCTGTAGATTATTAAGAGGTCCGTTGGTGCCAGGAATGGTTGGAATGTCAAGATCTTGTGCAACCTGCCGTGCCGTCACTTTGTCCCCCATTTTCTCGATCGTCTCGGTGGAAGGGCCGACAACTGTATGGAATAATCAGCTCAAGCGCCAGACGTTTTGGTTACGTAGGTAGAGGGCATACATGTAAGGCCAGCGGCTCGTACTTGGGCCGCGAATTGGGCATTCTCTGCCAGGAATCCGTAACCCGGGTGACTGGAAGACCGTTAGGTATCGAATGTGGTGAAGTAATACTGGCTTGCGAGCGATGGAAACTTACATCAGACTCGCGTGACACTTGATGGCAATGTCGATAATCCGAGTAGCATCGAGATATGCTTGACTATCGTGAAGCAAAAAATATCAGTCCCCTTTCATTTCCGTATGCCCTAGGCCCGATTTCGGTGATGAACATACACGGGACTGATTCCATCTTCGCCGCCTACCAAATAGGACTCATCTGCCTCTACAAAATCATGAGTCTTTTTTTGTTATGGCCATATTCCCGCGTTTGAGAAACCAACCTTGACGATAGCGCGAGAAACGGTCCGCCTCGGAATAGATAGCTACCGTGGGCATACCCAGTTCTCGGGCTGCCGCGATGACACGGCCAGCAATCTCGCCTCGGTTGGCGACAAGGACCTTAGGTCGCTTCATTGTCGGTTGAGCGGACGTAGTTCTAACAGGAAAGAAGAAGAAGGAAAGAAAATAAATGCTTAGATAGAAAGTAAGAACGTCGGAATAACCTGGAAGAAGGTCGAGAGAGCCTCGAATGGAGGTTCTTTATAGGCCTTACGCACCCCTCGAAAAAACCAGACTGGATTAACACCGTTGAACCACAGTGAAAGGCGTCAGTATGAAGCATGTTTACAAGGATCGAGAAGATAAGATCCTTCATTCGTACTGGATTACCTCGTGGACTTCTAGAGCCAATGACCAGCAATACTGGAGCCATGCCCAGGCTGCATGTCTGCACAACGCTGCACCATCGCCACTGTTCGATCCCAGGTTGTGGAAGGAAGTACAGAAACCTCCCGACCAGGATTAACATCTCATCAACGGGGTCCTTGCGAAACCATCCCTGTCACAATCTGCCGCGCTTAACCCTAAACCACAAACTTGGCGTGGAGCGCAGTCAAGGGTATTTGACTCTTGATATTTATGCAAGAGCTGCCCGTGGCTGGCGGAAGCTAGGATAAAGTGCCCGGCCGACAAATTCCATCCGGCACTTACAGAGCGCTAAAACAGGATTCAAAAGCTTCCCCGTTCAGATTTACTTCATTCGGACAGAAAGACGCTTAGTCTACTATCAAGGGTTTGTTCCTGTCTTATTCCACCTACCTTGACCTAAGTCACTTCTTCAAGAACAGCCGCAGGACCATTTCAGTCATACTACACTGGGGGAGCATTTGGAATTATTTACTCGTCTTCCACTATGTCTCTGGGACAAGTAAGGTTTCTGGGTCATTTCCAGGAAATCACAGCTGGATCTGCATCACCCAAGCGCGCCAAAGCGTGTCGAGAGCGGCATTAGCTCAGCTTCTGAACGCCACCAATCATCGGGGTCAAGCGAATAGAAACAGCTCCACGCAAGTCCAAAAGCAAGAACAAGACAAATTCTTCAGAACGATCGGCGTCTTACCCGAAGGCGTCGTGTAGCCCGCGATCATCTCGACACAATAGTTCCATTGCGTTTTTCGGTCCGACTGAGACCATATCTGAGAAGCCTATCTCTTATCATCTCCATCGAGGAAGAATAGAGTCGTTGATCCTCTTGTCGATATTAAGCCAAAATGCCATTTTCCCTGTACTTCCGCGGGGACGTCTCAAACTGGAGTTCCCGACATCAGCGTGTCTACGACTCTACCACCACATCAGAATGTGTCTTACACCTAGTGATCGACGACGTCAGTTGTCAACCACAAACTATCAACAAGGGAAAAGGACGCGTCGATGGGGAACGTCTCTCTTTTACCGTGGCTGGCTGAGCACGGTGAAAACAGGACCGCCCACCAGAATACCACCGCCGTGAAGAGAAAGAAGCAAAGCACCGATAATGCCGGAATGAAACACCCTACCCGCATATCTCTGCGTCCCCGAGGACCACTCTATAGGTTGAAAAAGCGAAAAGACCCCTCTCCATAACCTTTACTTTTGAAACTGCTAATGCATCCGTCGAGCATTATCACAGTCCTTTGCAGGCGGCTTCGGTACACCGGCCACAGAGAGGGTCTCGCTCTGCAGTATCCTGACCCCGACTATAGTGTCATCGCCGAAATGGAGAGCCCCTCAAGGACAAGGGCGATGGAGCCCGTCAACAGCGGAAGCGGAAGCGACACCGACAGTCTCTACGGCGGCGATATGGAGAGTCTTGACAGCGGGACTGCCGCATCGTCCGAGGGAGAAAGTACCGGCTCGACAGAGACAACACCACTTCTCAAGGCCCATGCCCAGGAAGTGGATCCCGAGGCGAATGCAATCGCCAACGAAGATGATGAAACTACCATCATCGTGCATAAAATATCCTTTACGCGACTGGCACTCATCATGTCCACAGCCTGGTTCGGGGTCTTCCTGGGAGCGATTGATTCGACAATCATCGCCACACTCTCTGCACCCATCGCAAGCGAGTTCAACTCCCTACACCAACTGTCCTGGCTCGCCACCGCTTATTTGATTTCCAATGCCGCCTGCCAACCTATCCTCGGAAGACTGACGGACATCTTCGGGCGTGGTCCCGGTTTGGTCGTCAGCAACGTACTCTTCGCCGCTGGGAACCTTTGCTGCGGGCTGGCGAGGGACCAATACACCATGATTCTAGGGCGTGTGATTGCCGGCGTCGGTGGGGGCGGGCTGATATGCATTGCAACATTCCTTGGAACAGATCTGGTTCCGCTTCGTCAGAGAGGGTTAGTACAGGGGATTGCGAATATTTGGTACGGCTCGGGCGCCATGGTTGGCGGTGTGGTAGGTGGCTTCCTGAACGATCACACCGCCCTCGGCTGGCGGCTTGCGTTCTTGATACAGGCCCCTCCTGCTTTGGTTTCTGCGGTGGCGGTATACTTCCTTGTCGACGTGCCCCCCAAGCAGTCTAAGAAGTCGTATCTCGGTCGCATCGACTTCTTCGGAGCTTTCATGACCCTGGGTTACCTTGTGCTCTTCCTGCTGGGCCTCAGCTCTGCGGGGAACTTGGTACCATGGGTACACCCTTTACCGCTTACAACTATTCCACTTTCTATCGTCCTATTCATCACCTTTCTTTGGTGGGAGAGCAAAGCGCCACAGCCAATCATTCCGGTGAAACTCCTACTCGATCGGACCGTTCTCGCTTGTTGCCTCGCCAGTCTTCTCTCTGTCATGATTGCCATGACAGCCATGTTCTATGTACCGTTGTATCTCCAGGTGCTTGGTAGCTCCGCCACTGCGGCAGGTTTAAGGTTACTCTCCTCGCCACTTGGGGTGCCGATTGGTGCCCTCAGCGTTGGATACCTAATGAAAGCAACCGGCAGATACGTGTGCCTGACGGTAACTAGCGTCTTGGTGGTTTGCGCCGGGGTCTCGCTCTTCACGCTCCAGAGCGCCAACAGCCCAGCTTGGATGACCTGTATCGCCTTGTTTCTGGTTGGTGGAGGCTACACCGCCATGCTGACGACGACTCAAATTGCATCCATCGCTGCTGTCAAGCACTCCCAACAAGCGGTTGTCACGTCCGCCGTCTGTAAGTTGCACCTTGCCGGTTACTTTCATCTCTTATGAACAACTGGAGACTAACACTCAATGCTCCTCTACAGACATGGCCCGCAGCTTAGGAGGTACTCTCGGGCTAGCCATCGCATCCGCGGTGTACCAAAACACTCTCAAGAACCAGCTGTGGGCGCACTTTGGCAGCCAACCAGGGGCGGCGGACGTCATAAGTCGCATACGGGACGACCTCGACCAGCTACACAGGCTACCAGATGGCTGGTATGAGGGAACAATAGCGTCGTTCATGGATGCGTTCCGGGCTGTGTGGCTCACCATGCTCGGTTGGGCCGTGCTTAATCTCGTCTGTTCGTTTCCGATGAAGCAGCACAAGCTTTATTCGACGTTGGATAGGCGATAAAGATAAAGCGATAGAGAGTAGAACATGTCTAAAGCATTCTCTCTTGGATGCTGAGGGGAGAATTTGGCAGGCATCCCACGAGTAAGTCCGTTGAGGTTTGGCGTATGGTGTCTCTGGAAACTGGAAATAAAGAATGTCAGGGCCTGACACAATTATGGAAAATAATACTGCACGCATCTGCAGCGCCTTGTATTTTAGATTTTATTTCGCTGTATGCGTTATGTTTAATTTCTTTTCCTTTTTCTTTTTCATTCTTATTATTATTACTTTTAACCTCGGTGCGTTCAATCACTCTCTCTTGACGCTCGGGGCGTTTGCCGTCGAAGCAATCCTTTTCATCCCGTCAGATCGCGGACGAATCTATTTCAGAGTAAGCAGGAATGGATAAAAGAAGCACCAGGCTCCCGTCCCGAATCTGTCGGGGAGTGGACAAGGGTAAAACCGGTGTTGATGACCGAGCATTGATGTTTCAAGAAACTTAACGCAAAAAGTATTTGTTGAAAAGAACAGATGGGAATTCCTAATCAAGGGTAACGACCTGCTTTGGGTCCGAAGGGTAGAGTGTGTAATATCACCCTGATATAAGAAAAACGAATCTCGTTATATTGGTGTTCCGACTCCTTAAACCTCTTGCTCGAACGTCAAAAAAATGGAAGCAAGGTTGTAGAAGCCTGTTTCCATCCAGACCCGTTGCCCTATATAATTCGGTTTCTACTTCCTTTGCATTTCTCCTATGAAATTAGTTTCCTCCCTTCTCCGGTGTTAATTATCTCAGAGTTGTTTTACGGTTTCGTTTTATCATTTTTACGCCCCTTGATTTGTACTCTTAACAGGAGCGCGAAGAAGTTCTTCATGACGTCATCGGGTCTGCCCTCTCACTCAACTTATGGAATGTCACGTGACTCATCCAAGAACCCAACCGCGGAAAGTTTTCCCGAGATCGGAGACCAGCGCCTTTGCCTTGATCGGCCAATCAGAGGCTTCCTATTTGGAAATTTAAAACATTTTTCTTCAACCGCATCAAATGCGCCGCGACGACGAAGCTGGCTCTAGATACATTGGTATTTGGCCACACCAAATTCTATGCGCGACGTCCACCAAGAACGTGCCTCTCACCACCCCAGCACTGATCTTCCAGCGCCATCCATACCCATCTGTTTCTACAGCCATAATTGTCAATCATGGCTGCATTTGTGAGTTCCCCTGCCGTCGATTTATTCACTCCTGCCTTTGCTCCCGGGCAAACGCAATAACTCGCTCCCTCCCTTTCTTCAGAGAATCCTGACTCATATGCGCGTATCTTCAGCGGAGAGCCATTGCTCTCCCGGCCGGCGCTCGATTACGGCCTCGGACCTTCATCGCCCACCCTCGACCTCTTTCCGCCCCCGTGTCCCGTTGCCGTACCTATATTTCCACCGCGCCCCGACGGCAAGATACCTTCCACTTCCAGCTCGAAAACACCCCCAATGCTGCCGCCCTCCGCCCCTCTCAGCCGGCCCCCACCCCGGACAACCCCCAGACCCTCACAGAAAAGATTGTCCAGCGATACGCCACAGACCTACCCCCGGGTAAGAAGGTCAGGGCCGGCGACTATGTCACGATACGGCCCGAGCGGATCATGACGCACGATAACTCTTGGCCCGTGGCCTTGAAGTTCATGCAAATCGGGGCCTCCAAGATCTACGACAACCGCCAGGCCATTATGGTAAGTATGCCAACTGGCTGCCACATACCTGGCGTCATCTGCCTAGATAGCCGCCACAGAGCAACCGGCTAAGCTTCATTTTTTTTTTCTTTCCAGTGTTTGGATCACGATGTGCAGAACCAGAGCCCTGCAAATCTTAAGAAGTATAGACAAGGTTGGTCTTCTTCCGCGGCTGATTTCTTTCCTCTTCGGCTATGTCTCATGATCACTGCTCCCGAGACCCCTACTTAAGCACAGTCCTATGCAGTATATTGACCGAGAATCCGTAGTGGAGGAGTTTGCTGCCCAGCATGGTGTTCGATTGTAAGTGTTCTCTCGCCAAGGAGCGCTTTCCCTTTGGATATATCTCATGATGAATTCCACTCCCGAAACACGCTCCTTACCGAAGCAACTTCCAAGCATTCATTAACTGGGGAACGTACAGTTACCCAGCCAAAAGAGGAATAGGTACATAAAATCCACCCAGGACTGAAAAGATGGCAAGCCCCGCTAACTCAAATAGGCCATCAAATTATGGTCGAAGAAGGTAGAGCGTCACCAGCACTCACGATCGTCGGCTCGCATGTTAACCGATGAACAGGACACGCCTGGCCCGGAACTCTGACCGTCGCCAGCGACAGCCACAGCAATCATTACGGAGGCATAGGAGCTCTCGGCACTGCTGTGGTCAGAACCGATGCCAGTAGCATATGGAGCACTTCTAAGACTTGGTGGCAGCAAGTACTTTCCCCGTCCCTCTTTCCTCTGTTCCACAGATCCCAGGAGCAGGCTTCTATCACACAACGTTTCCAGCAACGTGTTACTCCTACGACTCTGCTCGCGAATCTGTGAGGCACTTGTGAAGCGGTAGTTGCTAATGGAGGACGTGCTAGAATACCTCCAATTGCCAAGATCACATTCACTGGCATCCTCCCCCGTGGCGTCACCGGCAAAGACGTTATTGTTGCTTTGTGTGGTTTGTTCAACCAGGACGAAGTCTTGAACCATGCCCTTGAATTCACGGGTTCCGAAGAGACTTTGGCAAGCATCCCTATCGATGCCCGCTTGACGATTGCCAACATGACTACTGAATGGGGTGCTCTGAGTGGTATGGCTAAAAGGCGAAAGAAAAAAAATATCCAGACAAGCAAGTACTAATAAATGATGTAGGACTATTTCCGGTTGACGAGAAACTCATCTCCTGGTATCGCGCCAAGGCTACTACGGCGGCCATGTTCAACAGTCCCCTCAAGGAGCGCATCAACCACGAGCGCATCGACGAGCTTGTCAAAAACAAACTAGTTGCAGACCCCGGCGCTTCTTATGCCAAGGAGCTTTATCTGTAAGTATTCCTTTCGCCCCTGATTTCCTGCCCCTTTGGGACACAAGACAAAGACCAAAAGAAAATAAACGCCCTTTAAGGCCATGTATTAACTATATTCACCTAGGAACTTATCCACGCTTTCCCCATTTGTTTCCGGGCCTAACTCGGTGAAAATTATTACCCCTGTCCAGACTCTCGAATCTCAAGATATCCCTGTGAATAAGGCTTATCTCGTTTCCTGCACCAACGCCCGGAGCTCGGACTTCGCCGCCGCCGCTCGCGTCTTCCGCGAGGCGGCCAAGGATGGCCAGCCCGCCAAAATTGCCCCCGGTGTCAAACTTTACATCGCTGCGGCCTCTGCTCCCGAGCAGGAGCTATCCGAGGAAGCGGGCGACTGGCAGGTCTTGATTGACGCTGGAGCTCAAGTTCTACCTCCCGGTTGTGGCCCTTGCATTGGTCTCGTGGGTTTTTTTGACTCCCCCCCAAATCTTTCAAGAAAAGTTCCCTTGACTAACTCGAGCAATGTCTTAGGGTACGGGTCTTCTCGAAGACGGCGAGGTCGGTATAAGTGCTAGTAACCGGAATTTCAAGGGCAGGCTTGGACATACAGGAGCGAAGGCCTACCTAGCGAGTCCGGAAACCGTCGCGGCCAGCGCGCTTCGTGGTAAGATCGCCGGTCCTGGTTGGTACCAGAAGCCCGAGGGTGTAGAGAAGGTCATTCTTGGTGAGGGTAGCGGTGATCATGTCGTCGACAAGGCTCGGTCTGTCGAGGATGCTCTTGACAAACTCCTTGGTGAGGTCGATAGCATGATCGCCACCGCTGAGGGCGCCCACGAGGGTGCCGCAGAGCAGTCATCCGGCAGCTCCGCCGCGCCTGAAGATGAAGAGTCTTTAACCGATATTCTGCCTGGCTTTCCTGAGAGGATTGAAGGTGAGATCATCTTCTGTGACGGGGATAATATCAACACGGATGGCATCTACCCGTAAGTTTTCACCCCTGAGACCATCACATACATCTCTCCAAGACTTCGAGCAATAGGCAACAATTAACCGAATCTGTCATAGGGGCAAATACACCTACCAGGATGACATTTCTAAGGAGAAAATGGCCGAGGTGTGCATGGAGAACTACGATACCGAGTTCCGCACGACCGCCAAGGCTGGCGACATTCTGGTAACGGGTTTCAACTTTGGCTGTGTAAGTGATAGCTATCTCTCCCGATCTTATTGTAGGAAGCAAATCTTCTAACCTTACCCAGGGATCCTCGAGAGAACAAGCCGCGACCGCCATCTTAGCGAAACAGATTCCTCTCGTCGTTGCCGGCAGTTTCGGCAACATCTTCAGCCGTAACAGCATCAACAATGCTCTCCTCGGCGTCGAACTGCCCGCCCTTGTACGCCGTCTACGCGAAGCGTACAAGGATGAGGCCGACAAGAAAGTCCTGACTCGCCGCACCGGCTGGAAGCTGCTATGGGATATTCGCCGCTCCAAGGTCGTCATTACCGAAAAGGATGGCTCCTCGTGGGAACAGAAGGTCGGCGAGATGCCCCCCAACGTGCAGGAAATCATCGCTTGCGGTGGACTTGAAGGCTGGGTCAAGGCTAAGATCGCGGCCGAGAAGTGACATCAAGTCCCCTGATAAATCTTCTTATACATCAATTAAATAAAGAATTTAATATACCTAATAAGAAAGTGTATTAAAAATTGAATGTATAATACCTCGACAAAAACCAAACTTATACTGCAAGATAATAAGGCCTTAGATATTGTTGAGACTACCACTATTGGTGTTAAAAGCAAAGCAGGAACGGGCAAGGGGGCAAGAGGTACTCGGTTCCTCCAACTGATCTGTCGACACTTCAAATGTATTTGTTGAAAGAACTGAAAGGAATTCCTTCGATCAGGGATGACGACCAGCTTGGCTCTGGAGGGCAGAGTATATCACGCCGGCAATAGCAAGTGTTTTCTCTTCTTCAAACTTCCTTCCTACGATCTGAACACCGACGGGTCCTCCGTGGTAAATATCAGGGTCGTCTATGAAGGAAAGGGTTAGTAAGTCGGCCCTTCTGTATATACACGCCGCCGGTGCCCCCTCTGCGGGATCAACTTACATGCTTCCCAGTTTAGCCTGTCACTGGCATTGAGCGGGACATATGTGTTATCAATAGGATCCAGGACCTTGTCAGCCTTGGTGACCGGAATCACAGCGGCGCTGTAGTTCAAGAGGTTGATGGCTTCTGTGTAGGCTGTGTATTTCAGACTTGAATCAGCACCAATCTCGAGCTAAAATGCTTTCGTGGCCGAATAAGTACCTACCAGTGTGATAGTACTTGCCAGGGATGACGGCGGCATGCGGAGCCACGGGCATAACTACCGCGTCCACAACGTGGCCTAAATATCCCCTTGTGAGCAGGTGTTAAGGGTAGGGACATTGACGGAGAAAATCGTAGCTGGGCAATACTGTCATACCTTCTTCGTCTGCTGTTGAATTCCAATAATCCGCGTATTCGGCCTCGTAGTTTAACCCTTGGAGAGTGAGGTCTTGGTATTCGAGTAAGGGGATTGCGTCACGCAGCTTAAAAGACTTGCGCAGCTCTGGGAGGAGAGGCTCGCCGGACCTTTTCAGGTGATGATGAATATCATGCGCTCCATCTGCATAGAGAAATGAGACGTGGATCCGCTTCGCCGTAGCCTGGTTTGGCGGCTCCCAATCTACCACGGTATGACCAGCTTCACGTACCGCATCCGCAATCATCTTGAGACCTCGTCGAACAGGTGGATGGGGCTCAACAGACATGTTTCTCCATAGAATACCAATCCTCAACGGGCGGCCCGTGGCGTTACCTCTGGAATCTACTTGGGAGCGAATTTCTTCGAGTTCTCCCGACCGCCAAGGGATGGGGACTACAGACGGGTCTCTGAGCCAGGGCTTTGTTTCGAGCACCGATTTGAAAGCTAACTCGAGGCCGGCGAGTGAAGTGCTCATGACCCCTACGGTGGAACGATAAGTATTTTGGCCGGGATTCTGGGAACCGGTCTATCAGTAAATATTCGCCCCCTTGTGCAGAGCGGGCGGCCGTAGCAATATATCTTACGGTATTGGCCACACCTCGGTAGGGTAGTCGTTCTGGCGTGGGCTTGATAGAGAATACGCCGCAAAAAGCAGCCGGTATACGAACTGAACCGCCTAGAACGAAGGAGTTAGTGGGCTGTGGAACGTTTCAAATCGATTGCGCGGAAGAATTGATAGTACCAATGTCGGTGCCAAGCCCGATAGAACTCCCGCGCAAGGCTAACAAGGCGCCCTCGCCTCCGGACGAGCCGCCGCAAGACAAACCCATATTATGTGGATTCAATGTGCGGCCGATGATGTTATTGACAGTCTCCCCAAGCTGTTCCTCCGCTCATTAGCAAGCCGGAGCGACACCAGAGTCTCGGGCATAGGTGCTAAATAGACTTAACGGGACAGTCGACACTCACCAAAAGCGTCTGGGGTAGGCTTGTCTTGCAGTAGAAGATGGCCCCTAGAGACCGCAGGTCGGTCACAATCTGGCTCTCGAAGGTTCTCGTCTCCTCTTCCTCGACGCCGAGCTTTCCTCCTATCCAGCCGACGTAGCCCATTGTCGTGTCGACATCTTGAACGTGGAACTGGTCCTTCAGACTGATTGGCAGTCCGTGTAGCGGCCCGGTAGGTTTTCCATGTTCCTGGAAATACGCGTCGAGGTATTTCGCGCGTGAGAGGGCTTGGTCGATGAAGAGTTCGTGGAGGCAATTATTCTAGAGAGACGGCCGATATTAGAAAGAAGCTGTGACCTCTTCTTATATATTAGATTTCGAAAGTCGTTTGACTGACAATCTGATGCGCAATTGCTGCGGTTTGGCAAAATGCGGTTGCGACTTGGAGAGCGGACAAATCGCGCTCTTGCAAAAGGGCAACAATTTCACAAGGATCGCGAGAAATGATGGCGACCGTCTCGGGTGTCAGGAAGCTATTGATGAAGGCCCCCGTCAGGTCTCGTTGCCCCTGGGCGCGTTCAAGATCGCCAGTGCTCAGCTGCCATTCTTTGGGAATGCCTGCTAGTATCGATTCCCGTTTGCGCCGGGCTTTCTCTTCCCAGGATTCTGAGGTAGTTGACAAAGACGTCATATTTGAGCAATGCCTCGGGGAGGAGGGTTTAGTTGATGCCGCAGGACCGGGGCCAGAAGCAATCCGTCGGAACAGCAGCAACACAAGTCGTCGTTCCGCTTGATCGCAGAGCCTCAGAACGGAGGAGTCGGGCGGCCTTTGAGGCAAGTCTCGGTCATGAGATACCCCGCTTTTTCTCCGTGTCACTGGTGTGGTGGAAACGCTTTAACACACAAAACGCCCTGGCCATGGACGGATGGCGATTGCTGCTCTCCGACTGGAAGATTTTACGGGGGCTCCATGAAATATTTCAAAATAGTGAGTTCAGTTAAAGAGAATGTCGCGAAAGCTACATGGGGTAGAGGTAGAACGCCGAGCGAGAAAGTGTAGGAGCTATTATCTGCAGATTAATTCCAATTCCCTGCTTCAGTTTCACATCGAGTTACCAAGTTAGGTTTAGATGACAATGAACTCCCCAATCTCGTAGGATACCGCTTTTTTGTAGGATTAAGTTTCCGGTCTGTCTGCTCTATTCTAAAACAGAAGTCTCCAGAAGAAGGGGCCTGTCTTTATTTCGCTCATCCCTTCAAATCCCGATGGCCATGCCCCAATCCAGCGCTCAACTTGGCCTGCTCCCGCTGTTCACATGCATCAATGAATCTCGATGGTAGTTCCCGGACGACCTCATCTTTTGATGCCAGAATCACGCCCGACGTGCGCAGATATTGGTTTCTAAACGCCGACCACAGATTCTTCTCAACGTCGGATTCCATCATAGGAAGTGGGTAATAAGGGTCATTCTCAAAGAAGGCGAGAACAAGCTGCTCAAGAAGGGCTGGGTGTTGCGTTGAGTCAGATACGGCTTCTTCTTTAAACCGGGTGCAAAGGTTGAAATCCAAGACCCATAGTCTCATAAGGGATCCACGATGGTTGGCGCGCACCATACGATCTAGATTCTGGTGTGGCGGCATATCAACAAGATTCTGTGCGGTCAGTCCGAGAAGGTCCGAGAGGGGCTTCGAGTAGATACGACGGCTAGTTTCGGGTTCACTGCCGAGCACGAACTCTATGTCGTAACCGTCCACGTTGGCGGACCAGTGAATGATGGCGAGCGATTCCGCCATTGCCCTGGCGTATTGATTGACGGGCAGGCGCAGGTCTAACATCTGATCGAGGTGCAGATTGAAGTTCCTGAGAGAGAAATTTGGCGTGGGTTGTCCAGCGTTTGGGCGATGTCTGCCTAGGTAAACACGAGCTAGGCAATCCCGATTCAGAGGGTTAGACTTGGCACTCTCCTGTAGCTCTTCTGCGCAAAACAGTTTGATCAGGGCGTTCCTTGCGGCTTTTGGAAGGGGGAGGATGCGTTCGGTGACGAGAACCATGGTCGGAGTGGGAAAATCGTCTGTTTTCTCGAGGAGTGGCCCATACTCCTCCCACCAGTCTTCGTCATATTTAGCGACGTAGGAGTAGACGGCAGGTACGATACACCGGGGCGTAGAGCTCTGCTTCTCGAAGCATTCCGAGACCTGGGAGTGCACGAGGAAGTCGTTCCAGAGCGAATCGTGGAAAAAGGGCCGCGCGAGCTTGACGATGTACCCCCTTCCCGGCCTTTCGAAGACCAATCCGCATTGACCGAAGCCAATCTTCCTGAAGCCCACTTGAAGTTCTTTCTGGGCCTCATGACGTGAGATATATGTAGCCGAGTGTGGCGAGGCCGTCGAGATCACTGGGTCTAGAGAAAGGAGCCTCGTTAGAACGCTGGCCGGAGGGGCATCTTCGGTAATCCGAGCTGCGGCCTCCACCGTGTTTGATCTCCAGCGGTCGAGTATTTCGGACAGCCCGCACGCCCCCCGCACGGCGTCCTTGCGCAGGTCGGCGGAGGTTTCGAGAGTAGTTGAGGACGGGGCGGAATCCATGGCCAGAATGGTGGGAGGCAGAGAAATGTGGGTGTTAGGGACGCGTCAAATGGCTCGTAAGACTGGAAAGAGCCGTAAAGTTGGGATCGTTACCACTTGTAAGGCTCGAGTTGGGCGCTTCAATTTGGGAACCCTGGACGAGCAAGGAAACAATGGGGTGGACTGAGGCCTGGGGAGGGGGATCCGAAGAATGTAGGGGCCTAGGGATCCGTGATAAACTCCACTGCACAACGTTTAGCCTCAACTTGCATGTGCCAGTCACAGGCATTAATGTTGGGTACCTGATTTTCTAGTACAAGATCTTGTGATTCCAAGCAAGGCAACAGGCAACAGCATTTGAACACGAGGTTGACTGAAATATGGATTAGTAATATATAGCAATAGCGGATTAAAGCTGCGAGATGAAGCTTGAATCAGATTGTCCAGTAGCGGCGTCATGTATGACAAGATATTTATCTCCCCCTTCGCAGCTTAGTTGGATATCGGCCATGATCACGGCGAATCGCGTGACGGAACCTTGAAGCGTCATAGTCTCGGAACGACTACAGTACGGCCTGTCGCTCTAGTTCTCGTTGCGCGGCTTGTTTGCACTCTTCGCCTTCTCTTCGCCATTCGCTCTCCGGCAGGTGTCGCCGTCGACACAAAGTGCATCTCGCTCGGGTTTCTTGAGGAACCGTTGCGCCGCATAGACACCAGAACTACATCCCACCGGTTAGCACCTCGAGTTGTGAAGGGGCGAGAGATTTTGGGGGAAGACGATCGGAACATACCGCGAGGCTCTGTTCCCAGATGGTCTTTGTGCGCGGCGGACGGCGGGTGGTCCTAAAGTCTCGAAACTGCCTGTACATCTCACAATAGTCGCCCGTGAACTTGTCCTCCTTCTCCACGCAGTCTATGCATATCCACCTCGTGTAAAGATTGCAATCGCACCTATCGCTTCCAAGTGTTTCCAAACTCTTCTTCTCAGCCTCCTCGTCGCATGGTGGGCAGAGATACATGATATTCTTCGGCTGGTAAGCGGCATCTAAATGAGGTCGCGGGTAGCCGAAGAACCGAGGGTGATAGGCTTCCTCTCTTGGATAATCCCGACACTCCTCGCAGACATTGATCCCACACTTGAAACAAGGGAAAGACTTCGACTCGCCGCACTCGGCTCTTCCCACGCGAGCCCGCATCCTTGCGGCGTAGGCCTCGTATTCATCCCCAGTTACCCAGTACGGCCAGAGATACTGTGTTGAGGCTTGGCTGTCCCGGCGCCACTGCAGGCCCCTCCCGTCGCAGATGCACTGCCTCCGAATAGCCTGGAATAGTTCCTTGGACCCGAGGATGGATGAGAAATGCAATCGGTTTGTTCGAGCTAGGTGGTAGAGATCCTTGGGGGTAAGCGACGAAGCGAGCGACTTCAGGATCGGGTAGGCGGTGAAGACAATCGTCACCGATCTCGACGGTTCTAGGGTGGGGCCAATGGTGGCTGGATTAGAGGAACTCGACATGATTGAATCTGGGGCGAGAGTCAGCGTAGTGTCTATTTCCAAGGAATCTGTAATGAATCTCAGGGTCGCATTTTCGGAGAATGCAGAGTGCGGAATGCAGAATATACCTGGCCCTTAGCGGCTGATAAAGTTAATCTTTGTATTGGTCTTACTCCTTGGTGTTAGATGCGGTTCGGTTGATGTTATTCACGAGAGTCGTGACAGGTGTGAATGATGATCAATTCCTGGAATCTGCATGGCATTTGTGTTGATGTCGACCCGCCTGCTTTTATAAATCATCTACCAAGAAGCTGTTTCAGTCAGGAGTGGTGCGGTCCTTTGACTCTTTGTCAAAAGCCAGGCCAATGTTGCTCCAGTGGAACCTGAAATATTACCTAGGTGGATGTGGAAGTTGGGTAAACAAAGGAATTCCTCGACTCTTTTCTTGCCAACACAGCCACTTGCGCTGCTCTGCCGGGACGGCCGGCGGTATCCTGGAAGGAGGACTACGGAAGCCTGTAGCGAATTTGTAACTTTTGAAAATTTTCAACCTCGACCCCTCCATACACACACACCATCCATACAAATACTTACACTTCTAGTTAAATAAACTTCAGTATTATTCAATACTAGGAACTATTATTCAATATTAGGAATATTGGGAATACTGCGAATACTACGAATACTGCAAATACTGCGAATACTGCGAATACTGCGAATACTGCAAATACTGCAAATACTATGAATACTGTGAATGTGGAATAGGAATGTGGGAATATTAGAATATAGGAATGGGAATGGGAATACTGGAATACTAGAATACTAGAATACTAGAATACTAGAATATAGGAATAATTAAAATACTACTTAGAATATTAGTAGAGTGGGTAAGTTTAGAAGGACTTGACTAACTTGTAGTAATAGGGGTAGCTTAGAAGGAGGATGATAGATGATAGAGGGGAAAAAAAGAAAAGTTAATAGTAAAGGAAATATTATTTTATTGAAGCTATGCTGAATGTTCTAAATCTGTATGGGTTGGGGTAGTTCTAGTAAAAATTTGAGGGGTTGAGGTTGAAAGTTTTCAAAAGTTACAAATTCGCTATAGGCTTCCGTAGAGGACAACCGCAGGTGTACTAGACTTGTGCGGCAGCCAATGTCGCCTGCAGCTGAAATGCAACTCCATTGGAACATGTTCCTGGAAATCAGGCAGCAGTTTGAGGAATTCGGGCTTATATAAGGAATTCAGATATGTCTTGACTCTGATAATCCGACAGGATCTTTCACTAAGTTGAATAACCGAAGTTCCGGCATCCCAGAGCGGTTGAATTTATTCACAACATGTATTATCCCAGGTCCGTTTTACGTGCTCTTTCTTGAAACAGTTCTCCAGAAATGACTGCGTAAGCGTGAAATATTCCATTTCATAGATAATGACAAGAAGAGCCATGTTGGTCGAAAAATAGAACTCCTTTCCTCACCATGCTGGGGAAATGACGAGGGCAACTTATCAGAACTACTCTAGTCCGGCCCGACCATGTTCCATCCTCTTTGTAACCACTTTACTTGCTCGTATCTCTCGCCTTGAATAACAGTTCACGCTTCGGATCTGGAATGCACTGCAGTTTCTTCATCAGTATATGGGTTGCATATCACGATGAAATAAGACGCTCGCCGGAGAAAAAAAAAAAAAAAAACTCACCATATGGGCAAACTCGAGGTTAGGATACCTCTCTTTCGAATCACCGACGAGCCCCATATCGTAGGTCAACATGGCGTGAATCAAAAGCAATTTGATTTCATTGGCGGCGAAGAACCTTCCGGGACAGGCGTGACGCCCGTAACCGAAACCCAAACTGTTTGGGCTCACGCTCACGAATTGGTTCAGCGCCGACTCTGCCACGCTATGTTCCTTGGCTGCCTCTCTAAGCTTGTAGAATCGTAGAGGATCGAACTTGTCGGCGTCCGGGAATACCTCGGGATCAAAGTTAATGGCGACCGCAGGGACTTCGATGGTGACGCCGGCAGGGATGACTTGGCCGTTGGAAAGCTTGAGAGGCTTGAGGACCTTGCGCTGGAAGGAAGCTACATTTCATGTTAGTCATTGCATACTCTGGCGAGGGGACAGGATTGTATAATATGTCTCTCACCCATTGTAGCCGGATACGTGCGGAGGACCTCCTTCAGGAAGCTGTCAAGCTTCTTCATGTGCTGGAGAGCAACCGTGGTAGGCACACCGCCACTATCAGCTAAAGCGCTGTCTATCTCCTCTCTGAGTTCCTCGACGAATTCGGGCAGCGCAGCAAGGGAATAAAACCTGAGGGGAAGAAAAAGGGGGGCTAGATTAGAACCTGTGCCCGTATTCCGATAGAAAGGAAAAGCCACTGTCGACTTACGCATTCGTCGCAGTCAGGGTCGTCGTATGGATAGCGGCGAAGCTCAAGCCCAATTGGACCCTGACGAGGTTTTGGCTATTTTTATCAGGAAACTTGCTCTGAGCGTTGACGAGCCACTGAAGCATGTCGTCCGGCTTCTCCGCCGTCGGGTCAAGTGCGATCGCCTTCCGTGCCTCCACGACGGGCGATATGAACTTCACGGCCTCCTCGATGCGTTTATCGAGGTTCTTCACCTCTGGGAGCCGAGAAGCTAGGAAGGGCCTCAACCATGGCCGCATTCTCTCAACGGCTCTCTGAGCTCCCATGACATCCAGCGTGTAGTTGATCGAAGCATCGAGATAGGCCTCGGAGCGGCATAGCTCGGGGCCGATAAAGACGCGACCGGACACCATGGCAACGATGCGCAACAGCTTTTGGTGGATGTTTACGGTTGTCCAATCCCGGCATTGGGGCATTTCCAACTCGAATGCCTCTTGCACCTCTTCGAAAATGGTGGGATTGAGCCGAGCTGCAGCGACGGGAACCGCCGTGTCAATTCACGATCCTGACCACCCAAGGTAACTACAGCAGCTCGACTTACTCAAAGCCGGAGTCAAATTTGCCTTCACTGTAAAGGGGATAATTGGAACGTAGGTCTCGATCTTGGTGTACTTTGTCTGCATTGCCTATTGAAGACCGTGTTAGCTTACCCTTCCACTATGGTTCTCTGAATGGAATAGAGTCCATACGTACTTCGTCAACGGCGATTTCCATGCTGACGACGGTGTCGGGGACCTTGAGCTCGGAAAGGTATTTCCCAGGCACAACTACAACAGTGGTGTCTATCATATTTTGTTAGCTTTTCAACGATAGCTTGTGCCATCTATGATCTTTCCTCACTTCTAGACGTCGTAATCCTGAAGACTTGATCCTTAAACTACGCGACGAGTCAGTAAAACCGGACACGAAGGATTCCGCGTCGTCACATATTAACATACCTTCCGATACCCTGCTATATACACCTTTTTCGCACCCGATAAATAGGCCAACCTTCGCTTCTCGGCGCCTCCCCATTCTGTGCCGACGACCGGGAGTCTCCAGATGCGGAGTGAACTTATCAAGCTCGGCCAGAGGAACACGGAGAGGCACGCAACCGCCGCCGACAGGAAGGCGGGCCATTTGTTGCCGAATATGACGGATAAGACCGCCATTTTTTGGGGTGCAGGAGCCGTCGAAATTTGAATGGCTACTATCGTGAACGGTCCATTACACGGACTTGATCTGGAATAACGATAGAAAACCGACTGCCATCTTCACTCGGCTTGCCGTCTCTCTTTATAGAATCTCGGTCATTTACTACTGCTGTCGCTCCAGATCTCCATATACCCTTTGTTAATGTCGATCAATCTTCAATCCTCCAATACCATTTGAGGTGATTACAACGTTGCCGCGTGTATTATGCGGCGTAGGTTAAAATGCCACGCGAAACCGGGCGAACACATGTCGGCGACGATCCAGATTTCCCTTCCACGTATTTTCCCTCTGGGACAAGTTTATTGCATGCGACCTTGTAAAGTTGCTTGCGTGCGGATCGCGGCTATGATTGGCTCGGTTTCGGATCCCGCTGCCATTGGCTCGTTGTTTAAGATTAGCTGCATCCAGTGTTGGCCTCACCGGAGGCGATGGCCGCACAGTCACACGCCGGATTCTGAAGAAGGGTATTTAGGGGTCGAATAGAGGAAAAGAAATGAGACAAAAAGCAACCTCGTTGTCTCTTTATTGTCCGAAGGGAGTTGTCGGGCCCGATTTGAATCCGCTGGCTCGGGATCGCGGCTTGGCTGAAAAGGCTTTAAATAGCTTTAAATAGCTTTAAATAGCTTTAAATACCTTCCTCTTCGGTTTCTGTGCGATGCTACGAAACGTCCTCTCGTCGAGTTCGTACCAGCTCGGGTTTCCCTGTAGCCATCCTTCATTTTCTTCTTCTTTTGTTACAATAAATTTCTAAGTCTCTCTGCGTGAAGCCAATGAGTTGGTTGCGCTCGGTGAGATAAAACAGACTTCCTAATGGAGGCAGAAACGAAGAACTCAGAGTCCCTGCGACCGTCATCACACCAGGGCACCATCGACACAATCAACCCCAATCTAGCTTCAGACTCGGTCATCTTGGTAGATTGGGAGAATGAACATGATCCCCAGAATCCGTTGAACTGGCCACCCGCGAGGAAATGGGGCATCATCAGCACACTATCTCTAATGTGTTTCGTAACGTGAGTTGTCCTGAGCTACTCTCCTAAGTGAAGCCCAGTCCACCAATTTTTGTTTCATGTTTCCGTTTCTTTTCTCAACGCGAACCGCTAATCATCGACGTCTTCGCCCACTCTAGCCCTCTCGCTTCCTCGATGCTCGCCCCCGGAGTCCCTCTCATCCTCAAGGATTTCCAAGTCAACAATAACCAGCTCGCTACGTTCGTTGTCTCGGTTTTCGTCCTCGGATACGCAACAGGTCCCCTGCTTCTGGCGCCCATGAGTGAGCTGTATGGGCGGACAATAGTCTACCATGTGTGCAACATCCTCTTCATCATCTTCACCATCGCCTGCGCCGTTTCCCAGGACATGGGCATGCTTATAGCCTTCCGCTTCTTCGCGGGGTTCGCCGGCGTGGCGGCTCTGACAATCGGCAGCGGATCGATTGTAGACCTTATGCCGCAGGAGCAGAGAGGTCGAGCTATAGCTTTGTGGTCTCTTGGGCCTCTGATCGGACCTGTTGTGGGACCTGTCTGTGCCGGATTCTTCGTGGAAGAGATTGGTTGGCGCTGGGTATTCTGGATCATTGCCATCGCCGTGAGTGCATAGACTGAGCGGCCCAGACACTCGAAGATTGATTTACGTCTCTACTAACCCCTTTCTTTCTCAGTACGGAGTTGTCACTCTTGTATCCTTCGCGGTTCTCCGCGAAACCTACCCGCCTACGCTCCTCAAGCGCAAGGCAGCGCGACTCCGAGAGGAGACTGGAAATCCCAATTACCGATCGAAACTCGAAGGCGACGGATCTCCGAGGGAGATATTCGTAACCGCAATCATCAGACCAATGAAGATGCTCGTCGCCCTGCCACCCGTCACAATCATGTGCTGCTACATCGCCATTATTTACGGGATACTCTACATCCTCTTCACGACCTTCACCTTCGTATACGTGGACATATACGGCTTCAACTCCCGTGGTGCTGGGTTATCCTTTATTGCTGGTGGTGTTGGCAACATCCTGGGCCTCATTTTCACCGGCTTCCTCTCCGACCGCATTATCCAGAACAAGCAAGCAAAGGGCCTGACGCCCCAGCCAGAGGACCGACTCAACCTTATCATAACGGTCCCAGGCGCTCTTCTCCTACCCCTGGGGCTCATGATGTACGGTTGGACGGCTGAGAAGCACGTTCATTGGATCGCGCCCATGATCGGCACCGGACTCCAGGGATTCGGCATGATGGGTCTGTTCATGAGCGTCCAGGCCTACCTCGTCGACGCGTATTCCGCGCACGCCGCCTCCGTTACCGCTGCTAATGCCGTCCTCCGAAGTATTCTCGGGGCGATCCTGCCTTTGTTTGGGCTTGAGGTCTATGATTCCTTGGGGCTTGGGTGGGGGAATACTCTTCTCGGGTTGATACTTCTTGGCATGGCACCAGTGCCGTGGGCCTTTGGGAAGTTTGGCGACCGGATAAGGAATAATCCCAAGTTCCAACGACCCTTCTAGGACCTATTTCTCTTTTGGAGCAAAAAAAGAGGAAGCAAATCATTTGACCATAAAGGAAATAGATACTAGACAACAATAAGGAGTGCATACTCTTTCACTTCCTGCAGGGATTCATATCCCATGCAATGAGAAACATGGACTCTAGACTCATTATAATAAAGGAGCAGGCTCTGTACATAGAACTTAATTTTATAGATTGCATTCAGTCATTCGATATACCCAATGTGGTGAAACACCCATTCACAAAGTTTCATATGCGAGGGCGATAAAAGCCTTCTAATATCCGAAGCCACACTCTTCCCCCAGCCACGCGTGAACCATGCGGTTGCCTCGGAATCATGGACGATAATGCAGTAGTACATAACTACTATGAGTGCCAGGGGATGCCTTTCCTGCAACAGAGTCAAGAACTCGTCGGATAGGACAATGGGCCATAGAGAGATGGCGCGCAGCTCGGGTGTCGATGATGTTCTTATGGCGTCGCGAGTACCTCTGACGAGTTTGAATATCGCGCCATCAACTATGCGTACGACGGCCGGGTCATATTGAATGCCAGCGTGACGTATCCGCGACCCTAAACTTTCGAGATCCTCACACATTTCCTCGAGAGGGGATACGGGGTTCGTATACACCGGTAGTCTGAAGAGATCGACAAGGCAGCCTTGTTGCATGATGCTCTTTGATTCGTGCAAGACGATGTTCATCCCGCGGACAAATGTAAAGACATTGATCAGATCAGCCAACATTGGTCGGGGGTTGTCGCCTCTGGCTGCAGAGCTGAGGGACAACCGGGCAAAGGCTCCAAAGATGAGAAAGCACGCCGCCGCGAAAGACGCCTCGGAGTGTTCGACAGCAAGGTCGGCCAATGATGTTCTTAACCCGCGGGCGGCTTCGGTCTGGTGCTGCAGGGCAAGAACGGAGTATTGATGGCGTTTGTCCGGATTAAGGTGTGCCATGTGGAAGGCCGAGAAGGCTAGGATCTGGTGTAGCAAGGGATTATGGGTGAAGGCAAGCTTGACGACTTCGCTTTGCCAAATATGCAGTACTTCGTCGCCCCTCGGTAGTGTATGGCACGTAACCAGCGTGTAATGATGCATTAGTTGGAGGTCTTCAGCCCACAATGTAAGTGCCGGCATAGGTGAACTTCCTCGGACGTCCGAATCGCGAGGACGACGTTCTGAAGAGTCATCTGTTGGCCGTTGGGGTGAAGGGCCTGGTTCTTCACAGGCTTCAGTAGCTGGAGAGGTGATTCTAGGGGGTGGGAGGGGTAAGAGGGTTCGCGGCTTCCTGCCGTGAGAATTCAGCTCGTCGAGTGTGCTGTGTCCCGGAGAAGGCGTGGCGCCTCTAGATGAAGTGGAATCCGTCGTGAGACTGCAGGTGACTCCGTGGTTTGCACACGCTCCACACGGCCGACTTTCATCACACTGCGGGAGTTTTAGGCGGTTAGCTGGAGGCTGTGGGGAAAGGGGACCACACTGACCTTGACGCGTCGCCTTTTGCACCGCTCACACCCGGACCGGGACTTTTTATACCCCAATCGTGGCATTAGCCCAGCCCATCTGCGTCGACTGGCCCCCTAAGGATGCCTTCAGGGGATCTCTTCTCGGAAAGCGAGGAACTTGATGCGGACCGTGGTCTGGGATGGTCAGAGTCACATTCAGACGGTCTACAAACCATTATTCGGCCGAATATTCATACGGGGCCATATGAAGAAAATTCAAGACACAAGAGTCTCTTGGAAGTAGATGATGTCCCGTCCTCTCCCTGCATTCAAAGATCTGTTCAAGTTTGAACAGATTTGGGGAAAGATGACTAAGCAACATGACCGGAACAGCCGGGATCCGCAACTCTTCTTCCGCCTCTTTTCCTCATCACCGCTCCGGCAAATCTCACTCATAGCCGTTGTTCATAGATTTTATATACTTTTCTTCGTAATGAATCTCATTAGGATAAAGTATGAGCGTGAGGCTGATCCAAACTCTTCTAGGCCCTGTTAAGGTTAGGTGTGTGGGTATGACTGCCAAAAACTGACCTTTCCGTGCTTCTCGTAAGATGCTGTTCAATTCAGAGTGTCGGTCAAGGTGAGTTCGGTCTGGGCTGTAGGCCGCGCTAGATGAGAGAAACAGTGAGGACAGAGCGGCTCGGGCATCTTTCCTCCTCGTCATCGGAGTGGCAGTAGGTAGAGCCACAGCAGCCGGATTTCGGCGCTCACCAGAAGTCGAGATGTCATGGGTATCAGACGCAACAGGAAAAAAGAGATCAGGCATGTCACCTTCCGCTTCACAGAGTCCTTAAAATCTGACGAGATGTCAACACCGGGTGGCCTCCACCGACGAAAACGTACATCTTTATCTCTTCCATCGAGGTCTAGATAATTGTTACTTTTCCCACTGCGGCCCCTTCAAAATAATCATCAACTCTAATCTTCTGTCCCTCTGCCGTCTTCACGAACCTCAATTTCTTAACATTATCCACCTTTGTGAACTTTCCTATCCGGACGTACCTATCACGACCCTCGAGATATCTCAACACCAGTCCACAGCTGGCCCTCGCAAAATCAACAGACTCCCACCCAAGCCTAAGCAAGAAAATTGGACTACCAGACGGTAGAAAGTCTTCATGTCCAGGCACTCCAAGTTCGGTGTCGGCTTGGATGTAGCCCCACAGCCCATCTTGTTCTATCCAGTACGCCCTCAACCATTTTTGCGTCGAGAGTGACTTGTCCGCCAAGAGTGAGTCGGGGTCTCGATTGATATGTTTGTGCTTCAGAGTCGCCGGCACAAGTCTCCCGTAGGCGGTCAGGGAGCCCTCGCTGCAGTGACCGCAGATATCGGTACCGTAGGTGCAGGAGGCATCGAGTACCTCGAAGTCGGTGTCGGGTTCGAAGTTGGAGAAGTTGGCTTGGCCCTCACGCGAAGCCCATGACTACGAGGGTGCAAAATAGCCCTGGCGAGGGACATGGCGGGGCACATTTGTCCCTCCGACTCCCGTCGCCATGTGTGGTTCTATGGACCAGAGAAGCGATGGGATTAGGTCGCAGTGCCAAATCCCGGCGAGGTAACCACTCCGACTCTTTACATCGCCCTTGGTCTCGTAGAAGCGGTGAGCTAGCCCGGAAAGTGCGGGGAGTCTATCACTCGAATAAGTGAGCGACATTGCTGTATAAGTTGTCACCAGGTCTCTCCACGCATCGGAGTCGCTGCTTTCCCCCCCCACAGTACCGGAATTTCTAAGCACGGCATGGCTGGTGGAACTAGTCTGTGAGAAGTCTACAGTTCGAGACTTGGGCTGACGTCTATCAGCCTCCTTGCATTCGCATCTCCTCCTCGTTTTGCATTCCCAATACATCTCCTCGCGCGTGAAGCTCAGGGTGCGCCGGGACAACAGCCTTTCCTGCAGGCACCAACCCCGGGTGAGCAATGGCTCTGAGTCGGTCGTTGGTGCAATGCCTAAGTCTTGGGCCTCCTTCATATTTTGATCGTAGAAATGCTGCTTGAAAGCCAAACGCGCGTTGATGGGCGGCTTAGCCCGGACGCGGTGCGGAGTGGCCATTTTTTGAGCAGGGTCGTCAAGGTCTCGCCGGCCCGCGTAGCGATCTGAGAAGAGGCCGCCGTCACTGTGTGCGGACCAGATAGCGCAGAGGGTCAATGTGGAATTTTCGTAGACGTCAGCCATACGGGATGCCGTGGCTGCCCAGTCTTGGGGATCGTCTTGGACAATACAGAGCGCATCAATCTATCGGGATGCTGTACCGTTAGAACTTAGAACTCCGATAAGTGAGAGTATTTGATATGGGAGAAGTCATTCTTTGCTAACCCAAAGGTATGAAAACCCAAGCGCTCTTGATACGGTTATGGCGTCTTGGTGGGTTTTGCACAAGTCATTCCAGCTGATCTCGTGGCGATGCCGGTCAAGATTGGATTTTGTCGTTTTCAGTCGCTGCGTTTCCGGATTCCCCCAGCAGTATGAGAGAGTGACATAGTCGGCTTCGATGGCAGTCCCTTCCAGGATTCTAACGCCTTGCGCAGATATGTCCAAAACCCTATCTGGCAGCTGGGGTTTCGCTAACCCCTTCTTTCCATGGCAGTCAGGGTGGGTAGACAAGCAATCCTCCATCCACCCCCTCGCCGTCTGCAGACAATGTGGATCATCGGAGCGTCTGGGTACGTCGTATGATGGGCCGAAGAGCGGCAGAGGTGTTAGCGCCTGCTGAAGTCTGTTATCCCGATCGACATCGATACCCTTCGGAGGAGACGGACTGGGTATCCACGTGTAGAGTTGAATAGGATGTGAGCGCTTATGAGTTTCTCAATCCATCCTTGTCCCTTGCAAAACCACGACAACCCGATTCTCAACTGTCAAGAATGGATCAGCAGGACCTACATGTATCTCGACGTCCAAATCACCAGCGTCGATCCACATGTGTTTTATATTATTTCGCGGTACGTAGTCCTCGCCCCGTGCCGCGAACGCGCTCTCACTATCTTCCGGCATTTCGCTATGCAAACGCCAATGATCTTGCCAGCCGACTAAGTCGTCAGTGGCGCGAAAATGTTTAAATGCCAGTCTGATGGCTGTGCATGCGGCGCATCCTGATTTGGCGCTCGATTTAAGGTGTCCAAGCTTGGTTTTGATTACTCCATCGCCGCCGTCGCCGGCAACTGGATCGGTGATCAGGTCATGGCAGGCAGTACATGTGAATCCCTGGACGATGGGGTTTGTCGATGGCTTCTTGTTGCGTCCTTGCAGGTGCTCAATGAAATTTGCCATCGTCGATTGCGGCAGCTCCTCTTTGGGGTCTGACCCCTCGTTGGGAAGGGGCTCTCGAGGCTTGCGCTCTCGGCGAAACTTCTCGAGAACTGGCCAAAACATGGCGCTTGCTATCCGTTGAGATTGATCCGTCTCGCCTTTTATTCTCTAGTGAACGGTTCGACCCAGGCGTGGAGAGAGAGAGAAAGAGAGAGAAGGTGCGATGCTGACCCCGCCTTTTCTTCTTATCGTGACTTTGGACCTTGCCACGAAGTCCCGAAATGATAGTCCCCGAGCTCAGCCGCACGCCAACTGCTTTTCCAAATTGCCAGGAAAGTGGAAAAAATATGACGTCAAAAGCTCATTTCAGCCGCAGCAACTCGTTACATCCAGAAACACAATTGATTCCCAGAGTAGAGACGACTGGCGTCCGGGAGCGTGTCTCACCTCCTGAGTCATTACTTCTTGAGGTGAAACCGTGAAAGTTGTCTCCGAGATTGACAACGTTGCACGAGTATCTCCGCTGCGGCATGGTAGTGCCTATCATTACTCTTGGTGCCGCTAAGGCCGACGAGGATTCTGTAAATGACTTGCCCTTGTCCGTCCTCCATGCCCGGATCTCATATAGCGGGATATGACAACCTCGTTGAAGAGTATCGCTTGGTGGATCCGGTATCGACCGTGTGGTAAATAACTAAAGCTGTCGGGATGATTGAGGTGACATTGGCCTCGAATGTCTGAAGGCACCATCGGCACCAAGAATCCAAATCAGAGATGAGGCAAGACGCATCGCCAGCCTCCACCGCTCTCCCCCGACCTCCTCCCCTTCCCCCACCATACGGATACCAACCTACTAGTACGTGTTGGTTCTGTAGATGTGGGATTCTATTTAATTTTTGCTTCTGAGTTCATTTTCTTCTACTCTTTGTTCTTTTATTTTATTCGGATATGTTGGATCTTTCGTTGTAACTTGGACTTCTTTTTCTCGTGTGTTCGACCACCAACATACCCAGTCCACGCCTGGAAAGAGGGAGTGCCTGACTGAAGATATAGTCAAAAGTTCAGCGGACAAGACAACCTCGGCACAACTCCCCTCAGCATTGAAAACCGATATACTCTCTCCAATGAAGTCACCGACCGCTAATAAAGGAACTCGGGGCAGACCCTTGGGGTCTGAGGCTGAAGTTACGTTGGATAGTTACAAGCGTTGGCAGATTTGATGGGATCACGGTGAAAGAATAAGATAGACGCAATGACGCCTTAGCGCAGCTCATGGACAATCAATTTTGGGAAAGATTGTGATGAAACAACTACTTCGAATCCTTCCAGCTCAACGTGTTATCAATAAAGCAATTTTACACGCAGCATGTCCTCCGTTGCTTAGGATCAAACCTAACCGGCTACACCTAGACGAGCACAATACATTGCAACACTTTTATGAGCTTTATCCCCATCACAGGTCAATTGTAGATCCAGGACGGGAGAGGTTGACACGCCAATGGTGAACATTGACAGGATCCTTCTCGTAGACGTTCACCTCGAAGAACTTGTTATGGGCGCCGCATCGGAAGTTCTTGTAGCTGTAGGCAGATGGAAAGAAGCCAGTCAGAAATAGATGTCATCACACCTAGGACCTTGGGGAGACTTCAGGCCATCATAGCACTGGGGACTTACGCATTCAGCTTCTGGAAGTTTGCCTGAATCAAATCGTTCTCGTCAATTTCGATGAAGTCCTCACTCTGGCCCTCGACTGAGGCAAAGTATCGCTTTGATTCAAGAGGGCCGTAGTTGACTTGGCGAACAAGCTGAATCACGAATGGGCAACCGAGCTTGACAAGATCGACAGCGGCACTGTCTTCGGCCTTGGACGAGGACTTGGGGAACTTGGCCCAGGCGAGGAACTTTCGGAACTTGGCCTCATGTTGGAGGGTCTGAGGGCGGTAGGGCCTGGCGTCATCACAGCAAAACAGAGCTGACATGATGGGGATGGGTAATATAGATGGCCAAGATAGATGGGCAAGCACGCTTTTGACAGGCTGGGGCTCAGAGTAAAGGTGTTTGAATGTCTGAAAGGGGATGATTTGGAAGCGACTGTCACTTGTACGGGGGGGGAAAATGCCAGCAATTTATATTTCACTTGAGGCCTCTACTGAACGGATTCCCTACCTGACATTGATAACCTGCCCTTCCCGACTTCCTACCTTTCCCATGTCCCTCCTCGCCCTCACCATCCTTGTGCGCTGGGCAATGATGCGATAAGAGACGAGGACGTCAGGTCCAGCCAAGTCCATTGGAGTCCACCAGTCTCCCTTTCACCACCAATACATGCTCCGGTGCTGAGATTTGAGCGTGATTGGACCAGGCAGATGGTATGCCTCAAAATTCGCCAACGTGATTCGGCAAGCTTCATGCAGCTCCATGCATGTGCCCTTCTCTCGCAGATTTTTGAGGCATACCATCTGTCTGGCTGGCCAATCAATGATCTGATATACGAGATACAAAGTGCCGTTAGCAGCAAAGCCGCGATCATCAAATCCTCGTTGCTCTCGAGCAAGCCTTCCCTCTCGAACATAAAAGAGCCCAACACCTCCCTCTTCCTGTTCCAACTCTTTTCCTTCTTTTCTCTCCCACGGTTGGCCGCTGCGGTCGGTAACACCGTGTCGCTCATTTCACCCTTCACCCAACCGTCTTTCCTTTCTTCTCCTTCCATCAGCTACTCTCTCTTTCTCTCGCTTCCACCGTCATCCTTTTCTCCTCAAGGATCTGCACCCCAGTCCACTCTCTTCATATTAATTTGGTAGAGAACCCGCATTTCTAGTTCGGATCACCGTGGATCGCCTGGACCTGAAACACACACATCTACATTTGAATTTTTCAACCATATTGATCCAAGGTGGGTCTTGGCAGGGAGTAATGGGCCTTTACCGCAATATGACCATAGCTGGGGTGCTACCGAGCTCGATCCTGCTGGACAGGATGATGGTGACCTCGGAAGGGAGATTCTGCTTGATGATGATTTTCAACCTGATTTTGGGGGAGACCCCAACACTGTCCCTACTGAGCAAGAATTTGATGAAAATGACACCCATGAGCCTGCTCACCTCGACCCCCGCGCTCAAGCCACTGTCTCTCCCCCTCCTGTCGATCCGCTACGCCACGGAGCCGAACCTATCTCATGTGCTAAGTGTCCCATGGTATTCACCCGACAATGCGACTTGAAGTAAGTGACCCTGTTTAAACTACACTCGATATGCGACAAAAAAGACATCCGCTGAGTCCTTCCTGAAGTAAACACCTCAAAAAGCACACACGCCCCTATGCCTGCTCCGTGGAGTCCTGCGACAAGTCATTCCCCACCAAACAGGACTTGGACAAACACCAAGGAGACAAGCATCCCCGAGCCGGCGACATGAGGCGCTTCTGCCCTTATCCCGGCTGCAAGCATTCTGAGGGCCGTGGAGATGGTTGGCCACGGCGGAGGAAGTGGGAATGGGAGCGCCACGTGAAGGATTGCAAGTACAGACGATAAGCCGGGAACTTGGCTCATATTATCTGTAGAAACGTGGATAATGAGAATACTCGTCGTGTCCCACATAATGCCTTTAGATCACATTTTAGTGTCGTGACATGCATTCGTTCGGCTTGTGGCTATCTTCTCGTCACCACTGGAGCAAGTTCTATAGAACACGTTAGGACAGGCGTCTTAATGGACCGTCGCAGGCATCGGGATTTAAGAAGAGGGATTGCGTAAGTAGAAAACACGTAGATGGAGTAGAATGGCCAGACAGTGAAGAGGACCCCTAGCTGGGGGAGAGAATGCGTTCACAAAGTATTCAGAAAATCGTCGACGCTTGCTCCCTGTGGGGTGTCGGCCCATCCTGGTGCGTGTCGTTACGAGGGGACGTCTCTTGAGCGTGGCCTACTAACAAGAGAAGGCCGTTTAAGCAAAGGTGTCTGAACTAGCACATAAACAGGGCAAACTCAGAAGTCGTCGGGAGTCAAGCTCAGCGAGTGCGGATAGGTTGGTGGGCATGTGCCGCTTCAGGCAAGTAAAACTGAAATTAACTCCTAAACACCCAATTCTCGATTCTCCAGACCTACTGATTCGATTAATCTGATGACCAGCTGAGTACGGCAGCCAACAGAGCCACAACTGCAACACAAAAAGATCCAATACCGGTACCACCTTGAACATCCCCATTCGTGATACTCCAAACCAAAACCAGAGCGGTAGTCACCACAATCGCGCATATTATCACACGTTGAATCAGTTTCCAGTTGAACCCCTCCGTAATGTAGATACCCCATCCCACAGGCAAACAAGTCGGGTCGCCATTGCAGCTCAGTTCCCGATGCATCTTCTTGGGGAGCCGCTCTACGGCTAGGCATCCGGTGTGGTCGCCGGGCTCGAGGAATGAATGCATAAAGACATCCGGGTGCATGGGGAGCTTTCCGATATCTGGAGGGCACGGCTGGTAGGAATATCTGCCGCTATAGACCTCCTTTATCGGGGGAATCGAGTCGGATTCGAGATTTCCGACGCATTCCCCTGACCTTTGGCGGACTATCAATTCAAACTGTTGTCGGTATTGTTAATAGCGTCTGTGCGAAGTTGGGGCTCGTTATGGTTTCCATACCTTGACATATTGCATCGTCTTAGGAATAACGAATGGGTTACCGTAACGAAGGTATCGCATCTCGCGATACGCCTCCCGAATTTTGTGAAACAGCACCTCGTCATGCCCCACGTTCGTCAAGTCGACGTTGCGCATCCTCGTACGGGTCATGCTGCTGTTGGCGCAGAGTAGTAAGTAGCGTTTGGTCCCCAGTGGGTGATTTGGGAGTTGGAGCCCATTGCCTTCCGAGGGCGCAGTTGATGGTGCGGTGGACAAAGTGGTGGAGTCCGCCGAGTCGAACCGCGAAGGCGAGCTTCTGACAGATTCAGATGACGAAGAGACAGTGCCTCCATCTGAGCGGGTAGCGGATACCGTCCTCGAATGGGATGAACCTGCAGCTTGTTGCGCAAACTGCGTTGTCGCATCAACGTCGCTTTCTGGCACTTCGATGCTTAACCGCTTCCCGCATCTCTGGGGGAGGGAAAGGTAAATATGTCAGTTGGCATCGAAACGTGGCTCTTATGGGAAGAGTCTCTTACACAGTTCCAGCTGACTCTGACATGTCCTCCTCTTGGTCTTCTGCGCATTGACTCAAAAACAGCTCCAGCTATCCTCCTGATCCAGTACTGAATTCGTGAAAAGTGGAAATGATCAGAATGGGCGGCATCCATGTTCATGCCATTTTGATCCATCTTCGTTTTAGTTTTGTCGCACTTCCCGGCCCATTGAGACACTTCAGTTTCGGATTCCGACGGGGCAGACACAGAGCCATCTATCGACTCAGAAGCACAGGGATGCAGTACGATTCTTACGTGACGTTTCCTGCCTCTTCCTTTATCGATGTCTCTCTCTGGTGAAATTCTGCACGCACTGCCACAATCATCATCAACAGAGGTTCTCCGATCGTCTTCATCCTCTTGGCGGCTTGTCATGAGTTCCGATTCCTCCGTGGCCTTGTTCAACTCGAGATCCTTCCTATCCATATCCAAGCCACTTCTCACACTTTCGGCCAAATCATCCTTCGGAGAGTCATTACTAGATAAGCTTGAGTCCGCCGCCCCCCCTTCAGTCGTTTCACTCCCAGGTGTTGGTAGGGTATGCAGTGATGTTCGCGGAGAACGGAGTACATCGGAATCCTTCGGAATCTTGAGCCAGGTTCTCAAACCATCTCGTAATTTCTGATGTGCTTGGGAAGTCGTCATGAACTGTTTAGCCCTGTTTAAAGGCGAATCGTCATCATTGCCCTCAGTCTCTGATTGTGAGTCTTCAACCTCCCGATGGGCAGTTTTTCCCAGCTTTGAATAGTCGGTTATGCCTTTCGCTTCGGCAAGCTTGCGGTGGCCGTTATCTGGGTGGGCCACCGCCCATACCTGATCCACTATCCTAGGTGCCGATGCAACGACAATATCCGCAACATTATATTCTAGTTCGTTTGAAGCTTCGGCTGCAAGATCCTTCCCGTACTGGCAAAGAAGACGCTCAACATTGGATTCGAACGTCTTTTCGCTGACCAGTGACCAAGCAACTTCAAAAACGTCCTTTAGCTCCCCGCGTGAGCAGAGGAGCCTCACCGCCCTTTCCACCTCACCAATTTTAAGATGGTCCGGGACCTCACCAGAGCCATCTGAATCGGTGGCTGAGTTCGCGTCCATGCTGGGAGGTCTCTTGATGAAGGGCGATACTATGGGCCGCTCACCCGTGGAGAATTCATCTAATACTGCCGTGGAGTGGGCCAGCCCATGTTCGCTGCGCGGCCTCGTGTAACCCGGACCATCTCCCCAAAACGCTCGGCTAGAAGCGACGGTTCGGTCATTAAAAACCAGTGGTCTCTTTTTAGGTGGAACTAGAGAAGGCTGTGCTTCAGGAACCAGCCGGGGAGGATGCAGTGCGCTATTGTCTCCCGATCGATGAGGGACACGGTTCCGCCTAGCAAACAAACCTGTAGAAGGGTTTTTCTCCGTTCCCAATGAGAGCCCGGCATGACGGGTATAGTGGACATTCCGAGTCCTGCCCAACAGAGGCAGATGTGCGGGCTGGGGGTGAACATGAATCGGCCTGGGACCTGGGACTTCGGCCTTTAGCTTCTCAGCGCTTCCTTGTTTCTGGTAGGATTGCGCATGTCGAGCCTCCTCATGGTATTTTTCCCGCTCCGTGACATAGGCCGCAATGCCCCATCCGTCTGGTGAGTCACCTCTCACATGTGTCGGCTTGAGATTCCGGTGGTCTTCGCCACGGAGGTGCGCCGGCTCCTGGTCCTGACCAACCCTCCCGGTCGGGTTCGACCAATCCGATAGCCACATGGGAGTCGACCGTGATCTTGACAGTTCTGGCTGATTGGCTCGACGCGCCGTATGTTGCCAGGGGTTCTCTGTACTGGGCTCGAACGGACTTCTATCTTGTCGACAATTATAGTTGTATACCTGAGGCCGTCGTTCCGGCATTCTCTCAAGCCGAGGGGTCGGCAGATTGCCTGCGGTTTTGCCGGGATTTCTGATGGTTAACCTCCCGCCATCTTCGCATTTTATTTCGTTATCGCCGACTTTAATAACGGCACCCCCGGAAAGTTTGATAGTGACGTTCCCGTCCTCCGAGGACTCCAGCTCGATCTCACTCTGCCTTCCCACTGACCCGTGGGAGTAGACCTCGCTAGGAGGCACATACACTTCCCCTTCTTCCAGTCTATCTCTTCGTTGTATTGATGAGAGTCCCTCCGGATATCGAGGATCCCATATGTATGGTAACTGTTCATGACCATACACCGTGCGCTCAAGATCTGGAACGGTCGGTCTATTCCACCGAGACAACAAACGCTTACGACTGCTCGCTATTTCGACGTCATAAGAAGGATCGTGTGGATCGCGTTCGTCGGGGGCGTCAGGCAATGACGCGTGGTAGATCTCGAAAGGCTCCGGGTCGGTATCGTCATAGGTAACGACAGCCTCAGTACTGTCAAATGAACTGCTCTTGCGCCTCTTCTGGGACGGGAGAGAACGCGAAGAAGCCGTGTGGGCGGAGCTGTACCCGGAGTCCGTTGAGCTGGTGAAGCTGGTCCTGTTTGAGTTTGGGACGGACTTGCCCGGTACAGTCTCTATTGGGGGCACTGGGGGTTGGGCTGCTGCCGGTGGTGCCACCGGGGGTGGTGGTCGTGATGGCGGCAATGGTACTTGAGGGTGTAGTGAAGGTCGGGGTCGCGCGTGTGCTTGTGGCCATGGGGGGGGTGGAATCACAACGGGCATCTTATCTCCAAAGGTTACTCTCTTTCTCGATGCTGTCTCGGGATCTTCGGTAGGGTAGGCAGCCGGACCATTCGGACGGAAATGCGTTAGCTGGGTCGTCATGGCGGCTCTCGAGGACTCGTGGTTCGGCCTGCTCCGGCCTGGCGGCGTCCGACGTGAAGGAGGATACCAGTCATCGTCATTTCTGTCGTTTGTTTCTACCACTGGCTCGGGCTCGGGGAGCACGGCAGAGTTAGCGACAGTGGGTGGGCCCTCGAATTCTTCACATTCCCCAACAATTGGGCGTGCATCCTCGCTTCCGGATCTCTCCACGATTCTTCGCGCGCCGCGTGCACCTCTAGTGACTGCCTTCGGTGTTGATCCAATCCGTCCTTCCAATTCGACGGGGCTTCGATCGTTCGCACCCGCTTGCCCTTTCTTGGTGGTTCGATATTGGACAACCCGCCCCACAGGTTCACCAGAAGTGATATAGTAGGCGGCTGGTCGTGGAGGGCTCGTTGTTTTGCCCTCCTGCGGTGGCTCCGACTGCGACATAATTATTGAAGAAGATTCTCTTTGTCGAGAGCTTAATGTAGAGGAAACTGATGGAATGACACACTAGGGAATGTTTTATTCATTGTACTTCAAGAGTTTCGAGAAAGTAGGATAGAAATTGCGAATTCCTCGAGGGAAGCTAGCACCAGCGAAATCCTTATTCAAAGTCGATAAAGGAGACTGAGGCTGTGTGTTGTTGAGATGGAGGGGGTTGTGCTACTCAGCCACTCAAGTCATCCTCTCGTCTCGATAGGATAGGATAGGGCTGGCCAGGCCACTTTCATGCGCCCCTGAAAACCCGCAAAGATGTGGTGACGTATGATGTCGTTCTTCATCGATTGGAGGACCTCCTGTAACTCTGGGGTGCATAACTGCCTGAAAGAAAACTGGGGTTTCTACATTTTCTGGAAAATTCGTGATCCTCAGGACAACGTCTCGCTTCTCCGGGAGAAAATCGTTTACAAATACAAATAATACCGACGTTTGCCTAAAGGAAGTGATTAAACCATCTCTTCATAGACAACCAAAGGTCGCCTCAGAATTGGAGGTTGCCCGATTTCAGCGCCTGCCTGCCGCAGCCAGAGCGCGTGATAGCCAACCGAATCTGAATATTCACCCACACACTTCAGGAATATGCAGTCAACCGCCCGTCTCTTTTCATCCCCAAAATCTAGGTGACCACCGAAGCCACCGCCCATGGTTTGGAATGAGTCTCTTCTTCTTCCTCCGCAGGCAGAAGCCGGGGAGGCGCAGCAGACGCCACCTCTGCATCCACCAAGTGCCAGAACCAGTCAGGGAGCTTGCCGCTGAGCACTGATGACGACGGATTTTGCCAGCCGCTGGTTGGCTGCATTCAACGTCCTCTTACTTCCCGATCTAGGCAGTAAAGCGGTGGCGTGAAATATGGAACATCGTTGACCCCAATTCCACCCGTATACCCGTGTCGCCGCCGTCCTGCAGCCAGCCACTGCGGGTATGTCGTGCTTTGAAAACTCGGGACCAGCCGGTAAGGTCCTCCCAAGTGGGACTTGTTTCGCTAGCATCTACGTACGCACCAAGCACTAGTATCTAGCAGGGCGTTTCGCCGAACTCGGGACGGATTCTAGCTCTGTCGTATTTACAAACGGACAAGTTTCCGTGGAGAATTGCGAGTGTCGAAGTTCCAGTAAATCCCGAGATCCTAAAACCTGCATGGCAAACGGTTTCAACGACGTTGGCCTCATGACAAACACCGCAAGGTGATCGTCTGTACTAGTACCGTAAGTTGTGACGATCACTGTTGGAATCGTTACGGTTGAAGTCAGTCTCACATGGCTTGGCAATCATTTTCATCATTCACCCCTCTGCCGTATGTCACCGTTTTGGCTCTTTTCGAGTTCGGTCTGTGGCGTTATACTCGCGGCCATAAAGGGAGAACGGAAAAAAAAGAAAGAAAAAAAAAAATCTTAGAAAGTACGAAAGAAACGTCCTTTGAGTAGTGCCTACTGGGCTCTCGGGATCAGGAAAGGAGATGGGATTAATGACGTCGAATCTGAGTTTCGACGGGTTAAATTGACGAAATGTTACTAGACTAGCAACCCTTCCCACTTCATAGACTCAGCATGGAGCGATGTTCACACTATGGCGGGCTACCGAGGACACAGCAAAACAAAAGCCAATGGATTCCCTACTACCCAGAAGCCCCAACAGCAGCAGCCATGCCTACTTACAGACCGCTCGCGATCGATTGGTACTTTCCGATGGTTAGGTCAAGGGTATTTTCAAGACTGTTAGCCTGCGAGGTGATGTCGTTCGCCCTGCTCTCAACAACGTTGATAAGCGTAATAAAGATAGACTGTAATCGGGCTTTCGGTTAGCAGTCTCGTACTGCAGGTCCTCACGGGATGGAGCGGAACCTACGTCTAAAGCGCCCTGGACACCTCGCAAGCTGGCAGCGACCGGTTCTCCGATAATAGGGATCCTTTCCAAGAGACCCGCTTTGCCGATGAGGATGTTGAGGAGAGCCTGATAGGTCTGCACGAGTCTACGGACGGCGTTGTAGACGTCTTCGGAAGGACCGGGCTGCACGGGTTCTTGGCCATCCATTTGTGAGATCAGTGCGTTTCCGGTAGAGGCAATGTCGGCGAAGCCGGCAATGAGTTGCTTAAGCACAACAAGATATTAGTTACGGTGCTCGTTATAAAGCATGGTCCAGGCGCTTAGACCAAGGCCAAGGCGGTTACGGAATGGGGGTTTCTCACTGGAAACGGGCCCTGACCGATGACGATCAAGGGGGCGTTGAGAATAGTAATGGATTGCGCGACGGGCTGCAGGGCCACGGCCTTTGCTGTCAGGGAATCTAGCCCGTCGACGATTTGCTGCGGCGCGAGATTACCGAGCACGGTCGTAACGGTGAGAGCCATGGCTGTGACCACGGACTTGAGGATAGAGAACCGCATTTTGCTTCTATAATTTGCGAGGAGCTGAGCGCGAAGATCAGAAAGTTGGGTTGAGACTAGGTAGAAGAGGTGAGAACACGCCTGGTGATGAGGAAGTTGAAGTTCGAAAATTGGCTAGAGTGCTGGGGGCATGAGGTATGTTTTATATCTCGAGGCACGACGGACAGAGAAGCTGACTTGATGTTGTTGAAATGTGCCCTTCGAGGTTAACGGAGGCATGCTCGCGGTGTTTGGTAGTTGCCATCCTTGATCCATCCAATATCGTCTCTCACCGCCCTGTCTGATGCATTTGCATCGCACTCTAAGTGGGGTGCTACTCAACTAAGACGAAGAGGCATTCTCGGCTAGCCTGAACTTGCGGCGGATGCAACTCAAAAGGAGGAGAAAAACAAAGCAGAGATCGCCGAGGCTGAGACCGTCGTTGTGGGAGGGATGGGTTCTTGGCGTACTAGGGCGCGAGACGTGGCGGCTGAAAAAAAAAAAGACCTGTCCGCATATCAAGGCGCCGCGATATCGCCGAAAGCCCGGCTAGTGTCATGACTCGTCCTGCTGCCGATCTTCATCCAGCCGCATCGGAAACTAGGGTATTCAGCTGCCGTTGGAAACCCGGGATCTTTTTATAAGTTTTAGTCACTCCGGTCTGATACTTGGTAAATCAGTTCCAACAAAACACCGGAATAAGCGTATGTCTACGTGGAAGTATTCCAGCGGAACGGTGGATGGAGCAGAACTTTACGAAAGATATACGAAGTACTCTGCGTCTCATTAGGGCCATCACTTGAAGGAAAGGGGTAGGCAATGAAATCTCAGGTTAACTCCATCGGGCCTATTTCTCCCGCATCTGCAACACTGCCCATCGCTCATCGTCAGTGTCTTAGTGTGTGCTCGCCCTTTCCTTCACAGTTCGGGTCCAGCCCCCCAAGTGCGCAGAGTATTCGACGGACGTGCTTCCATATTGGAAGACCTGCTCCGTGCCTAGGAAATATCCTGTAAACGGTCCCCATTATACTTCTGAGAAATGATCCACGAGGGCTCAGGTCAGGCTGCAATTCGACTAGATAATGCAACGCGCTTGAACTCTGATCCAAGTCAGCGATGACGGGAACGCCACATCCGTGGCTAATCCATTTTTGTGTCTGTAACGACTCCGGCCCGTTGACATGGATCGATTGACCCCGGAAATCACTGACGCACGTTCCTGCAGGTGGGGTTGCCGTGTTCGGCGAGCTGGCGTACATCCAGAGACAAACGGCTGCTTGGTACACAGCGACAACATGAAAGTCTGCAAGCTCATCCGAGGTCAGGGAAGTGGCTGCCCTGATTATTTGGCCAGCGTGCCACACTGCACGCCTAACCGTCCGTGTTTGTCGCCAGTCTCGCAGCATGCGAGCTATTTGAGGAGACGATCTTCGAGGCCCACCGCTCGAAATATCCTCCAAGGGGAAGACCGGGGCATAGAGGTACATCGCATTAAGTTCGAGTATCAGCCTAGAAGCAGAAGGGGGTTTCAACCATTCGGCCTCACATAGTACCCTCAATTCTTCCATTAGACGGAGGATGTATTCGTCAGCACTTGGAGCGCTGTCAGCTTCATGACCAGGACCTTGGAGGGCAACGCTTCGTTGTCGATGCTGGAGGAGCATGATTGTAACCGAGTATAGAACTACTGAGAGAGCGAGTTTAGAATCCAGCAACGCCGGAAAACGATGAAACACCATGGGATTTGCCAAGCACTGATGTAGGGTGATTCCGCTCTTGGGATTCTGCGCCTGGAGCCGGAGATAATTCTGTCTCCACTCCTCAGCCGACTTTGAAAACCATAAGCATCGCGCCATCGGAAACGACGTGAAGATGTCGGTGTAGGAGAAGGGGATACCAGCGTTCCGCAGAGCCGAGTCTTCAACGCAGTGAATGAGTAGACAATAGACGAGCCTGGAGCCACATTGCCCCTTTCATCAGTAACATATAATACCCAACGACAGTTCGAAGGGGAAAACGATTCAAACGAACCTCTTCAAAGACTCCTGCTCGATCCACCTTTCCCATTTCAAGGACAGCTCCGAGTCGCTATCCTCAGCCAACGCAACGATGCTAGGATAAGAGGACTGGCAGAATCGGCCATTGTGTCGGAGCATCTGCAAGACTTCTCATGAGCTTCGGGGAATAATTCCACGTTGTCTCGGGTAAATCAGTACCGTTACTAGAGCGTACGAGATGGAAGTTGCAATCTCGGACTTCCTTTGATCACCAGACCATAACTCCGTCTGTAATTGAAGCATAAAGGCCTGGAGATATCGGAGCTTACGCGTGTTACTCGTGTCCTTGTCGGCCTACAATGTAGCCACGAATCAGTATCGATTTCCGCGGTCTCCTGCCTCCGCAAAAAAAAAAAAGTCTCGCTGTGGCCACCGACCAATTTTCGCAACTGTATCCTGACGACCTCCATCAAAGACAGGCCAAATCTGCGTGCTATGGGATTCGGCGACTTCGCAGCGCCCGCTGCGACACACGCGACGATAAATGGAATGTCACAGGTTGAAGTGCTGAAAGTTGGAATGTGTATAAATGAGGCAACCTCGCCTCGATGCCTAGTCAACAGGACACGGATAAATTTGTCCAACATCTGAACTGAGGGTAAGGTTGGCGCCGTGGAAACAATGGGGGAGGATGCTACGTAACAACTTGTTACGAGCGTCAAGATATGATCCCGGACGTCTGAGGGTACAGGCCCGGCGAGGATGTGTTCGTCGTATTCACCCAGGCCACCATCTGTCAATAGCTCTTCTTCTGAAGCCACAGACAGGTGCAATTTATTGGCTGTTGAGCCGTCTTTATCATTGTTGATTGTGTGAAGAACATGGCCTTGAATATCGACATGGTCGCCTGTTATGTCTGCTTCCCCAGTCCTGTTGTCATAACCCGTGTGCATTAATTCGGCTTGCGAGCGGACCGGCGTCATCATGGGATCTATACTGAAATTGAAGATTCTTTCAACCTGGTTGATCAGAGGAGTACTTCCGCAAAATTCAACACCATCTGGCTGAACTCCATCTTCGCAAGGTTCTGGTGGGTCCCCATTTCCAATGTCTACGCCACTGCCATTGTCGGCACTGGTGGACTCCTGGGAATGAGTCGCCACGATCTCAACAGGAGAAGAGAGCCCGGGTGTGTCTCCTAGGAGGCCATCTGGGATGATTCGATAAGACGACATATGCTGTTGTCTGTGGCCCTGTCGGACCTGGGAAGAAACAGCCCATGTCTGTGGTCTTGCGGGAGGCACATCCTCCACCGCTACGGCGTGGGGGCCGCCGTCTCCCGCAGTATTAACATCTCTTCCGCTAGTATTGTGGCGTGCCTCTTGAACCGAGATGGGGCTGAGGGGGGCTGGACACGGCAACAACAGGGAGGATTGGGAGGGTTGGAATTCGCCAGAACGTGCCCGTATGCAAGGAGTACCCTTCTTCTCACATCGCAAGCATACAGCTCGGTTGTCGCACCTGACCTTGGAGGCGGCGCAGGCCTGACATGCTTGGGATGCTCGAGGTGCAATCGTCGATAAGTGTCTCCTCTTGCGAACAGGGGGAGAGGCAGGAAGTGATTCGAAACTAAGATGATGTTGCATTAATAAACTAGATCTACTTCAGACGATGCACGGGTATTATGACACGAACGCATCGGAATTCAGTGCAGTATGGTCTCTCTTAGGGTTGCTGGCTTGAGGAGGACTAGACACAGAGTTTACGACTCCAATATCGGATACTGAGAGAGAAAATGTGTTGTTAGTCGGTAGACTCTCCGCGAGGGCACGCAATCCCCGCGGAAGAGGTGCACCACCCTCCCACCCAGGCGATTCAGTACTGGTGTACGTACAACTCTCACTCGACATGACGGACACTTTTCCAAGTGCACGGAAGGCGTTGCAATTGGTTGGTAAAACTGACGGGCGGATTGCGAAACCTTCGGGGCATGCCGAAGTTGCAAAACCCTTCTTTCCTGGCTAGAGGGGGACATTGTCTTCCTTTTCACTCTTCCCCGATGATGAGATCCCGAGACCCCACAGCGCCAAGCCCGGATCCGATTTCCCCACGAGAAACGCGGCCCCGCATTCGGCATGCCGTGGAAAGCTTATTTTTATTATAGAGTGGGTGAGTTGGATGAATAGTTGTCACCAGACGAATTTAAAGCATAGGCTCAGATAGTAAGGCGGGAAAAGTAATCTTGAAGTGTAGTCTAGGCCACCCCTACTCGTAGTCTCGTGCCCTTTCTCCTGCTGGTGCTACAGGCTTGCCGGAAATAGTTGGCCTACGCCTCACCAGATCATCCGATGCAGGGCACAGGATTCATCGCGCAATAGCAATGGCTTGCTGTATATCTTTAAGGCGCTCTACAGGCATCTATCTGACTTGCATGACAGCGGAAACCCAAGTATATCTCAGATCTGAACTTTATTTGTTCAACTGCTGCCACGATGGACGACTCGAGGCCCGCTTCCACCACGCTTCCAAGTTAGGTCTCGAGGAGATTTCGCCCTCCAATCCCAGCTTGGAGAGGAACGGGATCCACGGGAGGTGATAAAGGTCGATGAGAGAGAAATCCTATCGACGCGTTAGCTAGCGTGACCTATTTCCTCTCACTTTACACGGGGATTTCGCAGCCTGTTGCTTACATTACTAGCAAGATACTGCCGGGTGGCAAGGACCCTTTCATAGTGGTCCAGCGTGTCCGACAACGTAGCGCGGTGGGCAGCCACAGCATCAGCGTCGGCATCGCCCCGGCGCATAAACCTGATTGCAATCAAACATCAATTCTTCCGACCTACGACGCTATGCATTCTCCGGTGCCTGCTCACTTCTTGAAGATATTCTCATACGCCAATCCCGAGATGGATGGGTCAAAGTAGGAGAATTCGACACTGGCGGCCTGCTCGTAGGTCCCGATCTCTGCAGCCGAGCCGTGTCGCGCCGCGTCAAGGCCATGCTGCTTGCCGTACTTGGCGACAAGGTACTGGCAGATGGCCCTGGACTCGAAGAGGCGAATTTCTCCGTCATCTAAAACGGGGATACGCCCGAATGGGTGGAAGTCTTTGATGTAGTCGGGAGCCTATGGAGTGGTTGTCGGTAAATAGCATCCATCCGGGGAAGACTCGTTCGCACTCAAATGAGACAGGATCCAGTTGGACTCACCTTCTGTTCTCCCTTTTGCATGTTCACCTCGCTCAGCTCATAGTCGAGGCCAAGCTCGATGAGGACGCTGACAACACGCTGCGTGCATGTCGACAGCATAGAACCGTACACTTTGATAGCCATTGTGAGATTGATATTTCTGAGAGGTCTTCTGCGGGATGATCAAGGCGCCTTAGCTCGTCCAAAATACTAACGATAAACAAGGAGGAATAGTTACAGAGGTAATGGAAAATAACAAAAACTGCCAGTTTTAACGCCCACCAAAGCACAGATTTATAATCTACATTTATAATCAACATCTGTCTCTATGTTTTCTCCGGTGCCGGAACTAAACTAGAATCGATGCGCGTCCAATTGATGAGACGCTGAACGTACGACAAGCGGTTCCGTGACGTCGGGATGTGGGGTGAACAGGGGCGGGCGGGACGTCGGAAGTTTGGGACCAGGGGTTGGGATCTGAATACCTATTTGGGAATGATGCCTCGGCTTGCCGAGATACTGAAGCTCAGACGCAGAAGGCGGAGTAGCGAATCCATATGGACCGGGATGTGGATGAAGTCATGCATGGCCTGGTCGCTAGATCTTGTCACTGATCTCGGCCGACTCGCGTGTAATCAGTCTGCATTTATAATGGCCCTGGACATCGACAGGATCTCCTGAAATCCGTTTCATCTTGAACAACTATTGCTCTTGGTTGCTTCAAGAATACCCCCTTGAATCCCCATCGCCCACACATCACCATATTAGTAAACCCATATCAGTAACAAAAGATTGTCACATCGCCCTTGCCAAGATGGCTACCTCTAACGGACATGGAGCCCCCCGCCAGGTAGATGACACTATTCCCCTGGCGCAGTCGAAGAGGACGCTTTTCGAGTTTGGGGAATTCGACCACTCTGCGATTCCGCTGGAGAAGGAAGAATGGCCAGTGATCATCGTAGGCTCCAGCATGGTAGGCATGACCTTGGGAGTCCTCCTCGGCTACCATGGGTGAGACAGCTCTGATTGAAAATCTTGAATCTTATTAACTCTTCTTTATTTCGCAATGGATTGTTGCTAAACACGAGACCATATGGTAGGATCAAGTCAGTGTCTTTTGACCGTCATCCGTCAACTGCCATCCACCCCCGAGCAGCCCTGTTCCTCCTCCGGTCCGTCGAGATCTTTCGCCAGCTCGGCCTCGAAGACCATTTCCGGGAGAACAGTGCCCTGAACTTCGACCTCGACGCCGGCATGATCATCGTCGAGAAACTGGTGGGCGGCAAAACGCTCGCAACCATGCAGGAGAGCGACCCTGTCAAAGTCGCCGAGGTCACCCCCTCCGTGCGCCTCTGGCTGACACAAAACATGTTTGAGCCTCTGCTGCGCGAGAGCGCCAAGGACTTTGGCGCGGTTCAGGAGTTCAAACAGACCGTTGTCCATTACGAGGAGCTGGACGACGGGGTCATCGTTGTGGTACAGGACGTTTCGACCAAGACGTACAGGAAGTTTAAGACGAAGTACCTTGTCTCGTGCGACGGTAACCGGAGTGCGACACGGAGGAAGGAAGGGATCAACTGGAGCGGCCCAGGGGTCGTCGGCGAGTATATTTCCATTAACTTCAAGGCCGACCTGACGCCGTATTTGGGCACCCGTGCGAAGCATGGTGTGACTTACATCTCCAACACCGATATCGACGCCGGGTTCCGGCTCGAGGACAGCGGCAAGGCCGGATTCATGATCGTGTCTCGCGCTGGTGAGAAGGACCGTTTCCCACCGGACTCGGTGAGCGGTCGCGAGGCGAAGAAGTACTTCAAGCAGGCCAGTGGAATCGAGGACGACATTGATATCGAGGTTGAGTCCATTTCTTACTGGTCAGTGGCGGGGTTCAACAGTGACCGCTTCGCGAGCAAGAATGGCAGGGTTCTCATCGCTGGAGACGCCGCCCATGTTATGCCGCCTACTGGAGGCATGGGTGGTAACACTGGCCTTCAGGCAAGTACACACGAATAAAATTGTCATTGTGGTTTGTGGAAAGTCCTAACATTGCTATTCAAAGGATATCCACAACCTTGCTTGGAAACTCGCCTACGTCATTGATGGGAAAGCAACCCCTAGACTCCTCCGTACTTACAACACCGAGAGGCAACCGGTGGTGGGAGCTACCATGACCCAAGCGTATTCCAGACTTCAGAATCGCGTCTTGCGCCAGAAGGCGGACGAACCAGAACTACCCGACATCACCTGCGAGATCGGCTACCGATATCTCTCCGGCGCAATCGTTCGAGGCAAATATATGCCAGGAGAAGACCAACTTTGGGAGGACCCTTACGCTCCTCTCACGATTGCTGGGTCCCGGTTCCCGCATGTGGCTCTCGTTGACTCGGCGGACCAAACTCGGCGCATTTCGTCCCTTGACTTGGTCAAGACGAACTTTCTTATGTTCGCCGCTGACCCTGCGTCTCTGTGGGTCGAAGCAATCAAGGCCATCCGGCCAGATATTGACGCATATATCTTGAACGAATCGTCAACTCCTTGGACGGACACTGAAGGGAAGCTTAGGCGGGTGTGTAAGCTTGAGGATGGTGAGGCACTACTGGTGCGGCCGGATGGATTCATAGCTTGGAGGGCGGAGAAGCGAGACAGCGGCCATAGCAGTGCACTGAAGGGCATTCTTAGGCAGATATTGGGCGTATAGTGTTTCTTGTTCAAAGGCATACGTGTGGTTGTGTTTAGGCGGGGTAGAGACTGTCAGAATGCTTCAGATGACCGTTCAGATTCTCATAGGGTTATGAAAAGAAGGTGCTCTCAGTGTTGCTGGTAATTAGAGAGCTTTGTCTTTCACCTACTCCTAAGATAATACGTACTCAAATGACGGTCTATCTTTGGGCTCGCAGAGAAAGCATAGCCAGGTCTGCTGCCCCCACAGCCCCCAGATAATAACCGTGCTGTTGATTCATCCCAAAAGCAGCCACAGGTTTCACATGAGACGAGCAGAAAACGAAACGGGGAAAGCCTGGCAGAACCCTCCGTCGAAAATGGCCACTCACCCCCTTGGTAGGATTCATCGATACCTTTCTTCGGCACATGCCTTGCGCATCAGCGCAGTCAGTCGGGGTTTAACCAATTACTACACCGCATGCATCCACGCACGATATCCATCAACCAAATCGGCCTTGAGACATGGAGCGTTTCACCCCGGCAACACCGCTTGAAATTCTGTGCTGATGCACCTTTCCCTGGGTTTCCCTTGTCAGAGAAGTGCCCCGACGGCCAAGAACATAGCGTTAATGCCTTACCTGAGTCACCTCCGAGAGTCAGAAAAGCCAACAGGCGTCAAGTTTGTATTTAGCGCCTGAATTCGTGACCTCGGTAGGATACTAGGGCAATCTCCTCCTTACCTTCATGTGTTCCCCCGTCATGTCATCGGGTCTGTAGAGTGTGTGATTATGTGGACACAACGGAGGCCAGCATTGCAGAGAGTTTAAGCTGCATCTCGATCAGGGGGAGGGACGGTCCTGTATTAGTTTTGTGCGCTTGACATAATGTCCAAGATCGGCAGAGCAAGGACAAATAGGCGTTTTCTCGCTTTCACGATAATGCATACCAGTTTCAAGCAGAGGACACGACGTAAGTTTGGTCAAGTATAAGCACCTCAGAACTGGTTGCTTCCCATGTTCCAGCGAAGTCGGCGGAGAGCGAGGATGACTAGAAACGGGTGTTCCTATGTAGCTAGGTGCTATATACCAGCGTCAAACTCCAGGCACCGAATCACGACGTCTTAAACAGAGACCAAGTCCTCGACAAAATTCCCATCCCGATGCCCATATAATTTCAGGGAGGCTGAGGGATTTGTCTACCCCTATCTGTCGAAGTTTCACTGGCTTCCTTGGCTTTATCATCCCACAATGTGGTGATCGTCATCGCCTGAGCGACTGTACAGGTACAAAGTCTCCAAAGAATCCGGCACCGCTTCCAAAAGCTTTAAAGGCGGACATTTCCGTCCTGGCCCTAACGGACCTGTTTCACTACCTGAAAATTCGGGGCCAACCAGGATCTGGCGAGGGATACTAAGATGCTTCAGCTGATGCAAATCCTTAAGCGGGCCAATCCTTCCGTTCTGGCGTATCTCCGGCTCGTCCGACCCACTAAATTCGTCGTCATATACCGGATAATCAAAATCCATATCGACGGTCTCGAGCCGCTTTCCATTGACCCGGAGTTCTTGGCCCAAGGCCTCATAATCGAGCCCCGAAGCTGACACTATCACCTCCACCCGCAAGGTTTTTAGTTCGGGGCAGTGTGAGAGGAGGCTGCTTATCCCGCTGACCCTAATATATACAGCTTCAAGATGGACATGTCGAAGGCCGGAGGAGACGTCTGGCATGACAAACTCATGCAAGCCGTCTTCTTGTACCCAAGAAATTTGAGACCCGCGAAATGTCTCCAAAGCCGGGAGAGAGAAAACTTCCTTGACACTGCCGACCGAGAGAGCGTACGGCGCATCCGCAGCGGGTTTCACGCATATCTCCCTTAAACAAGCAAAGCGTTTCGCAGGCATCGATGGACCCTGCGCTGCTTGAGAGCCAGAGTACGGCTGTGCGTCGATTGCGCTCCGGAAGACAGCGGAGATGAGAGAGGATCGGGCGGGAATACCAAGGATGAGAAGCTCTATATTCGGAGTGAGCGCCACGAGGAACGCAGCTGCCGCGTCACTGCGCCTGTCAGCGGGAGTACCAGACCAGTGTTGTCCAATTTCCTCCGGCAACTCGAGGCGGGAACGAGCTGCCGCGAGGGCGTTTTGCATGATGTCGTCGGGCCATGGAATTGCGGAGGGAAACGATATATGAAGTTTCCTCACCGTCCTAGCGAGAACGACCTGTTGGCCGAGCGTTCGCATGAGTAGCCCCCATGCAGTAGATTGTGTCACCAATAGTGTCTGGTAGATCAGAGGCTGGGCAAGGGCATGAAAGCGTTTTGAGACGCGAGAAATATTGCAGAGGGTGCCGGTCAACTTTGGCGACGACCCATACCTAGAGTGAGATGGGTAAACACGCTTCCGCCATGTCTGATCAAACGCGTACTGGGGCTGGAGAGTGGAGAAAACGAGTAACCAGATCTCGTTGGGGATATCATCAATTCGCGTGCAAGAAGAGTCCGACATGGTTCTATTAGCAAACTGGTCGATTAGATTTGCCAGGTTTCCCTCCCCTGAGAAAGTACAAGGTGAGGAGTTGCCAAATCGACGTGAAGTTAATGTGAATCGACGTTGATGCCAGAATTACTGAGCCCCAAGTCCCGTGCCGAAGTCGGGCTAGTCCCTACAGTCGACGAAAGTAGTTGCTAAGAACAGCTATCGTCTCCCCATTTCCGGTGATCCAGGAATTATCAAGGAAATTAAATTGACTGAATTTGCTGTCCGCGGTTGGAGCATATAATTTCAGCTATCCGTGCCATATTTGGCCCACTTTTCCCCGCATATAAGAATTCTTGCTCTCCAGGACGATGCAGTTTACCTGTGTATGCGAGAGGTCATTGACTCTTTCAACTCGATGGAACAGGATGTCTACGTCCGATATTGTGTCTGGAAAGTGGGTTTAGAAACCGATCCACGTAACTCCGCTATCAATGGAATTGCTTATGCTGTGCATACATACATGGCAACTATAGCCGCCGTGGTCCAGCCGACCTTTGCTCACCCTGGCTCAGACTGGAGCAGGAGCCTGCCACGTCTGAAGAAGGAAATGGGATTTTTTTTACGAGTAGATATGGGGGCATGTAAGGGCTGTCATGTGTCATCGTTCCACGTTGGGCGACTAGGCTACCTTCGAGAATAGTCTTTTTAGTCGTGACATGGGTGACCGCGCCGCTTTTCGCCGCTTTTCCTCTTCTCGTTTTGCTTCTTCGATAATCTTTTGGTCTTTTGCTTTCCTCTTCTCCAACACTTCACGAGCTACCTCTCTGAATACTTCATCCACACCTTCGCCTGTCCGAGGACACACCACCGTAACCTTTACGCCGAGTTGGTTGGCGAAGTCATAACCCTTCTCAGCCTTTCTTTGCCATTCTTCTTCCCTTTTCTTCCTCTCCTCGCTGCTGAGCACTTCGGGTTCAATCTCTGGATCCCCGTACCTGGGGATGCGGATGTTCCAAGGAACCTCAATATCCTTCATGATAGCTACTCTTTCAACGATATGGCCGCCAACATCCGAGCCAGGGAGGGACTTGACTGTGTCCAATCTAAATTCCCGGGTCTCCTCCACAGCGATCGGATTTTCCGGGGCGATGACTGAGATCATGGCATCCGCAGGTCCGACGGTGGCAAAGAAATTGCCGTAGCTGGCATTGGCAGAGAGACGGCAGAGGTCGACGATTACTTTTGTGTCCTCCAGATCGATAAGCTTTCGATCCGACTCACCGGCATCGGTCGGGTCGTAGGAATTGTCGAAGATTCCGTGGACGAACTAATTCTAGTTTCAGCGCTTGCGAACCGAGGGCGTTCTTCAGAGAAAGGCACTCGAGGATCATAGCAAACCTACCCGTCGGATCAAGGTTGTTCGGCCGGAGCGGACACCCCCAAGGATGAAAATACGTACTTCTTGCGGCCTGGGCATCGGTGTGTGCTGAGACGATATTCTTCTGAATGATAGCTTTACCGGAGATGGGGGGGAGGCCAAGGAAGGGAGCACCCCTCTTTTCATCGAATCATGACGGCGTTGCATCCTGGTGATTAAATATCTGCAATTCTCGCAGCATAAAACAGCCGTTTTTAGGTTACTATATATAGAAGCTCCTATGAATTATTTGGTAATCTATTTTCTTTCCAATACACAGTTAGAAAGATTTTTTTAAGTAATAAGAGAATAAATATCGGAAAAAAATATTGAATTTGGCGATTAACAGGTCTGTCTGTTTTACTGATTTAAAATAATAATACTTATGAAATATCAATGGGTTCCCTTCGTGAATTGCGCAGACCTTAACGAGCCTGAAAATCATGAACTTGGGATAGCAATTCGACCTAAATTTTGTCTCACGGGTCCGGTAAACGATCTGCAGTTCAGTGATAATTGGGTTCATTAACAGCTGGGCAGTAACGGCGTTTAGAGAATGGTGAGAATAACATCATGTATATTAAAAGAAAACAAATAAAACACCCCAAATTTAGTCTGAATCTACCCAAGGCCTCGTCTCTAAGTACAACAAGAGTGTGTTCCTCCCGATGATAAAGCCCGGATATTCGGCCCAACCGTACGCCTATGGGAAGACTTCCTATTTATATCAATCTTCTCGCCCTTCAAGGCTTCCAACGGAAAGCCGGATGCTTCCAGTCCAGGTCTTGGATCTGTTGCTGCGACATCCCGCTCAGCTCCGCGTCAATATTCCGGTTATCCCTCTTCTTGTTATCCCTCTTCATCCAGATCAAAGTGAAGACACTGAGTATCAGAATGGTGCCGGAGGTGGCCAAATTAAGACCGTTTCCAATATGATAATCGGGGCCGTCCCAAGGAAGGAATGACCAAGCTGAAACAAGGCCGCCGATGTTGCCCATCATCACGTTCATACCAATGGCCGCGCTGCGAGCGGTGTCACTGACAACGTTCGCCGAGACTTGAGCGTTGGTCAGAGGACCGAAAGCGAACATGGAAGACGCGATGAGGAAGGTGGCACCGTAGCGGACAGACTGGTCATAGGATCCTAGGAACATGCTGTAGCCGATCATGCAAATGGGTGCGCAGATAATGAAGAAGATCTGGCGCCTGTCCATGCGCCAACTGAAGAGAGGGAACAGGACGGTGAAGAAGGCGCCGACGGCGTACGGAGGGACTGTCCATAGTTGCTGCTGGATGGTAGTCTTCTCCTTGTAGATGCTCTTCACAATGGTTGGCAGGAAGAAGCCTAGACCTTGGACGGTAACGTTATCGAATAGGAAGACCAAGGAAGTGCTGAGGGTGACGGGGGATAGGATGCCTCGCTTAAGCTTGATTTTATCCATCTTATCCAGCACCTCCGTGGTACCAACACGCTCAGACTTGACTCGAGCAATCGCGAGCTCCTTTTCGGTCTGGTTCAGCCACCGGGCCGTTTCGGGACGATCGGTGAGTGTCGCGAAGCTGATCAAAGCGAGGCCGATGGTGATGATGCCTTCAATAGCGAAGATCATGCGCCAGCGGTGCAATCCGCCGAAATGATCTAGAGACAGAATCGCCGAAGCCAAAAGGCCGCCAAACGCGCCAGCAAGAGGCGCCATGACGATATAGAGCGAGAGACGGAACACGAGCTCAGAACGACGATACCAACGGGAGAGATAATAGGCGATTCCGGGCAGCATGCCAGCTTCGAAGATGCCAAGAATGAAGCGCACGACGGCAGCTTGTGGGATGGTCTTCACGAACGCCGTACCCAGCGATGCTATTCCGAAAAGAAGCGTTACGATGGGGATAAACCAACCCGGACCCATCCATTTGCAGACGATATTGGAGGGGATCTCGAAGACGATGTAGGAGACGTAAAAGGCGGTGATAATGATGTTATAGTCGTAGCCCTTCATTTTGAGGTCGGTATCGAGGCCGGCGATCTTCGCGTTGCCTGTGAAGGTAGGATCGGTGGTTAGCAACAGTCTGCCGATTGCCGTCATCTTGGCAACGAGGGGATTTTATCTTCTTACCGATATTGGCGCGATCAATAAAGCAGAAGAGGTACAGCAGCGCTACTGTTGGGACGACGTAAAGATCGATCTTCCACCGTAAACGACGCTCGGCGACGGGGTCGATATAGACGAGAGACTGGCCATATCTGTGAAAACGGTTGGCTTAAGCTGAACAACGAAACAATTGAACGGTTTCGACGAGAAGGAGCATACTTGTCTGTCGCAGCCTGGCCACTCTCCGCGGCGGTCCGCAAAGTGGAATCCTTGAGGGCCTCGATATTGTCATCGGTCCTCTCAATGGATTCTACTGTTGGCTTCATGTGGGTCATGTTGGGCGGTGGGTTGAGCTCTTTGCCCAGTGGAATAGAGACGCAGCTCGTTTCAAACGCGACTTGGTGATGAGGAGTGCGCTTGATGGCGGATTGAGACCTTGAAGCGAACGCGTCGATGCGAAACGAAACAGAAACGGAGTTATTTATACAAGGTTGATCAGCGTCGAGCACGTCAATTTGCCGATCCTTATCGCCGGGTCGTCCCCTCCCAAATCCTACCTACGCTTCGCTTCGTAGCGTCCTCACCCTCGTCCAAGGAGGAAGGGAAAAGGCGTAAGAATTTGTACCTGATGATCCATGCACGCCCACCGTTTCATTGGTTATCTTGAGTATTAAGGCGCGTCATTAGCAGTGTAGAAGCTCGCTCGGTACAACGTGTCGGCACTTATCCAACTTCGCACTCACTTCGTAGATATTGGGTACTCTATCCAAAGATATTTCTCGCAATTTTTCTGGGGTCCCCGTGGGGAATAGCCAAACAGGGAACCGGGCAAGTGGGGCCGGGCTAGGAAAACAGTCTCTGAACGGCGCTGGCTTTTGTTCAGAATAGATCCTACCATCGGATGGGGGGCAGGTTCTTGGCGGGCGGGTATGAAGTACTCTCTTCTGCAAAGGCCCGGACTCCGTGGAGAAGTGTGCATCCCCGGCCCCCCTTTGCATCAGCACCAGGCGTGAGCATGATACGCCACCGCCACCGGAAGCGAGGACGGTGATGAAGGGACGCTTGGAAATGTCGATACAGTTAGTGCTTACCTCTTTTCGACAGGTCTTATCCATAACACATAACCACACATTCATCCATCCATCTCTTCTCCCATCAAATCCTTCAAGAACCAAAGCTTATCCCGACATGCCTCGGTACCTGCTGTGCTCTGGAAGACCAGGCGGTCAAGCCAGCGACAAGTACATGACTCGGAAACCTGCATGTCTTGCATCAGTGGGGGGCAAGACTCCAGTACTTTGCACAAGTTTGTCTTGTTTGAGCTTTCCAAGACTGCTACTGCTACAGTAGCAGTAATGTGATGCCAAGGTAGCTAGCCACATGTACGTTGGACTCGGAGCCAACTGCAAGGTTCGCCAGGGTCAGAGCCCAGCCTGCGTCACATCGGAGAGATGGCGAGCGTGGCAGCACAGGGAAGCACAGGGCAGCACAATCCATATCGATGCTCGTGCATTCAAGTACTGCGGTACGTGGTACGTCAGTACTCCTGGACCATCTGAGCCTAGAACCATCTGAGCCCAGCACCGTCCGAGTCTGGCACCACTGGGCATGAAGTTTCGACACGTCCTTACAATCTACCTTATCTGGGAATCCATTTCCGATCATGAAATCTTCGGAAAGCGGCCTCATTGGTCCACCAGGTCCCCCGCACTCCCCAGCACCAGATTAAACTCTCAGGCTTCCCCAGAAATATCCAAGATTGTCCCATCGAAGCTAATATTTAAAAGGAAATTTTAAGGATAATTAATGGGGAAGGTGTCATTGACAGCGCACAGTCTCCTTGGCTGACGACGAGGTGCTGTCGCCGGGTCTCAGATCGGCATTTTTAGCGTTGTGCCAGTCTCGGGCTAGAATGAAGCTATCTCCCCGCGGCGAATCGTGGGGTTAAGCTCAGAGTATTTGCCTTTGTTCTGGTAGGCCAGCTTGATCAAGCAAAGTGCCGAGTTGGAGAACCGAAGGCGGGGAACCCAGAGATGCTTTCTGCCACTTTTCCTGTTTTGGTGTCAGAGTCACAAGTAAATAAGTTTAATGGGTCCAAGGAAAAAAAAGAAAAGTAAAATCGAGAAAATATCAAAGGAAAATGAAACAAATTAAGACGAAAAGTATATGAAAATATCAAATTACTGAGCACATAGCACAGGTGGAGCATAGGAGCAAAGGAGCAAGCTGTCCCCATAAATCATATGGCTTTAGAGAGATCTCACTTCTGCTACGCTCTGCTAGTTGCCGGGCTTTCAGTCCATTGATGCCATGGGTTTCGTCCTGAGTACATGAGTACGAAGTAGCGCAGATTGCCTAGATCCAGTCCGTCCAAAGGGAGAAATCTTAAATGTTGCCCCCGCGCAGTCTTCTAGTCTCAATTTGGACTAATGTTACACTCCCATTCCCCAGTTTGGTGACATCTCACCAAGCAGCCCTTCATTGTCACATTCTACCCCGGATCCGATGAGTCCGAAGGGAGCCTCTATGCAGTTTGCCGAGGCATCCCATTATCGGAAGCCGGGGGTGTGTGGCTTATAGACCATACACTCCGATAAAGCATCCCAGGCATGGATGCGTTGGCAGAGGGACCCTGGCAGGGGGGCTGAGAGCGATGGGTCGATTCAGGGGATTCACGAGACGTTCGATAGTATCGAATATATTTTATTCTTCAGCTTCTTATCATCGCCATTTCCACATCTCTCGAGATCTCGTAAGATGTGCACCGACGTCGCGCCAAAGGATGTCCTCGTGACAGAGGTAACAGACGAGAATTCTGCGAGTGTAGATGCCACGTCCAGACGCCATGTGAATGCCCGTGGACCATTCGGTCGTGCTCCAATCGGCAGATGACGAGTCATTCCAGGTATAGCGCCAAACGCTGGTTGAAGCTGACAGAGAAAGACTCCATGCTTGACAGCGCGACGCATCGTCCGTTTGGCTTTCGATATCACTAACCACATTGAAGTCCATGCCGAAGAGCCACACCGGTTGATCTAGGACAACAGGTTCCAATGGCTGCTGCTGAAAAAATCTGTGAATGACGGGCACTGTCGTATATTACGAGCCATTACAAATGTGGCGCGATGACCCGCCTTCCGAACAACGAATTGCTCGATTCATCCATCAGCGGATATAACGCCGGCAACATTCTGCGACTACCCATATTGCTAGGAGGGATGGGCAAGAGTCGCACACTGCCTTTAGGCTGGGTGCTTTTTTTGAGCTACGCCCTTCTCTCGATGGCTCGGGGGTAGTTAGCCAGCATCCGGCATCCATGGACACAACACGATCACGACAAGCTTCGACAGAGGCTATTCATGAGCCATTGGAGTGGCTGGCAGGATGGCTTCGAAAGACAGGAGCAATGAACAGCATGCACAGCAAGACGACCCAGCCATTCAGCTGACCGTGTGTCTACAAGTTCTCCCTACCCAGCTTTCTCGCCCTTCGACTCGCGACAAGACGAGGCATATGATCTTTGAGGAAAGGATGGTGCGAATTATAATCGGCAATTCGAGACCCGCATATTTCATTCACTGTCAGATAGCCGATTTGTTCACTTGCGAGGATCGCGGCCATCAACTCCGCGGGTTTGAACCAGAGCAGGCGTTGGTGTTTGGGTTATATCCGCTGCACCTGCGCATCAATATACCTCGGACGGAGAAGGACACACTACGGTTATCTGTGAGTAGCCGACTGAACTCACATGAAAGGATGACCCATACGTCATCGCCAGCCTCGCTTGACGATGGCTTTCCCTAAACAACTGGCAAGGCCAGTTATTCTCACAAATTTGGATGCATTACCCTACTAAAGTCTTGAGCTATGATCGTCCCTTACCTTCCAGCTTCGCAATCAAGCCAGTCTTAGGCAGCAGTCGTGGAGACCCCCTGAATGGCTTGGTGATCGCAAGTGAAGAGCAAGGATGCAATACGCTCAAGCCGGGCCTATTCGCAAAACTAAAAGTTCCGTGAGAGTCATAAGGCAGAGCCGAGCGGATGAGGATGAGCGTGTCGTTTGACAGTTGTAGATTGATTCCACTAGGAGGTGAATCTTCCGACAAGCAAGCGAGGAGCCTACAGAATTCAAATAACGGATACTTACGCTACATCACGTCCGGAGACAGACTTATGGATCGTAGATTTAATAATGCATTGAATTTGGTCTCAAAATGTTGGGAAATATGAACCACTTAGATTCTGGGTTACTTCATGCATGCAAAAAGCCTCTCGATTCGCCAGAAAACATAGATAGATGCAGGAGGCCCAGCAACACCCGCACACGGCTGCCGTTTGTGCCCAACAACAATACTTGAAATTATTCCCGGCCACCCTCTTCCTGTTCTTCCACCTTCCTTCAACTTCCGGACTCTCTGCCCGCCTATGAACGATGTCAAATACCGATAAAGAGACAACCGCCTTCGAGAGGTGTGCCTATCCTGTCAATGTCTGAAAATTACACCATGCTAACCCATCTTACCCAGCGTCTTTTCATCGCCCCCGTTCCGATTCTCCGTAGGGCCCAATGGAAGAGAGTTTTTCATCCATTCTGCTGTCATCGCCAGCCAATCTCAGCCACTGTATAACCTGGTCCATGGCGATTTTAGCGAAGCCAAAGCGAACCATGCCGTCCTAGATACGGTCGATGAGTTGACTTTTGTGCTGTTCTGCGAATATGCGTACACTGGCAATTATGGAGTGAAGACCGACCAGCCCCCGCCGCTTCCATCGCCGGCTGCTCCTCCCGTAATCGCATTTTGGGCCCAAGAGATAGAGAAACCGGCAGAGGAACCGGTAGAGTACCTGCCAGAGGAGCCGGCAGCGTACCTGTTAGAGGTACCGGTAGCGCCAGAGGAACCGGTAGCGTACCTGCCAGAGGAACCGGACGAGATCGCCGTTATTCCACGTACAACCAAAAAATCCAAAAAGGGAAAGAAAGGCAAAAATTTGGACGACGTCGAGAAACCCGACGATTGTCAGTTTGCACCAGCAGCTTGGCGGAAACGGGATTCTATGTGGGCCAAATTCAAGGGCAAGACATATGTCGGCAGCGATGTCGATCTCAACCTGCCACCTTACAAGGAGACAGAATTCAATGGGCTCAAAAACTTCCTCCTTGTCCACACAAAGGTGTATCTCCTTGCTGATTGCTATATGATTTCGAACCTCGCTTCGCTTTCAATCCATCGGCTACACCAGTGTCTTTGCGTATACGACGTACGAGAGGACACCCTTGAAGATATAGTGGAGCTTCTGCGATTCACATTTGAGGAGGAAACTCCCGATCTACTGCGACAACTAGTATCCTTATTCACCGCCTGCTATATTGAGAAATTATGGCCGCATAAGGGCTTTAAGGATCTGCTGAGAACTTATGAGGATTTGTTCGAGCGCGTCATCGGCTCAACCTTGGACCGGTTGGATTGAGATGCTACTAGCGCTATGATGCAGTGTTTGTGAGGTTGTCGTTTCGAGACGAAGCATCCTGGGGCCTCAACTGACCTGCCAAAGGTGTCGAGATGTAGCTCATATCACCAAGTCACATTTTGACAGCACGCAAAGATCGATTCAAGAAGAGGAAAGAGACCCTTGGAAATCAGACTGTACGTAGCTAGCTAACTAAATGAGTGGAGATACCTTGAAACCAACCGCCCAATCAATCAACCAGTGTGTTACCCTCATGCGCCTCGGCGAGCCCCAGTAAAGCGAAAAGAAAGTCCAAACAATGTCCAATCCCGAGTTGGCGTGCAAGAGCTAGGCAACTTAAACTCTATTGCCGTGGCCTACTGTGAGTTCAATTATGGGTCGTGAGGCCTTAGTAGCACGTGCAGATGCTGCAAGGGACCTGTTAGCATTATTGGATATACTGTTTTCAACTGTCTAGCACTTACTTCTGGCCATTGCAGTAGCCACCAGATCCCTTGAGAAGGAAGCACTAGAGAAAGACGAAAAGATCAGAATCGGTTGCTATCAAGCCAGGGATAAATCGGATTACCTTGATCTGGCAACCCTTGTTTCCGGCAAGCCAGGAGCAGGTCCAGCCAGCACGGGCCTCGAGATCGCGGGTCTCAAGGCCGACCTCGGTGTCGACGTCGACAAGGTTGAGAAGCTGCGAGATGAGGGTATCGACATCGCTGGGGCCACGAGCATCGATGGAGTTGGCCTCGGCAGGAGCAGCCACGGCGCACATGGGGGCAGCGATGAGGATGGTGGAGAGAACGGCCTTGAAGAACTGCATTTTGATCTTGTGTTTTGAGGAAGTGGTTTCGGCAGGGTAGTTAGATTGAGAAAGGCTTGGGAAGGGCTTGGGAAGATGTAATTGTTGAACTTGTTTGAGTGTTTGGGAGCCGGTGTCTTTTGCTTGCTGGTCTGGTGAGCTTGGTGATGAGAGTTTCTTTTCCGTCGATTGAAGGGGAACTTGCCTCCCCTTTTATACTTGAAATTCTGCTCTCGAATATCAATTTCTTGCGATATCTTCTTCTTCTTTTCAGTCTACGCCTCCTCGTTCTCTTGCCTGCTTCATCTTCTCACCATTCTTACACTACCGTCGGAGGAACTATCCATCGTCACCTAGACTCGAACAGCCAAGCCTTCTGCGACGACGATCCAATCCAAACGCGGTGCCCAGCTTCCAAGTTTAGATCATAAAGTTCCTAGGGCAGGTTGGTTGGTTCCGTGAATCCATCGAGATAGCCTTCTTGTAAGACTTCCAAGAGACGTTGCCGATCACTAAACGTAATATTCCCCCGATCTTACCAGTTCCGATCATGAGCATTTCCACCACACGCAGCGAGTTGGAATGCGGGGAACCGCGTGATGGAGGATCGAATTAAGTTTCAGATCCAACGCCCAGAAGAGGCGAGCCGCGACGCTGAGCCACACGAAGATCTCCCTATAGGGCCATAAGCGCGCATGAATGACATCCCAGCTCTATGGCCATAGATGGAGGTTTTAACAGGTGCGCTAAAAATATCCTTTCAGCTAGAGCCGAATCAGATCATTAATCCGGGAAACCTCACGCCGATCCGAGACGAGCTGAGGCCATTCCGTGCCGCTCCGCCACGTCGGTTGGGGATTTATTGGTCGTCTTTGCTGGAGTCGACGCCGTTTTTAAAGCTTTGCTGACCGCCCTTGAACCCGATGCAGAATGCGATGCGGAGTGGGCTCTGGGCGTTCTCAACATAATGGAAAAGGATCGGCAGTAGGCAGGGCAGGGAGCTGAATGTTGAGCATGACGACATTGGCACGAAGACTAATATTGCCGTGTCGACGCAAGTGTAAAAAGTAGTATCATGAAGTTGCAACTTGCAAGGATGATTCCTGAACCCAATTTTGGGACACCATTGCGCTGCCACCTCGCTACCTCTCCATAAGCAAATAAATAAGAAAACAGCAGCTCTTTTCCATGTGGTTGAATCAACTGCAGCAATTGGTGCGTTCATTCAGAACATCTGGCTATATATAGAATTTCTGTCTAGGGAAGCGGATGAGCAGCATCGAACGAGAGGGTAAGCTCAGAGGCTGCGCAAAGGGACTGAACGAGCCAGCGACAGCAATTAGACGGGCCATGATATTTTTAAGGCTCTGAGTTCGTGTTAAGGGGTCTGGGTCGAGGATACAACTCGTTGGCATCGCTATATGCAGATCTAACGGAGTCGACCATAGGGCCTTGGGTGGAAACGCTCCGGGGAAAGCCATCTTTAACCCCCCATGACCTCCCCGCCATTTACGTCTTGGTCCTGGTCTATAGTCTTTAGTATTTTAAACTTCAGAATTCGGTTTGGACGCCCTATATTAACCTATTTCCTAAAGACACTTTAGAATATTCTAGTTGGTATTGCTTGTTGGAAGCTGACCAGGATCTGGCGAGATTACCCAGGCACCCTTATCATAAGTCTGAGGCCAAATGCCGTTTTTCCCAGGCGCAAGAATTCCTTTCGGGTCCATGGCATCCTTGATCATCTCATTCAGTTTCATTTGTGCGTTGTCGTTAAAATTGTACGTATTAGCAATCTGGTCCATGACTGCCAGGTGGGTTCTATACTCTCCCCATCCATGCTGGGCGCAGTCATCGATGAGCGTTCGAATGAGCCAGAGGGCCCTCCTCTTCGAGTCTGGGTCCTCGCGATTGAATACGATACACACAATATGATCTGAAGATGACACAAATCGTTAGGCCCCTGCGTTCTCATGTGAAATTTGCTAGGGATGAAACTCACGCATTTCTCTCATTCCCACCAGAAAGTCGCCAATGAAGTCCAAACCAGCTTCGAGACAGCGCTTGCGAGTGACTTGGTATTGCAAGACAGCGTCCTGCCCCGTGATTTTCGAAATGGGCGAGAAGAAGAGATGGGCTCCATTGGGAAGCCAGTCGACCCACCGCAACTCATCGAAGGACGGGATGCCTTGCAGAGTCAATGCCCGGGTACGAAGGACGCTGTGTTCCTCGGTGCGGTCTTCGGGAAAGTAAAACTTGGCACCCGGAATCTTTGAGAAACTCTCCTTGATAATGCCCCAAAGAGTATTGCGGATCGGCTCCGGTCCCTATAGATATTGGCACGGCTGGATCAGAATGGTGAAAGCGGTGGTAGTAAAGTCAATGGTTTACATACGTAAAGGGCTCCATAGAAATTCCATCGACCGAGGTTGAGTCTCTCAGCAATTTCGTCGAGTTCCTTGTCAGAGAGCGGTTCGTCCGAGTCGGTATAGTGCTTCTTGGGATTATGCACCGCCGCATCCATAAGGATAGATCGCAAGGTTGGGACGTTCTGCAAGACCATTTGCTATGGAATGGTGAATTGTTTAGTTTCTCGGGGAGTTCCAGGAGATTCGCATCCCCCGCCAGGGAGGAAGAGGGGATATACATACAAGACGGAGCGGACGAATGGTGTCGATGATTTGGTGAAGATCTTCATCTCTTGGGAATGTGATCATGTATGCTTGGTATCCGCCAGGATTTGGCATTAACTGTACCTCGTTAGCAGCTCTATGGGTAATATCGTAAAAACCTGGACACGAGCTTACCCAAATGCCCATCTTGACCACAATTCCAAGACTGCTCTGCGAGAAGATGCCGTCGTTATAAGGCCCGAAACCATAATTGAACAGCTGCCAAGCTCGATTGCCAGGTTGTTCATCGGCTCTCAACCCACTCGTGTGACCAGAAGCTTTATCTGGCAAGGCGCCCATGCCAGTCCGAACTAGCTCGCCGTTTGGCAGCACAACTTCCAGTCCACAGTGCATCATCCAGTGGTCTAGCAAGACTATCAGCGATCGTAATTGCGAGTATCGTCATTGGAAATTAATTCTTACCGCCGTAAGGACTGTATCCGACGCCTCGCTCAATGGCGTTGCCAATGATGGAGCCTCCTCCAAGATCCGGTACCTATATGGCTTGTGTCAGTTCAGTTCAGTCCCGTGCTTCCGTTAGAATGTTTGAAATACTTACATCGAGCCAGACTTTCTCTCTCAAATTGTGCTTCTCCAGGTATTCATGCATAGCATAATAGGTCACACCAGGCTCGACCAACGCATATGCCCCCTCAGTGTTCACCTCTAGAACGCGGTTCATGTGCTTTCCCAGGTGCAAGCCGATGCTTCCGGGTACTCTCGGTGCAGCACCTCCGTAACCCGTGTTTCGACCAATCGAGAATGGCCAGACCGGAATGTCGAACTCGTTGCATAGCCGCACCATGTCCTGAACCTCGGGCACATTCCGGGGAGAAATAGTGGCAGAACAGACAAAATAGCTGCGGTCTAAGAGGGCATGCATATCGTGAGTCGTATTGGGCTCGAAATAATTGCCGTCCACGAGCTGGTCCTCACGCTCCACAATGAAAACATTTTCCGGACCACAGATCTCGCGCGCTCGCTTGATGAAGCTCTGGAAGTGGTCACTGCTGGTGTTTGGCGGCAGAACCAAAGGGTCTCCTGGAGTCTTGCTGGAATTCCCATTGGCATTCTTGTTGGGTGTCTTCAACGCCTTACCCCCATCTACAATCGGGACAGTCTGCTTTGCGGTGGGGCTGGAGGACATCGCGGTCTCTTTTCTTTTTCTCGGCGCTTGTTATGTTGATTTTGGTTGGAAGAAAGACTTTGCTCTGTAGAGCTTGTTACAGTGACTTTGCTCTTCCTTGCGGTCATCAAGATGAATAAAATCGGAGGGGGGAAACAGAGTACATATACTTAGATTATATCCTTCCTGCCGAAGTTTGGCCTCCAGTAACTTGCAACCACTACAATTAACACAACCCCTTCGGCCCGGGTAACTTTGTCGAATCACCATTCTGCGGGGTGAAGCCTGAACACTGGGACAGAGGAAAAGGGAAACGGAAAGGGACAGATAGAATGTACTTCATGTGCCGGATCCGGCGCGGGAGACAGAGCCCGGATCGGGGTCTGGCCCACATCCGTGCCACATCCGAAGAGCTATTGCTCCGGTAGGTTGATACTATGTCCTTTGGGAGCTCGGTTAATCCGTTTTGCCGACCTGCATAAATGGCAGGATCCATGCTGTTCTAAAGCTTCTACGCAATTCAGTACCCGTTGGCTACACTTACATTTTGTTCGACGAACGTTTTTTCTTCATCATCGGAAATGGCAAAAACAACCAATCGACTGTCCAAAGCTGCTGTACTAACTACCGACCGACGCGGGGTCGAGATATGGGAAAGGGAGGTCCCATCTCCCGCCCGAGGGTGCGTTCTCATAAAGGTTCTAAGAGCAGGAGTCTGCGGCACGGACGTACATCTCCTGAACGGAGATCAACCTCCTCTCCAATCGGTTGTGCTCGGACACGAGGGTCTCGGACGAATCATCGAGCTCGGTGAGGGCGTCACCACAGACCATGCCAGCAACCCCATCGCCCTTGGAGATATAGTCTACTGGAACCCAATCAGACCTTGCAACGCTTGCTACGATTGCACAATAAGCGAGGACTTTACCGCATGTACCAAGGGCACGTTCTGGTCTCCCGCAAACCAGCCAGAGGTTTGGGCAAGCTACACGGAGTTGGCCACACTCCTACCGAATAACTCTTTCTATCGGATCGACCCAAGCGTTCCTTTAGATTGCTTCATCGCCATGGGGTGCGCCCTTCCAACGATTCTCCAAGCCCTGGACCATCTCGGCGGAATACCCTCCGGCAGTACAGTCGTTGTCCAGGGAGCTGGACCAGTGGGACTGGCCGCTGTCATGATGGCGACGCTTGCCCAAGCGAAGCATATCATCTGCATTGAAGGTGTGGATACGCGCCTGCAGCGAGCCAAAGACTTCGGGGCTACACTCTTGGTGGACATGCAAAAACCGGAACTTTCCACTCGGGAGAAGCGTCGCAGCTACATCGACAGTATGGTGGGCGATAGGGAAGTTGGCCTGGTTATCGAATGCAGTGGAAACGCAGCGGCGTTTGAGGAAGGAATACAACTCTTGGCTCGATCTGGGAAATACCTGCTCGTTGGAACATGGGCCGGAAGCAGCACTGTCCCCTTTTCTCCCTTTGAGGTGGTTCAAAAGGCTCTCACCGTAGTGGGCTCGACATTCGCATCGCCGAAGCATTATTATCGCGCTGCCAGAATAGTAGAGGCTAACCATGAGAGGTCCCCATTCGCCCAATGCGTCACGCACAAATATGGGCTCTGCGATGTGAAGGAGGCATTACGGGCTGTTGGAGCAGGAGAGGTCGTGAAAGCTGTCATTATTCCTTGAGATATACCCGCTCTCAAAATGGAAACGCAATTATGTCGACTTCGTTCACAAAGAATTAGACGTGCGTGAAAGTTTCGAGCGGTTTGATGTTATATCGCACCAACATAGGAGGCCGACCTTGCCAGAGAAAGAATGCTCATTTCGCGACCCGCAGATCCAGCGCCGTCCAATGTTATGCCTACCTCCCCTACCCAAACCAATTTCCAGCCTAAATTAAATTCTATTGTAAAATTCAGACACAAGTAAACACTCCATAGGAGAGCCCCACTCTTCAAAGGAAACTCAGCAAAGGTGATTATGGGTAAAGTATGACTCTGATGAAGAGCCTGCGCTTGTGAGTGGGAAGAGAGGAACATCCTGGTCAAGAAAATAGCTCGACAAAGGATCGGAAGCATTACTACCAGTAAGAGTAGTATGCGGCGCAGCTCCAAGGCCGGAATCGCACTGATCGTAGGTGTGAGACAGTCCTGGGATCTGACCAGCGAGCACCCCGGATGTAAGTAGCATAGACGCTTCGTGAATCGTGCCAAGCTCAAACGAGGGCGGAGTCATTGGCTCACCAATACCGTTGCTCTCACTGGCAGATACGCTCCAGGTAGGGCGCCAAGGAGACTCCACGTTACCCGCAGAACCCTCACTGCTGCAACGTCCTCTTGAAGCAGCCCCTATATCTCCAAAGATGCTACGGGCTATTTGGTCATTTTCCCGAAGCAATGTATTGTCTCTTCTTGCCGCGTAGATGGTGGCAGCTTCCCTTAGCTGTCTGCATAACCCGGCATAACGTGCAGATTGAGTGTTCAGTTGCCCGAGGTACTCCAGGATCTTGACTGCCCTATCCAACGAGGAATCCACGGGCCATTTCTGGCGACCGGAGGTATCCAAGGATGCTAGGCCGAGGCATAGGGCCGATATGAACACACTGTTAACGACAAGAGGCTGCCGCCTTGGTGTGCTTAGTTCGAAGACGTAGTCGTGAGCTATGTCGATGCCCCTGATGGCCGAGTTCACACATGAATCGGCGTAGGTCGCAACGCAGGCCTTAGAAGTAAGGGAACCGCCAGTTGTTGCTTGCGTTTCCTTTCCCGAGGCCTGGCGAACGTGGAAGGTTAAAAATGGCCTTGTAAGTAAGACAATGGAATAGTAGTAAGCCATAGTTATGATGCTAGAGCCGTGCCTAGAAGATAACCGAAAGCTGCTCGGAGATACACCACGCCCCCCTCCCGAGTCATCGGGTTCCTCAAACCCGTCGACCCTGAGCATTCGGGGAAGGTCTTCGGTCCACTGTCGATGCTGCTGCGAGATGCTCTTGGCCAGTTCAAGACTGACGGCCTTTTTCGCATACACTTCGACTAATATTCGCTCAAAGACATTACATATCCTGAACATGGCGGAGAAGAGTTGCTCGGCCACCCCGGGGCTTTCCTGATCAGAAAGGGACTTAACCGGCACCCAGGTAACGTTGGAGACGGACTCGGATGTCATGGGCGGTCTACCCAGGGAGGCCGCCAGAAATAAATCGCAAACGCGCAGCGACTTCCAGGCACGTTCTCGACACAGGCCCTCCTCGCCTCCAAAAACTGTGTTTGTCTCGTGGAGGTGGATACCGAGTGTATAAGCTGCTCTGGCTGCTACACCTAAATTGATGAAAGCGGCATTGTACTGGCACGCGGCCATCATATAGTAGGTGATTAGCAAAACAGCCTGAATGGTCGCCAGACTAGGGTCGTCCATAAGGTTGAACATGGTCAGCTGGCGTCCATACGCGAAGCACTGCTCGGCTAACAAATCGTCTTGATCGCCTTGTGCCCTCGCCTGTGAACCAACGGCGAGAGCCAAGTGAACGATAGCGGATGTAGACTTGGATCTTTGCGAAGACCGCTCACCCCAGTTTTCCAGTTGATTCTTCAGCCATGGTGGGTCAAAGAGGTCGAACACACCGCTGACGGCGAGAAAGAAATGGCTCGCGAGGCTTTGAGCAGTGGCGCCGTCAAGCGACGGCTCTTCGGCGACCTCGAAGCGAATTTTCGGCGTGCTCTCGATCATGGGGTTACGAGCAGGTTCGTTGGTGAATGCGCACTGCCCCACGGCCACCTGTACCGCGCTCTTCACTGTCTCGAGAAACGAAAGGGAGGCGGATTCGCCTACGTAGACTACGACATATATATGCATTAGCAGATAACTCGAGGGTTTCAGAATCGTCCGTGTTGGAGGTGCGCAAAACATAACTGAATTTGCCTTTGCTGTCTTTAAGCATTTGTGACTCTTTAGACGACGGTGATGAATCCGCGATGGGGACGTCAGTCTCCTTTGGTGACGGAGACAGCACCGATGACGATTTGCGTCTTGATTCACAGAGGTCAAGCCGAACTTCTGTGTCGTGAGGTCTACCGCCGCCCCTCGGCTTGTTGTCCCGCGCCGCCAACCGGGGGTCCCTCGAATAACAGCAGGCGCTCTCGACCCGGCGGGCTTTGCACTGGTCGCAAGGCAAAACACCATTGCATTTAGCTTTGCGTTTCTGACAGCTTTCGCAGGCGCGTGCTACTCGCCGTCGGAACCGCGGGTCGATTTTGGGCCGGGGCATTTTTGATCTTTTTGCTGGTCCAGCTCTTCCAGATGTGCGACGAGTGGATTACCGGAGGAAGCAGGACAGAACACTCTCAATCATGACTGGTGATACGGGAGGCTCGAAGAATGGGAAGCGGACATCATCGCATCGTAACAGTCTTTCCTGGTGATTGGCCTTATGTGTCGTATCTACGCGGGGTTGGAGGTGGGGCCAGGGGCTTGGGGTTCGGGTTAAGTTGTGGGGAGGCCGATTCTAGATTAGTTCGCTGTTTAGCTCTAGGCTCCCAGCCTGGGGAATCTGGAACCTGGAATCTGGGGAACCTGGGGATATCTGGGGTTCTTCCCAAGAGACACCATTGGGTGGTTCGCCTCGGTTTGGGGTTCTATTCCATCCAATGGGATGTGCAGTGCTCTGGCCTGCAGACACCATCATTCTGTCGCAGCACCGGAGAGAGTGATGCGAACTTAAGAAGTACTGATTTATCTGTGAATTGGCCTAGGTACGAAAGGGTCTAGCTACGAATCGTTCGACTAATAGCATACAGACCCTAAGGGTCGGCTTGCTTCAATGGGAAGACGTGCTTAATCCAGTTGAGATCAATGGCAATTCCATTCCTGCAACGAACGCCTTATAGTACTGAGGCAAGTGTCAAATAACTTATCACATCGTGGATGCAAGCCCTGTTCGAAGATTAACGGAAACTGCTGTCGAATTAGGGGTCGTATCCTGGACTCCGCGCGGGAGTGTTGGACAGCCAGCACCTTCTATCCTATGTTTTTCTCCAAGCCCCGCATGAAGGAATACCTACCGAGGTATTAGACCGGCATGTAACCCCCTAAGCGACCCGTTCGGTGTATTTACGCGGACGGACTTCGTAGTTTTCAGGGCGATGTCACCATGGACACTGGAAATACGGAAATACGGGAATACGAAGCAGGTCTGTGAACAAGTTGGGTTTCCGACCGGATAGGGGGGCTCGCTATCCGATGGGATCCGGTGCGCCATCCGGTGCGCCATCCGTCCCACACGCACGGATATTACATGAATGAGAGTGTGAAGGACACTATGCTGTGCCATCGGTTGGCAGTACACGGAGCTTTCCCGTTCTAGCTCTTGGCCATAATGTAGGTAAAGCTGTGGAGGGTGTCCATGGTTGTCAAAACGACACATAATTCGATGAATATGGAAAATGAAAGTTGTCCGTATAGTGACAGTACAGGAGTATGCTATGGATCGAGGTAGTTTTCAGTGGCCGTGGCAGCATACTCGCCGAGGCAACCATGCACATAGGTACCCAACACGAGCGTCGTCGACCACGTCCCTGGAACTTCTCAGTTCCTTCGAACGATGAGTTCAAAAAGCGACCACCCCGAGGTGGACACCGTTCTAAGATTTTGAGTGTGAATTCCGTAAACAGCTGGGAGGCCTCGAAGCGATTAAGCATATTTCGTCTCCTGCGCACACCGCGTCGGTTGTATGGCAACCTTGAGCAACCTAGTTCGTTGCGTACGATGATAGCTCGCGTAAAAATCGACCAAAAATAAAATAAAATAAAATAAAATAAAATAAAATAAAATAAAATAAAATAAAAGCGCTCTGATGTTTATCACAGTTCAATCAATACAAAACAAACATGTTAGAGTGTTAGCTACCGGGTTTTATATTCCAAAGACCATGCCTGATAGCTGATTACCACTCCCACCCCGATTCGAACTCATCTAATGAGAAAATGCCAGCTGCCTAAACTCGACAGTGTCCTCCGGGAAAGGCTCCGCCGGTATATCAATCAACCCCGGCTGCAGAAAATGTGCCAATTCTCCTGCTCTAGGATCAATCTGCGGCGCGGACCAGCCATCCCCAAGCCAAGCTAGCCGGTTGCTCTCCACTCCATCCTTGTCCCCAGCGTACACGTAGTCGAAATCTTCCCAACGTGGTGAGCGAAGAGTCTCCATGGCGTGCAACGCGCTGCCGGGCCAGACCCCGGTGATTCGATCGCCCCGGCCTCCCTTGCTTTTGTACCAGCTGCTGCAGTCGTCCAGATAAATAGTATCCTTGAAGTATTCATCAATGATTCGCGAGAAGTCGTCCACTCGAGCCGCCTTCGGTTCCATGCTTGAAATGCCTTCCTTTTGAAGTTTCCGGATGCACTTGATGATGTAGTCGCCGGTCCTCTCTATCATTGTTGTCAGCGGGCCCGTACCGATGGCGGCATTCGGGCCCAGCATCATGAAGTAGTTGGGGAAACCGTCCGTGGCCAGGGACAGATAGGTTTCCGGATAGGGCTCGAACTTTTGCTGCATGGTTTGGCCATTCCTCCCGGTCACCGGGAACGGCGGAGGAGCGGATGTTTGAAAGCCTGTAGCGCAGACCAAAATGTCCAACTCCTTCTTTTCTCCGTTTCGTAGCACCAGCGCTGTATCCGTAGCCTTGGAAATAGGCTTGTTGATGAAGTCGACGTTGTCTTCCGAGAGTGCTTCGAGGTACCCAGGGCCGGGTGTCAATCTTCGGCAACCCACGCCAAAATTTGGCAGTAGTGACTCCAAAATATGTGGCTTTGTGGCCAGCTTCTCTTTCATGAGTGCCCTGAAGTCGTCCTGCGCAAGCTTTTGCTTGGCGGAGCCCTTCAGCGTGAGGTCGTGAATCGAGTTACCATCTCTTTCGATAATGGTCCGGAAGTTTAAGTAATGTTCAGCGTCCGTTGCAAACCGTTTCCTCTGTTCTGGTGAGACTATTGCGAACAAGTCAAGTCAGCCTTTGTTCCTATTCTGCAACCATTTCCCCTGAACTTCTTCTCTCTTTTCTCCTTCATGACGAACGTGCATCATTGGTCGGGCTTACAATCAGTATTCTCTATTCCAAGGGTTTTCATCACCGAGTCGCCAAAAGGCCTGGAAATCCAGGTCTTGCTTCTAATGAAGCAGCTCAACTGCGCACCAGGCACTCGCTGTAGGTTGGGAATAATCTGAATTGCGCTGCTCCCGCCACCAACGATACCGATTTTCTTGTTTCGGAAGTCGACACTAGATACGCACAAAGTCAGCGTATTTGCCAACTTGGGATGGAGATTTTCACATACCTATCATCCCATGCTGCGGAGTGCATGATGGGAATCTTCATATCGCTGAGCCCTGGGATGTCTGGCCAGGACTTCTCGTTCAGCGTGCCTCGCGCACTTATGACAACATCCGCTTTGTCTATCACAATCTCGCCAGTCTTCAGGTTCTCGACAGTGACATGCCTACAAAAAAGTATACGTCAGTCAAGGCTAAGTGAAGGGTTTGTCTACCTCTCGTCTCGTCGTACCATTGCGAAGTTGCCCCATCCCACCTCGCATCAATCACTTTGTGCAATGGCTTGATGAATCGATCGACGGAATATCGCTGCACTACCGATTTGAGATAGGCGCATATTTCTGCTGCTGGGGCGTAGAATCGGCTCCAATCAGGATTGGGGGCAAATGTGTATTGATACGAATGTGCTATCGTTGAAAACCTGTTATGAACGGTTCTACTTTTTTTTCGCTGATGCCGAACACGAAATACTTACCAGGAATATCGCAGGCGCAACCAGGGTAACGATTCTCGTACCAAGTCCCCCCAACGCCCGAATTCTTCTCGTATATCGTTAAGCTGACGTTGCGCAGTCGCTCTGGTATGCGAACACCACAATAAATTCCGGAGAAGCCAGCGCCGATGACAATCACTCTCATGGGGCGGAAATTTTCGACCACGCGACGTTTAGCATCAGCCGCGGACCCCCCTGAGTTTTGGAAAGCCGCCGGGCTACTTGACGAAGCGTGCATTTTCTAGGTTGTGGCGATCAACTTGGCAGTCGTTGCTAGTGGTAGGTAGGCGTGGTAATTGTTCACCAAGCAAAGTGCGGACTCAACGAATTCCCGTGGACCAACCATTCAACAGCCACCAAAGGTTGAGGAAGATTTATTTACAAATACACAGGTATATCTGTTCCTGTGCCCAACATTTGGCCTGGCTGGGTTCCGGCGCATACTGGACGGTTCAGCTGCCGTATGACCCCGCTTTTTCGCGTCGTCGAGAGGAACCGGACCGGGGACCTCCCGAGGACGGATCGTGCCCCCTTTCTTGCGGAAGTTAGCACCCGCCGCTGCACGGACCCTAGCCGGCATCCGAGGAGACAAGCTGGTATCCAGAGGGGAGTGATGATAGAGCCGGCTGATCTTCCGTTTCGGCCTTTCTTCTTAGGAATCCGAAATCCCTACGACCGATAAGACATCGGATGTAAGACGTGTAGGCTCTACGGAGTTTCCAAGTTTCGGCAGTTCTTATGAAGAAATATCCACCGTTCGCGAGAAAGGATATCGAGAAAGAACACCGGCTATATACTCCCTTGCTGAGTTTCGTCGCTGTGATATACGATAGTGTCGACTGAGTAGCGTCGGAGACTCGGAGAGCTCAATGCTACACTCGGTTTATGGCAGCTCGAAAAATTTTTTTTTTTTGGAGCCTTCTGGTTTATCCTCGAGATGCTATATCTGCCTCTTCGCATAAACCCCTATACTCCCTTGAACACCATAAATCCGTACATGAATATCCCTCCCTGCCTCATTCATTATCTTAACTCTAGGTCTGTGCGTCGCATGCTCGTTTACTCTTTGCGCTCTTGAATAAGGCCTAAGGTCTGAAAGACGACCCGTTTTTGGATTCTCATCTTCTCCTTTTTATTTATCTTTCCTTTACTTCTATTATTCCTTGGATGGTGTTGTAGACTTGAAGAATTCCTCAGGTCATCCCGCTCTCATTATCGCGAAGGCGACCGGCAAACTGGGAGAGGCAGGAGGGGGACGCGGGACCTGAGATGCGGGAAACGGCGCGGTATTCGAGTTTATTGGTTATGCTTCATGCTGCTTTTCCCGCGTCATTTAATCCACGTGATAAATTGATGGCGGCACTCGGATACGCCGGGAAGTGGTTTCAAACTCGATCTCGGGAATGTTACGCAACCTACGCTCCAAACACCTCAGGTCTCGTTAGTTGCTCAATAATAGTGTACGCGCTCGATCTCTCATGTCCTGGTTTCAAGGCGACAGACATGGCGGCAGAAATTCTAGGCTGGTTTCCCCTTTGTTTTTTTCTCATCATTGGTCTGTTCGTGGCGTATCTTGCCCGACTTAATTCGCTCTTGAAGCATGTGCCAGAAAAGGTCCAGGTGCTATGCCAACTGAGATGGACGGCGGAAGAACTCAAAAAGACCTACACCGAGCTTGAGAATCGCTCCTTGGACTACAAGGCTCATGTACCTCCGAGGTTGGAACGTCGATATGTAGTTACCGGCGGTAATGGTAAGCTTATGGCGATTCAGTGCAGTTAAACTTTAGCCACCCCCACCACCTCACACTACGTAACCAGGTCTCGTTGGCGGCTTCATCGTTCTACAGCTTCTCGCTCGAGGAACCCCGCCCGAGCACATTCGAATCATCGACATTCGCAAGCCGGAGCGCCGTGATATGACCACTGGCTTAGCAACGCAAGTCGACTATGTGCCGACGGATATCCGATCAGCAGCCGCCATAGACGCAGCCTTTGACAAGCCGTGGCCTCCCTCCGCGGCTCATCTACCACTCACAGTCTTTCACACGGCCGCGGTCATCCTAGCGTCCGATAGGTCGAAACATGTGTACGACTTTCCCAAGTCCGTTAACGTCGACGGGACGAAGCATATCATGGAGGCCGCGCGAAGAGCTGGTGCGGACATATTCAGCGCGACGTCCTCAGCTTCCATTTCAATTCGACGCGTGGGCCCTTTCGTCTTGTTCGCAAATGAGCCCAAGAACTTCTGGCAAGTCCTCGACGAGCGTGACTTCTTCCAGCCCCTGAGGCCACACGAGGACTTCTTTGGCAACTACCCCGCGTCGAAAGCTGTCGCAGAAAGGCTCGTCTGCTCCGCGAACTGCGCATCTTTCCGAACGGGATGCATTCGTCCCGCGAATGGCGTGTATGGCAATGCGACAGATAATACCGTTGGTGGCCCGCTGAGTAGCACCGTCTTCCCAACGTAAGTTCCACCCAACATATTGCCAACCTGTGCCCCTCCCCCCGAGAACCGTCCAGCTGCTATCAAGCCTTCTCTAATATCCCATCCCTGCAGATGGATTCCACATATTGTACAGAGTTTTGTTCACGGAGCCAACGTGGCACTCGCGCATCTTCAACATGAAGCTGTCCTCGCCGCTGCTTCCGGTGTTCCATCTCAAGCGGGACGACCCTTCGTAGTCTCAGACCCGAATCCGCCCATCTCATACTCTGACTTGTACACCGCCATCTCTACCCTATCGGTGCACCCTTTCCGCACAGTAGTTATACCACCACTTCCCATGCTTCTCCTATCTTACCTCATAGAGTGGTACAACCTCCTCCCATACCGACTCCCGTTTCTGAAGAAGGTAATCCCAGTCTTACAGGGAGATGTGAAGCACTTGCAACCCGGCCTCTTCTCCATCTGCACTCACCTTGTTGCATCGGATGCGGATGCCCGCAAACCAATTGAAGAAGGCGGACTCGGGTACAAGGGGATGTTGACGACGATGGAGGGAATGGTGATGGAGATTGTGGAGTGGAATAGGGAACATGCGGATAGGAAGTCAAGGAAGTCTTACACGACCTCGGTGTCTCTTGCTGAACAGCTGCGGGTCGTAACCGCGGACACGGTGGCACAATGAATATCCCCCAAGAGGTTCAATACAATTTAGAAATGGAGCGCTGTCTCGTTGGGCATGGCAATTGGCAGGCGAGGATGTTTCACTGGTGTACATAGGAATCATCTGTAATGAATAGGGCAAACTCTTTGAATAAAGTCAATTAAGCTCTAGCGAAGTAGTGTCTCTTATCTGAATGTAAAGCCTGTGAGTCGCAGTAGCTATATGAGGCCGGTTAATACAGCCAAGTGACGCTGCCCACGATACAGGAAGCATCTTTTGCTGCTGGATAACTCGGTTGGAAGTGGGTCAATCCCGATACTTAGAAGCAACTGCTGTAGTCTCAATCGCCGCTCTGCAGTGGGATATGTTTCGGCCAGCCACAACCAGGCCGACTCCAGTTCCTAGGCGTAGTAGAAGCCATAGATGCACGTATCGGGACTTGAGTCAAGTGATTCGTATCCTTTGAGCGGACAACGAGCCCTGAAGCAAAACAACTGTGGGCCAATTGCGATTTGCGACTACCTCGGGAGCAGCATCTCCCGGTTGCTATCATTAACCCCTTGCTGACATGCCAGTGGACCGCATTCCTGGTCTCAAACGTCTTCCCAGCTCTCCTTAGGCCCCCGTCGACCTCGCAAAGAACCGAAGCTCGTAGGTATCCCCGTGGCTTCGACGCCATAGGGTGCGATCGAACTCTCTGGGGTCGCTTCCGTATGGCGCATAGATAAGTCGAAACCCGCCATGCTTCTCTCGATTGGGCCGCTAATGAGGCGTTGGTTCTAGTTGTTTTATTAGCTCATGTTGGGGACACAGAGTCTAGAAGCAGTTGATACAAATAGGACCCGACTAACCAACTGGAGAAAAGGGAGGTTGCCAACTCGAGAGGCTTTGGAGAGCACTCTGTCCTACCTATCCAGAGAACAGAGTCAGTTGGGATAAAGACTAAGATTGCGATATGAGGGCTAAGGCATGCGGTTGACCTACCATTTACCTGCCATTTCCTCAAGGAGCGCTTTCGCAACTCGAATGACCTCCCAGAAACGTTGTTGGCGATGCCTTAGCATATTTCATGAATGCTGGTGTGAATGGATGGCTGACTTGTCCGCGCCCTTTCGGGGGTAAAATGGGGTCTGTTCCGTGGCGTTTTGCCCAATTCGCGATGCAGCCTTCCATGGCCAGGCCGTCCGGATCCTCCCAGGAAATGTTCCGCCAAATAGCCGTTCCACCTTGTTCCGTCTTCGAGGAGAAGTCGAGTCTTCTGCCGCGGTCCCTTGGACATGTGACGAGCCGACGACCTCCGGCCTAGTGGTGTCCTTGAGGGCAGGAAAGTAATAGCGATAGAGAACCCATCAAATCATGGCCCCCACCGCCCCAGCCCCACCCAACCCCGGGCTAAGCTTTCAGCTCCTGGTCCAAGGATTGTAATACCGTCAAGGGTATGGCGCAGACAAATCGGACCGGTCATTAACACCTCAAGCCAGATTTGTTGGAGTGTCCAACATCGACGGCAGTCCGAATGAACTTCTCGGCAGCAGAAACCATCTCGTGAAAGAGGGCGTTAATACTTATAGCCTGGAAAGGATTTGACTCGAGATTCACTTACCAACTCATTGATGTACAGAGTACACGATCCGTGAGGATTAAAGTTCTCAATTCGCTGATATAGCCCTACTCGAGGGCGGCCACCGGTCTCTGCTTCTGAGCCGTTTATAGCCCGGCTGCTCCGGAGGCGAACGAGCGGGAAGTTGCCAATGAATCGCCTCAAAAAGTGTTGCACGAGACTCTATACAGGGTTTAGGTCTCCAAAGTCAATAGCCGTGCAAGAATGTCCAAATCCAAGGATATCCCAAATCCAAGGATATCCCAACCCTTCACGATGTCCCTGGTCAGATACTGGAGTGCGTTCCGATTCCTCTGTGTTTGGATTATACGGTAGGCTATGTCAACGATCTCCTTGACAATAGGGCCAGAGAATTGCCCCCAGTTGTGTCGAAGAGTCGTATGTTGCGCAGCTGGTTATTTCTCAAGCCCCTGCCGGCCGGTAAACCACTGGTGACTAGTGACGAGGCAGGGATAATCGGCCGTGAGAAAGGAAGAATATCGTCGACAGCAGCTGTGAAACCTGCAATGGAGAGCCATTCCAAGGGAGGCTCCTGTTCGTCAGCAGTCTCTCTGAAATCATCTGGCCGACGGATTCAAGTCGAAATATATGGGATTTATATATAAAGAGAGAAAAGAAAAGAAATAAGCAAATGAAGAGAGAATTGTGTTGGAAGGGTGCGAGAGGTATGAGGAGAGCGAGGTTAGGATCCTGGCCTTAAGTGGGAGATGGGAGAGATTTAATAGTTGTGGGAAATCAGTAAAACGCAGAAGTGAATCATGAGAGCCCAGGGAAGGCGCAGGAGGTGGAGGAACTGTGATCCATTCATCTATTCAGGTAGTTTCCATAATTTCCATTCAAGATTCGCTCTTTCCGAATGGGAGTTCCCGGATTTATCGGCTGCCTGAATCGGGCCATCGCAACAATCGCCAGATCAATAGTTGCAAACAAAACCAGACATGGACAAACACGGTCTCCTTCCGTGTAGAACACATAAAAAAACCTCGATCTCCGGCCCAGAAAGAAGGGAAGGCGAGTAAAGCTGCTATCTGCCCACCCACAGAAATAGCACGAATTTATATTATGGCTTGTCTTCGTGAAGAGACGAAGGGCTCCGAGAGGCTTCGAGCAAGGCCGCAAAAATAATTAATGACTACAATCGAAAGTGGGAAAGATGTAAGGGCATCTATGTCCTTATTAACACTGTAAAGACAAATCCTATTAAGATTAGTGCCAATAGTTTAGGGTTTATAGTAAAGCCACATTCTCTGCTTTCTTTTCCTTTTGGTGACCACATGTATGTACAAAAGGTCATCTCTTACAGAAGCAAAAGCCCGCCGTTTTACCCTCAAGAAAGGAAAACCACAAAAAGTTAACAAACCAACCCGGCTATAAAATCCATGATAACTTTACGTTTAATAGTAGAGAGCTCCTAATGCTATAAGTATTGCTTATATTGAAACTGGTTAGGACTTCTCAAAAAAGCGATTCTTCGGCCTCGGCAGCCCCAAGTGCTCTCGCAGAGTCTTTCCTTCATAGTCCTGTCGGAAAATACCACGCTGTTGCAGTACCGGGATAAGCCGGTGAGCAACGTCTTCCAGCCCCTGTGGGAGGAAAGGGAACGTTACGGTAAAACCATCCGATGCGCCTTCTTCTAACCACTTGCCTAGATCGTCCGCAATGCTCTCTGGCGTGCCTACAAAGGCCAGTCCCGAGTAACCTCCGTAGCGTTGTGCCAGCTGTCTAACTGTCAATCCCTCGTCCGCCGCAAGCTTCAAAACCCCAGCGCGGCTGGTCTTGCTTGCGTTAGTCTCCGGGAGATCGGTGGGTAGCGGACCATCCGGGTTAAATCCAGATGCGTCGGTGCCAAGATTGATAGACAGGGACGCGATGGCGCTATCGTAGTGTACCAAACTATCCAGCCGGAGACGCTTCTGTTGGGCTTCCTCGATGGTATCGCCAATGATTATGAGGGCCGCCGGAAGGATTTTTATGTGGTCGGGGTTTCGTCCCGCAGCCTTCGCGCGACCCTTGATGTCGTTGTACAATTCCTTTGAGGATTCGATATCGCGAGGCGAGCAGAAGACGACTTCCGCCGTCTCAGCAGCCAACTGCCTACCTGGTTCGGACTGGCCGGCCTGGACTATAACGGGCCATCCTTGAGGTGGTCGAGCGATGTTTAAAGGGCCTCGGACGCTCAAGTCGTCACCCTTGTGATCAAGCACATGCATCTTCTCAGGATTGAAATAGACGCCGGATTCTTGGTCACGGATAAAAGCCTCATCCGCAAAGCTGTCCCAAAGACCGGTTACAACATCGTAGAATTCACGCGCCCGTTTATAGCGCTTGCTGTGCTCCAGATGCTCCTCGGAGCCGAAATTCTTAGAAGACTCGGGGTTCCCCGTGGTGACGATATTCCAAGCCGCCCGGCCGTTGCTCAGGTGATCCAGGGAAGCGAAACGACGGGCAATGTGGTAAGGCTCATCGTATGTCGTAGAGGCTGTTGCTGCCAGCCCGATCTTTTCTGTCACCTGCGACAGTGCCGAAAGCAAGGTGAATGGCTCGAAGGACGTCACCGTATGGCTACGCTTGAGCGCTTCAGACGGCATATTCAGGACAGCAAGGTGGTCGGCCATGAAGAAGGCGTCAAACTTGGCCTCCTCAAGCGTCTTGATAAAAGACTTGAGGTGAGTGAGGTTGAAGTTCGCATCGGGAAAGGCCCCAGGATAGCGCCATGCTCCTGTATGCAGGCTCACTGGCCGCATGAAGGCGGTGAGGTGTAGCTGCTTCGGTTGCGACATGTCTAAATTTACTCTGTTCTGTATATATGACTCTAGACCATTTCCTCGCTATTACATGGATGGGTTTCTCATCTTAAATACGGTTGAGAAGGTGGAGTTACGTGCTCGATCACGACATCGCCATGTGCGGGGGAAATCCGCCATGCTGACATATCCGATAACTGGGCCGTTGGCTGATTTATAATGAATAGGCCGATGTAGCTAGGGAAAAGGCCATTGAAGAAGTTCCAGTAGCGATGGCACTCGGGGAAAGCGACTTGAGATGGAAATTGGGCCCCGTTAACGTTCTTGTTCCTGAGCCGCTCGATCCTCCTAGTTTTGTTGCACATCCTGCGACTCTTGGAAGTGGGCTTGATTCTAACCTCTTCTGGTGCTCTGCGGTCCTACTCTAACCTTTTGTTAAACTCGCTATATACATGTCTGTGCGTGATTTTGCGTTTTTCCTCTCCCAAGATGAGAGAACTCCAGGGGGTTTAGGCCGCTAAACAATTGACCGCCTCACAGCGAGTCGGTGTCCCTGTCGCTCGCGATCGCGTTAAGGATAGTCTCACTAGGCAAAGATATGTAGTAGATCGGTCATCTTTATCTTCTAAAGGCAAACGGAAAGTGAGTTACCTAACTGAGGAGCGGTGGGCTGGTTTCCACCTTGAACATCATAGGCCTAAATACTTTCGAGACTAACGGTTTGATTAATTTCGCTAAATCCGTATCATTATTAGATTAATAAACTCCCTAAGTAGGAAGTAATTTCCAAGTCCTGGTCACGAAATGAAGGTTAAAGTTCGACAGCCAAGTTCTCTGTATCCTTGCCCGGGATCTGTGAAATATTGAAATATTGAATTGTATTGTCATAGCAGTACAAGGGAAGGTTCCTCAGCCCGATTAAGCTCGGGGATGGGAAGTTCCTTAAAGTCCATAAACACAAGCTACGCGTCTTTGTGTTGTAGCCCGCCCAACTCAGTCACAGTATTAAAGTTGATAGTGCGGTGTGACGAAAATTCATGAGATGACGTTCTAATTGCAATATGCATACATATCGTATACCTTATCTAGCATTTCCATGGCGAGCCTCACTTACTTCCTAAACCTCCTCATCCGCTCGCTCCCATGCAGGCAGAAACATTGCTCAATATGGCAGATGATTCCCCCGTCCATCAGCATCATCAACATCATCGACGAGACGACAGCGCAGAAAGACGTGAAGGTATTCTTTCCAAGATACCAGTAGAGCTTCTGTTTAATGTGCAAGAGTTTCTTTCGCCGGCCTCAAAGATATCACTTGCGCTTTCGTCCAGGTATTTCTACCACACTCTCTATCCCACCGGTGAATTACCTACCTTATCTTGGGATGAGAGAGGCCGTCTGCTCCTGTCATTAGAGACGTCTTTCCCGGAGCACTTCCTGTGCTATTTCTGTCACAGGCTGTGTGTTCTCGACCGCGACCGTGGCCTTAGCTGGCGATATCAGGAACATGGGAAGAAGCACTTGATAAAGAGCCAATGGCACCAATTCCATATAGTCAACTTGGACTGGGAATCATCTAACCCACCGTCAGATTCTGGGCCGCGGTGCGAATTATTTGTCTGGAATCCGCTGCGGCGCCCGGACGGCGCCCAGCCGCCACCGTTTTTCACAGGTCCGCTGGAGGTGTGGTTTTCTGATGCCAGGCACCTAGTAAACAGGCACCTTCGCGGCGAGAGATTCGGGTTGTCGACGGCTACGCTCCAATCGAGCAGTTCACATGAGGTGTATCTTTCCGTCGATCCCGAACCCAAACTCTCATTTTATCGATTTGACGAGGGACGCGTGGATGTTCTTGGCGACGCCCCCGCATCGACTTTAAAGAAACGTCATTTCACCAGACTCTCCCAGCAACGGACAGACTACCAGTCAGCCACACAGACCGGACCTTGGGCTTTTTCCCGCCGCGTGGAACCCAGAATCATGGGTGATGGGCTCTACTTATGTGTGTCTCACAGCATCTCGGTCCACGCTGCGACCCCGGCTCAGTTTAAGGTTGTGCTACAGAAGTGTGAGCTGCCGGTTTGTCGGCATCTTCAACTTTGCTCAACTGGGGGTTATACAGCGGGGATCTCGGGATTAACAACTGTCTTTAGACCACCCCTACGAGTCAAGCCATCCCGGGAGTACCTACCACGTTTCTATGACTTTCAAGATAAGGTGCGATCGTGTGTCTGCTGCTTCACCGACTTTTCCGTTTCTCTGCAAACGGAAAAGGTAAACGGTCACTGGAAACTGGAACTCAAGAGCTACCACTGGTTGGGAAGCTGCGAGACCCCGTTCGACCGGGCGTGGATGCATTTCGCGCGTTGGAACCGTCGTAGCGAGCTAGATCCCGCGAAGAGGGAGCGCAAGACTGACCCCAAGCTGGGCGCTGGGATGATTCGGAAACGATGGATCGAGAGCTGCGGCATGTCAATTGATGGGAACGGCTGTGCCACATGGACACACCCACGCGCACACGAATACATGCGCTTTGGGGACTAGGGACATGTGGAGACCAGAAAGCCGGCCGGTATCTTGTCCTAGGTATGAGGATATCTAACGGGAGTTCAGAGAGCGCGACAAGTGAGTTCTCGGGTCCAAATTCTTGACCGCAGTCGCGTTTTCTTCGCTTTCTGTATTACAGAATTTTAGTGCAATTCTTAAGAGAGCCAAGCTAGCGGGGACAAATAATAAAGGATATATTAATCAAAACTAGTTATTATAGAACGCCTAGATTTCCTCTATTGGCTTTCTAACCACTGGCAGTCGAGTCGAGGAATGGGTTCAAACATACATTTTATCTTGCATACTTGAGCCGCGAACGCTATCTTCGGTTTCGCGACAAGGGTGACCGGCCACGGGGTCTTGCTCCTGGATGTGATTGGCAAGCCAAGCCATCGGAATGGAATGGCGCAGTAGAAAAATAGCACCTGATAAACGCCAAGTCAGACTACAGTCGCCAAGCAGGCCGAAGAGTATAATTCGTAATTTACTATCCACGTCAGTTGAGTTCTCAACCCTTCAACGCAGTCGCTCATAAACACATCCCTGAATGGCTCCGGGGACGGAGCATAGACGCGTCCATCGCCATGCCTCTCCACGAATATGACTACCTCTTTGCCGTTGGCACAATCTTTGCATTTCTCGATGCCTGGAACATCGGTACGTGCTATGTCCACTGCCGCGGTACCACCCGGTCATCTCCCGACAATTCATTTCGTCATTGATGGCATGGAACTATTCAACTAATTCTGGTGAAAGGCGCCAATGATGTCGCCAATTCCTGGGCTTCATCGGTCGCTTCCCGCTCGGTATCCTACCTCGGCGCCATGTGTCTAGCCGCAGTCATGGAGTTCAGCGGCGCCGTCGGTGCGGGTGCCCGAGTGACGGATACCATCCGCACTAGGATTATCACGATTGACGAATTCTCCGATAATGCTCCCCTTCTGATGCTGGGCATGGTCTGTGCCGTCATTGCCTCGTCGCTGTGCCTCACGATGGCTACTAAGCTCGGTATGCCGGTCTCCACGACACATTCTCTGATGGGCGGCATCATTGGTTTTGGCATTGCTACGCACGGGACGGGTGGGGTTCGCTGGGTCGAGAAGGGCACTGGGCTTGCGGTTCTCAATAGCGGCGTGGTGCAGGTTTTTATGTCCTGGATTCTTGCGCCATTCCTGGCTGGCTTCTTCTCCGCTATCATCTTCACCATCACGAAGTACCTCGTGCTACTCCGAGAGAACCCTGCGCTCAAGGGCCTAATATTCTTCCCGGCCTATTTTGCCATCACCGGGTCGTTGATTGTTATGCTTCTCGTTGCAAAAGGTGGGTCTCTCGAGATACCAGAAAAACAAATGCCCGGAATTATCGTTGGCGTGGGTCTCTCTCTAGGCGCGCTCGTGGCTATTTTTCTTGTTCCTTGGCTCTACCAAACCGTCGTCAGGGATGACCGGGAGCTCAAATGGTACGACATCCCCAGGGGCCCGTTCTTGCTCTGCCGCGGCGAAGTTCCTCCCCGTCCCGAAGGTTCCGCCGCCTTGCTCGACAGCGAAGAAGACCCTCGTACGAGTCTCACCCTCGGTCGGGAGAAGGCATCGACCGATACCGAAGCGGCACCACAAGAAGAAGAAGAAGAAGAAGAAGAAGAAGAAGAAGAAGACGAAGAAGACGAAGAAGACCACAAGCCGCCGCCCCGGAAGTCCCTAGTGGGACCGCGTCCTAGTGGACCGTGGCATAGCAAGAAAGTGCTTTTCTGGGCGCTGAAGTGGGCATTCCTACACGGTGTCGATCAGGATGTGGTCAACATGCAGAACGAGAAGGATGCCCTAAGTGGAAATATCGAGGATATGCACGCCCGCGCCGTCCAGTACGACGGCAAAGCGGAGCACCTTTTCAAATATCTGCAGATCCTCACCGCGTCGACTGCTTCTTTTGCTCATGGAGCCAATGATGTCTCCAAGTATTTTCCCCTTCTCCCCATCTGAATACGCCCCGGATATTGAAAAACACAGCGCTAACGTTATCCTCTTTTCCTAGTGCCATCGGACCATACGCTACCATTTTCCAAATCTGGAACGATGGCTTCCTTCAAAATCACGTCCGTGTTCCGCTCTGGATTCTGTACGTAGCCCCCCTGGCCAAGACCGCTTCCGACCTTCTACGATGCTGATGAAAGTTTCCCATACAGCGTCTTTGGCGCCTTTGGAATTGTTCTGGGCTTGTGGAATTACGGCTTTAACCTAATGAAGAACTTGGGCAACAAAATAACTCTGCAAACCCCGTCGCGCGGCTTCTCGATCGAAATGGGGAGCGCCATTACTGTCATCGTGGCCACGCGATTCGGTATGTTCTACCCCTTATAATATAAATGGAGAGAACCCGATGGATCTAACAGTCTGGGAAGCGCTTCCGGTCTCTACAACGCAATGTATAACTGGTGCGACCGTTGGCGTTGGCCTTTGCAACGGCGACTGGAGGGCGATCAACTGGCGCATGGTGGCCTGGATCTACCTGGGCTGGTTCATCACTCTCCCCACCGCTGCAACGATATCGGGCGGTCTCATGGCATTCATAATTAATGCCCCTCCGAGGAATTAGCCAAGCTTCTATTATGGCTGGCCATCAAGAGTTGCGAGTCGAGACTTGTATTGTCAGCATTACCGTTGTAAGATAGAAACTCAGCGTATACACGATAGCATCTTAGAACGGGAGAGGTTACGTAGGTGCATAGACTTACACTTTGTATATTTACTTAGAACTGGGAACTTGTACGTTTATTATGGTCTTTCCGGGCAAGAGTGAGAAACTTCCTAAATCAGGCACTGCCTCGCTGGAATCAAAACAGCTTTTGATGAGCATCCCGTGTCCGTGATCTTACTCAGGATCTTTGTATTAAGACCGGCCTCTGACGGCCGTTTTCGATAGAGGCTTGTTGATTCATGATCGTAACGAACAACCGACACGTTAAACTAGGAGGCCGGCCTTGCCCAGGTAACCTTCCCGACACAAATTTCGCGTAAGGTAGACAATGTGCTCAGTGGCATCAAAAGCACCCGGCCCATCAAGCCCTCTTCAGCGCTCCCGAGGAAGCGAGCGCCATCCGCATTGAACTCTCGGCGTTCCCTTTTGGCTCGGGTGTCGTTCACATACGGCTGGGCCACAGCTACGTCACGAAACGGGCAAGTCGATCCTCCGTAGACCTCGCTTGCCTCTCCAATAGTTGGTAGCCTCCAAAATCTCCGGGCAACCTAGGAGCAATACGCCCCATTTCATAAAAAACTTCACACTAAACTCCCAGCCCTTGGCGTCCCATGAGTCTCCCCAAATAACCACCCCGGCTACGTCCTCCGCTTCCGAGTTCAAAAGGTCGCAGCAGAGTTCCTGGCACAAGTAGTCCTCGTCGTACGCTCCGGCTTCAAGGCCTCGTAGTATGTTGTCTCTCAGTCCCGGAAACGGAAATATGTCTAGCCAGGAATGATGCGTTACTGACCGTTGGCACGTCGTGGGACAAAGATCGGAGGGCAGGGATAATAAGTTGTTTTGCACGGGGCCGTATAAATTGAAAGGTGAATTGAAGTCATCCGTTTCTAAGAACTCGACGGGGATTTGGAGAATTGCGGCATTCCGCATCAGAGCGTTAAGGGCATTCAGGCGGGTGACGGACGGCATGTCGTGTGGAATTGGGCGCCCGAGGCTCCAGTTCAAATAGGCGCTTCTCAAGAAGCTCAAGACCTGCTCAGATACCGGGGTGCATTTCATGCGCTCAATGACCACCTGAAGGTGGTTCACTCCTAAAGTCACCGTAATATCTAAAGGGTCTTGTGCTGGCAAAACAAGTGCATTGTCACACGTCGAGTCTAAGTTGGGGAGGTCGCGCTGGTCGCGAACGACGGACTTCAGCAAGCGTTTCTTCCCTAGTCTGCATTAGCGTCTGCTTTCGCATACTATGGAACAGTAACGGCCAGGGTTACAGCTCACGGTGGGCTCTTTGGTGAAGACGGTTCTGCCGCTTCCTCCGCTCTTTGGAGCTGGCAACTCCTCTCCAGTCGTCTCGCTCGTCCCATGCTTCGACAATTTGCGATTCCATCGTTCTGTGCCAGGCAGAAAAGGGGCGACGTTGGCCCAAGTCTCGCCGAGAAGCTGAGAGACTTGGGCACGTCGTTGGGGCGGAGAATGGGAACAGGTGCTTGGCACGTGTCCGGGCAAAGCAAAGCGGATATCCCATGCCATGCAGGCTGCTTACGCCCTTGTCGCGGGGAGAAGCCGTGATTCGTCTGCGATTCGTCTGAAGACGCCACTATTTCCTCTTCTGTACTGGTCGCGGCTTAATCCCGATGGATCCTGGCACACACTTTGGGAAAAGTTGCTCCCCCCAGCAAAATACCATTCATGTGTGCCCCTTCAATCCAAAAGCATTTGCAATGACACGAGTTGACACATGTGGCTGGCTGCCTGACCTACCGAGCGTACGCAAGTAGATGTAGTGTTTCAATGCCAAAGCTAAGACATTTCCTCGTAGACGGGAGTATAAAATGGAAGCCTCCTCAGACAACACATCTCTCATCTACCGCACTTTACTCATTCTCGCCAATACTGGTGCTTCGTTAGCAGTTGTAAAGTTTCCTTGTTTCAAACCACAGCCATGGGCGGTACCACGTTTCGCTCGGAGGACATTCCTGACCTCAGCGGGCAGGTCATCATCGTTACTGGAGGCAATGCCGGCCTTGGCCTCGAGACGATCCGCCAGCTCGGTCGGCGTAATCCGGCGCGCATCTACCTCGCAGCCCGATCTCGCGCGAAAGCCGAAGCCGCCATCAACGAATTGAAAAGCTCAAACCCGCATATTGCTCCCATCTCTTTCCTCGAGCTCGACCTTGCCTCTTTCGCGAGCGTCCGCGCCGCTGCCGACACGTTCTCTCGGGAAGAATCACGCCTAGATATCCTCATGAATAATGCTGGCATTATGATGACGCCGGAGGGCCTCACGGAGGAAGGCTACGAGATCCAGTTTGGAACCAACGTCATGGGCCCAGCTTTGTTTACCCACTTCCTCCTCCCAATACTGCAGAAAACCGCCAAGATCAACCTGCAGACACGGGTTGTTATGCTCTCGTCGGCGTCAGAGAGATTGGCACCCAAGGACGCGTACGAATTCGAAGAGTTGAAAACCACCATGTCAGATCGCAACACCACGGCCCGCTATTGCCTCTCAAAGCTTGCCGACATCCACTGGACCACCGGCATGGCTGAGCGGCACCCGGACGTCAAGTTCATCAGCGCCCACCCAGGCATGGTCGCAACGAACTTGCATCACGCTTCGACCGGAACATTTCTGCGGCCGTTTCTGTACACTGCGGTCTTGTTCGCGACACCGGTTGAAAAGGGAGCTCTTTCGCAGATTTGGGCGGCCGTGAGTCCGGATGCGAGGACGGGAGAATTTTACGGCCCTGTAGGGGTGGCGGGCAAAGGCTCTGCTCGGAGCAAGGATCGGGAGCTACAAGGAAGGTTGTTTACATGGGTCGAGAAAGAGCTCGAAGGACAGCGTCTATAGACATTGCGTTCCAAAGGGACCCCCTAGCAGGATATCGAGGAGCTCATGACAGAGTGTGAATATACGTTCAATCACAAATTTAGTATTAATGATTCCTGGGGGGTTAAACTTGTGCCCTGGGCCATATTTGGCTTTCTCTCGTTCATCCTAGTTCGGCTTGGAACGAGAAAGGCGCTAAAAATGCTTGCGGCTGATGTTGATATGTAAAGTATCAAGCCATAAACATGGCCTTGTAGTCTGTACGTTGTTGATTGCTCCAGGAGTTCCCGTCCTCCCCACCCTCCACGACGAGCTACGCCGCCCCGGACCTCTCTCAAGGACATGCGGCGATCTTTTATATCAACCAGCCGTATGGCGTGGTACCACTGGGCTTGAAGAGTGTCAGTGTCCTCCATCGAACAGCCGGGATTCCTGAAAAAGGATGCCGAGCCACCGCCACAGCAGTGGGGGAAAAATTGAAAAGCACCCGAATGTTTTGGCCTGAAAACCCCTCAGTACCAGGGGTCCGTCCATTGCATAGGAAGAGCGCTCTTGGGATGCACAACACAAGATTGTCACACCTACTCTGCAGACCGGATTCATGTGGCGTCTTCTGATTGGGCACAGGAAGTCTCAGTGCTCTCTTCTCTACAAAGTCTGCAATAAAGCATGCACGCCAAGCGCATAAGCGTGCAGTAAAATAACCTGTGATGTTACGCCGGGACGGAAGGAACACGCGGCCGCTTCAACTCAAAGACGAGGGGTAGTACGAAGTGGCGCAAGATCCTCCGTTAATACTTTTCCGGCATGATTCCGCCCGAGGGGTAATAAGGCTCCTGGGGCCAACTCCCAACCCATATTTGATAGAACCGTTGCTCTCTTCGGCTGCCCAGCTGTCGCTACAAGGCTTCCTCATTATTCCACTGACCCTGAGAGACGATCAGCATGTCGACTGAAGAGAAAAAGTCTGCTCAACAAAGTCAAACCCCTCCTCCGGCCTCGACGCTTCCGGAGATCGCTCCGATTCTGCCACCGGAACATTGGGCAGCCACAGTGGTGAGTCTCAGATTTGAAAGAAAGTTGCTCTGCCTTCTCTAATACGCATAGGGTGACACTCGCGACGAGGATGCAGACTCCTCCGCTGGGGACGATCTTGCTAGCTCGACAGCTTCAATCGCATCGTCAATCCTGAAGTATAGGACCCTCCATGGACGCACTTACCACAGCGAGATCGGCAGCGCCCAGTACTGGTAATAGGTTTTTTTTTTTTTGCTGCTAGCTCCAGGCTTGTCGAGCTTTCTTGGACAGCTAATCAAGGTGCCTTTTCCTCATGACTAGGGCCGCGAATGACGAACAACAGACGGATTCACTTGACATCCTGTAAGTTATTTCCAGCAACCCAAGGCATCGCGGAGAGCGGAAACTCATCATTCATGCAGGCATCATCTCTTCTCTCTCGTCCTCGATGGCGAGCTCTTCTTGGCCCCTCTCAAGGAGCCCAAGGTTGGTAGCACTTATTATAACAAGCGTCCATTAATTAACTGACAACAATGGTCCTCCTAGAAAGTTCTTGATGTTGGGACTGGAACCGGTTCGTGGGATCTTGCGTGCCAGCCGCCATCCGTCAAGGGCTAACCTAATGCTCCCATGTAGGGATTTGGGCAATGTAAGCGACTCCCCGAATCCCAGGAGAGCGACGATATTGTTTGGCAAGTTCGTATTTTGACCTTCACCCTGCTTCAGTGACTTCGCCGACCGCTTTCCCGACTGCGAGGTGATTGGAACCGATGTTTCCCCTATACAACCGACATGGGTTCCCCCGAATCTAAAATTGTAAGCCATTGCTGAACCCCCAGCAAAGCATCCGTGAGGCTGAATACTGAGCATGTGTACGTGTAAGTGAGATTGAAGATTGCACCCAAGAGTGGACCTTTCCAAAGGGAACATTCGACTTTGTCCATATCCGGTACCTGTTGGGGAGTATTCCGGACTGGACCGGATTCTTCAAGCAAGCCTACAATGCCCTGAAACCGGGTGGCTATCTTGAGAGCTATGAAGGTTCCCCGAGAGTATACAGCGATGATGACACCCTTCCACCGACAAGTGCCCTCTCTCAATGGACATCCCTATTCGTCGACGGTGGCCGAAAGATTGGGCGTAGCTTTGATATCGTGGAAGAGAACACGCAAAATACAGCCATGAAGGAGGCTGGGTTTGTGGACATACAGGAAAAATGGATCAAGGTACATTTCCAAACCTCCCCCTTAGGACTGAGGGACAGCAGAGTTCTTGACCTAACCATTTCTCCTGTTTTATCTAGGTTCCCGCTGGTGGCTGGCCTCGAGATTCGAAGCAAAAGGAAATTGGCACGTTCGCTGCCTATGCCGTTGACAGAGATATTGAGGGATTCATTTTCTTCGTGAGCAATGTCCAAGGCTGGTCAAAAGAGGAGGTCCGGGTGTATGCAGCCCATCTTCGACGTGAGCTTCGCTCCCTTAAGCATCACATTTGGTATTGGCAAAAGGTTGTGTGGGGCCGAAAGCCGGAAATTCCCTCTTAGAGCCGGATGAACCTAGGTAGTAGGCCTGCGAAAGGGGTCGTTTTCAAAGTCGATTAACCATAATAAAAGGAGAAACTCAACACAGAAGATTCAAATCTATGTCAAGAACTAACACTACAGTTACCTGTGAACGATCGCTAGCCGAAAGCGAGTCAGGCCCGGGCCTTGGTATGAATTACTATCTTTTCAAACGACAGCTCGTCAGGATGCGAGGCACTATAGGTCTTCCAGCTACGCACATACCCTTAGCTGGCGCATGGTCTAGCAGCTTAAAGTAGGCAGTGGGCGTATATAAATCCAAAAACTAATATGCTCCTGGCGAAGCAAGCAACCAACATCGTCGATGGACAGCTCCCGATTACTCCATATAGGGGCACGATGGGACCGCGAAGTCCATGGAAATGATTTCCGTGAGTGATACTATCAAATCAAGGTAAAGAGACCACCTGTGGGTGGGGGCCTACAATACTTCGTAGTATGATTAATGGATAGGCCAGTGGATGTATACGTCTTGGCCTCGCGGAGTCCTACCAGCAACCGAGACTTTCCACGATGGACTTGGCTTCGGGATATTTCGACCCACGGGCCGCTGCAATTTTCCTACGCAAAATTACGTGATCTCCATAGATATGGAGATATGGATATGAAACGCACTTGTGATTTCGTTGGAAGGTCAACCTGGGAAGAGTGGAGAAAATGGACAGCGATCTTAATCCCCCCCGCCTTCGCGAAGGTCGCCGAGGCCTGACGCCGAAGGCCGGTCTCTGCCCCGCGTTGCATTACATCGTATCTGCCGCGTGGGCGAAGGGATGCCCTCCGGAGAATATGGCACGAATGCGGCAAACCGGCCGGGACTGAAGGTTGCGTTTTCGCTGGGCCTGACTCTTGCGTCGACCGAGGTCATTGGTCCAACACTGTGTCGCATTGTGTTGCATCGTGTTGTTGCATTAGGCCACTAGGTACCTCCACCCACCAGGATAGGGGTCAACTTGCCGAGGAAGCAGAAGAAAAAAAGAAGGAATAAAGAAGGAAAAATGCTTTGCCAGAATGATGGTGCATGACTAACGGCGCATTTAGGGGGGCGGTGAACAACAAGACGGAGTGCATTTCAAATTGAGGAGAGCCGTAATCTTAAACGGGCCGTTCAAGGGTTCTATGAGATTGCGGCTCCCTAACTCGATTGAGAATGATCAATGACAAATTGTCGATAGGATCTCCGTTCAGATTGTCTATACCGAGGCTCAGAGACCACATGGCGATCGTATATAATAGATTAATATCGGGGGTGCTGCCTGTCCATAGAGAACTGCGACGCTGGGGCTCACCATCCATTCTTTATCCTGCTCTCTTCACTCGTTGGTAACACACAGTCTCGCCATGCTACTCCGTTCCTCCCTCGGCTGGCTCGGTGCCTTTGCATCGCTAGCCACAGCCGTAGAGCTTACCGGCTACGAATACATCGTCGTCGGTTCCGGTGCAGGCGGAGGGCCTTTGGCGGCCCGTCTCGCCCTTGCTGGCCACAAGACCCTTCTCATTGAGGCAGGTGATGATCAAGGCAACAACCTCAACTACACCGTCCCTGCGTACTCGGCACGATCCTCCGAAGATGACTCCATGGCATGGAACTTCTTCGTCCGCCACTATGCAGACCCTGAGCGACAAGCCCGAGACTTCAAGACCAGTTACACCACGCCAGACGGAGACGAGTACACGGGACTTAACCCGCCGCCGGGCTCCGTCATGAAGGGCACTTTGTACCCGCGGACGGGGACTCTCGGCGGTTGCACGGCTCACAACGCCCTCATTGCCGTCTACCCTCACCAGTCCGACTTTGAGGATATCGCAGCCTTGACGGGCGACAATTCGTGGTCTGCCGAAAACATGCGCAAGTACTACGTTCGGATGGAGGAGAACCGCTACTCACTTCCTGGCACCCCCGGTCACGGCTACGATGGCTGGCTTGCGACGGAGACCGCTCCTCTCAGCATCCCGCTCGGTGATCCGCAACTCCTCAGTATGCTGACCGGTGGCGCTGTCGCCTTGAGCACTCGGACGAAGACACTCATCGACCTCGATACTCTGATCGCGGGCGATATTAATTCTGATTCTGAGACACGCGACTCCACGCCTGGGTATTACCAAATCCCGCTCTCGAGCAAGGAGGCTCACCGTGTTGGCCCTCGCGAGTTTATCGTCGCGGTCCGCGACGCCGTTAATGACGATGGCTCCAAGAAGTTCCCGCTCGACGTGCGCACCGACTGCTATGTTACCAACATCATTTTCGACGAGACGGTCTCCCCGCCTCGTGCCATTGGCGTCAACTTCCTCGATGGTAAATATCTCTATCGCGCCAGCCCTCTCGCCAGCTCCGGCAAAACTGGCACTCCAGGCTCTGCCAAGGCTTCCGAAGAGGTCATCATCGCTGGAGGTGTTTATAACTCTCCCCAGATCCTCAAGCTGAGCGGTGTCGGTCCTGCCGAAGAACTTCAGCGCTTCGGCATCCCAGTCGTCGTGGACCTTCCCGGCGTTGGTACCAACCTTCAGGATCACTACGAGATCTCGGTCCAGGGCCGCGCTCCCCTCAATTTCTCTGCCCTTCACGGATGCACTTTCGGCCTCGGCGAGGAGGACCCCTGCTTGGATCGGTGGAACTCGCCCCTGGCTGGCGATCACGGCATCTACTCTTCGTCCGGCTTGGCCGCTGCCATGCTCTACAAGACCCAGGCCTCGACTAACGGCGAGTTTGACATTTTCGCTTTCGGTGGCCCTGTCAACTTCCGCGGGTATTTCCCCCAGTACAGCATCAACGCCACAATCGAGCACGACTGGTTCACCTGGGCCATTCTCAAGGCGCACCCGCGCAACACGGCGGGCTCTGTCACTCTACGCTCGGCCGATCCTCTCGATGTCCCCGACATTGTGTTCAACTACTTTGACACCGGCTCTGGAGACGCCTCTGCTGACCTCCAGGCCTTGGCCGAGGCCGTCGGACTCGCTCGAGAATCTTTTGCCAGCCAGCTCGTGCCGGTAAGCGAGGTTTTGCCTGGGAGTGACGTTGTTTCCCAGGAAGACATTGAGACGTACGTCAAGGATACGGCGTGGGGTCATCATGCATCGTCTACCTGCCCAATTGGCGCGGACGATGACCCCATGGCTGTGCTCGACTCTAACTTCCGAGTCCGTGGTGTGGCTGGTCTGCGTGTCGTGGATGCCTCCGTCTACCCGCGTATTCCTGGTACCTTTACCGCCGTATCTACTTTTATGGTAGCTGAGAAGGCTGCGGACGTTATCTTGGGCGTGGAGTGATTTTAGTATAGCCAAGCGTGACGGAGGGCCCTGGATTGCGAAGGAGACGGAAATATTTCCGATTTAGTATATAATAATAAATGAGACCGTCATTGGTTTTATTGTGTATAACGGATGCCACGATACCTATTCTTCTTGAAGATCTAACAATCGCTAGTGCCCTCGTCTCCCTTTCCCGTGAGGCAAAGCTGAATCGATCCAATCCCCAAAAACTCAAATAGAAGAACCTACGAAATGAGTCGGAGTTAACACTCTTCTGCCATTATTAATACCTAGTGGGGAATGGCAAGAGCAACAGATAATCTCTAGAGTTCGCAGGTGGAGTTGTGCTTGACCCGTCATCTAATCTCTCCCGGCGACGCCGGTTTTATTACCTCACGTTCTCATCTTAAGGGGTAAAGACTCTAATGCCCATTGTGCCTCACTGATTTTGAAGTTCTTCTATCCAGGGATTCCAGCTATCAAGCTCTGTCTATAGTGATGACGTGAAGATTGGCATGGTGCTTACTCTCGCAACCCCCGCCAGCGCCTCCGACCTATCACATTATCTCTTCTTTCATACAGAGTAAACGTTTCCTATTCTATCTCCGAAATGTCTGCCATTGCCGACCCAACTAGGCAGATCATGCATGGAAAGATGATGCGCGCATGGGCAGAACCTAGGGGCAGGTAAATTTGTCCCCGAAACCTGGAGAGTGGGCCAGTGATGTCGTGGAAGTGGAGAGAGTGGAGAGAGTGTAGATCTCTATCTGGCAGATGTCATCGGAGTAGAATTCCACTACACTACTGTTCCGTTTAGTTGAGCCACGAGCTAAAGGAGATAAGCATATCACATCAACCTCGGACTAATATAGACTAGTACGCAGTAGTCGAGGCTGGGGGTGGCGTTTAATCCAACGTTGTCAGGCAATGTCGCTGTTCCAGTCCCATTCGAGTCTCGGGGTCTTTCAATATTGGCTAGAACAGGGGGTATAGCCAAGAACCCCGGACGTGGTGTACACTACTACATCTCCGGTGCATACGGAGCACGGCAGTCCGCCTCCATCCCTCAACCTCAAGCTGGCATTTGAGGAAAGGATGAAATTCGTCATGTGAAACTGCCAAAGTCAGCCCCTGCAGGTGCTAGAGTCATGGTCGGATTGTCATCGAGTTAGTTTACGTGCAGACGCTTGGATGGGGAGAAAGAGGTTGGCATGTCGGGTGAAGGTCTGACACAGATGAAAATACCCCTTTGTAGAATATGGTAGAAAAAAAGAGTTTCCGTGGAAAATTTCTTCATCACACCCTTCTTGGAACACACCAAACGCCCCATCAACCCACCTAAATCGGGCGTCTCTCCCTCTTTTGGTCTAACCTCCATTCAACACCCTCATCCAACCCCGCATCGGAGCAGCTAACCAAACATGGACGGCGACCAGGGGACAATAAGACCGAGCGAACTAATAGAAACGGTCACATTATGTACGAATACTGCAAGGCTAGTCAAACTACCACTCATGAATGTACGAAGCAGATGCAGAGTACGAGGTAGATGCCGAACATCCAGGACTGGGTTTCAACGTTGATCTGTGGGCCTACAAAGTTGTAGTGTACCCGCTCGATCCACATGCAGACATTTGACATTTTTCATGATTTTCAGGAGCACGGTCCTTCTATTTACTCCGTACGAAGCAGGCTATTAATGCGTTGCTATAAACCCTGGAAACAACCTGGAAACAAAATGACATGATGGGGGCCGTTCCCTGCCACATTTAGACTTGTGCAGGGTCGCTCTCTGACACTTTGAAGGGTACAACTGCCACGGTCATGGCATATAGTCTTCCCTACGCGCATGTGATTGTAACTTTTCTTCCTTTGAAAAACTGCCAGGCCGGCTCGAACGCCTTTCGTCGGATGGCCCGGGGGGGTTCGAGATTCAATTTCGTGTGGGATTGCGGCCAAAACCAAGCAAATTTTCACGATGACCGCCAACATCCCAAACCGCGGCCCTGAACTCCTCGGAGTTAACTGGTTTTTTGCCATATCGGCCTTGTTGGCAGTGTTGATGAGATGCTATGTTCGCATCGGCATTGTTAAGAAGTTTGGCCTCGACGACTGGATGATGGCAGCTGCTACGGTATGTGACAGTTCTCACCGTCTCTTCCTCTTTCCAACCAGACAAGCAATAGTCGGGAAGACCGCGGGATACACGCCCGTCCCAGCACTCTCTCATGCTAACGCGAAGCCGGTCTAGATATCCTTTGAACTATACTGCTCCTTCTCCAATGCCGGTGTGTACACCGGCGGCACCGGTCGCCATCATGCTGATCTCAACGACGGCCAAATATTGAGGGCGATGAGGGTGAGTCCAGCGCTATCTATCCGGGCTTGGCTAGTCAAGATTCGATTAAGATTCGAGGTGCCTAATTACTAGGGCTTATAGTTTTGGTGGCTCTGTTACTTGTCCTACGCGATGACGATGATCCTAGCCAAGGTATCAATCGCCGTTTTCCTCCTTCGAATTGTCGTGAAGAGAACCCACGTTTGGACCATCTACGTCGCCATGACCCTCACCGTTCTTGCTGGCGTCATCTTCTTCTTCGTCACTCTCTTCCAATGTCACCCCATCTCGTACTTCTGGAACCGCGATCAAGATGGCAAGTGTCTCAATACCGACATTGTCATCGCGCTCGCTTTCGTGTACAGCGTCTTTGCTGTCATTTCCGATTTCACGTTTGCGCTTCTTCCGATCTTCCTTGTCTGGAGCTTGAAGATGGAGCGAAGGGCTAAATTGGCTTTGATTCCTCTTCTGTGCATGGGTTGCATGTAAGTCCAACAGTTACCTACTCGCCGCCGGATGGCGATTGGAAGTTTCTGATGAACCCGCGGTGGAGGCTAACGACAAGCGAATATAGTGCAAGCTCTGGTGTCGTTGTGCGGTTCGCCTATCTAAAGAAGCTTAAGAGCCCTGACTTCTTATGTACGTGTTCATCTTGCCGAAGAGCTAAGAAACGAAAGCTGAGGCCCGACGAAATTTGGAATGTATCCCACTAACGCCTATCTTTCTTCTACTACTAGGGGACACGCTTGATACAGCGATCTGGAGCACCGTCGAGGAAGGGCTCGCAATCACCGCCGGATCACTAGCAACCCTTCGTCCTCTGCTCCGCATCATCGCCTACAGGTTTGGCTGGAGCACCCCATCTTCGTACGCACATCCACTCTCTGGACAGAACCCGGACAGAGGTCCAGCGTCTCGCCTGACAGCGGGGAGCCGCGGCGCATCCGAACTTCTGGGTCTATCACCCGTCCAGAAAAAAAGCAGCTACGGTTGGGAGAGGGAAGTGCCGCCGGGATCCGACATGACCGGCGAGGATCAGTACGGTTGCGTCGTATCAGTAAAGGCCGAGAGAAATGCGGCTCCGACGGATCCTAATAACATTGTCGTGCATCACAGCCAGACGGTGCACCGCACGTTTTATGCTAGCGAAAGTGAGGAGCGGTTGGCTCAAACGGAGGATGGAAATTCGAGATGAGACTGGAATTACTTTAATATTAATCAATTTGGCATGACCATTTTATATTCGACAATGGGGAAAAAGCGGTTGACTTCTTCGCCGCCTCCAACCACCGACAGTGATGTCCATTTTCCATTTTCCTGTCTCTACCCTATTATTGAGGCTCGCCTCTCAAGGCGGAACACTTGTTTCCTTAGGAGGACATCTAGACCAACTTTTGCATGGTGAAACGCCGCCCGATGTCTATGCCGGTTGGCCTGCTGCATAAAGCACACAAATGTTGAGGAGAGCCTCGCAGTGAAATGCCCCATGCTTTACTCGACTCATTGAGCAAACGCTTGCCCGCGTTTGATAATAATTGGCATGACGGTGCCCAATTCTGCATCTCTCTTTCTCCCTCTTCACCTCTCTCCTAAATCAAGCCCCAAACCCAGTTCCAATGCTGAAGATGGAGGCCCCTCAAGTCATTCCACTTTCTTGTGGAAATTGGGCCGTCGACACTACTCCATGTGCGAATAAGGGCTGGTATGCCTGCGGCAGCTGTAACCTGGTGGTCGTGAGTCCTCTGCTCAACGTTCTGATCCCCTTTAATCTCCGCTTCCTTCCAGCACTCACTCACATCACCAGTATTGCAGAAAGGACTGCCAGAAAGCACACTAGCCACAACACAAAAAGACCTGCAAGTCTCCTCTCAGCAAGACGACTTGGCGCCCCGCATGGGAATGCAAGAATAGAGAACCAGCCTAGACTCAAAGCGCCGCTCAAGCAAACACTCACAACCCGTTTGGCGGAGGCAAGTTTCTTTAGGGAAACACCCCGGCGATCGATATCCTCCATCTCCACAACAATGAAGGGGGGGACTACCATGAGGATATCGCCTTGCTCTTCGCAGGTAGGTCAACATGAATGGATGGACCTGAAAGGAAATGGCTCTGACGACCGTGACCATCGCAGCTTCTAGGGACCTTCGGAACGTCGTCAAGACAGTGGTTAATCTCCCTGACTGGTACGCCCAGCCAGTGAAAGTAGTAATTAATGATCTTGAATTTGAGGTCGTTGCTCGAAATACAGTTTAGCTGCTCTTTGCTCTCAGCTTATTGCTCGATCAGTCTTCGGATGAAGACTCAGGTATTGAGCGCGTCGCTGAGTCTCTCATCCACCTGTGGTACTCAGCGTTTGTGCAGCCACATACGATTGACGGGATCCGTGATCGCGTGGGCCCATTGATCAGCGAGGTTTGCACAGAGATCACAAGCAAGCAAAGCGAGCGCTCTCCATACGAAGACTTGGGATTTCGACTCGGCAACAAGCCTGACTGTTACTCTCACAAAGGAGGAATGGCTCAAACTCGAGAAGATTACTGCCGCGCCCAAAGGCCTCACCTACGAGGAAGCATCACGAATTCGGCAGAAAGTAACGCTGGCGCCAGAGAGGGCTGATTACCGCGACCGGTGGTCTTTCAACGAGGCGACTCCGTCCGCACGCCTCGTATCACAACGATTCAGGGAGGATGGGCTACTGCTACCGTTTGGGCATTGCCGACTCGGGTTCACTGAGCCCAATCCGTAAGTTGGTCCACGTTTATATAGAACTATTCCCATTCGCATTCTGTTTCTGACAAAACAGCCAAGGATTTTTTTCCAACGGAACGAGTGGCCGATGGGTGACCAGAGCACTGCATTGGACGGTTGGCCGATCTGGGACGTTCACAAGAGACCGTCTTTAGCTAAAGAAGACAGCTATGGGAAGCTATACGCGTATCTCCAGAATATGTTCGGTGCGTTTGTACGCCGCCTTAGATCGCGCTCCGTCACCTTCGAGATGTATTGCGTCAATGCCACGGAGCTTCCCAAGTTCCTCGAAGCTGGAGGGTCCGCAAGAATTGAGGTACATATTTAGCCCAGCGTTCAAAGCCTTCCATGTATTTACTTTACAGCTTTGACCCTCACACAATCATGGGCAGGTTTCGAACATCGTCGACGGAGCATATCTAGGGATCGAAAAGACATTGTCTCACCTCTGTCCCTTGCTGCAGGCGCCCGGCAGCAACCCACATGCCACGCTCATCTGCGTCTTCCTGAATGCCGTCATGGAAGCTGCTAAGGGAACCGGGCAGGACGATATCGAGAACTTCGAACTCCTCTTCCAGTATCTTCCCATCACCGACCCTCTCTCGCTGGTGGCTCCCCATAGTCCCGATATGCTACGCATTTGTGACGCTCGTCCTCTTGTCCGCGATGTGGAAAAGTACTTCCAAATGTGAGAGACCACCGAACCACTGTTGCTCCTGAGATAGGTGACCTGACGAGACGCGTAATGTAAGGTATCGGTCCCGAGTAGGATTCGAGAAAATCAGCACCAAGCTCAAGGTCAAAGAGAAGAACCAAAACACGATTTTCGAGCCTTGGCCAACTCAATTGAAGATTAAGCCAGGACATGGTGGCGCCGAGGAGGAGTTCAGGATCCTCCTCGGCTCACATTTATCCGGGATGGAGCAGAATGGAAGAGGATTGAGTAGGAGATGCCTATTGGGGCCTTGGACGATGTCTTGATGAGAACAACAGATAATTACAATTGAAGACTAGTTGATTTTATCTTTCCTCCCTCCTGGCTATTTCGTCAACAATAATACCTTAAATAGCCCCCTTCGATCTCTGTGAGATCCCTCGCCCGCAGCACACTCCCCCTAGCACTCGCCTAGATTCAAACTCTATTTTCGCTGCGGTTCCGTTCCACATCTCCTTCTCCTCCGCCCTCAAAGACGCACCCCTCTCCCCTCTACCAACCAGATGTTGACGCTCCTTTCCAACCGCCGGCAGGTCATCAGCTTCCCGATCCCCGCAACACTTCCAACCCTTTGGGGCCATCGCCGACGTTAGTGATCTCCGATCCCCTGATAATACGGACAAATTAGACCTCTGGGTCGATCTCTCAGCAGAAGAGTCCGAAAGATAAGCCAGGTAACTGGGCGTTTGTCACCGGTATCACGGCCCCATCTTCTCCGGAATAGACCAAACTCGTGCCGCTTACCGCAATATTCTTTAAATAACGCTCTTTACAGAGAAGAAATAATGTGCATTTTAGCTCCCTTTAACTCAATGTAACTCCGTGGATACATCGATTAAGGGGAGATCGGTCAAGAGCGGTTCTGACTGAAATAGGGTTAGAGAAAGATCTTCTCGACTTCACATCCTCATAGCCCTCGGTGCTGGTTGACAAGTTTCGAGCCACTACGAGCACCTAGCCATACTACAAATAAATAAAGTATGGCCTTCCTTGCCGCAAGATCATATATCTTATCGGGGAGCGCATATTTCCGTCCATCTCCTGAGATCTACCTACATATCCGTGCTTCTTGCCTTGCCACTCTATGAATATACGTAAGTAGACCCAACCACAGTCAGTCTTGGACCTGCTGCTGAGACAGCCAAATTTTTCATTGTCGCTTCCCATGTTGTCCGCGGTTTCCAGTCCGTTCGCTACTCCTTCCATAGGCCAGAGGCTTCGGTAGCCATCGCACTCAAGCGTCGGCGTAGAAGCCCATCATCACATACAGCTGAATCACACTCGCAAAAAGGAACGCCCAAGACCCAACAAATGATGTGACAGCAGGACCAAGCATATCTCAACGTAGAAGCAAAAGACCCGCCAGCATAAAGTTGAAACCGCCAACCGTACTCCAAAACGGCCCCTGCCAGCTCGCTGTGAGTGGTTTAGGCTTGTACCACTTCTCCTGCGCAAAGAAAAGGAGCGCTAGATTCGCAACGAAGAGCATGGATCCGCCGATAGCAACGGGTAGGAAACCAAAGGTCATGAGAGCGTTGATGTCCTCCGGATCGATCATCCCGGGAAAGGTGAAGACGGCAGCGGTCGTGAGGAAGCTTCCGCCGATGAATTGGATCATGGTGGCCTGGAAGGGCACCGTGCGTGCTGCTGCGATGAAGTCTTTCCAGGTGGGCCACCATGACCACTGAGGACTGCCTAGAAGCGCTGGGTGGTATACTTTCTCCGTCCCCATGTCGCTTGCTTTGCCGCCCGCCGGTTCGAATGTCCCCTTGTCAGCATTCCATGACGACAGGATAGTTAGTATGGTGGCGGTAATAAAGTGACCTGCACCGATCAAAGTCGTCACCAGAAGCGATAGCTCAAGGAGGCCAGGGAACACTGCCTCGGGTGCAACGAATGGCACGAGTCCCAGGAAAGCGTTTGCGATGAAAACAAGGGAACCGGCAATGAAAAGAACGGCAATGATCCAGTTCGCGTCGCGGTAGGGGAAGAAGGTGAACATTCGTTTGATTTTCTCCCCGCATGTTGGGTCGGCGACGCGAAGGGGCACGTCGTAGATGCCTTCGCAAGTGGGAATCCTATTTAGATCCCATTGTTCTTTGTACTGTCTGTATTCGACGGCCACGAAGGTTCTTCGACGTAGCTGGCGTGCTTCGACATCGAAGCCGGGTGTTCTAGCACCGGCTGAGATCGGAGGGCCACCGAGCGGCGCAATATAGGACGCCCGCAATGCCGCCGCCGCATTCATAGTGTCGGATCCAGCTCGAGGAACAGGAAGAGACGAAAAAGAAAATATAGAAAAAAAAATAAATAAAAAAATAGAAAGAAAATTAAAGAAGAGAAAGTAAGAGAATATTGCGAAAACAGAGGTGTATCAATCAATGATACACTTGAAGAATCGAATGAGGAGGTGAAGAAGACGACGGGATAACGAAGAAAGCACGAAAAGACAACTTGGCGCCTGCGCACTCCTTCAAGACTCCAGAGATCGCGGCATCAAGGCCAGCATGTTCTAGGAGATGCTGTCTGATATGTGTCCAGGCTCAAGGAGCCGCCATGTAGTCTATATCGCGTCCTCCCGCCAATTGCAGCGCACCTGCAGCAATAAGCAGGGACATAGAGGATCCAGAGGACGCCCGACATGTATGATTGCCGACTCTATTCGTGCGCTGGGGTTAAAACATGTTTTCGCAGCTCGGGTCGGCTTTAATATCCGGCCCGCAACATTAGAGTTCCGTCGGGTCATGGAGAACGAGCAACAGCATATCTTTTCCTAATTGGGAAAACGTATCCCCAACCCCTGCTCGATCCCAGACTCAGCCCAATCTGGGTTAAGCGTGGGCAAAACATGCTTAATGTCCAGGTCATTTGGTGCCTTTGAACGAGTTCGTGTCAACTAGCGTCTGCGAATTGCGGGGGATACCTTTGCCAAAATGAGTAAAGCGATCCTGATTCTGGGAGGTAGAAGACATCAATGCTGGCATATTGCGCCACTCCATTCGTCCTTAAATTGTTTGATCCTGTCAAGCTTGAGACCAACTGTGATTCCGCGGGGACGCCCCTACATACTGTGAGTCAAGGAACAAGATCCAAGAGAATCTCTAGGGATGCATGCGTATATATAACCCACTCGCTGACAGTTGTTTCACGGACGGGAATATTCGAACTGGGGGATATAGTGTTTTGTGTTTTGCACCTTCCCTCTTCAGACCTCGACGATGGTCGATCTTAATTCAACAAAGGATCGTAACCGCTCCCCGAGCCCTGACGGGCAAGCGGCGACTCCGGATGAGACAGACGTTGACCGTCTTGGTCGGTCACGGCCGGAAGCCTTCTCTAACACTATTATGGAGGTGGGCTTCGTCACGTCTGTGCTGGTATCCAATCTCTTATCCGTGAGTATCTTTCGTTTCTCGGTAGCCAATCGCGGAGGGGCTTTCCCCTTATCTTTCGTACCTGCAGGATTTTGAAAAAGAGAAAATACCGATTGTTTAGGAATATTTGACCAGTGGCTTCAACGTGCTCCTACCAGCTCTTCTCAACGAAATAGACATTGCCCCCGAAAATCGAACATGGCCGACAAACATCTACACCCTCGTAGTCGGAGCCTTCCTTCTCCCCTTCGGCCGCCTCGCCGACATGTACGGCGGTAACATCGTCTTTTTTGCCGGCCTCGCGTGGGCCATGGTGTGGACGCTCATCGGAGGTTTCAGCAATGGCTTCGCGATGCTCCTCGCCACGCGAGCCCTTCAGGGTCTGGGGATAGCTGCCGTCCTGCCTTCGGGCATCGCTCTGCTGGGTAATACGTATCGGCCGGGGCCGAGGAAAAACCTGATATTTAGTCTGTACGGCGGATGTGCGCCTTTCGGGTTCTTCGCGGGTATCTTCTTCGCCGGGTTAAGTGCCGAGGTGCTCACCTGGGGCTGGTGGTTTTGGATCGCGTGCCTACTGTTCGCCGTCATCATGGTGTTGTCTCTTGCTTGCATACCGCGGCGGTTAGACTTCCGGCCCGACGTGAAGATGGACTGGATCGGATGCGCGACAATCATCCCCGCTTTATTTTTGTTGGTATATGCCATCACCGATAGCGCACGCGCAGGATGGGCATCCGCGAGAATACTAGCCCCTTTCCTGATCGGACTTGCGTTACTTGGCGTCTTCGTTTACGTCGAAGGGTGGCTTGCGAAAGACCCGTTGCTGCCTGATAGCACGTTCGAAGCAAAGGGCACTGCCGTCCTATTCTTACAGCTCTTTATTGCCTACGGCTCGTTTGGCATCTACATCTTTTACGCGAGCTTTTAGTGAGACTTCTAAGCACCCCTTCATTGTTTGGGATTTCCGTGCTAACAGCACTCGATAACTAGTATCGAAACAGTCCTTGACGTCCCGCCGTTTCTAACGGCCTTTTATTTCGCCCCGCTAGCCGTTGGTGGGATCACGATTGCCCTCGCCGGCCGCTTCGTCCTCCACCGTCTGTCAGGGACGATACTTCTCTTTATCGCCTCGCTCGGCTTCATCGCCAGCCTCCTCCTATTCGCCCTCATCCCGAGCCACGACCCAAATTACTGGGCCTGGATCTTCCCGGCCATGGTATGCACTACCATCGGCGTCGACATTTCCTACAACGTCAGCAACATCTTCATCACCACCAGCGTCTCGCACAGCCTCCAGGGCGTGGCCGGCGCCTGCGTTAACGGTCTCGTCTTTTTGGGCATGGCGTTCTTCCTCGGGTGGGCTGACCTAGTCGTCGCCTACACCTCTGTTGAAAACGAGACGCCGAAGTACAAGTACGCTTTCTGGTTAGGTGTCGGGGCGGCGGGCGCGGCTTTTATTATTGCGGTGCTTGGCGTCCGCGTCGATACCGCGCAGAGCGATTTGACGGCGGATGAGAAGACGCAACTGCGGAAGCAGCAAGTAGACCTTGAGAGCAGGGGTGTATTTGAAGGGCGTCTGTCTGAAGCCAACACGAACCAATAACAGGTGTTGGAACCAGGCGAAAGCCGAACCGCCGCTTGATGCCTCGTTCACGGTCTTCATGTGGCCCGGGGCCTCAAGAGGCTGGTGCTCAACATTGGCATGAACTGCATTCATCGGCGCCTCCGTTTGAAGCTATTGGCTGTGAGAAGCTTCCACGCGCTGAGCAACGCCTTTTCTTTTCTGTCCACTTCGTCTAGTCTCGCAAGATTCAAACTTTCACATTGGGGAAAAAAAAAACCTTTATAGATTTAACGACGACGGGAGAAATAGACATAGACAATTACTAGTTAGATTTCAGTATATAGAACTTCAAAAGGAGAGTACGAGTAGGAGGTTCAAGGAAGCATCCTTTGCTATCCAGGAGAGAACTCGATGTCACGTGCCACACGCGGCTCTTCTTATGCCTACAAGGAGGTGCATGCATTAAACCGTATAAAGGTCCACGGTACTTGCCCAGAAACTGATTTTGAAACATTCAGAATCTTAGATCGACCTTTTCTTCCACCAGGCTTGTCCGCCATCGTTTCACAACATCGTCTAAGCTTAATATCTAGATCCCCTTTTGCGAAGTACGGCCACCTGTTTTGTCCTTTTCTTTTCTTTTCCCTCCATAGACTCCGTAGCCGCGTCTGTCCAGTCTTCCGAATCCTTCATCCCTTAGCTTAGAATCTGGAACAGCGGACCTGACATCTCGGCTCCCGCGCCGTCCACCCGCCTGTCCCTGCTCGATTCCGCTTGCGACCCCCACTCCAGCCACGTCTTGGCTCCTCCACATCCCTGCAAGTCCATCGATCTTGGCCTTTGAGGAGAGCCTCCCTCTGGTGAAGCTATGGAAAGAACGCGGGCCCCTCATCGACGTTCTCGAAAAGGTATAGATCTCCTCATCCCCGACAACGACGACGCTGCGCGGAGATGGACTGACTTCGAATGCACCTAAAAGGATGCGCTGCCTGCCGGGCCGTAAGGATAAAGTGTAATGAACACCGGCCGACCTGCGCGAGATGTAGCCAGTACGGCCTGGACTGTTCCTACGTGAGGGTTCTCAAATGGGTGGATGAACAACCAAAGATGAAAGTCTCACGCGGCCGTACGACTTCGAAGATGCAGCAACAGAACCCGCAATTTCGAATCCATAGAAGCCTCGGTAACCCAGGACAGCAAGTCGAGAGCAGAGACGTCCAACTGCTCCATCATTTCCTAAGATTCCTCTCCGGCGTTTCCTTCTACCTCGATCGGAAAGAATTCGACGATCTCCGCGTCGAGTGCCTCAAACTTCTCATTGCGGACCAGACTTCGTCCATCTTACTCCCTGCTATGCTCTACAACGCAGCATCGCATCTCCACGCGATCGGTTTGCTCACAGAAGTGGAGCAGTGCCAGCGGAAGACGGCGGCACTCTCGAAACTCATCGATAGTTTGAGCATCTCCGACGACAAGACCAAACAGGAGGAGGCCCCCGCGACGCAAGCCCCCTCGCCCTTCAGTAACGGCGCCATCGCGGCATCGGTGATGATGGCTTCTGGGGAAATCATCCAGGGTGCGCCGTGGTCTGCCGTAGTTACTTATTTACGTGGCATGAACTCTCAACTGCTTGCGCGTAGCAAAGCCTCTTTGAAACCTGGAGCCGATTGCGACAACAACCTGCTATACATGTTTGCTCTGAGGCTGTACTGCTTCTTCTCTTCGATGTGCTGTATCCCTTGTGCGAGGCCGCCCGTAGCCGACGAGGAGTTCTGGAAGGAGCGCCTCCTCCCATATATAAAGCCTAATGAAGCGGATATCGTCATGGGGTTCTGCCCTCGGATGTTCATGCTCATCGGTTCCTGTTCGAGTGCAATTCATGAGCTGTACAGCGGGGTCATTTCCATGGAAGAATTTGTCGAGATGCGGCAAAATTTGATCCCAGCTCTCGAGCAGGCATGCGACAGTCTCCCCATGCCGAAAAACGAGTTAAAGTCCAGTGTTCGGAATAACAAGCCAGATGCGCAGTCGGTAACCGACCTGAATGCGTGCATATCGGCAGCAATCGCACAGTCTCTCGCGACGCGGATATTTCTCCTTCGTGCGACGGACACCACTGACCCGCACGGGGAGATACTGGAACTCACTGGCGAGTTACGAGGCGTGGCGGAGAGCATCCCTGTCATCACGGATGCCATGACAACGATGCTGTGGCCTCTGTTCGTGCTCGGATGCGAGATGTCGTATGACGTTCAGGAGAGGGAGAAAGTAGTTACACAAATGAAATGCATGCTTACAAGAAACCGTATTATGAACGTCGAAAGGTGCCTCGAGGCCCTTCGTGATGTGATTTGGGCCGCAGATGATGATGTGGATAGCTTGGTTTCGGACGATGACCAGTCGGGAGGAAGCGTAACGAGTGGACTTCATCATATACGACAAGTTGGGTGGGTTCGATTTTGCTGGGAGAATGAGATAGAACTTTGTCTTGCATAGCGGTGGAACAGAAACGGGATACTCACCAAGCATCACAAAAAGTTGGGCTAGCACACCTGAGGGTGAAGATTGGGGTCTGCAGCGAACAACTAGTCAGACCATGTATATTAAACAACCTAGAAGCGGATAGAATAAATTTCCCAGGCCTCCGTGACATGTTCACCCGGGCTCGCGCCAACTTATCCGATTCATATTGTTGAAGACTCTCATCCCCGAGATCAGTTGCAACTCTCCCGCGACGCCAGTAGTTCCAAAAACTTGTTCATCTTGACTCAAGTTCCCTTCTCATGTAAAGGCAGCCCACCTTAGCTTCTGATAGGTCGTTTCCTCCCCCGGCTTATCCCAAGAGGCTTTCAACGACTTGAATTCCTCCTCAGCGGAAGATTCCTCGGTTGGCTTCGACGGCGAGGTCTTTGTCAAACTTTGCACCCGAGCACCCGCCGTCTATGGCAACGATGGAGCACTTCTGCAATCATTTAGCCCAAACCGTAAATGGGTCAAACGTAACATCTCGACTCGCCGCTGTGGTAGGTTCTTCGCGATGAAACCCCAAACGCCGATTCCAAGTGTTCTTGCCCGACGAGATCACCCAAGTCAGTTGGGACATCGTGGGCCATGCCCTGAGAGTCCGGTTCAGTTTGAAAGAGCCCCAAGGCGCTCGTAGGTGTCGAATGGGAGCAACCACTAAAGCTGCGAACGCAGCACAGTTGATATCCGATCTTCTGATACGCCGTTTCCTTCCTCGAGTAAAGATGCCTCGATAGGTTTCAACAGCCAAGTCTGGTGTCAAAGTGGCTGCTCGCTATCTATGGCAACGATGGAGCCCTTCTGCTGTCGGTCCAGTTTTGAAAGAGCCCCAGGGCGCTCGGAAGCGTCGAATAGGAGCAACCATTGAAACTGCGAACACAGCATAGTTGATCGGAGGAATTCGATGATTCGCTTTCTGATAAGCTTGGACTTCCTCAAGCAGATCTCACCACATTTTTAAATCTTCTAAATCGATGATACAGTCCATAGTTGTCTCTTCATCGACTTGGCCTTGTGCGAGACGGTGAAGGGCATCCTCAATCAGACTCGGATTTCGATGGTAGTCTTGTTTGGATTCCACCTGTAAAGGAACGCGTCGACTTGATGAAGCCATCTTTGCTCCGAAAACTAGAGAAGATTATTTCGCTGCCGACCAGGAAAATCTTCCGTCTCGGCTGACACCGATCCGAAGGCTAATTCCGCTCACATGGAGTATTGATACCACAGCGAAATGGACTCGGAGAGAATCTTCCGACCGCGATGGGATTGCCTTATCCGCCGGCTGTCAGGCAATGATGGGTGGGACATTGGCCAAATGGCCTAGCACTTGCTCGGAATGGGAGGATATAGTGCCGATGGCCACCCGAGGGAGGGGAGCAGGGACATGGACTTCCTTGCAGGTGGCTGTGTGATTCGCACAACTGACAGAAATAATTGCTGCACGTGGTGTCCACGCGCGTGCCGTCTGCCAGGGCAAAAATACTGGCATGTATTACCGCCTTGGCATGAATGGCTGCGTCGCCATCCCAGGGAACAGCCTCGAACCCTGTTGGAAATGACAGGGAGAGGAGGTTGCTACACTCCCAATATTGGTCGGGACAGTCCGGAGTGACCTGGCTGAATGGAACACTCCGGAAGCTAAGTCCATGCAAGCACGGCAAAGGCAGTGCAAGGAGTGCGTCGAGCACCGAGACGGGTGCCTAGCAGGGACTCGTCCGAGGTGTGGGAGTATTCTACGGACAGAGAGGAAACGATTGGTTAGTGGTAGATCAGCTAGGGTGGAATGTTTCTACTCACATATCTCGACCTCGACCTCCTCTTGAACCTTCTAAGCCCAATCGGGATGATATGCGTGCATCGAGTAAGCGAGTTGAGACTGGACGACCCGGGTGTTTCTTGTCCTTCAGCAACTGCATCGTCGTCAACAGCCCCCGTGAAAATCGGCCACGACGTGGACAGTTTTAAGCGGTTCCGGTCGTCCTTCTATGAGGCGTCCTCTGCCGCGGGGATCGGGGAGGGCTGGATATCTGGTTTTGTATTATTGCAAAAATTCACTAAAGCGATGGAAGTTAGTTGTCATGGTTTAGCTTTAAATCCTCTGGTGAGGCATTGCCTGTTCTTGCGTGTTCCTCAGTAGCGTGAACGTACGGGATTTTCAGCACCGCATCAACAAAGAAGTGGCGAAGTCATCGGATACCACCGTGGTGGCTACCAAAGAAAAATCAATTCCCTCGTGAAGTTCATTGTGCTGGCCTTTGGAAGGTGCTCTGGGACGATTGTGAAAAAAGACAGAGTATCATCTTGTCCATTGTCGGCTTGATATTCATCCCGGACACCGCGCCTGCCGCTTCAGGATCCCCATTCTCGGAGGTATTGATGTCTGAAGCCAGCTCTCCTTCGCTGATGCAGCTTGAACCGGGATGTGCTGAGATCTGAAAGGGGAAAGAGGAGTGTGCCACCGTGTTTTTGGCAATGGGGTTTCGTCTGGCGTAGCAACCTGTCAACCAAGTCCCGGCACGTAGTCCCTCTGGCGCAGTGGTTACAGCCTGCAAACAGCCAATTGTTCGCGCAACAGGGAGCGCAGGTTTAATAAGTCCAGTAAGCTGGATGGTGGACAAAGATGAGAACTGATGACAGGAATTAGTGAAACTGGCGAGGATGGTGAGGGTGGTGGTGATGTCAGGGCGAGGTTGAGTTAACCTTGTTCGTTCGACTGTTATTTTAAGAACCACGTGGATGTTGAGATGAACTTGAGAGGTTCTCAGTTGGCCCGAGAAGGAAGCCGCATATGAGGGCAGACACACCTCTGGGGAATCTGCAAGCTCTTCTTCTAACAGCTATCGATGGTCACTATAGTGTTTCACCCTTCGAGGAGCACATTATGAATCACTATAGATAGGGATAGAACCACCATACTGAGGTGCACTTTCCTTCAAAAAATGATGCTTTTCACCTTGCTCCAAAGTTTGTGGGATGAACCTTCCTTGAAAACATAATCACTATTCAATATTACTTGCATTCTTGGAAAAGAACTATGTACAGTGAAAAGCACAACCAACCCCCAATAGAAACATTCATGAACGCTATTTCCCACCCGAGAGAAACTCCTTCGCCATATCGCGCAACTTAAACTTCTGAATCTTTCCGCTAGCCGTCTTGGGGTAGTCGTCAACCCAAAAGATGTGCGTAGGTACCAAGTGATTGGACAGGTGCTCTCGCACCCAGGCCCTCACCGAGTCAGCCGTCAAGACCTTGGGATCGTCGGAGGGACTGTCACTGGCTTTGACGCCGTGGACGGGGATGATGAAAGCACCGACGCTCTCGCCGTACTTTTCATCGGGCACGCCGACGACGGAGACCTCCCCGACGAGCGGGTGCTGGAAGAGGCAGTTCTCGACCTCGAGCGGGTGAATGTTCTCTCCGCCGCGGATGATCAAGTCCTTGATTCTTCCAGTAATCTCCACGTAGCCATTCTCGTCCATGCAGGCCTCGTCGCCGGAGTACATCCACGTGCGGCCGTCCTCCTCGGTGATCATGACCTCGTTCGTCTGCTTCTCGTCGCCCCAGTAGCCCTTCATGACGAGGTAGCCCGCCGTGGCGAATTCGCCCTTCTCGCCGATGGGGACGATGCGCGAGCGGTCGTCGGGGTCGACGATCTTGGCGACGGTGTGCGGCATGACCTTGCCGACTGAAGAGGTCCGCTTCTCGAAGGGGTCGTGGGGCGTGGTCATGCAGCTGACGGGGCTGGTCTCGGTCATGCCGTAGCAGATGACGAGATCCTGCAGGCCGAGCTTCTCGTATAACCTGCGCATGAGGGACTCGGGTACCGAGCTTCCGGCTGCGATGCCCTTGCGTAGACCCTTGGGCATGGTCTCGTGAGGAACGATGCCGTCGTCGAGAGCTTCTAGCACGGAGAGGAACATGGTGGCCACTCCGTAGAGACCGGTCGCGTCGTGGGCGGCAACCATGCGGAGAGTAGCTTCTGGGTCGAAAGCCGGAGAAGGGAAGAGGATGGCGGCGCCGGTGGTAGCCGTCGCCATGTAGCCCAGAACAGAGCCGAAGCAGTGGAACAAGGGGGGAGGAACGACCATTCGATCAGAAGGGTCGAGGTCCATGCGCGAGGCGATGAGAGCGCCGTTGTTTAGGATGGACGTGTGTGTGAGCATGGCAGCCTTGGGAGTCGAGGTTGTGCCGGAAGTGAACTGGATATTAATGGTATCTGAGGGAGATAGGGGCGCATCTGGCACCACGGCACTTGTCGACCCCTCGAGCAAGAGCGAGAACGGCGTAAGAGCGCGGTACTTGTCCAGAGGAAACGCGGTGGTGGGGTGCGCTGCAAGATTGTCCAAGGTGACTATCCTCTTAAGCGTGGGTACCAAAGGCGACGCCGCCTGGCTCGCCTCGAGATCCGGCACGAGCGTCCGTAGAAGCTGCTCATTGCTCCTACCACGACACGGCTTATAGGCGAGGTCGGTCACGGCGCCGATGATGAGCAGCTCGACACCCAGATGGCACAGGGCCGCAGACACCTGCTTCACGTTGAACCCCGGGTTGAGGGGCACGAGGATGGCGCCGAGCTTGAAGACGGCGTAGGTGAGGGCGGCGAACTCGGCGCAGTTGCCGAGGCTCACGGCCACGCGGTCGCCCTTCTTCACGCCGAGGGATCGCAGGCTGGAGGCGAGGCGGTTGGACAGGAGGTCAAGGTCCTCGTAGGTCAGAGCCGTCTCGCGGGCAGGGGGCACCGCGGCGCCGATGTCCCGCGAGGTTGTGGCTGTGCGGGCTATCACGGCGGGCCTGTCGCCATATTGGGACACGATTGAGGCGAAGTGCTCTGGGATCGTGTGGGGCAGGAGTTGCGGCTGTTTGGGTCTGGTCAGCTCGACATCGCGTAAATTACGAAAGAGTTCATATAAAAATATTGGAAAATGCAACTTACATCTTGTGGACCGTGACCGAGTGAGATTTTCCGTACTTTGCAGGAAGCTACTGATGGAATTTGTTCTCTGGGTACCCTGGTGAGGCAGCTCGAGAGAAGTCGAGAGCTGCGGGGATTGTAAAGCCGCCTGGCACTACCGAGGCCTATCATCATGACCGACCGCACCCGAGAGCCGGGCAAATTGCTGGAGGAAAGGCGCTGCTGTACCTATGGGATATTATTATTTCGACATTAATTGAAAGAAGAGAGAAGGTGAATCTCCTTGGAGAGAAAGGGGAGCAGAGAAGGAGAAAGAGAAGGAGGGGGAGGACAGAGCAAGTTCAAATGCGATTCCAAACAGCTCCAAGCTTCCTTTTGGAGTTAAAGCTATAGAAGAGGAGTAAACAAGATGCCGAAGCTCGCCCGACCAAGCTCACGAACAGGACACAGAATATATCACGTGTGGACTCCTGAGTCGTGTCTCATTGGCTTGAGTCTTACCACCGCGGTTCACCGTGCTTAACCGTAACCGGTGGTGGTGCGGAGAAGGGGGGATTGGGATGCGGAGATGGATTGTGGGGTTGACATTAGCGTCGTTGCGCTATTGGCCCTTATTGGCACTCTTGTTGCGATGTCGTAGCTCAGAGCCTCAAGGATGGTCTGGTACGGTATGCAAGATTCAGGGTCTGGAACTTTAGGGTGGTGTTGATCAACAGGGTCGTGGAGGATGGATGGGGTTGATTGGGGGCGGTGATGGGCCCATAGCCACATATCCACTTGTCCAGTCCGCTTGGAGGTTAGGAATAGTGGCACTACCGAAGTCCGAAGGCTACTGCACTACGCTGTTTCCAGACATAAAATGGTGTCTGTCTGGTGCTCTGTCTGGGCTGTGAGCCGTGCCGACACTCAATCCCGTCTTCCAGTACCCGCGGAACGAGTCGTGATCCATGATTGGCTACTTCCCCGGGTACAAACTGTCCTCTCCAGGCCCTCCACAGATTGACCCCAAAAAGCCCAGTTTATTGGGGGTTCCCAAAGTCTCCCCCAGACCAAGGTTATTGGAAGATGAATTATGCGGGGAAATCTAATTTGTAGAGTCGTACCGACGAAGCCTCGGTACAGTTGTACCTTGTACACCTCCACTCCCAAGACGACACAATTTCCCCAATTCAATCATCCTCAAATTGTTCATTGTTCCATGTTCCCCAATCTTCTTCTTTCGAAGTTCGGATTATGTCAGCTCCTTACCCCGAGGTGCCGCACGTGCCTTGAAATTTGGATCAGATATCATCACGTGATTTTAGGCAGAACTTGAGAAGTCGCGACTGTGCTCAGTGCCCGCATATCAACCCTTTGTTGGCGAACTCAGAGGCGGATTTCTGAGATTCAGATACTGCGACACTGTTGCTGCTCCCTGCGAACCATCGCAATGACACTTGGTAAATTCCCTACATGATATCCAGGCCTGGAAGGTAAATCCAACCCCATGGTGGCCCACATTGTCTTCGAGCCCGAGCTGTCCCAGACGCCCCCGTCTGGCAAACCGAAACAGACCCGGATCAGCCTGCAGAAAGTCCGGACCGGATGCACGACCTGCAAGAAGCGTCACATCAAATGTGACGAGGCAAAGCCCCACTGTAACAACTGCCTGAGAGGCCGACGCCAATGCGAGGGGTATGTCATCCGGCAAAAGGCAACCGGGTCCGGTCCGGTCCAAGTCTGCTGGGATTCGAAGCAGCGGACCCGCGTTGGTGTTCCTCCCGGAGCCGTTGTCGCCGCCACGCGGTCCCAGTCTAGTCCCAAACTGGAATTGAACCTGGAATTGAACCCAGATTCGGTCGATTTCCCCAGCGCAACATCCATGTTCTACTTCGAAGAGTTTGTGAACCTCGTGCAGAACCCATGGGTCGCTGGACCCTCCCGCGGCGATTGGTGGAGAGAGATGCTGCCTCAACTGGCTCGCGGAAACCAGACTCTTCGCCACGTTGCGATGGGCATCGGTGCGCTGAGCATGTGGCATCGCCAGTCCAAGCGGATCTCGCTTCGCGCCGCAACGTCTGCGCCGGATCTATTCACTCCTAGGGAGGGCCACGCGGATTACCTGCAGGCCGTGGTGCACTATTGTCACGCCCTCAAGCTTCATGGCGGGGAATCTTCCGTTTCGAATGCTGTTTTCCTGTCGGTCTTGCTCGTGTGTTTCGAGACTCTGAGGGGCAGCAAGAAAGCTGCGTTGGCGCACATAAACCATGGCTTGGCTCTTTTCCTTGCATTACTGTTGGATGGCGACTTGCATCAAGAGATGGCCGCCCTGGGTCCGAACCCGAAGCCTCTCCTCGATGCCGTGGCAGACATCTTTGTCCACCTGGCTACGCAAGCCCGCACCGTCCTGCCGGGCAAGATCGGGAATGGCCCGCCTCTCCCCAATTTTCTCAAGGCCCTGAAGAGCAAGAACCAGACGATCGAGTCCTTCATGGTTCTTCTGAGCCAGGTCCAGCTCTCTTCTGCGACCGTCGATGATATTCCAAGTTCCTTTACCACTTTCGAGGAGTTTGAAAGCTATTGGATGGCCGCTCGGAGCAAACACACAGCCCTCGGCCCCGTCATGATAGAGGTCATACAAGACTCGGGTGTGCTGATGTCCGAGAACGACGACATCATCAGTACCTTTTACGTTCATTTTTTCAACGACCAGCGCATCAAAAAAGTATGCGTAGAGCTGGACGAGATCATGCGAAACCTAGACGCGGCGTTTCTACCACTCTTTAACCGCGCGATAATGGCCGGCCCGGAATCTCCAACGTACTTGCGAGCCATCCACCTCCGCCTCCAGTTCGTATCCACGCAAATGTTCGAAAATCCCTCGCTCTATTTTGACATTGACGGATTACGCTCCCTTGCCCCTCGCTTCCGGGAATACTTGTCGCTAGCGGAGATTGCTCTCCGAGCCGTCAAGCAAGAGGTCAAGAACCCGGCACATCAGCTCTCTCTGCAATGCGGGTTGTCATTTCACCTCCTACTGATAACACTCTTCTGCCGCGACCCTTTAGCGCGGGAGCAAGCCATATACATGCTGAAGGACTACCCGGCCCAGGACGGGGTCTGGAACGCCCGTGCCCATTACGCCGTGGCCTTGAGGAACCGGGACATCGAACGGCGGAATGCGACCGAGGGGACGGAGACTGAGCAGTGGCAGCGCCTGTGGCGTCGCGAGTACGTTTTTGAAGAAGGCGGTGATCGTGTCGTGTTTCGTTACCTCGAGAAAGATGACGTTACGGGGGAGTGGCTGCTGGTTGAGGAGGAGGCGGATATTCCCCAGGGGATGGAGGAAGTGGTATGGCGGCGGCGACCGCTTACAGGGGCGGGAAAGCTCCTCATGGCTGATTTGATTGGTCTTTAAGCCAGCCATACCCAGCAAGAAGATTCGAGGAAATAGGTTAGAATGTACTATATGATACCTTGAATAATAAAAGGGTTAATATTATGTCGAGAAGAAAGAGAGAACAATTTTTTTTGACCGTGGTTGGCTCCAAACCATCTCATCTCAGGGTCAAGGAGCGCTGCACGACGTCGTGTGTGAGTTGTATTCAAAAATAACCACTAATATTCTACAGCTTGTTTACTTCCCTTCGTTAGGGTCTCCGAGGAGACGAGTTTTTGCAGGAGATGCAAAGGTTGTTAACAGAGGAAGAGCCGGCGACCTATTCCAAAGTTAATCCCTCCTCCAAGAAGAGTACTCCACTTTCTCAACAAAAGCCGGCTTTTCCTCGAGATGGTTCTTCTTCGCTTCTTTACCGAACTCATAGGAGTGTACCACTTTAGAGAAGACGCCGATAGCTTGTACGGCTCTCAAAGCGCCACTTCTTGCCCAGAATAGCACTATCTTAACAAATTTCCCAATTCCTAGAATAAAGTCAGTAAGTATTAGCAAGGCCCTATCGTCACTGCTCGCTCAATGGATACCTTACCCTCAAACGGTTCTTATTAACGTCCGAAGTCTCCCGGGGCTTAAAGACAAGGCTAGTAAGCTCTTTCTTGTTCTTTTGTATCTCAAGGATGTACTAGAAAAGTATTCTGTCAGAACGTGTACTGTAACACGACATCGGGACTGACGATTACCTTTTCGATGGACTCGTCGATGACGTATCGCACAGTTGTAACATTCCTGGTCTGTCCTAGCCTATACACCCTCGCCAGAGCCTGCTCTTCAATTGCAGGGTTCCATTGCGGCTCCATGAGATAAACACGCGATGCCGCGGTTAGTGTAAGCCTACTCATTTCCGTTAGCAAGAACACCTTTTCGCAACAGTCTTTCGGGACAATAAGCGGACTTCATACCCCACAGCACCGCAAGAGAGCGAGAGAAGAAGGACCGGAATAGCTGGGTCCGTGGAGAACTGATCAAGAATGCAGGGTCGTCGATCTCTTGGCACTCTGCCATCGATCTGGACGCATCGGATTCCGGCTTCTGTTAGAGCAGAATTTACGAGGTCGAGCGTTGACTTCCAAAACGAGAACACGATGCTTGGGTCTATCAGTCTCTTTGGCGGCTCCGAATACAAAGGATGTAGACTCACCTCTTGACGGTCTGCCCTTGCGCGCTTAGGTCGTTGACAACAGCTTGAACCTTTGTGCTATGCTGCGTGATTGGAGTGATGGGAGTGGTTGCTTGCAGTGGCATGGGAGTTGGAGGCTGTGAGTTAAATACAACCTTCTTGTAAGGGCACCTCGGGAGGCAACTGCAATACTCGGTAATGAACGGGTCGACACAAGCGGCGCACCATACCAGAAAACACTTCGTCAAGATAACGAATGGGCGGCAGTCAGGATTAAGAAAATCAGAGGGCGAGCTTAAAATCTCCTGGCTCGGGTCTATGAATGATTGACAATTAGCACAGGGCAGTGCCATATTGAAGATTGGAAGATCATCTAGAGTCTTTTCAGAGGAGGCAGGACTCCAGGCACCACTTGTAGAGACCGCTAACTCTGAAAATGATCTCTGTGAATTCAGCCGAGCGACAAGTCCGTGGTTGCACATCATCCTGAGCTCATTGATCTTCGACAGAGCATTGATATAGGCCTTCCTGGAGCTTGCCGAATCGGCCATGTCGTCTAAGGCTCGGATCGCCGTCTCTCTGGCGCAGTCGTACTCTCGTTGTTCGTCTGGGCCGAATCTAAGGAGGACTTGGGTATCTTCCCGATCGGGGAGGTCGAGAGTCTTGTTCGATCGTCTCAACATGATGAATTTGAGAATATTCTTCAGTCGTGAAACTGCTTCTTCTTCGCGACCGGACGTCCAGAGATTCGTAACATCTTCATCAAAACTTTCTCGATCATGGTATGGATTGACCCTTAGAAACCGAAAGAGGCTGCACAGCTCTGGGAGTCTGTTTTGGATGGGAGTGCCGGTAACAGCCCATCTCCGGTCGCCATGGAGAGCATACGCAGCCTTCGTTGTGGCTGCGGATGGATTTTTGATGCAGTGCGCTTGAAGGTTGTTAGCATAGTTGTTAGACACACGTAGATCTTGCCCGAGCCTTGGGCTGGCTCGGGAGGTCGAACGAACCCTCATCAAGTATGATACGATGCCATTGGTGTGTAAACAAGAAGCTGTCTGGCATATTCCTCCACTCGCTTGCCAGAGTTGAATAAGTCGTGAGGATGATGTCATGCCCAGCTACATCTTCGGCGTTGGCGAGGCGGCGGTTTGCATAATGGCGTCTCCACGAGAAATGTTTGCGTGGGAGATGTCTATTTTCGAAGAGGAGGGTTAATCATTGCAACAGTTCCGAATAGCTAGTTGACCCACTTCGCAAGTTCATTCTCCCAGTTTTGCAATACTACGTATCGTTAGTAACTGATTCGATACTCGTGCTTCATGTCAGACTTACAAGACGCTGGAACTACGGCGAGGGTCGTGGGCCTACATGCGGTTTCTGCTTGGTAGTCCTGAGCGATAAGGGATATAGCACTCAAAGTCTTGCCAAGGCCCATCTCGTCGGCCAGGATGCCACCTTTAAAGGGTTTCGGGGGATACTCTTGGCGAGTGTTGCTGATGTTGTTGACATATCTTCCTTCACTTAGTCCGGGTACTACCGGGGTGGACGAAAAGGAAAGCAAAGAAGAAGAAGCACTTACACGGGTTGGCCCATCTGTCCAGCCTCCCTCGACCAGATGTCCATCTCGTTCCTCGCGAATCCCCAGCCAATTTCACGGCGGGTCATAAACGTGAGTCCCCGCTTTTGATGTCTAGATATCCATGAGACTGATGCAATTTTGGAGCAAGGGGATCGAGGCTTACCCTTTCAGGCTTGTCAATAGTAGCGGGCAACCTTCAGTCTCTGGCAATGCATCCTCAGATACAAATTCAGCAAGGAGAGTGGAGAATGCTGCATCAATGCGTTCGGAAGTGCCCTCGATATGCACGCTCTTCCTCAGGTGAGATGTCCAGATGTTTGCATCGTTATGGAATTTATGTGGGTTCCAGTACAGAACGTCCCTCAGGGCATATATAGGCTCCTGTAAATAGATGCCAAGGTTTTGAAGCACTTCGCCCAAGTCGGCTGCCAGCTCCATATCTCCGTAGAGTGTTACCCATAAGACTCCAGCTGAGGTTCCCCTTCTAGTAGTATTAGGGAGGTCGTCGGGTACCCACAAGAGGTCGAATTCTACTCCTTCTCGACGGAAGAGCTCGAGAACTTCCGTATCAGTCGAGCCCAATACCGCACACAACTCGAGATCCGATTCCCTAAGAAGCTGTGAGTTGGTTGACAATGTGAGTCTAGTCTGCGTTGGGAGTCCTCTAATGACCCTTGGGGCGAAAGAGATAATCTTTTGACTGTTAATTAAAAATCAGATACAACAACTAGCCTGGAGTTGGAAACTTACAGATCCAAAGCAGACCAACTCTGGTTCAACCGCGGGAATCGATTCAACTTCAACCGAGTTGGCTATCCACTCCAGGCTCGTCTCTCTTGTCGTGCCTGGCTGATGCGAGCCAGTCGAATCGCCGATGCCCCCCCAGTTGTAGGGCGTCGCCGGCACGCTTGATTGTTCTTGAGTAGGCTGGAAATATTCATCCTCGCACAAGACCATGGGATTTCGCGAGGAAAACTTCTCAGGCGTCTGCAAGCGAGGCCTCTTTGCGGGACGCTGCGGCCATTCCATGAGACGGTGAATAGGGCAGGGTTATCTTGTGGCGTTGGAAGTGAAAGAGCATGGAAAAATAAGGGTTTTTAAAAATATCGCCAATAATAGATAATCCGCATGTATCTGAAGTAACCCTTGGCAGGTTTGTCGGTCACGATGGGCATACAAAAGCGGTCAATCGAAGGTGATCTTGAAGGTGAAGTATTTTCAGGGGAGTTTGTGACTTGTGACTCGTGTGTCTGTCACCACACACCACAGCCTGCTCATTGTCTTGGCAGACTGCATATTACACAAAAACCGCCCTGCTATAACGGGTGTGTGCATCCGTGATTCCGCTCATGCAGGCGTAGATGCAGGTGGTCTCCTGGCTAAGCATTCTCAAGTATTGGTACCATGTAGCTCTGACCTATCACTGTTTAGCACAAGTATTAATACCGAAATGCTGGCCACGTTTCGCAGCCCAGATGCTACCAATCCTACACAGCCACCACGCCACCTGGCCGCAGGGTTTCTTCCATTTCAAGGTCCGGTGTGATATGGGTATACCCCCTGCAGCCTTGCCTCGATGAAAAAGGGACATGGGAGGGGTAAAAAAGCGTGAGGAATCGTGCCGTACCAAAATGACCTTCACCATTTCCAGCGACGAGTTATCAACTTATCATGGCACGGGGTTAATCTTCGACGATGGCAGAGACCCTTATTGAGCGTGCTTGCCAGAGGTTCTCTAAAGAACTCTCGCCCGAGGATGACAGAGAAATCAAGTCGACATCCATTAACGATGTGCGACAGGCGATTTGGCTCGTGGAGCGGCAGCTTGCGGCCCGACAGTGTCTTCGAAACCTCGATCGCTTGAAACCCTATCTCGACGGCATTGAAAGATACTCGAAGGCAATCGAAATACTAGCTAATGCAGTTCCTTACTTGGCGTATACCTGGGTATGGCAGTGACGCCCCGTCTTGTCTTGCCTTGTCTTGTTCTACACGTAGGTCATGGGTGATTTCTGACTCGGTTATTCTAGGCTCCGCTCAAAGTCATATTGACTGTAGGTAATATCGTTGATATTCTCTCTGGACGTCTTTGAGATGGCAGCTAAATTCTTGCATGTCAGGTGGCCATCGATTCCACACAAATCCTCGACAAGATCTTATCGGCCTACGCGCAAATCGGGGCCGCGTTACCTCGTCTATCCATGCTAAGAGAGGCGTTCCCAGACTCTACCGGTTTCCAGCAACTATTCGGCTTCCTCTATGAAGACATCATCGAGTTTCACAGGCGCGCGTACAAGCTTATTCGAAAGCCAGGTAGGAATAAGCCTTCATGTTCACATTCTCTTCTACCTTCACTCTTCTAACCTCGCACAGCGTGGAAAATATTCTTCACGTCGGCATGGGCTCGCTTCGAGAGTCGACTCAGTGCACTGATTGACAATATCAAGGCAACGAGTCAGCTTATTGACCAGGAAGCAAGCGCCATCGACATATTACAAGCTGCAGAATCACGGCGAAAGTCAGCGGATGATGCCCTCGCGAGAGAGAAACGGTGGGAATCGGAACAGTTGCAGGCGGTGAAAATCTGGCTTGAGGCTGGAGAGGAAGACCAAGAGTTAAAGCTTGAATGGCTCAAGGGCCAGTCTTGTCCTGGGACGACACACTGGATTGCGAAGAACCCCAAATTCAGGTCCTGGATGCAGCGAGGTCGTGGAAATCCTGTAATGTGGCTCTACGGGAAACCTGGTTCTGGTAAGAAGAGAACAAAACCTCGGTCAGGCTGGCTTTATCATATTAATACTGACCTCTTGACAGGAAAGTCGGTCATGAGCTCCAAAGTCATTTCCTTTATTCAGTCCACGCCCAAGCAATATGCACTCTTCTTCTACTGCGACTACAATACTCCGGCCTATGGCATCTCGGCGTATATATGCCGCGTCTTCTGCACGCAGTTACTGAAACTCGTTCCAGAGCTCGTCCCATTTTTCTATGATGAATATCTCAGCAAAGGCCGATCGCCGTCGGCGGAAGTCTTGAAGCCCGCTCTCGCTACCGTTTTGAAAAGCATCGAGTTTGTCAGGTTAATAGTTGACGGTCTTGATGAGCTTCCATCAAGTGAACACAAAAAACTCATCGCCGAGCTCATCGACCTTGCGACCTCGGCCGGTGATACGTGCAAGCTCTTAGTTTGTAGTCAGGACTTGCCTACTATTAGGCCGTCTCTCTCGAAGAGATTGGTCCTCTTCCTTGGTGACGAGCGGGACTCAATCCGGAAAGACATTGACATGATCATCGAGAAAGGCCTTGCTGATATTCGTGACGGCATGGGCGGCGAACTATCGACGGAATTGATGACATACATGCGCAGTCGAATCGCAAGTAAGGCTGAGGGCATGTTTCTCTGGGTAAGGCTAGTCCTTTCACTCCTCGAGTCCTCCTCTAGTCCACATGAACTGAGATCAACCATCGACTCTCTTCCTAATGACCTTGAGAAAATGTAAGTCAGTCCACAAGGATGGCTTTTTATACTACAGCAACTCACAAGTAATATAGGTATGTCAAAATTCTGAGCAACATCCGAAGCCGCTGCTCTCCGGCGAACCTTGATCGTGTCCGACGAACTTTCGAATGGATGTTGTGTTCCAAGGAGAAGACGCATGTTCGGAAGTGTGAACTTCTTATCGCGGCAAGCTTTCATGAGGGATGCCAATCCCTAGATCGACATAGCCTACCCTACCAGACTGCGCTGGAGATCTGCAAGCCTCTGATTGAAGAGAGTCCTGGGGGGGGCGGTGGGTTTCGTCCACTCAACCGTTCCGCAGTGAGTCTTCATCCCCCCACGAGTGCTGAGTCCAAATCAGTTGTGGAACATGTGCGCTTACTCTTTATACCAAATGCAGGTTCTTGCTTGACCCGTCCAGCGGTCCGTTCACGACGAAGCTGTTGGCTCATCGGACTATTGCCTACTCTTGCATCTCGCACTTGATTCAAGCGCTCGACTTCGCCACCAACATGCCGCCCAATGAATTAACCGTCCGAGTAGGCTTGGGAATTTTTGGCCTCCACTTATATGCTAGAGAGCACTGGATGGATCATCTCCTTCAATGCATAGCGGACGCTGACCTGAATGATCCATCCGTCGCCCCATTGATAAAACAGGCTTCGTGCCTAGCTCTAGCTCACCTAGAACTATGCCATCCGAAGGTGCAGGATTTCTTCAGCTCTGTCGACCACCAGACCGCGCAAGGCACGGATGTCCGTATTTGGAAGCTTCACTCGCTGCCTTTAGTCCAAGTCTTGGTTGTTCGCATACTTGCTTTTAGGAAGCAACTGCGCACGCATCAAGATTCCAGAGATGTTGAAATGGCCCAACCGCTAGATCCTACACTCTTTTACTCTGTCGATCAGCGGTACAACGAAACAGTCAGATCTCTTGTCGAAGCCGATGCACACGAGGGTCTCACGGCAGATGAGCTGCATACCTTCCGATCTAATTACGGAAGTGCCGCATTTTTATGTCATATTCAGGGTTGCAGTAAATCCCGAATCGGATATCGGACAGCTGATGAGCTCCGCGGGCATCTACGCCGCTACCATCAAAAGATGCTAAAATGCTACTGGGCCGGCTGTACCTACAACGACATTGGTTTCGTTTCCGCCAAAACTCTTCGGGATCACCTGAATCAATTTCACGGGGAAGGCGGAAACCGCCAAGTTCCCAGGTCACTCCGACGGAAAAGGGCAGGTCCGCAGACAGACAAGGAGCCTGCCGATGCGAACTCCAAAGAGCAACAGCAACAGCAACAACAACAGAAGGAGAGCACCACGCCGGCAGCCCAAGTGGGGCGCCTCCCAACGCTTTCTCAACTGATGGGCCCCCACTCCCCGGTTGAAGAGCAGCAGTGGCCACAACCCCAGACCAGCCCACCTCCGTCTGTGACGGCCCAGCAGTCGCAGGTGAGCGCCCGGATGATGACGAATAACCGCGACATGCCACAACAGAACGGTATCGTCGCCCCATCTGCGGGCAAGGAAACACCACCTTTGCGGGGCCAAGAGCATCAGGCGGTCCATGCTATTACCGACATCAGCAACAAGCTGGCACAAAGCACTCATCACCTTCTGCGCAGTCCCCCTCAAACGCCGGCACAGGCACATCAATATCTGATGAACCATGTGATTGAGACCATCCTCAACAGCGATTTAGCACCAGGAGTGCGTCAGGGGCTGCGTAACCTCCCATCCAGGGAGCGGCTGCGGATCATGAACCAGGCAGTCGACGGGTTTAAGGCGCGTCAGCGCATTCGAATGCCTAAGGCCAATGCGGGCCGCCGGATTACCCTCCTCCCCGACGACCAGCATCTCCGACAATCGGTCCTCACCATCCTTGGTGACATTATCTATGCTCGCATAGATCACGACCACGACCTTTCTTTTGCATGGCAGTCCAGATACACAAAAGCACAACGTGCAAGCAATGCTCTCAGCGTGTAAGTGTTCGCTTTCTTCATTGCCCGTTGCACCGTGAGATAGACAAGATACTAACCCTAACTGTAATTTAGAATTGGGAGCGCCACCATCGCTTTCGGCGGCGGCGAGCAGATTTCGAGCATCATTAGAGATGTCATCGACGCCGAACGCTACTGGTTTGGCGTATCACACTCGGAGGTATCCATCTTAACTCCAATCTCAACTTTTACCAGATCCTAACAGGCCATAAATCCAGGAAATGTATGATATACAATTGGGCACAAAAGCACAAAACCATGTTGAAGCGAGTCTGTCGGTCTTAATCGGGCAGGGAACGGTGGAGGCTCAAGAACTACAATTATTACAACTCCTAGAGCTATTGCAACTACGGATGGAACCTTCTCGTTCGCAAGACGGGTGGGTGGCCGCGCCGGCTCACCAGCTTTCATTCCCGAGCACAATTATGGATGGCCTTCCCCCAGCAAGTGCCGGCCCGATGCAAGCACCCCAGAGCCTCGACGATGGAGCCGGTGATCCAATACAACGGGCTAGGGAGTTTCTAATGAATACGGGAATCAACCCTGACACACTGACCCCTCCACAACTTCGGACGTTCTCTGAAATGATGCCGACCATTAAAGCCGAGGGTCATACGCCTTCCACATGAGAGAATTCTATATTATTTGTCTGTATGCCATGTCTAATGGCTGATTTAATTTGTGCTCGATTGAATAATATTAGGACAAATAGAAGAAGGAAAGGAAAAGAGGGTTTTAAACATCTCCCGAACTTTAATAGCATTCCCCGTCTAGTCTTCTCATCGCCATACCTCTTCTGTTGATATTATCACCTCAGTGATCCAGGGCTTGACTCTGACACTGAAACGCGTTGTTAGAAAAGGTCAAATCCGACTGACTGTAAAGGCTGCGGGGTTAACTTACCATGCCCCAGTAAACACCCTGCTTCCCAAGAAGATCATCATGCGTACCCCTCTCCACCACTGCCCCGTTGTCAAACACAAAGATAACATCGGCATTCTGAATAGTCGACAGCCGATGAGCAACAGCGATCATGGTCCTCCCGCTGCGCGCCTTTTCGAGCGCTGCCTGCACCACCTTTTCAGACTCGGAATCCAAAGCCGACGTGGCCTCGTCGAGGAGAAGGACCTTCGGATCGCGAATCAGGGCTCGCGCAATGGCAATCCTCTGCTTTTGCCCTCCGGACATGGAGAGGCCCTTGTGGCCCACATCGGTGTCGTAGCCTTCGGGGAGAGAGACGATGAAGTCGTGGATGAAGGCGTCGCGGCAGACCTGATGGATTCTCTCGTCCGAGATGGAGTCCGGATCGGGGACTCCCATGAGGATGTTGTCGCGGACTGTTCCGCGGAAGAGGGTCGGCTCCTGGGACACGAGGGACAGGTTATCGCGGTAGTCGTATACGTCGACGTCTTTGATGTTTGTGCCGTTGAATAGGATCTCGCCTTTACCCTGTTCGAGGTCGTAGAATCGCTCCAAGAGGGCAATTATGGTTGTCTTGCCACACCCAGAGGGCCCGACGAAAGCTGCAAACTGGCCCTTCTCAATTTCAAGATTTAAGCCTCGGAAAACGTCGACGTCCCTCGTGGGGTACTTGAAGTGCACATCGCGCAACTCAATGCGAACACCGCCACCCGCCTCCGAGATCTTCCCTCCGCACGCCCGTCGTGCCGCCTCCTCATCATCCGCAGCATCCAGCACGTCCAGAATACGATTCGCCGCCGCTTTTGCCTGCGCGGCGCTGGGTGCAATGGCTATCGACTGACTCGCGCCCTCGGCGCCTTGGATGGCCGCCATGAAGCAAACCAAAAAGGCCTCGAGCGTGTAGGAGCCGCTGGCGAGCAGTCGGCCGCCGTACCAGAAGATAAGGGCTTGGCATCCCAGGCTGGAGCTGGCGGTGAAGCCGAAGACGATGGACGTCCAGCGCGACCGCTTGAAGGCTTCGCGGACGTGGCCATTGAGGAGTTTCTCGTACCGGTCGTTGATTGCGGATTCCATGGTGAGCGAAGAGACTGTTCGGATGGCGCCTAGGGCCTCGGTGGCGAATTGGGAGCTCTCTGCGAAGACGGCGGCGTTCATCTTGTCGAAGAGCATTTCGTGCCTGTAGCGCCAGTACCCCGAAGAGAGCATGATTGGCATGGTGATGAATGTAGCGACCAAACCCAGCTGCCATCCAAAGACGAGGGCAAGAATGACGCAGCCAATGACGGTGAAAATGCCGGAGAGCATGAAAGCGAGATTCAAACCAAGGAGCTCTTCCAGCTGCTTAGCGTCACCCGATACCCGCGCACTCAGCGAACCATGCGAGTTGTCGTCCTCGTCAAAGAACGCGACTTTTTGCCGAAGCATCGCGCCGAAGTACTTGGTCCTGTAAACAGCGCTGATGAAATATTGAGTGCGTAGGCTGAGCCAACCCGCCGCGAAGTAGGATAGACCAACACCCACGGCCAAGGCAAGCCACATCAAGCCCCAGAAGTCGCCTTCTCTATCCATTTCATCTTCATTTGGTAGTAGGAAGACGCCAACGACTTTGGCGAAGAGCCAGGCTTGGATGGGGGTACCGGCCGCCATGGCCATGGCAGCCACGACAAGGGCCATGTAGAAGGGCCATTGCGCTCGTTCCATGTACAGGGCTTTACCGAAACTTTGCATGAGGCTGCGGGGTTTCTTTTCCGGTGCGCCGCCGTCGGTAGATGGAGGACTCGGCTGCTCTGGGTCTGCCATCTTATCGTTATCGTAGAGAAGCTTTCCAGGCTGCTCATCAGGCGTAGCCACAGGTGTGACATCGTCAGCCTCTCCGCCCGCAGCACCTGCGAGACGCAGTGACTGGGCGTTGACCAACTGGCTATAAACCCCCAACGGCCTTGCCATGAGGCTTTCGTGAGTGCCTTCCTCGACAGCCCGACCCTTTTGCAGGACAATAATATGGTCGGCCTTCTTGATGGTGGAGAGGCGGTGGGCGATGGTGATGGTTGTGCGGTTTTGCGTGACTCGGTCGAGGGCGGCCTGGACGATCTTTTCGCTCCGGGTGTCCATTGCGCTGGTGGCTTCGTCGAGAATCATGATTCGGGGGTTTTTGATGATGGTTCGGGCGATGGCGAGGCGCTGTTTCTGGCCGCCTGATAACTTGGCGCCGCCGTCGCCAACGCGTGTTTCGTATCCCTGTTGAAAGAGTCAACGTGTCAGTCAACAGGCTCAAGACGAGAAGCAGTGTGGAGCAAGATAACCAAAAAGAAAAGAAAATAAAACTGTTAGGGAATCTGGAGGCACTTACGTCCGGGAGACGACTGATGAACTCGTGGGCGTAGGCTTCCTCACACGCCTCTTTAACCATTTCCCGCTTGCGCTCCTCAGGCACGTCCGCCCAAGCGGTGCCGATCAAGCCATTTGCGACGTTGCCAAAGATGGTATCGTTGAAGAGAAAGGGTTCTTGCTGGACGAGACCGATCTGGGCCCTCCACCAGGTAAGATCAAGGGTTTCAAGATCGTGGCCGCCGACCTTGATAGAACCAGAGAGCTGAGGCTTGGCAGGAGCAGATGGCTCCTCGTTGTTATTGTCATTTTTCTCGTTGTCTGCCTCTGACTGCTTTCCCTTCGTCTTCTTCTCCTTATCCGACGGCTTGGCCTCAACCACTTCAGGCAGGACATGTTGCTCCCTCAAGGAGTACCAACGCTCCAGCAGACCCACGATGGTGCTCTTACCCGAACCAGATGGACCGACAATGGCTGTGTTCTGACCCGATCGAATACGGAAGCTCGCATCGTCGAGGACTTTGACGTTAGGCCGACTCGGGTACGCAAAAGTCACGCCTTCGAATACTAGATCATTATCCGAGGTGATGTCCGGCTTTTCGGATCCCGATGAGGGCAATGGGGCGTCGATGACGGTGAAGAACTGGCAGGCGGCAACCATGGCGCTGCTAACAGCCATCAAGGGAGTCGCGACGCGCTCCAAGGAGGTGAGGATCATCATGACGGACATGAGCACGATGATGACGACGCCGGGGTTGGTGATGGCGCCTTTTATATATCTCTGGATACCGTACCAGAATGCGAGGCCGAAAGCGCCCATGACACCGAAGAACTAAGTCAATCGCCGATTAGCTTCCTTTGCCATTCTTTTTCTCTTAGTCGGGGTAGAAACATACCGTTAAACCGAACTGAAGACTGGCTGGCATAGTCATCTTCATCGCCCGCTTCAACGACTCACGAACCCACGTCTCATAGCGAGTCATCACGCGAGACTGTGCGCCGCAAGCCACGACGAGCTGGATCCCTCCCAGTGCCTCACTGGCGATGGCGTTGCTCTGGGTATCCGCCTCTCCCATGGCGGTCTGGTACTTGACCAGCGAAGGCAAAAACACCGACAAGACGACCACCGTGTAGATGATCAACGAGCAGGTCACGAGGGTGATATTCCAGCTCCAGACAAAGGCGACAATGAACGCAGCCCAGATGGTGCCGTTGTATTCGAGGAAGGTACCGAGCCGTTCGGAGATGCCCAGCTGTAGGGTATTCGAAGTTGTGGTGATGGCGGTCGCCGGGGCTCCGGGCGGCATGGTATCGATGACGTGGATCGACTGCGCGAAGAGGGAGCGCAGGTAGTGGAGACGTACGGCGGACGACAGGCGGATGCCGATCATTCGGAAGCAGAACTTGTTGATGGTGTTGAGAGCCCAGCGGCCGAGGAAGAGGGCCATGATGTAGAGGGCCTGCTTGTTTAAGATGGCGTGCAGATCATCGGGCGACATCATTGTGGATTCTCGAAAGTAGTCGGTAAAGTCATCGACGAGCTGGCCGAAAATGATAGTCATCAGGGGAAGTGTCACACCTGCGCCGATAGAGGCGATGGATGCGATTGCGTAGGTGCAAAAGTCCCATTTTGTCGCGTAGCTGAAGACGCGAAGGTAGTCGGAGAACTTTGGCGTCCGTTTGGGGCGCGCGGAAGGGGCAGCGGATTCCACGACGGTGTCGGCCTGGCTCGGGGCCAGGACATCGTCGGACATGTCTGGCGGGAGAGACAGACCAGTCGAGCGTTCCTGTTCCTATTCGTTGTCTCCAAAGTTATTGAATGAGGTCAATGCCCCCGAATGGTTACGCGGGCGGAGAATAAGGACCTACAGCTTGCCTTGCTTCGGTAATGGCTCTCGTTCGATGGTCTTAACTTCAGTAATGGTCGAAGAAGTTCTGATCGATCCAGGAAGCTACCGTTGTGATGTGATCTGACCGCAGCACATCACAAAGGAAGGAGCGAGTGTGGTGCGGAAAAGAGATACTAAATAGAGCGAGGAAAGAAATTTTTCTTTCTCTTCAACGAAACCGTCGGACAAGAGATTTGCGGATTGCGTTGTGTTTTCATCTTTACGGGGCTGCCTCCTTGCCTCCTTGCCTCCCTCGGCCGGGACACGGCGTTGGCAAATCGTATTATTTCCGTTTTGGGGGGTTTACGAGCTACGGATCGCAACTGACTCGGAGCCCCCACACACCGCTGGACGCGCCATCCATGTCTGAGAGCCATATTAAACAACGGTTATGCGTTATGCCGCAATGATTCATTTTACTAGATCTTCGAGATCGGATCGAAGAAAACCAAAAAGGTACAAAGTACTTGTCCTTACCCTTTTTGGGGGTTTACGAGTTGTTACGAGCTAAAGTCGTTTTGATGTTAGATTATTAATGTCGCCAAGAACTGAAGTGGAGGCACGTGGCTCAAGTCACGTGAATATTTGTGTTGATCTTCGAGATTCAGATCGAAGAAAACAAAATGGTTCAGAGTACTTGTCCTTACCCTTTTTGGGGGTTTACGAGCTGCGAGTTCTGAGTCGCATTTTGATATTAGATTATTAATGTCGCCAAGAATAGAAGCAGAGGCACGTGGCTCAGGTCACGTGACTATTTGTGTCGATGGATCAACTCGGAAAAAAAAAGAGAGAAGTTGAGGGAGAAATAATCGGAATCGCGCAGAAGGAAAATGGAAAGGAAATAATATTGGAATTATTTTAAGAATAATTATAAGTTAAACCGAGCGACAAATGGAACGAACGAAAAAAATGGACAGGCAAAAGTCAAATTCGGAGATTCACCAACTCCCATGCCCGGATTCGAACCGGGTCTATGCCTCGCATTCAATTCAGATGAGAGGGCACAATGATAACCCCTACACTACATGGGATTTTCCTGATTTGTTTGTGCTCCACCGGCTTTGGTGCTGGCCAAAAGAAGGGGGATCGGCTTTTCTCCGTTCGCCGTGGGCGGGTCCTCGAAGGATTTCCGGAGATCGTGGGTCCTGTTCTTCCTCATAAATCGTCTCCCTACAAACGTGAAGCATACTGAGACAGTCTCCGAGACATGGCTACTATCCGAGGATGTCCCCTCAATTTATATGGGCATCAGTAGACTGGATCTGTGACCTGCCCGAATCCGGCATTTGAGTGATAGTGTACAAGATGCTTCTGAATGCCACTGATTGAGGAAAGAGAAGTCAGAATCCGGTCTCTCCTGATTCCCCGGCGGTCCCTGTGGATTCGTGGAACGAGATATCGAAAATTGGTGGAGGGGCGTGAAAGGTCCTCTCCGCGCCATCGGTCCAAACCATTGGTTTTAATCTGGTGGTGCAGTCCGCAACACGCAAAATATAAGAATAGCAGGGCTTCGCGCCTCCGCCATAACCAGGTTAAAAGAAAGAGACAAAAATGAAATAGTGGAAAGAAAACGAAAAAAAAAACTCTCCCTCGGGGAATCGAACCCCGGCCACCTGCGAATTGCTCTTTGACAAGCAGGTATCCTGACCACTAGACCAAGGAAGATGTGATTGGATGCTACGTTCGCGGCTTAGCTCGACTCAACAACGTTCATTTCGGCCCTCCCCAGGCACGAATTCTCTCACATGGATGTGAGCACTATTTCTCTGCAAAGAGGGGCAAGCTGGGTCGAGGTGGTTCGCTTTGTGCATATTATTACAAAGGAGGTAGGAAACGAAGCGCATGCCACGGCGACATGGAAGAGGGAGCCGAAGGGGATGGCGAAGCATATGTTCCACATCCGACGGAGTCACAACTCTTGAGTCTTAAGTAGGAGGGAGGGAGACCATGCAAATCAGACTTTTGGTCGTCGAGGAGTGAGGTCAGGGAGAAGAGACAAAGCGTGTTCAATTGATATTCTTTTTATACATATTAGTTCCTATTATTCTCCCATTATCGTTTCAATAATATTCCAGCCCATCGTAAGTCCCATCCAGCTTCCCTTCTTTTGCAAGTTTTGTCACTGCCTCCTTGGACCTCGCAATAACGTCCGGGATGTAACCGGGAGACATTACAGGAACCTTGGTTTTTTCCTTATCCTGCCTAATCCAGGGCACCTTCCGCGTTCCGGCCACGCGACTAACGGCGTCTCGGAGAGCGGCTACGGATTCATCGTCGAAGGCGCCGCCGAGAACGACGGCCTGTGGGACCTGGGAGTAGTTTCCTGAGCCGATGGTGCTAAGCTCGGGATGCGATGGAGGCAGCTGCCCCAAGAGGAGCGGAGGAATAATTTCTGTTCCGGATTCCCCGGCCAAGACGAAATGAACAACTATGTCACGCAATGAGTTGTAAGCCCCAGTTTCAGGAAATCAAATGGCGGTTTCCAGGTGGCATGCGAACCTTCAACTTCGGGCTTTAGTCCATCAATCACAAGGCGACCGACTTCTTCTCTCTTGCCGCAGCAGATGATGGGGATGGGAGATGACTCGGCCATTGCCTAAGCGTTTTTCGGGGTTTGAATGTCGAGACAACTTCGATTAACCGGCTCGTTTGTTCTACGACCCAAATGGATGAAGAGAAGAGGGCAACGAGTGAGTCGAAGTCTAAGTCGGAGACGGCGAGAAACACCTGTCATATATATAGCCCGTGCTTACTTCCGCCAGGCATTGGAGGAGGCGTCTTACCATCCTAACCCCACCTCTTAACGCCGAAACGGCGAAACCCTCTGGTCCGTCCGATTTCTAATCCAATACCGTGCCGCAGAGAACGAAAAGAACGAACCTCGAGCAGAGCCTCTTCCGGGACTGCCGATTTGGTTGTCTGCGATGTGAAGTAAGATTGTCCTGAACAACAACTCCAGGGTACCAGTGCCTCCGCTCAAGGATGGCTACATTGCCGGACCGGAACGGACGGAGAGCGCGAATTAAATAAACACCCAAAGTGGCTAGAAACTTCGATTATGCTTACTTGAACGCCTTATCTAGGAGCCGCTCCCCAGTCGTTTCAGTCCCTGGCCCAGCTCGCCTCACAAATTGATTCTAGCGCGTCTCATACTGACGCATGACATCGAATTCTTAGTACATACTACATTGCCATAAGGGGTGACCTTGCTGGCCTGCACGACGCGTATCAACCTTCCAACACGGCCCCCTTCTTGTGCTTCTCTCTACGCCTTCGTCTTTCTGTATCCTTCTCCTAGAATCATGGGATTCTCTACTGAGAAGGAACCCCCCCCGCAACTAGCTTCGGCACTACGGAGCATCTTGCCGGCGTTGTTTTCACGTGACCCGGAAGGGCTGAAAATGACAGTATTACGAACCGTGGGTAAGCGGCGGGCAAACGGACGGTGCCGAACGTCGGAGAGGGGTTGAGAGAGGGGATCGACCCTTCCCTTACTCCCGTTCTACAGGCAACTATCTCTCTTAATCCAGGGAACCACTTCTTTCTTTTCTGACCCCCGAGCCGTGATGACGATGACCTCAATTAACCGGAGGCCTTTGTACACCAATGCTGGTGCCAAGAGCTGGCGCTCTCCCACCCCGGCTTCGGACGTCTCGAAGCTGGCAGCCCAGTTCCACAGGTCAATGCCGGGATATTCACCGTCACCACTAATCTCCCTTAAGGCCGTCGCCGAGGAGATTGGCGTCAAGGACGTTTACATCAAATTCGAGGGTGCTCGACTAGGTCTTCCAAGCTTCAAGATCCTGGGGGCTTCGTGGTCTACGTTCCGTTTGTTGGCAGATCGACTGGGTCTTCCGTTGGTGTCAGACTTGGATACCGTTAAGAAGGCCCTCGCAACGTCAGAGAGCGAGGTGACGCTCTTTGCCGCAACGGATGGCAATCATGGACGTGCCGTTGCTTTCCTAGGGGCTGTCCTGGGCATCCCGGTCCGAATCTTCGTGCCGAGAGGGTTGGACTCTGGTACTGTGGCGAGAATTCGGGAGGAGGGAGCTACAGTTACCGAGATCGATGGGTCGTATGACTTTGCTGTAGAAACAGCTTTTCAGCAGGCACAGCAGATGGCTGGGGGACTGCTAGTCCAGGACACCGCATTCGAAGGCTACGAAGAGGTACCAGGAGTGAGTACTGTCATCTCCACGTCCCTCACTCTTTGGACGGCTTATAATATTGCCCACATTTTGATCATAGACATCTTACTGACTTATCATTGGTATCATTGGCACACTTCAGTGGATAGTCGAAGGCTACGCGACTCTGATGCTCGAGGTCGACGAGCAATTGCAAGGCCAATCAGCCGACCTAATTGTTGCACCTGTTGGAGTCGGGTCCTTTGCGCAAGCTGTGGTTTCGCATTACAAGTCAGAAGGAAAGGACACCGCCGTATTAACAGTCGAGCCGGATACCGCAGGGTGCCTCTACAAGAGTCTCACACACGGAGAGTCTCGGCCCATTGCTACTCCTGTGCCGACCATTATGACGGGGCTCGATTGCGGCACGGTATCCAGCATCGCTTGGCCCCTCCTGCGTGACGGGGTGGACGCTAGTTTAACAGTGAGCGACTTTGAGACGCACCAGGCGGTTAATATCCTCGAGGGTCTCGGCGTCTCGGCGGGGCCGTGCGGGGCTGCTCCTCTAGCTGCCCTTCGCCGACTTAGTAGTTCCGACAAGACGGCCCTCGGCCTCACTGAATCTTCTATCGTAGTGCTTCTGTGTACGGAAGGCCAAAGAGATTACACTATCCCGAAGTCGGTGGAATATGACGACGCCGTGTCACTCTGCCAGGCCTTGGTAAGAATCAACTCTGCTGTCCCAGGAACTGGAGACATCAAGGGCCCTGGCGAGACCGAAATCGCACAATACATCACGCGCTGGCTGGAGCACAGAGATATTGAGGCTCATTGGATCGAGAAAGTCAAAGGTCGCCCCTCCGTCGTGGGCGTGGTCAGAGGAACTGGAGGTGGCAAACACATCATGTTGAACGGACACATCGATACGGTGACTACGGCGAGTTACGAAGGGGATCCGCTAAGCGGAGATATTCGAGACGGCAAACTGTATGGCCGCGGCGCTGCAGACATGAAGAGCGGAATCGCAGCGATGCTCGTAGCTCTCGTTCAGGCAAAAACGGATAAACTGAAGGGCAATGTCATCTTTACCGGTGTAGCAGATGAAGAAGACATGAGTCTAGGGACAGAACAGGTGTTGGAAGCCGGCTGGCGCGCCGATGCCGCCATAGTGTGCGAACCAACGGGAGAAGATCTCGTCATCGGCCACAAGGGCTTCACCTGGTTCGAGGTCGACATCCATGGCGTTGCCGCGCACGGGTCTCGCTTCGATCTCGGCGTCGATGCTGTGGCGCACGCTGGGTACTTTTTAGTCGAATTAGATAAGTATGCCAGGCGCCTGGGGGAAGGACCACGTCACCCGTCCCTTGGACTACCGAGTGTACACGCTTCGATTGTGAGGGGAGGCGAGGAACCGGCGTCGTACCCTGCCAAATGCACTATTACACTGGAGCGGAGGACTGTGGCGGGCGAGACGAACGAACAGATCCTGGCGGAAATCGAAGGCTTGCTGCAGGAGGCTGCGCGTAGTGCCCCTGGCCTTCGGTACGACCTCAGACTCACCTTTTCGCGGAACCCTTTCGAGATCCGCGACGACCATCCCTTGGTCTCCTTGGTGGCTGATCAGATCAAGACTGTCCGAGCGAGTGATGCTGTGCTTCGCACGGAAGCGTTTTGGACGGATTGTGCCCTCATTGCTGACGTCGATATTCCTGTTGTCATGTATGGTCCTCACGGTGAGGGGTTGCATGCGAAGGAGGAGTGGGCGGATGTCAAGTCGATCGAGAGAGCGGCGTCAACGCTCATCGGGGCTGTTCGAGCATTCTCGAATGAAGCTAGAGAGTAGTGATAATTTGGCCGCTCGTGTTGGTAACTGTTGGCAGTGGGAAGGTTAGGGATGGCCTCTTTTTTCGGACGTCTTAGGCGAACTGAGATAGACAGGATAATGTCGTTCTTAAATGCAGTTCTCTGCCACATTCCCACAAGGCTTTTCTGAATCACGTCGATCACGACAGATGATAGTTCTAGTGTGCATAGTTCTGTCGTAGTCAGATGTCAGGGGTCGATAGTGAAGGGCTTTAGAACTCTTTATAATCATAAGCAATATGTTAAGATGTCGTGACAGTAATGGTTGTCTCCTCTGTCTCCTCTGTCTCCTCGCAGGCGTGTGTCCTAGACATTTCTTTTCAACTTGTCTACTGGTGGTGGCTGTGATGAATTCTGGTCACGGCGAGAACTGATCCTGACGAGTTCCGACGATTGCCAGTTTTGACGGCTGTCGGTTCTGTTCGTGTGACAATCATTTCCTCAACTGTCACCGGAATTCAATCCTCTCCAATCAAAATGAAGTTAACCCCTGCTTCTACCCAAGTGTGATTGTCTCTAACTCCGTTCGATATGGCTTTCTCACTGCGCTGCCGCCGCCCGTTGTGTGATGCTAAATGCAATTCGGGGTGGAGGCCCTAAAACCCTAACTCCTAGCTGCGCATTCGCTTAACCTGCGGACTTAACCGGCAGGCAGGCGATCCTTTCAATGTCACATTGGCAGGATGCAGATTGGCAGATGGACTGACGTATGACTTCCGAGGACCGCAATGCAGCCACTTTTGACAGGGATGTTACGTAACTGCAAGTTTGACCATGGGTCGGTGTCTTTGGGGGCAGGGGTTCCGAGGCAGGCCAGGGCATGTTGGTTCTTCCGTCCCGCCGCCAAGTCGCTGCAAGGAAGCGCACTTGAAGAACAGTTCTTCAAGGCAAACTTCAACCACCCCCTTGGTGCTCGATCTGCCTCTGGGCAGTCCCAAATCCCACCTCGAGTCCCAGCGCCCGAGATTTATGGCTGGCTCACCGCTAGAGACAACGTGTTGTTCCTCCTTCATGACTCTCGTATTGGGCTGTTACATTAATGAGACAGTGACCAGGCCCTCTTCGTCCTTCTGTGGGCTCGGCATGCCTCAATAGCTTGCAACACTAGTGTCTTTCTGGCAAAGCTGCCGACCGGCGACGGGAAGCCGACCACTAACGCTTCCCGCAATGGGGGAAGAAACATCTAACCTGACTTGGAAAAATGACCTGTCGAGAAACTATGACAAGTTCTGGACTCAAAGTTCCGCTGTCAGAAAATGTCAAGATGAAACCTGCTTGATTGGCCCATTCGTGTACTGGAAGATTGTCAATTTCCCTGCAGGCCAAAGGGCATTTCTGGTTTTATTACGCAAAAGGTGGTACTGAAAGCGGATGAGGCCATGTCCTCTTGAACTCCGCAATCTCCCCTCAAAATACCCCGTCGCCGTCCTCTTTTCTCTTCTCTTCCTCCAGCGTCAGCGCTCGAATATCTCAAAATGAGTAGCCCAAAGTCGCCGAAATCCCCGGCCAAGTCGCCAAAGTCGCCACCAAAGTCGCGCTCGCCGTCCGCTGGCGCAGCGTCTCCTGCTGGAGATTTATTAGGCGCTGGGGACGCTCCGATCGAAGTGGTAAATAAGCCCCCCTCTCATAACCCGGCGGCAAGCTGCGCCATTTTACCACGCACATTTGTCCATACTCACAACGGTTAGGACGCCGCGGATGGGGATTCTGTCTACGCTCAATCGTAAGTTGAAGCCTTTAATCCGATGATTCTTCTGTGTTATAAGCACATTCATCTCATTCGCAGTTTATAGCACGGTGACGGATACGACATCTCTCCGATCCTCGATCTTAGATTTCAAGTGGGAAAACGGCAGGCGATATCATGCGTACCAGGAAGGATCTTACTGGTATTGTTTTGCCTTTATTTCCAAGTCGCAGTCGCCGCTCTGGTTATTGCCCTAACAATTTCGCTTCTTAGGGGTCCGAATGATGAAAGGCAGCAAGAGGCGGAGGACATTCTGTATGTGTCTACGGTGCACCCGTTCTCCTCTTAGATATTATCTGACCACCCATCAGGCATGAAATGTACCGACTTGTGCTTGACAATAAACTGCAGCTAGCGCCGCTCGGCGATGATGTTCAGGTGAGATTTTAACCGCTGCTCCTCCAATGCCGGGTTAGTGCTCTAATTGTTTTCTAAATCCAGCGGGTTCTTGACGTCGGTTGCGGTACGGGGGCCTGGGCAATGTAAGTGTGGTTCCATTGGAAATGTGCCCCGAAATTTAGATTCAAGGGGGGATCTCATATTCAGATCCAGATCCTAACCGAGAGGCACATCAGCGATTTCGCAGATGAGAATCCAGCCGCAGAAGTTGTTGGCGTCGACCTCTCTCCGATCCAGCCAAACTTTCTTCCACCCAACTGCAAATTCGAAGTCGACGATCTTATCCAAGATTGGACATACCCGGAAGATCATTTCGACTTCATCCACGTTCGATTCATGACAGGTTGTATTCCGGACTGGGTTGAATTCTATAAAAAGGCGATGCGGTATGGTCATTTCTCGCCTAGTATTATCGAGTCTTCCTATAGTATGCTAACTGTATAAAAGTCGCATGAAACCCGGAGGCTGGATTGAGCATGTTGAGCTTTCAAGCATCGCACGATCTGACGACGGTTCACTAAAGCCCGACACGGCCTTGGTAAAGTGGGCAGACATTTTCCAGAAAATTGGCGCTGCAACAGGCAAGTCGTTTAGTATCAGCGAGACCGCCCCAGACCTGATTCGAGAGGCCGGCTTCACAAACATTCAACATCGCACGCTGAAGATTCCAATTGGGACCTGGCCGAAGGATCGGACTTTGAAGCATTGGGGAGCATGGAACAGGCAATTCCTACTCCAGGCGATCGAAGGACTCTCGATCCGTGGCTTGACGGAAATCTTGGGGGTAAGGCTGGCTGTCACCTCATTTTCGTTGTAGGTGCAAACATAAACTGACAATTGCGTGATAGTGGACATTCGAGGAAGCGCAGCTCTACCTCGTCCAGATCCGCGCGGATATAACTGATCCGAAGATCCACTCATACATTGAGATGTAGGTTGTCCCTATTCCCGCGTGCCCCTTTTTTACGGAATAGACGCTAACAAATGTCCTCGATATATAGGATTGTTGTCGATGGACAGCGGCCAGAGGAGGCTGGCGAATAGGCGAGGAGATGCAGTTGGACCTCGGTCATTGAACTACATCGCTTGACCATGGCCGATATTTTTATTGATGTTTCATGAGCCCAGCGATTTCTTTTCCTCGAGTTAGCCTTGTCATAGTTTAGGCTTTTCATACGAATACAGTCGACGGTGTCGGTTACTGAAGAGACAGAAACCTCTTTACTGTTAGTAGATTGTGTTTTCATCGATTGGCCACGACTCGCCATCTTTGGTAAACTGTACATATGTAAATCCCCGCCAGCCCAATTTGCCCAGGCGAAGAGATTCGGCATGGTGTGGAATTGAAAGGCTGCCCAACAACGCTCACGCAATCGTCGAATGGGCCAGCCTTTTCTGAGTTGGTATCGTACGCCTCCAGACAGAAACGTACCGCGTCCTTTACAAAACACCCCATCTTCTGGCCTAGCTGAGAGGACGTATAATCTCAGCAATGTCGGTCGAGCTGGCTTCCTCGGGTCTACTATTGCTAAGCCACCGTGCACAGCAGAGCTGACACGCCGACTAAGGGGCTACTAAGTAGCATCTACAGCCAAAGCTTTCAGCTTGGGGACCACTTCCGAGATCTTCGCCCTCGAGTCGCTATCGGGGTTCATCAACTTGTAGGCAACTTCGAGCAACCCCGCTGTTTGCCCATTCTCGCGCTGCCGTTTTAAATCGTCAAGCCTCTTCGTAACTGAAGGTCGGATCTTTCCATGAAGGTGAAATTCGTAATTAGAGAATTCGATGCTGCCTAGCATAAATGTGGCTCTTCGAGAAGTCCGGAACTCACCCACGTCGCGACCCTCGATGAAAGTGGCCAATTCAGCCAAGATACATCCGAATGCCCAACTGTCCGACGCTCGTCCGATTAAGCCCTTCTTATAACCATTGCTATAGTAGAGGGTTCCGGGGGGCATGTAGTCGTCACTTTCGCAACCACTAACTGGTGTCTTCGAGTCTTGATCGTCGGGGCCTAACTTCGACAGCCCAAAGTCTGCTCTCACGAATGTTCCGCGGTAAACCAGGATGTTCCTAGGCCGCAGGCCATAGTGACAGCCCGCTTTTCGGATGGCGGGTGCCTCGTCCTCTGGCTCAAGAAAGAAGTTGTGGAGATTGCTGAGAGCGTCGGCAAGACCATGAGCTGCGGCATAAATGTCACGAGTTTTCATTCGATGCGGCTTTTCGTAAAGCAAAAACTCTTTCAGATTCATATCAGCAAGTGGAAAGAGGAGGCTGATTTGGCCGCCTTGCTCATAGGGTCCTAGAAACTCGATGATGTTGGGATGTTTCAAATCTCGGATCAGTTCCAGGATATCTCGTTCATTCTTAGCATCATCTGGTGATAACACCTTCCGAGCGATAGAAGTGACCTTCGAACAAGTTAGCTATTGGATATTTTAAGTAGCATCCGCATAACGTAAAAGCCCAAGGGGGCAATTACCTCCCGCGTGCCCGCGGAGTTAAGCTCGTGGCCCGGGATATAACTGTGCCTTCCAAACGTCACCATATCCACCTTTGTCAATCTTTTCCTGCATAGCAAAGGGGACGATCTCGTCTTGACGCAATATTTGCCGGAAATAGTGACGTTGAAGTATGACGGGGCAGAATTCCCATTGTCGATCCCAGAATTTCTGGCGGGTGATGTCGTGTAGGTAGCTGAATGACACCGGATTGAATGGCAGGCGCGTATCGGTGTCACGGCGAAAATCGAAGTCCATGATGAATGATTCACAATCATCGACTAATAGCATAGTAAAATGAGAATACTCCCCTGAGCGATTTCGCGGGCCAGGCGCAATATATCTCGCTCGTTGCTGAAGGGGTGAGGAGCACTGCCGGAGCTCAGAAGCTGCTTGAGGCAGGCGTGAATATCTTCTTCCCGAACGGCATTCTTGATCTCCGAGGGAGAAAAGAAGTATACTATTAGACCTCCGCCAGTATCTACTGTTCGTCTAAGGTTCTAGATCCGTTTAGAAAGCTTCTCTCGGGCATTTCGATCTATAATATAATACGATAATTCTAGGAGATAACAAGAAGAACAGGAGAATCTGAAAATTCGTGGCTCTATTGGGATTATCTGTCGCTTGACGGTCTTGAGGGAAGAATTAATACATACACAGATGAGTACATTGATAGAGGAGGAGCCTGCAACAAATTCGCACTTGTTGTTACAATCCTAACACTAGCCTGTTAATAGTATCAGGTGGATACAACTAGTGACAGGATTGAGATGTTATCTATTAATAGTAGAGTAAGGTAGTTAAACAGTATTTACAAGATATAGGTAAGAAGTGTATATTTAAGTATAGGGGTATAGTTATATTTAAATTAACTATTAGAAAGTCTTAAAAGATAAACTAGATATATAGAGTAAACTATAGTTTATATAGATATTTCCCTTCTAAGCTCTCCTTAGATTACTTTAGCTTACTATAATCCTATATAATCTAAATTACTCCTAGATTATTATAAATATAAGTAATTTAGTATTCCTATAATCTAGTATACTTTTATAGTTTATTTTTTTCTACTAATCTTAACTACCTAGCCTTCTATTTTAGCTATATATAGTTATAATATAATACCTCCCCTCCTTTAGTCTTTGTCCCTAAAAACCTATAAGTAGACCTTCTACTTATTAGTTTTTTATCTTATAAATTCTTCTTTATTTTCCTAAAATATTTCTATTATAATTATTACTATACTTAACTATACTTATAAAGCTTTTTCTAAATCTTCCTATAATTATTTAAACTTAGCTAATATAATTAAGTTATTAAATATTAAGATTAAAATACTATATATATATTATTTTAAAAATAATAAAATATATATAATAAGTAAAAGGTCTTCTTAGTATATAGAATATATATAGTAGGGTAGATTATATAATAAGGTTTTTATAGTTTCTACTTATAGATTCCTATTTTCTTCTAAGTTTTTCTAGTTACTAACTATTTTTTTAGTTATTTATCTTCTATAAGAGTAGAAGAAATTAGAAAAGGAGGAAGTTAAAGTAGAGGAGGTATTATTTATTTTTTAGATATAATTGTTAATAGTAATTAATTACTTAGTATATATTTACTAGATAAAGAAGAATATTAAGGTAAAGAGTTTTAAGATATTTAGGAGAGGGATCTAGGGTTTGGATAAGGAGGATAGTATTTAGCTTTCTATCTAGAAATCTTATATAGTAGAAGATCTTTAGTTTTTTAAGGTTTTTAATTTTATTAATTAGTTTTCTTTAAATTTAGGAAATAATTTTATAAACTTAGATCCTTTAGTTAACTTAGGTTTTTTTAGTAAAATATAATAAGAAGTTATTAGCTCCCTATTAAATATTTAATAGGTTTTTAAGTATTTTTACTATATTTAAAATTTTTCTATTTAATTAAATATTTAACTTTCCTATTATTATTATTTATTAAGTTAAGGATTTTCTTAGTTTTTTAAATATCTTCTTTAAACTCTATTATTATAGATTTTTCTATAGGGATATTATTATATACTAGTTTAAGTAATATTATATAGAAAATTAGATATCTTTTTATTTTTTTTAATAATTTTAGTTTATAATTAATTTTTAAAATTTTTTATTTAATTTAGAATAATTTTAGTTTTTTATAATTTAATTTATTATTTAGTTATATAGTTTTAATTTAGAAGTCCCTAGTTTCTAGTTTCTTTTATAGTAACTAGATTTTACTTTTCCTCTTAAGGGTTAATCTTTTAATTTATTTTTAGTTTATATAGTATTTTATTTATTGTTAGATAAACTATAGCTTTTCTATTAGTTATTTATAAAGTTCTTTTATTTTATCTATTATAAGGATAGCTTGCTCTACCTAGGTTTTGATTTCTATTGGTTTAAATCTAGTTTAAAATTTAATATTATAGTTTATATAGAATAGTGAAGTCTTTATATTTTCTAATATATTAATATTATAGGCTCTTTAGGCTAGAAGTAATAATAATATCTAATTGTTTTGTTTTTAGTTAATATAATATCTTAAATATATCTTTAGTATCTAGTTTGTTTATTTAATTTGTCTTTATATTTCTAGGTAATATATTATAGATAGTTTATAGTTAATTTTTATTTTATTAGAAAGGCTTTACTAAAATTTTGAGATAAATATTAGTCTTCTATTAAAGTTAATCTTTTCTAATAGGTTATAGTTTACTATTATTATTTATAAGAATAGTTTAGTAAACTATAGTATTTATATTACTTTATTATAAGGTATAAAGTAAGTATATTTTATAAGTTAGTCTACTATTACTATAATACTATTATATATTACTTTTATAGCAGGGTTTTTTAATAGTAATAGTTTAATAATAAAGTTAATAGTAATCTTTTACTATAGTATTTCTAATATTAGTATTAATTTTAGCTTTTTATAAAGCT